CGCGGGGATTCGAACTGCCAACCTTCTGATCAGCAAGTCCTGGGCTCTGTGGTTTAACCCACAGTGCCACGCGCGTCCCTCTTTGAATGGTTAGCACAATCCTAAATATGAGCCCATGCTGAAGGAACAGGACTTTATGATGATTCCACCCCCTCATACAAACAGACCCCTTACTGATATAGAAAGAAAAAGCAGTTAACTGCCCTGAATATCTGTGTCTTATGTGCTGTAATATGAAACAGGTTTTATACTGTTTCATATGTTCCATCGTTTCCCTAGTAACACTCTCACACATGTTCTTGCCGAATTGCATGACGATATGCTCTGGCACTTGCTTTAATAGATGCATCTCACTCCTTGTCAAGCTATACTTGCCAGCTTTGAGGCCATTTGTTATGCAAACAGAAATGCAAAACCTAACTGGACCCTGAGCTTTGTAGATGGGGCTCTTTGTTGGTAGCAATAATCTTATAATAGCTTATCAGATCCTTGTGTTACAGATTAAGGGCACACCTACTGTATAGGAATTTCTACCAGTTCCTAAGCAGCGTATACAATCAAATCTCTATACATCATCTCTATACTATCAAAACTATGGGGAAATAACACCATTAGCAGATGCTACTGGTTGAAACTAGCTTTTGAGCCTAGCAGGAAAACAACAGAAGGATAGGTGGTTGTGGTGGTAACAAAGAATTACCCACAAACAAACACCAACATCAGAGGGACTGCTACTTTCCAGATGTGCCTCTCCCCACCCTGCTACATCACCACAGCTATGAACATAAGAGCCTAGAGTGAATCATGCAATGACCCATCTAGTTCAGCTAAGTTTAGGCTCTGTATCTTAGAGTCCTCACTGTCACCCTGAATATCTGATGTGAGAGCAAGGGACCTTGGCTGTTGTTGGGTAGCTACTTTCACACTGGAACTTCTGCCTGATCAGAGAAGTGTGGCAAGCATCATGAAATTAAATTTGATGCCTGGTCTAATCCTTCCTAGAGAGAGATTTCCAAAGCTGAGGTGCCACAACCAAAAAAGGACCTATATCAGTCCACCACTTGCTTCACCTCTGACAGCAATTGGGACCTGGAAAAGGATCCTTCGTGATTCTTAAATTTATGGGGCAAGCTCATATGGAAGTGGGAAGTCCTTAAGGGACCTGGGTCCCAGCTTCTTAACATTACTCCTATGGATCTTAAATGAGTGATCAATGAACATACTAGCTAGGTCAGCTAGAATATAATGTTCATGAATCCCCATCGCTGAGCTGCAAAGCATATTAAATCAATATCCGGTGTTCTCAAAAGGCAGATCTGGCCTATGGGATCTACCCAACCACATGGCCTCTTCCCATCCCCCTATGGCACCACTGCAGTAAATGTGGTCAGCAGAAAATAAACATGTTGGAGAAAAAACACCAATGCTGAAAGGCCTCTAAATGGCATTAGCACCAGAAACAGCTGGTTACCTGGGTAACCCAGCACAGCGCATCATTTATTCATGGAGCCGTGGTGCGATTTGGCCTAGCCAAGTCCTTTACCTCCAGGGATAGCTGCCTGCTATATCCACGGCTTCTCATTCCTTTTCATCTGGTTTATTCTTTCAAGAAACAGATGTGTCTACCTTTCTTTACTAAAGCATCCTCTGCATTCCAGAGATTGGTACCCCTGCTTCCCTTATATTTCTTGACCCTTTACGAAGACCTAAATATTAAGAACTTTGCATGGGTTTTAGAGAAGAACCAACCATATGAGATATCTGGGCTTGGTAGGTAAAGAGGGGACACAGCTACTAAATATAAACCCACCCATGGGTAAACATGGGACATGGCTGGTTCTTTCATGGGAGTTTTGCTTTGCAGAACATTTTGCTGATAAGAGGCTGAGCATGTCACACGGGCCATAAGACGCACTCCAGGATCCCTTGCAACAGCAGAGATCCAAGGCCCTTGCTGGCTGGTGCCAAGGAAACAGTGTAGAATCCAATGTCAGTATCTCCTGACATCCTTCTGACATCACAGGTAAGGTGTACTTGCAGCCCAGGTAGTACTGCTACAGATGTTGCCGAACTTGTGCACCAGTGTTCTGTGATGTCCAAAGGATGCCTGCATTTCATAGTGTGTGGCATGCAAGCTGAGAGTTGCACCCCAACAGCCCCCATAGCAGAACCGAGGGTTTGGGGAGAGTTGGATGACACATTGTTTTCACTTCTGTCAGCTATATCATTCCTGAAGAGTGATGATCACACAACAGTGTGGCATGAAGTAGTTCAAAGACACTGGGCGTAAGCGAAAGGTAAAATGCTGGTTCCAGGTTGCTTAAGGCACATCCTGGAGATAGCTTCCTTCCCACTTCCCAGAAGGAACAGTAAAAGGGGAAAAACCTAGACATGGATTAGTGGAACATTAATCTACCTCAGAGAGTTTGCTTCCCCCCTCTCTCCCAGAAAGATTACCTACTCTCAGTAAGATTACTACTCTCAGCATACAACAGGTGCAGCTAAACAGAAGCTGATACCCTGGCAGTATAATGTTGGTGGTATTTTGTGGTTTATATTATTTGCATTCCATCCATACAGAACTAATGCGAACCTCCATCAGCACAAGGATTTTTCCTTGCACAATGGAATGTTACTCCTCTCTTTTCCCTCCCTGAAGCCCCCCTAAATTTGTTCTAGGGTTCCCCCAACCCTTTAGAGCAGATTTGAGCATGGCACAGAGTGTGCATGGAAGGAGGAGAGTGGGGAGATGAAGTCCTGTTGCACAAATAGAAGTCATTCTCCTTGCACAAAAAATAACGCCCATTATATCTTTCCTTACAATGGTATATGATGAGCACATTTGGTGATTTGGTCATACTGCCCCGCATTGCAATATCTTAACAGCTGTGTTGTTTGAAACATTCACAATAAGCGTTCACTATGGTACTAATACCCTGTGTTCTAGTTACTGCCAAACAAGCAGCCACTTACACAGAGTTTTCGACACATGTGGATATGGGTGAATTTGTCTCTTGCTCTAGGATGAGGCGCCATCTGCTGGTCCACAGCAGTCTTCTCTAGTCTAAAGCTCATTGCAACATTTTCATTCTTAAAAATAGAAAGGGAAACGTGTAGTAGGCAGGCCCTTATTTGCATTTTTACAGATCAGGAAGGGCAACTGAGTTTGCTAGGCCAGCTCTGTCCTCCAGGATCCTCATAGAATCATAGAACTGTAGAGTTGGAAGGGATCTCAAGAGTCATTTAGTCCAAACCTCTGCAATGCAGGAATCTGAAACCAGTCAGACTTTTTTTGTGAATGCTTGTCTGTCTAAAACATAAAGGAAAATATAATACAAAGTGGACCATTCTTTCCACAAAAAGTCCTTGAGGGTCTTGACCAAAATGGTAAATAACTTATTTTATAATTTTCTCCTTGGGGTAGGTCTTTAGGAGCTTCCAACTCCTAAGAAGAACACTCTGGTGGTTAAGAACTGTTCAACAGTGGAACAGACTACCTCAGAAGATGGTTCATTAGAGGTTTTTGAAGAGGGATTCACTCTGCCTGGGATTCTTTAGCTGTGATTCCTGCATTGCAGGGTGTTGGACTAAATGACCCTTGCATTCTCTTCCAACTCTACAGTGGAACTCTTAAGATTATTTGCTTTCTCTTCCTAGCAACCTCATTAAGAAAATCCTCTTCCTTTATGCCAAACTTTAACCGATCGAAACAGTAGCACAAAGGGTGGTATTCAACTAAGTTTTACTCAGAGCTGACCCGTGGAAATTAATGGGACTACCTTAGCCATGTTAATCCATTTCAGTGTGTCTATTCTCAGCAAAACTTAGTTAAATACCACTCTCTTCCTCTGATTTCCAAGAACTGGGTTTTCATTTCCCGAGAACTTTGCCGGCACTTTTGGTTTCTATTCTTGGCCACCCTCACTACCTGCCCATCAAAAAAGCAGAGCTGGATATAGCAGCACCCCCAGGCTCCTCACCTAAACACAGAAAGGCAACACAACTCCTTTGTTTATATTATCATTGCATTTCCAGGGTTTCCTATTCTTGCATCTTGTACAGAAGCAGCAGCTTCTTGTACAGAAGTCCAGCTGAGCTGCTTGCTGGCCCAGGAAGGGTCTCCTTGAGAAAAAGGCAAAGTTGGAGTCTGGCAGTCCGCCTCAATTTGAGACTAGCTGGCTGTGAGTGTGCCTGTGTGCTTCAAAATAAATAGGATTTATTTAGGATTCCAAGGAAGGGGGCAAGCAACCCCCACCGCACCAATGGGGGTCTCACTCCATTGAAGGTGGGGACGGCAATTAAGCCTCTACTTTCTAAGGTGATCAGGTACAAAAGGGGACGGGGCTCCTGCAGATCTGATAGTTGTGCAGAAAAGGAGATTGTAGCATGGCATGCTGCACCTGCTGTAGCAACGGAAGGCCTAAGCTCAGCTAGACTAGAGCATCTCCTTTGCATGCACAACGTCCTGAGTTCAATCCCCAGCATCACCAAGTAGGACTGGGGAGCCCTTGCCTGAGACCTTAGACAGCCGCCGCCAGTCAAATGTAGAAACAATACTCAGCTAGATAGACCGTTGGTCTGACTCAATCCAAGCTACTAAAGGTGCAAGAAGTCAGTCCTCTTTCGCATCTATATACCCTGACTCTTCCCGCATAATATGGTCCTATTCATTTGCATAGCCCCAAAACCCCGGCAACCAGGGGTGGGGCCATGTGCGACCCTAGCTTGCGCGATCTCTTATTCCTTCCACGTTTCTAGTGTCCGTGGGTTCAAAATCCCGAATAGGGGCTTCGGCGTTGCTTTAGTGTGCGGGCAGTGCAAAGTCTACCCAGGGCTCCTTTCACACGTACATGCGCGGACACGTGTGCGTCGCTTGGCTGTATGCGCATCGGGGCGTGTGGAGGGTGTATTCATGTTCACCGTCTTGCCGCTAGGCGGCGCCTGTTCCCTCGGAGGCGGGCTTGGCTCCGGCGGAGGTGGGCGGAGTCAGGCTGGTTAAGCGTCGGGGCTGCTGGCCCCGCGGCTCTTTCACGCGCGCCGCATCGCCCTCTCCTGCTCGGCTATGCGCCCTCCGCGCTTCCTCCCGCCGGGGTTTCCTGGGACGCGGCTCTGCTCCAGCCTTTAGGCGCCGCCAGGGCCCCGAGCTCCGCTTTGCCTCGCGCCTCGACGCCCCTCCTGCTGCCTGCGCCGCCGCCGCCGCCGCCGCCGCCGCCACCATGTCGGAAACCCGGAGCTGCTGCGATGGCAAGAAGGACGTGCAGGTGGAAGGCGGCGTCTACCTGGAAGAAGGGCAGTGCGACTCCGGCCTCGGCTCCATCCGCTCCCTGCAGGGCCAGCTGCCCGAAGGCGAGCCCCGGTCGCCGGCAGCCCGAGGGGTCCGCTCGGACAAGGCTGCCGATTTCCCGGACGCTGCCGCAGGCAAGGAGGGTTCGGCGTCGGAGCCGGACGAGCGGCTCGATTCCAGCTACGGCTCTTCCTCGCTTGTCGAGTCTTTGGCGGGGCTGGGAGAGACCCCTCGGCACCCTGGCGAAGAGGAAGAGGAGAAAGAGGCCGAAAGGGTCCGGCAGCAGCTGCTGCTGGAGACGTTCGCTTTCGTCTCGGAGGACGGAGACACGTGAGTGGCCCCAGCTCGTTCTCACGTGCTTGTTTCAGTCCGTGGGAGACAGGAGACTTGAAAGTCGGCGCGCGGGTGGGGCAGGTTGGGCGAGTGGGGGCGTCTGCTGAACATCAAACAAAGTGCGAACGAGCGCGTGCACACGGAGGCAAGACACCTGCGCGCGTGCTTTCTGCACTCTGGGGAATACGGGGAAACTACTAGAGGGAGTCGCGTGTGGGTGGAGGGGTGACGTTACAAGATCAGTCAACATTTCCAAACTCAAGGAACACCTTAAGGGTGCTTCCCGACACAAGGGTGTTGTGGTATCGCTGATCTTCATGCATACAAGTTTGGTTTTGAGGTTTTTTTTTGCAGCTTACATGTAGCGTTGCTGCAATCAAAATAATGTACCGTATTTCTCTCATCCTCCTCACCTGCCAATACATTCCGTTTCTGGACAAAATCGTGGTGTAAACGTCCAGTTTGCAGTATTCGGCCTCTGTCTAGACGCAGCCTAAAAAGTGCCATCAGAAATAAAAGCAGACCATTGTTTATATGGGACCTTCTTGTCTGCAGATATGGGGTAGCCCTTCAGATCCAGCTGTATGGCTTCAAAAAGCGTGTTTTGTCAATAAGCATATGATGAAGGCAGTTGGCAAAGGTTTCTCTGAAATTCCTTAAATGTAGTGTGGGACGTAGTTGGGGTTGAATGGAGGAGGGGGGGTTAATTTGGCACCTCTTTCTGTTCCTTCCCTCACAACCTTCTGCAAACATGTTTGGCAGCAGTTTTAGTATCAGTTTTATTTTTCCATGGGACTTGCTCCGTTCCTTATTTGTTCATTGGAAAATAGATTGAACATACAAACTCTGCTGTGATCATTGGTGCAATGATCCCTGATCTTTTATGGCTTCATCTGCACAACAAACCTGTGGAGTAGGCATGTGGAAAGAGCAAGAGGCTCAGAATGAGTTGCCAAGGCACTCTAAAAGGTATTGACTCCAAATCCAGCCCCCTCATATCAACTTGGCTCTTTGGCTGAAAGATCCATGGAGTTTTGGGAAGTAATAGTTCGCATTTCCAATTGCACAACCAACCTAGCATGGGGATGCTTGCTGGGAGTCTCCTTCTAAGCAAGTTGTTCTTGCCTTAAAAAAAAGAAGTGATGAAATTGGGGCATCCATTAAGTTTTCCATGACCTCTAAGCCATTTATGCTTTTTATAGCTGCCTTTGTAGAGTAGAGGCAAGTTTGATGACTTAGTAGTGCGAAAGGCAAACATCTTAAGCCCACATGACTTCTGTGATGTAGTAGTGCTAGTTTCTCTTGGGGCTCTGATCTGAGACATGCTTTTCCGGAGCTTTTAGGTTCGCTCTTGGGGGCTTTGTGTGGGTAAAATGTAATCCTGTATGTACATTTGGAGAGGGGGGGTTTCATATCAAGCAGGAAGTAATAAGCTTGGCTCTCTGCTCTTGGTTTACCATAACTAATACACCGTCTGTGGCCTCCTAACTTCCTCCTGATCCTGCATCTCTGATGAGACGAGCCGTTTCTGCTTTTTCCAGCTGGATGTTTCCAGTTTCCATTCTGGCATGTCTGGGCTAACTATAGACACTATGGCAGTGTGACCTGTGTGTTGAACAGATTAAAATGGCAGCATGGGGGACAGCTTGGTGTAGAATGAGTGGCTGCTAGTGGTGCAGTAACTGCTGAACCCTCATCCATGCATCCTTTTTCTCTCAAGTCACCTTTCTATCCCCCTGTGTTGCTTTTGCCTTTGGACACAACATGAAAAGTACAGTGGTACCTCGGGTTAAGTACTTAATTTGTTCCAGAGGTCCGTACTTAACCTGAAACTGTTCTTAACCTGAAGCACCACTTTAGCTACTGGGGCCTCCTGCTTCTGCCATGCCACCGGAGCCACTCCAGCTCTGCGTTTGTCAGGAACCTGCAGTTTTCAAACATAGGCCTGCTGCCATCTTGCCTGGTTATTGTTGATCGGTTCTCCTACCTCCTAGATAAGTCTATAGCTATGGAGTGGGGAAATGCTAAGTTTGAAATTAGATGGTGGGGGAAGTCTCTAACCTAATCAATTGTTTGTAGTGGGGATGGGGAAACAAGAAGATGCATCTTATTTTGCAAGTGCTTCCACACCTCTCCTAGTTTGGAGGCTTGGGTAGAAGCAGTGAAAGGTGTCCCCTCCAGGAGTCAAGGCAGTGACAACACCTGATGCCATATGGAATGATCTATTTGAACTTGTTGCTTTGTTTTACTCAAAAGAAGAACAACAGTAGTAATTTTATTATTTATTCCCCTCCTATCTGACTGGGTTGCCCAGCCACTCTGGGCAATAGCTGGCCAACAATGTTCCCTTTGGCTGAGAGCATCCTAAGTGGCAGAGTGGGAATTACTTTATTCACAGTTTCTCAGCAGTCTCCACTGAACAATATCACTTCCTTGTAACAGTTCTAGTGATGAAAGAACAGAAGTTTGTGGCTTCAGATTTCTGCTTCCTGTTTTTTTTTTAACAGCTGCCATAGTGAGAATGGAGATGGTTCTAAATTGGATTGGTGTTTTTTAATCATTCCAAATTGCATGTGTGTTTGTTGGAGCTATGTTGGTCTGTTGTACCAAAAACAACACGCTCAGTGTTGGTTTACACAGGGACATCAAGTGATGTCTTCCATGTGTGAATTGTCCATCATGGAATAGAATTTTCCTATTCCTCCTGTACAGCACTTTTCAGTGGAGTATGTGCATTTGTTCAGCTTCAAATTCAACATGTAGTTACTCTCTTGCGTTTTTTGTTTGTTAATTCCTCCCCCCTTCCCTCCTATGCTACTTTATTTTAACCAGGTCTTCATGCTGTTCTCCAAGTTTTTCTACACGTTTGCTCTCCAGTCACACACCCATTCTTCTTCTCGCCTCGATCCCTCTTTGTCCAGGTGTTCTGAATTCTGCAATTGTAGTACATTCCACAGTAGACCCGCAAAGGGGACTTAAATGGATCTTTGTATAGGGTTGCCATATTTCAACAAGTGAAAATCCGGACACAAAAGTTGTTGACACTGCTGACATGGGTTGCCACACGTCCGGATTTTCCAAGGCATTTTGACGATTTCCACCCAAACACTGCTTCTGACTGGAGTATTCCAGGTATGTCCGGAAAATTCTGGACATATGGCAACCTTATTCTTTTTCCTGAATCCAGAATTCTTGGAGGGTTTTCTGGGCCCATTTCATCCACATTTCCTAGAAATGAAACTATTGAATCAGTCTTGAAGCGGTTTACATATATTCCTGCTGTAGTCCAGGCCACCCCAGGGGATGTTGGTGGTTTACTAAAGCTAGTTAAAACTCCTTTAAAACTTGAGACCTTCAAAATCTTACTCCAGACATTCTTGAAGCAGGATAATGGTTCCGTTCTTTTTTGTTCAGCACAGAACCCTTTTTGTGTTGGATAGGACTCTTAATACATGGAGAGTTCTGTTTGCAAGTGCAAGGCAGTGAAGATCCTCATGACTCAAGGTGAGACGTCCACAAGACCAGGATGGGAAACCTGCGGCCCTCCCACAAATTGTTGGGTTACAACTCCTGTCAGCCAAAGCCAGCATGACCCATGGTCAAAGATGATGAGAATTGTATTCTTAACAGAGTCTGGAGTGCCTAAGGTTCCCCACTCCCTACTGCTAGAGGATGCTTAGTTACACAGTGTGAGGAGAAAGACTGCTGTGAAAAAGATAATGGTGACCTCTAGTCCCCGCTGATAGGGAATGAAATTCCACTGTGAGGAAGTCTTCTAATCTGGCAGTGGAATACTGACCAATTTCATTTGTGTGTGGCTGCCATTTTGTTTTGCCTTGTAGCTGCTTGGTCTAGTGAGGCACAGGATTCCCCAACCTGAGTGGCAATGAGATGACAACGACCTTTTTTTTACTGTATGGAAACAGTTGTATCTATTTTGATAGGACCGAATATGCATGTGGTCTCTAGTGGGAGTAGGCGACGGCAGGGAAGCCTAACTGTGGCATGTGGTTAAGTACCATACTCTCTACTGACTGTTGGGAAATCACGTGTTGGTGACTTCTAGACTGAGGTTTGTAGAACAGAGACTTGGAAGGTCATTGAGTATATTTAAAGCTTGTCCTGATAGGGGTTGGGTTGGGGATGTTTGCTCTTCATGTGGTGGTGCCTGTAGGTAAGCGATAGTTTAAAAAACTGCTTAGGCTTTCCTGCCTGGCCTGGAACATGTGGCTCTTGTGGGATGCTCAAATTTAGCCTTGAACAAAGGAGGACAATAGCTTTGTGCAGTAGAGCTGTAGCCTTTTACTGATCTAGATTGGCTTAATCAAAGCTGCTGTGTTAATCAACCAAAGAGGCATCTCAGAATAATTTGTGCAATGCACTTTATTTTTAAAATTACGTTGTCTTTAGTATGAGTACTTACGAAAATCTTGGAGATAGCATGCATGCCCTCCACTTTCACACAGGCGGAAATGCCTCTTCTAAGAGGTGCCTGCTGCAACAGAATCATAGAGTTGGAAGGGACCCCAAGGGTCATCTAGTCCAACCCTCTGCAATGCAGCAATCTTTTGTCCAATGTGGGGCTCAAACCAACAACCCTGAGATTAAGAGTCTCATGCAGTACCAGGTGAGCTATCCCATATATGTGCATCCTCAAAAAGAAGGATCTTATGGTAATTGGTCTTAACTGTTTCGGCACCTGCAAAAAAACACTCTGGTTTAGACAAGCGTGGAAATATGTGGTGATTTTAGTTTGTTTTAGTATTTTAACTTTTGTATGTTTTAAAGTATGGTTGGGATTTATTCTGGGATATTTTTTTTTTTTAACTGTTTTATCTTTTGTAAACTGCTCTGAGGTTTTCCTACACTCAAGCAGCATATAAACTTTATGAAGTATAAATAAATAAATAAGAACCAAGGCAGGCCTAATCAACTGATAACAAGCTACCGGTAGCACTGCTGAAGCATCAGTTAAGGGACTTGCTCCCCAAAACTCTGGCAAGAAGATATTTGATTTACCGCCTCAGACACAAAGAAAATTTTGTTAAGATTTTCCACAGGTGGTATCCAATACCAGCTAAGTTGGCAAAGATATATAAATTGAAATCTAACCTTTGTTGGAGATGTGGTAAAGAAATAGGAACAACAATACATATGTGGTGGAGGTGTGAGTAAATTAAGAAATTCTGGACAGTAATACATGAAGAATTAAAGAAGATGCTGAAAATATCAATAATTAAAAAACCAGAGATACATCTCCTTGGATTGATAGGGGAAGGGGGGGGGTTAGAATCTTCTTATATGCAAGCACAGCAGCTAGAGTAGTGATTGCTGCTAAATGGAAATCACAAACTCTACCTTCAAGGGAGGAATGGATTTGTAAATTAAATGAATACTTAGCTTTGGCAAAACCTAACATCTATTACAAGAATTCAGTTGAATCAAAAATTAAAAAAGGAGTGGAAATGTTTTGATGAATATATGGAAAAATATTGCTCAAAAAAAGATATACTAATATGCCTAGATTAGAAATGTAAAGTATTTGAGTGAATGTAAGTTAGTAAGGAAGGACAATAAGAATACATAGATAAATTGAGAAGTCTGTAGAATGCAAAGATAAATGTAATCTCAGAATGTAGAGGAAATTGAGTGGGGGCGGAGGGAAGCGGGGGGAGGGACAAAAGAATATTATGTTTGATTGAGGATTTAAATGATAAATATATGTGGGGATGGGGATGGGGATGATGTGGTAAAGGCTTTGGTATATTTGCATTGTGATGTAATATGGAATAAAATTAATAAAATTTTATAATAAAATATAGAAAAGAGATTTGCTCCCCTGCGACGTGTTTAGATTTGAGAGAATTGTTATTATCTTCAGAGAATTCACAGTGCTTCTCCACATTAATCCTAAATTAGTCTTACGTGGTACAAGTGGAAATGATTACCATGCAGATGTTGGGTTGTTTTAGAATTTGTAATCTTTCAGTGGAAAAAAAAGATGCTGAGTTTTGTAATAGGTGCAGTTAGAAGGCACTTGGCATAGACCAGGTGACAGCTGGAGGCTTAGCGTATATGAGAGACATAAAGGAAGTTTGCATTATCCCTCTTCCAAATGGAAAGCATGCACGAAGGAGTTGTGCTGGCTAGCCCAGCTCTTCTGCCACCTGCCATGCCCCCTGTGCTGCCTTTGTGTGAAGAGACTCTTGGGCCAATCTGGATATGCTCTCGTGTGGAGGAGCCTTATGCAGATCTCGGAAGAGGCCGTGTGCAAGTACAAGCGAAGCTGCCAAGCGTGTGTATTGATTAGGGTGGGCAGCACAACCCCCTTGCACATTCTTTTAATGCATGAAGGGATGGAGAGATCATAAGAATTCCCCCACCCCCAGAAGTTCTTGCACAGTTGAATTAGCTCATTGCCTATGCAGGAGGCTGCGCAAGTATTCTTAATGCAAGTGTGTAGCTCTTCTGTGATTGGAGGAGGGAGTGGAATGGGGAAACTTGTAATGAATATCTAATTTATGCAAGGAGATGTTAAAGCAGAGGGACTCTCTTAAGATGAAAACTTCCAGAAATCTTCTTGGATGCTTTAGAAGAAGAGGAGCCAAACTCCCATTGCGTAAGAATCGCTGTAATACAGACTGAGTAGTCTAATAAGACTTTGCAAGGGCTAATGTTTCATTCCGATATCTTGAGTCTCATCTTCTAGTCCACAGTGAGTGTGCATGTCCTGTGAATGGGAGATTCTGAATCTCTGCTTTCATTCCAAAGATGCTGCTAGCACCATGGCTGATATCACTTACACAAATGGCTCAAAAACCACAAGGTGAAGAATTTCATGATGACTGTTCTTTTTTAGATTTTTAAATGTGTTGACTCAACTTTTGGCTTCAGGGTGTGTACACATTGGAACTGACTGTACTAAATTAGATGGAAATTACATTGGGGATTCATGCTTCATTTCTGTCACCCATGGATTTTAGAAGTTGAGCTGGAAGGAGCATGCGCCGAGTTCTCAATACACAGAAGCTGACGTCTGTGGATATTAGATCTTACTGCCCATCCAAGTCTTATTTTTTTAGCACCATTGGCAACTCATACTCAGTTTGCTTTACAAAACATAACTTACTACAGTGGTACCTCGGGTTAAGAACTTAATTCGTTCCGGAGGTCCGTTCTTAACCTGAAACTGTTCTTAAACTGAGGTACTACTTTAGCTAATGGAGCTTCCTGTTGCCACCGCACAATTTCTGTTCTCATCCTGAAGCAAAGTTCTTAACCCGAGGTACTATTTCTCGGTTAGCGGAGTCTGTAACCTGAAGCGTCTGTAACCCGAGGTACCACTGTAATTCCAACAGTGCCATAAAATATTAAAGCACACATTTTAGAAGGGAAGAGAAGATACTGACTGAAAACTAATCATGACATCTCTAAAATGCACTTAAATGAAGCCTGATCTATACAGGCAGTAGAAACCTGTAATGGTACAGTCAGTACAGGTGCGGGACACTTTGCAATTTAACCATCTTGCACAGGGAGGAAGGTACTTTCCCTGATTTGTTAATTTTCTATTTTGCATGGGATTTTCCCATACAGAAGGGTTCAAATTTATGGTTCCCATTTGAAGCCAGAAGCGAAACATTCCATTCTACCACCTTACTTCCACCTTTTTCTGTTAATGTGTAGACCAGGCCTAGGAAATATTTTCTAGCAGTTTGTAATGGTGAGAAGGGAGGAATGGAGAGTAATGGAGGGTTGGGAAGAGCAAGCTTCCATGGTAGAATCTGCTACAGCAAATGAATGATCACTCGCTTAACTCCAGGTAGACGGGAATTCCAGATTACATGAGGTATTTTGAGTGCTGGCATCTCATAGGTGGAGTTTTAGGTGTGGGTCTCAAATATGTCCAGGGCTTAAACTGTTCGGGATTTTAAAAAATAAGCCGAGACCAAGGGCAATTTGTTCTGCTATCTAGAAATGTTTTTATTACAAAGACAGCACTTGCTAGAACATGCAATCTCCCCCTTCCCCCAGTCACTTCTGTGACAAAGTTTTATTAGTGCCCCCTGCCCTCCTGCCAGTGGAATAAACTATCATGACTTTTCATTATTTCCACTAGACCAGCAGGTTGTGGTGGAGCAATTTTGCATTCTTCTGTTGCAAGTACCTCCTTGGCTTGCTATAGAAGAAAGCAAACATTAACAACTGTTACCATTCAGCAACCTGGCATTCCCAAGCATCTGGGAAATGAATCGATGCCAGTGAGGCACTAGTTCATGGGAACATTGCCCAGCCAAAATGTGCCAGTCTAATTGGCATGTATGCAAGGTAAGATGCTGGGGCAAGTAATAACATGTAGGGATGCATAATGTTAACGATTCTGTGAATTCTCCAGCTATCTAGCGACACAGCAGTTTTGAGTTACCTGGATAGACCTTGGGAAGCCTAGATTTATGTGCTACCTCTGGCACTGATCCAGTTTGTCAGTCTTGGGGAAAGTCACCATCTTTCACTCTTGTTTCCTGTGTAGAAAAAGGTACCTGAGTGAATGAGGAATCTTGGCAGGACTTGTATCCAAATACTTTAGCTCTTCCTCATATGCAGATGTGCAATTTGTCATTCCAGTGATTGGATTTGCCATTGATTAGAAGAAACCCAATTGGCCATAGTCATCTGCAAAGGAAAGATGATTAAATCATGATGATTATTTTTAAAATCAGTTGCATTTTTATCCTATCATTTTAAACATAAAAGCTTCTTATATCTTGTACTTTGTTCAGGAACTTAAAGCTTTCTTTATTTCCTAAAGAGAGAGCAGGAACTCATTTGCAAAGGAAAGATTGGGAGTGCACTATTAGGCTCTGTTGTGCAGGGCAACAGATAAAGGCACCAAATTTGACAAGCACTGAGCTCTACCTGAGGGTGGAAAAGAAGAATGATTTCTGTTCAGTTTCACCCTTCAGGTTTATCTGTCACATGCATCATAAGACCACAGGTGATAGACAAATGAGTATGATTTAGGAAAAACTACATCTTCTGCCTGTGTGCTGTGTATTGCTTATATGGTGCCAATCCCAATTTTCCTTAAATGAGGAAAATTGTACTGTCTAATACTTTGTTTACCTTGGATTAGTAGCTAGTGCCCCTGGAAGCTTTTAGGATGTATTCCACTGAGTGAGACCCAACACTATCACAAAATTCCTCAATTTTGAATTTGCTGCCTTTGTAGATTTGGTGTGCGCACTTTTAGTTCAATTAACCTCTGTGCATCTTAAATTACACAGCAATGTGAGCTTATTGCACAAGAAGGCTTTCACCTATGATCCCAGATGGGTCTTCCTTTAAAAAAAGAGCAGCAGACAAGATGTGGCTTCAGTCTTAATACTGAAAAGCCTCTGAAGTCTGTGACATTATATTTTCACTGGTGTTGCCTTTGGCTTCCTCTTTGTAAGGAAGGGCTTCTGTTCATAGATTTCCCCCGTCAGTGTTGAAAGGCCCAGGGCACTCTTCACAAATGTCCCTTTATGTATTTATCCTTTATAGTCCTTCCTGCAGGAGTCTCTCGTGTGATCTTTGTTTCCTGAAACTGATGGGAAAATTCCACAATATGATAAGGGTTGGCGGGAGCAGTTATGGAAATCCAAAGAGGTTTGAAATAGAGAGGGTTGAAATAGCTCAGTTTGGTGTTTGTACATTTTTAGGAAAAGTGCATATTTCCAAAACAGGTCTTTGTCCCTGTGGGCAAGAGCAACTCCCGTTCCTCACCTTTAGGATACCCATGCTCTAAAATCTACAGCTGCTACCTTGGTAACATCAGGCCACCAGACACAGTTAATTAGCCAGGTATATAATACTGCAAGGAGGCTGAGAAACTGGAATAGCAGGGAGGAAAGTGTTGATTAGGGAGAGAGAGAGAGAGATGTGTATTGATACCACAGTATTGTAAAAAGGTTACTGTCGGACAGTTTTTCTTGGTAAAAGAGGTCAGTTAAGACAGTTAAAAAAATATGCACTGGACAAGTGTGGAATTCCCCTCTTTTATTTTCCTGGAGAGTCTATTGGCTTCTTGGTATCAACAGTGTTTATATTTGTTTCGGTTTCTTAGCCCCCCCCCTTTCCCTTCCCTTTCATTTATCCAATTATTGGATAAATGGTTCAGTTCCTAAGGGGGGGGGAGCACCAGAGCGAAGTGGTAATGGATGAATAGTGTCATTCCTTGTATTCAGTTTCTGATGCTTATTATAAAAGTTTGTAACATATGCTCTTAAGTCAACAAAGCAGAACTTATTTGAGGAGGGACTGTTGCTTAGCAGTGGAGCATATGGGTTGGATGCAGAAGGTCCCTGGCATTTCCACATAGAAAGTTCAGAAGATGAGAAAAGGCTACTCCTCTGCTCGAGACCCTGGGGGTGTTTTGGGGTAAGTAGAAGGCAAATCTCTGGGTGATTTGCAGTAGATCAGCAAGGATTTCTCATTCTCAACTGCAGCAACAAAATGACTCTGCACCCTAAAATTATAGTGCTGGAATAAAAAAGCACTTGGGGTAAGCAGGAATGGTTTTTTGTGTGACCAGACTGTGTTCTCTTCACTTATGCTCCCCAAAGCAAATTCCTGGGCTCAGAATTCCCTAAGTGCATGCCTTTTGTACAAAGCTGGTGGCTCTTGGAGGTTTTTATTTCAACACTAAAGCGAACAAAAGAAGTAGATCCCACAAACCTGAAGCTTACTCCAGGGGAAGACATGCAATATTGTGCTAATCTGATTTAGTAAGTGGTAGCTTCTTGGGTTATAAACAGAGTGAGGACATAGGTCCTGAATCAGTTCTTTTAATTCCCAGACCTTCTATTGATCTCCCATCAGCTCCTGACTGGCTTGGAGAAGGAATGACCAGTTTTGCCCCCAGAGTCCTCTGCTGTACCATACATGGTTCAATGGGAAGCACTGGGAAGCTGTTTTAAAGGCATCTTCTTTGTCTGAACTGTGAATAGTGACATAGAATCACAGAATTGTAGAGTTGGAAGGGACCCTGAGGATCATGTAGTCCAAACCCCTGCAATGCAGGGATATGCAGCTGTTCCATATGGGAATCAAACTTGCGACCTTGGCATTGTCAGCAGCACACTCTAGCCAACTGAGCTATCCAGGCTGAGTGTTGTGTGTTAGAGGTTTGCTAAAAGGCACAGGTAGGGACCCAAAGGAATGCATGGACCATGTTATGCAGGAAGGCCTGGTCCCAGTCTCATCATATATATTCAGCTGATGGTACTCTGGGCCACAGTTTCCCATCCGTAATATTACAGTGGTAGTATTGCACCTGGTTTACAGAAAGGATGCAGGAGAGCTACTGAGGTGATAATGCCAAAGTGCTTTGTGTGTTTTGTTTAGACGGGTTTGTATTTGCTTTTTTACCATGTCAGAGCTGGGTTGTGTACTGCTAGGCTGAGCTGAGGGGATGGGAAGAAGGGAGGAAACGGCGCAAGTAGCTCTTGCACAATAAATAAACAGGCTCCAATATTAGAACTGGGCTCCTCCTCTGTGTGCTTTTCTCTAGTAACTGCAGCACATTTGGGAGAGGATAATTAAAGCTTTAAAGCCTGGGCCTGAAAATAGGGCTATTCCCTAGCATAGTTCTGTGAGGTGGGGAGGGAACTGTATAAAATCCAGGCCAAGTAAACAGCAGCTGAAGCTTCCCTTCCCCCACCCCTTCTTGCCTCATGATCAGGGACTTCCCACATTGACACTGAAATATCCCCACTCCTCCTCTATTGTAAGTGCACATTAGTCTCACTGTGACTAGGTAGACACCGTCCTTCCATGAATCACGCTCAGGGCTGTGTATGCTCTCATTCTCAAGCCACATTCCTGACCATGGGGGATCCTGCTCACTCCCTATTTCCTCCTCCCTGCTCCCAAACAAGCTTTGATATTCTGCCAGCTGTTGCAGACAGTAAGGACCATTCCTCCCAGTCACAAAGTTCAGAGATGAGTATGGATCCTTCTGCAGCCTAAATACTACCAACTGAGCTCATAAGGGAGAAGGCTTGGGGGAACCCCCACTAGGTTTGCAGAAGGACAAAAAAAGTGAAGGAGGGAAGCCCCTCTCTAAGGCTGGGTTGGCAACAGTGCCCTTGAGGACCCACAAAGCCTCTGAGCCTCCCTGCTTATGACTCCCTTTGTCACAAGGTGGAGTGAGGGGTTATGTCTCCCCTACACACATTGAAAAGTACATAGAGCTGAAGGAGGAAATTGGAAAAAGTGACGCTTCCCATGGTGTATCTCTCTTCCATTTTCTGTGTTGACTTGCAAGTTGATATTGGTGGGCCATTCACTTCTAAGGCTTTACAGTGGTACCTCTGTTTAAGAACAGCCCTGTTTACGAACAATTCGGGTTACGAACTTCCGCAAAACCAGAAGTTTACCTCGGTCTACGAACTTTACCTCGGTCTAAGAACGGAAACCAAATGGTGGAAGGGCACCGGTGGCGGGAGGAAAGCACACCTCGGTTTAAGAGTGGTTTCGGTTTAAGAACGGACTTCTGGAATGGATTAAGTTTGTAAACCGAGGTACCACTGTATTTGAAGTAGCTTGTAGCTGACAGGTTGTTATTTAATGTGTGTGTGTGTGTTTGTGTGTGTGTATGAGAGAGAGAGAGAGCGCGCACGCTTTCAGGTTTGTTCTACCCATATAGAAAAATGAGGTAGTAGACAGGGCCGTGCTATTTTTAGCCGAAGGGTACCCTATTTCAGTGATTATGTACTCCAAAACAAACCTGCTTGCAAATAAAGTTTAGCACACTGGGGTGAGAGATTCTTGCTTAGCTCACTCCCTGTTGTATTGATTTTTCTATGTGCAAGGTTTTTAACTGAACAATATTATTGTTAGTCTGTAGTCTGAAGTGATATATGCCATTCTACCCCTTCATTCTATAGCACAGACTCCATGTCCTCTGTTGCAGTTAAGCAGCTGCTTTGTCCCACCAACGGGCATCTTGTAGAATTACAGAGGCAAAGCTGGACAGGTTTCTGCCCTAAAGGAATTGATAATATACCCATGTGCTTGGGTCCCACCCCCACTTCTGCTATAAAGTATGAAGGAATGGGGACCTATTGATACAGGTGCAATGGCAAAGGTTTTTGTTTTCATACATTGCTTGAATAACTTGGGGCCAGATGGTGTGGAAGTGCCCTTCCGTTCTGGACAGATTACATTTGGATCCAGACAGTAAAGCAAACTTTTGGATAAATATTTCAGTTTAGTGTTATTGAAGCAGATACTGATGCTTGGTATCTTGTGATGGTAGCCTAGCCTCCCCTTAGAATGGGAATTTGGCTGTCCTTTCTGGCTGTTGTGAGGAATTCTTGGGGAAAGTGGCTTGGTTAAAATAGCCCCAGAGAATTCTGTGCAGTCTGTCAGATAAAAGCAGCAATGGTTAAAGTTCAGCCCGGATTGCCTTGTTGGAAAGTCCCTGTTCCTGAGAGTTCTTATCTGCTACATACTTGTTAGGAAGCAAGAAAGATAAACTTCAAGCCACACAAAGTCAAAATGTAAAAGATCTGCAAGGATAAACTGACTGTGTGTGTGTGTGTGTGTGTGAGAGAGAGAGAGAGAGAGAGAGAGAGAGAGATCGATCTCCTTGGAAATGAGAGCGAATGAAACATTCGTAATCTGGCACCAAACAGGACATAGTTTGTGGAAGCAAATTTCAATGGAGTCTTTTGCTGGTTTCCAGTTTGAGATCACTCAGGCACAGGTACCATCTAGCAGAGTGTTTCGGCTGATGTTTGATTAAGAAGATTCTAGTGCAGTTGACTTTAGGTCCTGTCTGATTCCAAACCATCACTGTAACTTCTCTTGCTAATTTTTGCTGTCTCTTTATTGATAATACTCTCAAAGCCTCTGAGCAGCATTTTCTGTACAAGTAATACTGAAATGAAATGGTGCATTTGTAGATTAATTAACCTTTCTTTAGTTCTTTCTGCTTCAAATTAGGTTCTTATCTCTTCCAGTCCTCTCTGTATAATGTGATGGTGAGCAGAGATTACTATCATTATTAGGTGTGTGGGGGGGGGGTTTTGGAGGGGGTGGGTAGGCTGTGTGCCTGGGTCCCCTTCTAGAGACAAACTCAGATGGCCCTTTGGAATTTGCTCTAAAAATAATCGTAGAACCAAAACCAGAAGCTAGCTGAGGTGGTCTGTCCCAGCAAAAACAGTCTTGTGGAACCTTAAAGACTAACTAGTACAGTGGTACCTTGGGTTAAGTACTTAATTCGTTCCGGAGGTCCGTTCTTAACCTGAAACTGTTCTTAACCTGAAGCATCACTTTAGCTAATGGGACCTCCCACTGCTGCCGCGCCACCGGAGCACGATTTCTGTTCTCATCCTGAAGCAAAGTTCTTAACCTGAAGCACTATTTCTGGGTTAGCAGAGTCTGTAACCTGAAGCGTATGTAACCTGAAGCGTATGTAACCTGAGGTACCACTGTATGGCATAAACTTTAACAGACTACAGACCACTTCATCAGATGCATCTGAAGTGCACTGTTATCCATGCAAGGTTATGCTACAATTCATTGCTACAATTCATGCTACAATTCATAGTGCTACAATACTTTCAGGGTTTTTAAGACTCAAAAAATGACTTTTAAAATGATACTCTCTTGTTCAGTGCATCTCACTTTTGTCTTTGGTAAGCCGGGTTTTGAAAGGTTTTTGTACTGTTCCAAAACCCTGTCAGACCTGTTTGGCCAGAGGTAGGGGTGGGGCATGTATGGCATGGAAAGAGAGGCCTCTCTTCAATCCAGATTCCCCTATCAAAAACTATTGCCTGGCTTCAGCCTTTGTCACTACCTCTTCCTTTTCCTCTTCCCCACCCCCCAAACCCCCAGACACTTCCTCTCCTTTTTACATTGATTTTAGCCATAAGAAAAATAAATGCAGGAACACTCATATATTTTACACTGTATTCCTAATTGTATTTAAGGTGCTTCATATCATCCTGCTTTAAGAATAAACAGTTTGGGGACTTCAATTATTGCAGTGTTAATCTAGGTGCCTGTTTAGTTTTCACAAAAAGCAGCTGGTTAAGGTTGTAATTTGGAGTCTACCAAGTCTGAGGGACTAGATAACTCAGATCCAACTGTCTTGCAAAGTCTGAATACGGAGGCCAGTTGCAAATTGTGTGGGGAATGCTGAGCTGTGGGGTTTTGTTTTTTGTTTAAAATGCTTTGCTTTTGGGCAATTTGTTTTAGCCAGGAAAGTTTATGTAAAACTTAAGAAACTCCTTCTCCCCCACCTTTGTTTCACACCATCAAGTGACACGACGGACATGTGTGGGCAGGTGGGCCATTTAAAAGGCTTTGTGGTCTTATAATTACAAAGCTGATTTAAGTAAGGTCTCGGGCAATTTTGCCTTGCTTAGGAAGCCACATGGAAGGTGCGACTTGTCAGTGGATCAGCCCAGAGAGTGGGATGTTTGGGGTCTATGCATACTCTGGTCAGCCACTTTTGCTAACATTAATGAAAAACAGTGTTATAAGACGTGGAAGAGCCTAGAATAGAGGAGGTACATCCATGGAAATTTGGAGTGATATCCGGCTAAGTCATACTTGAAATGAACCCATGGAAATAAATGGAAATTGCATGCCCACAGATCTCACTTCATCTATTCCAGGTATGACTAATATTAGGTATCTGCCTTTGTCCCATCGCGTGCTACCACTTTTCTACACAACTTCCCTGTTCTGTTGCTGTATTTTCAGAGAACCTCCCAGTGCCTAGGTCACCTGCAATTTTACTGGTGTGCTCTAAATAGAAATAAACTGGCACCAATGTAAATTTAACTTTGCATATGAAATAAAGAACCGTGAGGTGGCTTGTAGAACAGTCCTAACATCATTTACTTAGAAGCTATATAGCTGCAACCTTTTTTACTCCCCCTGGCTGTGTCTGAATTGCAGCCTTATAAAACCAAAGTAACTGAATGCGAAGAGAAACCTTCAGAAGGACCCAGCCTCTCTCTTCCCACAGTGTATTCAGCCCTCTATGGGCAACAGCAGCTGTGCACAGCCTCCTTCAACTCTCCCCTCCCCTTGTTGCTGAGGCAACTGTGGGTGGCCACATCTCCGGCAGGGCAGGGAAATTCCCCATGCCCATGTGACCTTGGGCTTCCCCTGGGGCCTTGCCTGTGCCTCAGCCACATACGTTGCTTGGCTTGGGGAGCAAAGACCGTCCGTTCTCTCTGCTTAAGAGTCCATTTCTCAGATGGAAGCCTCGTAAAATGGTGCTTGGGCAGCTTCCTCTAGGCAGCCCCAGCCAGGGCTGCTGTGATGGCTTTTGGGTACCTTGGACGGGCGCCTGATTCCTTTCCTTTCCCCCCTCCTTATTTCCTGATTTCTCTATGACCTTGTCACTACCACCTCCCATATCCCTTCTCTCTGCCTCTATGGAAATCCCCTTTGTTAAACGCTCTGGAAACGAGAAGGGCTGCGCGACAATACAGTAAAAACGATTCTCTAATTGCAGACTTGTTTTAAAGCACATGGTAACTTTGAATAGGTCGGCTAGCTTACTGGAAATACATTGTAAGCTGATCAGTTCCATGCTTATGCAAAAGCAGTGTCTTGTGACCCCTTTTAAAGATGAACAAACTTTATTACGGCATAAGCTAGGCCGGGGAACCTGTGGCCCTCCAAATGTTGGACTGCAGTTTCCATCATCCCTGACCACTGGCAATGCTTGGTTTCATAGAATCATAGAATTGTAGAGTTGGAAGGGACCCTGAGGATCATCTAGTCCAACCCCCTGCAATGCAGGAATGTGTAGTTGTCCCATACAGGGATCAATCTTAAATCTTTGGCATTATCAGCACCACGCTTTAACCGACTGAGCTATCCACCTCCATCATCTGAACATCTGGACTTCAGCCCCAGCATCTGGAGGGGTTGCAGTTTCTCACCCCAGCATAAGCTTTTCTGGACTACAGTCCGTCAGATGTTGTCCTGAGTTTCCACACACAAGGCTGAGGAGGCGGCATTCGGAAGACGTAAAGTCCATGAAAGCTTGTGCAATAATAAAGTGCCATTTGATGCTTTGCTGTGTTTGCTGCTGCAGACTATCCCTCTGGAACACATTTCTGAAAGTGTATCCCTTTTTTAAAAAACTGGTAGACTCTGATGTGTTGTATTTGTTCTGGAATTATTTCTGAATGTGGGCAGGGCAATGCATGAATACCCAGTTTTTAAAAAGAGAAATCACTTGATTTTTAAAAAACTGTTTCATTTGGTTTTTAAATCATTTTTAGAAAAGCATCCAGTGCAAGTTTAATATACAGTCTCAAATACCTTGGCTCCCGAACAAATCGGCTCCCAAACGATCAAAACCCAGAAGTGAGTGTTCCGGTTTTCAAACAGTTTTCAGAAGCTGAACGTCTGGCGTGGCTTCCACAGTTTCCGGTTGGCTGCAGGACGCTCCTACAGCCAATCAGAAGCCACACCTTGGTTTTTGAACGGTTCAGGAGTCGAACGCATTCTGTTTGAGAACCAAGGTATGACTGTATCAGGTTTAACAATTACTTCACAGCAGTGAAAACTAGAAAGCTACTTTTCTGTCCTTGATCTATATAACTACCATATTTTTCGCCCCATAGGACGCACCTAGATTTTTTTTTGGGGGGGGGGAATCAAGAAAAACATTTTTATTTCCCCCCCAGGCGCGGGGCTAGCCCGAGCTTCCCCCAACCCCAGCCCCCAGAGCAGGCTGCCGCCCCAAGCCTTGCGCGCCCGGCCATCTGCCCGAAGCACGGGCGTGCTCTGCAGCGCGCCCCATGCTTCGGGCTGCAGGCTGCCACCCGCAAGCCTTGCGCGCCCGGTGGGACCTCCTGCCGGGTGTGCGAGGCTTGCGGATAGCTTCCTGAAGCCTGGAGAGCGAGAGGGGTCGGTGCGCACTGACGCCTCTCGCTCTCCAGGCTTCAGCGAAAGCCTGCATTCGCCCCATAAGACGCACACACATTTCCCCTTCATTTTTGGAGAGGAAAAAGTGCATCCTATAGGGCGAAAAATACGGTAAGTTTATCTCTTGCATCCTAGCTTCTATACGCTAGAGGGGGAAAAAGAAAAAAAGGAGGGATGTATAAATGATGTCAAGTTGTGATTACGATATAGATTTAGTAGCCTTGTTAACTGAAATAGTTGCTTCTTCATTTTGTTGGAATGAGGTTTTGTGCATGCATCCCGTATTTATTTTCAAACACATTCAAAACCCTACTTTCAGTTTCAGGGTAGTGGGAATGCCTGCTTTGTACCTTTGAACAGCTAGGAGTAGTTGGATAGTGCAGGGTGGCAGCAACCTTCTAAGGCCTGCTCAATCTGTGAGGTGATTCATGAATTTATGTTCTGGTAGAAACATTCAACAGGTGGAGTTGCATAAGAGCTGCTGGCATGGAGAAATTCTTTTGAGAATTTCCTTCAGACTTGACCTAGTGTGAAACTTCTGCCATGAGTGCAGCCTGTCTGTGGTATAGCCATCTGAGCTGTACTGTAGGTAGAACTAGCTATATGGAAGCTTCTGAAAAAAATGTGCTTTGGATGGAGTGAGTCTCTGCATGAGTGTGTTCTCAGTCCTTGGATTGCTGACTTCAGTCATGGCCTGCCTCTCATTGGGCCATTTGTGTTAATGCTGGTGCTACATACTATTGTTGTCGCAGATTATCTTTTTCTACTCCAAAGGCTTCAGGCGACTATCCCTGAAGCCTGGAGAGTGAGAGGGGTTGGTGCGCACTGACCCCTCTCGCTCCTCAGGCTTCAGGGAAAGCAACGCGAAGCCTCCAGAGCGTGGAGGGAGTGCTCCCTCTGCGCTTCGGAGGCTTCACGTTGCTATCGCTGAAGCCAAGGAGCCTGCACTCGCTCCATAGGACGCACACACATTTCACCTTAATTTTTGGAGGGGAAAAAGTGCGTCCTATAGAGCGAAAAATACGGTAACTTCCCAATTTTTTTACATGCTTAAAGGGGAGTGTGTTGTTCATGATTCTAGGTTGGTATGACTTGGGCCCTGCACCACAAACTCATATCTCTTTTCTCTCTTTCAGGTTGCTACACCTGGCAGTCATTCACTGTGTACCTGCAATAGCACTCTGCTTCATTGCCCAATTGCCAGTGGAGGTTTTAGAGATCCAGAATGACTTATTCCAGGTATGTGATAGACTGTGGGGAAAGGTCAGTATTTTTCCCATTCTAGCTAGAAGAAAGAAAACAACCGGGAATCTGGGTCATTCTGTCTTGCTCGTGGCAATTTGTCTTTGGCTATAATATTTATCCCCCCTGTACTTACTCCTTGCCTCATTTTTCTAGATCTGGTGGACAGGCATATGCTGATTTGTAGACCGACTTGGAAGTTTTCCTTGAGAATTTGTGACAGTTGCTTCTTAGTGATAGATTTTTGTTATAACCTACCTTGGAAGGGTATGCACATTAAAAGATGTTACAGAAATCCATTAAATGAGTAATACTAATTCTAGTTACTCTTGTCAATGGCCTCAGTCCAATTTGAGTTGCATGCAGCAACTTGTGCCCTGAGTAGGAATACATCCCTTCATCTGGATGAGTCATTTGACCCCATTAGTTATTGGGGGCTAAATGATCTTTGGGGTGTGGACTTAGATGTATATCTGCATTGGCAGAGTTCACAGAAGTCTGCTTCCCCAGTTGAATAAGAGCACTTTTTCTGAGGAAAAGAACATGCGAGCTTTAAAGTTAATTTAGCAACTACCTCTCATTTTTGCCAAAGGTTGTGTATACTATCTGAGATTTTTATAAAGAAATCTAAAGAACCAGAGTAATCCAAATTCTGGCCTAGAGAAGACTGCATTCTGCAAGCTATATAAATGAAGTAAACTCACACAGCTGTTTGCTTTTAGTTTATTTATTTCTGGCTTCTGCCAATCCTGTTGAGGAGATACAAAGGGTACTGATGTCCCATGAATGTTTACAATTTTATGAAGCTTACACTTGAAGGATCACTAGGTGTTGCGTATGTGTGTCGTCCCCCCTACCATGAAAGCTGAGATATTAAATTACGCATCCATTCCTAAATCCTGTGTGTGTGTTTTGTGATGCAATTGCAGCATACAGCCAGTCTCGGTTTTGCCCCTGCCTCTTGCACCTTTCTACTCTAGCCCCTGTGTCACTCTCTTGCAATAACCTTCTCCGTTTCCCATTCACAGACCCCGCTTCACCTCTCCGTGTACCTGGAACAGTCCAGAGTGGTGCAAGCACTAGTCCTGAGAGGAGTGAACACAGCGCTGCAAGACCGCAATGGGAACACAGCACTGCATTTGGCCTGTGAGCAGCAGAGTCTGGAGTGTGTGCAGCTGCTGCTGCAGGGGATCATCTCCAACAAGACCTTGGAGGCTAGAAAAAGCCGCCAAGATTTGCACCTCCAGAACTGGCAAGGTGAGGTAGTAAAGATGGATCAGGGTGGTGTGTGTGTCTGGTGACACACTGGGGCCAGTGTTCGGCTACTTGCCTCGTAGCAACTTCCTGGGATGTCTTCTTCTCCAGGCTTGACTTGCCTACACATCAGCACCTTGAAAGGGAACCTGCATCTGATGGCATTGTTGGTGAAGAGTGGAGCCGACATCGATGTTCAGGTATGGCAAGGGCAGCTGCACCAGAGCCACACGTGCTCTGTACTTTTGCGATCAGGCCGAGCAAGAAGATCTGGCAATTAGATACAGAAAGCGAAAAAGTTTGTCCATTGTGGCAGGGGAGATTAATACTGAAAACGTGTAGGAAGTGCCTAGCGAAGTATCAAAAGGTGGGCAGAGGTGACTGAACAGGAGCTAACAAGCTGCAGCTTTGCAAAAACACAGGCTTGCAGAACTGCTTGATCTGCACCACTTGTTACAAGTTGCAAAGTAAATCTGTTATCAGGACATAATTTGGATTTATTCAGAGCAGATTTTTAACAGTGAATAACCATTGGACAGTGTTGCAGCTGCAGGAACAGGACACAGATTAGGGGAAGTGATAAGTTCCATACTGTGATTCCCCACCCAAGACCATCTAAATCTGTGCAGGTTCCTGGAATCCCCCCAAATGTTTAAAATCCCAGGAAGATTTTAAACTACATGTTATGTTTTGAGCCTGTTCCTATGTTCATTTGTGAGGAGGTTTAGGAACAGTGTGTCTCTATGCTGCGGGGCCCAGTTTCTAATCCTGGCCACAGGATAGCTCATTTGGTTAGAGCGTAGTGCTGATAATCCCAAGGTTGCAGGTTCGATCCACGTACTGGACAGCTGCATATTTCTGTAATGCAGGGAGTTAGACTAGATGATCCTCAGCGTCCCTTTCAACTCTACACTTCTCTGAGTCTTTGAAATGTGCTAGTGTAGGACAGGGTTGGCTGACCTGTGACATTACAGATGTCCCTCTAGTTCCCATCATCCCAGACTATTGACCATGCTGGCTGAGGCTGATGGGAGTTGAGTCCAACAGTATCTGGAGGGCCATAGGTTTGTTGTCCCTGGTTTAGAGGGTGTTACATCCCTTTAAGATTCTGTTTCAGAGGCTCACTGAAGTGGCTGATCTGACACCCTGCTTTCATGGTCCCAGGATGGCACAAGCGGAAAGACACCCCTGCACATGGCAGTGGAGAACCATGACGAGATGGCTGTGAAGCACCTCCTTGAAATGGGGGCCCAGGTGGATGCCCAGATGTACAACGGTTGCACCCCACTGCACCTGGCAGTAGGCAGGAAGGACGCTGCGATTGCTGCCATCCTCTGCCAATCGGGGGCAGACACCTTGCTGCGGAATATGGAGGATGAGACGGCCCAGGACCTGGCTGATGAAAACGATGATGTGAGAACCTTTCTGAGTCTGGCTGTTCTAGATTAGGGGCTTGTAGGAATAAGCTGAACAAGTCCCATCAAGCTCTTGAAGCAAGGCCAGGAGTGCAGGTTGTATGGCATAGTTCTCAAGCTTTGGCCCATCAGTAGAAGGTGCTTTATGAACAGGGTTTGGAGTTTCGCAACTGGCCGTTGTCAGTTGCACCTCTCCTTCCATACCTGTGATTTGACTATTTCCAATTCAGATTAGTCTGGTGTCATCATCTTCATAAGGCCATATAGCAGGGAGGAGCTGCTGAACTGGCAAGCCTACCTCCTATGTCTCCAGTGCCATTGCACTGTTGAAGCTTCTTCAGTGGAAGGAACTGCAGCAGCTGCTGCATTGCAGTGGAGCAATTTTGGCAACTCCTTCCCTCAGGTAGGCAGGGATGTAAGCCAGCACAGAACTACATGTAGGTCAGGATGAGGCAACAACTCTTTTTCTCATGTATTGGTGCTGCATTATTATTATTATTATTATTATTTATTTGTATACATTTGTATACCGCCCTATACATGTAGCTCTCAGGGCGGTTCATAGCATAAAATCACAATATAAAGAAAGAAAATACATAATAAAAACAAAAGCTTAATAGAGAGGGATTCAATTATTTATTACTATTTATTAAATTTCTATACCACCCTTCATCCAAGGATCACAGGGCAGTTTACAATATAAAACACAAAAATGCATAACATAGTAACAAAAATAATACCTCCCACAGTTTCAAAAATGCATAACATAGTAACAAAAATAATACCTCCCACAGTTTCAAAGGGCATAGATTGTTTAATTGCCCGAAGGCCTGGAAGAAGAGGAATGTTTTTCCCTGGCGCCAAAGATACATGACAAAAGTTGGTTCATATGGGGAGAGGCGGTCCTTGAGGTATTGCGGTTACCATTCAACCATGAATCTCGTTGGGTGACATAAGACATTCCTTATCTTAGCCTAACACGTGTCACAGGATGGCACTGAGGATAAAATGGGATAACCCTTACTCTCCACCCCAAGCTTCTTCAAGGAAGGACATGATACAATGCATTACGTTGGGACTCCTCACAGCTAGGAATAAGATTCCTATTTTTCTTTTATAATGCTAATGTTACTATTTCCTCTCCTTTTGCCTTGGCAGATTCTTACACTCTTGCCTTTTGATGACCTGAAGATCTCTGGCAAACCTGTTGTGTGCTCCAGTTGAGCATTGCAAAATGTGAACGAATACATCATTGGGAGACGTATCCTGTTGCTGCAGGTTGATAGGAGCAGAGCTGGTCACCGGTATATCATTCCCCTTCTTGCAGAATTGGAGCCTTTTGTGCTTCTTCAGACACTTACAATAGTGCGCAGGACTTTGGGAGCTGGTGCAAGAGAAAAAAATCGTTCTTTGTGTATTTAATTTGATGGCGTCATGGAGTTGCCGCCTACCTGAGTGACAAGAGTCCAGATAGACAGATTCTATGTTTGCTTTGCCTGCTGTGTTGAAAATTGGAGACACCAGAAGTTCTAGGAGGATACTTATTTTTTCCAAGACTGCACAGTCAACAGAGGTGGTGTGTCAGCCCTCATTTTTCCTTCTTCCTCCAGCCCCCGCCATTCACCTCAAGTCTGTGATGGAACTATAATAGGGGTTTTTCTCTTTCCAGTCCGCCAGAGTCACTTCTGTTTTTAAAATGCTTCCTTCCCGCACACCAGCTACTTTCTGATCTAGCTACTGCTGCTCAGGCCTTCTGCTTTTCCTTCAGTGGCCAGTTGAGGATTGACTCAGGCTTCTAATTCTGCAACATCCAGGACTACAAATTGTTCCATTCTCTCCCTTTAGTCCACCTGTTGCCTCCCATGGAGGGATAACCCTTGCAAGCAGAGTGGACAGACAACTCTTTAGTTCCTCCCTACTGCTTCTGTGACGTGCCAGAAGGAACTTGAAGGCTGAGCTTATGGGGACAAAATGAGACTTTCTCTCATGCCTCAAGATAACTGGTGTTCTTGAGGCCAGACTCGAAGCAAAGAAGCCTAATTCTGTTTCAGTTCTCTTTCAGATTTACTCGCTAATACTGCTGTACAAGCAAGTGCCTTATCTCTAAACTGCCATCCTAAAAACACCACTGTGCGGGCAACTTGAAATTCTGCCTGTGGAGCAAGGGAGAACAAGGAAATTCCAAGGGCTACCCCCCTTCATAAAGTGTTGTGGAATCCCATATTGTATACTGCTTTTGTTCATCTTGAACATAAGCTTTATAACAGTTGCCAGGAACTGTGTTTTTGTTGTCCCTGCTGGAAGAAGCTGCACATGGCTACATTTCCTGCATGCTGATTCTTAGTATTTGAACAGTACTCCTGCTTAGGAACAGATCTGTCCATTTTAGCCAGTGGGTAGGCAGATTGTCTTGTTTCTCTCTGCATTCAAAGTGGCGAGTTTGGTGATCCTAAGCAGCCTGTCATGAGGAGACTGCAAAGCTGGGTTTGGAAATCATGACCTGCGGAGTGATAGGACTCAGGATTGTGGGGTATGTGTAACATGTGTAACGTGGTGGTATGTGCTCCTTTGATGATTGTTGTGTTCCACCCAGAGGTTATACACTCTGCCTCTCACCAGCTGCAGCAAGTGTAGAGAAGCATTTGGGTCATCAAATGGCAGGAATAGGAGTTGCTTACATGCAAACTTTACTCTGAACTGGGGAAATTCCCAGCCCCCTCCCTCCCACTATTTGCTGCCTGGGAGCGGCTGTTTGTAACGTGGCAAGTCCTGGATGGCGCAATCAGCTGGGATGTTTTAAGGAGAGGTTTTCTTCTTCCCTGTTTTTTAGAAGACCAACCTAGAAGCAGCAGCAACTTTTATGCAATATTTTCCAGCAAAGTCCTCCTTGATTTTTATATCTGGCTTATTTGCTTGAGACCTTAGCTCTTCTTCCTCCTGCACTCCCTCATTGTGTTTTTATTAACTTTTTTTTTTGTCTAAACAACACAATAAAGTTTTTAAAACTGGATTAATCTGCTGCTGTTGCAAGTTGCATGGTGTTCCTCTGCCTCCATACAAATAATGCGTTGCTTCATAGTAATACATTTCTCCAGTTAAAATCACTGTTCATTACATCTGGGATGGGAGAGTTTTTTCAGCTGGACTAGCAAAGAGGGGTGCAGCAGCAGTTCATCCACAGTGCATGGAGAGTCACAACATGAGAACTGCAGCAGGCTGCTAGACTGTCGAAGGGGAAGTGTGCAAGAAGAGCGAATGCTTTAAAAAATCATGTTTCAAATGTGAAGACACTCAAAATGTGCTATTACCTTGTGGCTGCTCTTAGCAGCTCCTCCTTGTGGTGCCTTTAAAGCCATGCTGCAAGCTGATATGTACCATGTGGAGAAGCAGAATTATGTCTCTGCTAATTTTCTACACTATCCTCATGGCCACCTTGGTTTTTCTTTTTTTGGGAAACCAGGCTGGTGTATCCACTCTTGCAACATCAGATCAATATTCCTTCTGACAAAGCCAGTTTTATTTGGATTCTTTAGAGGAAGTCTGAATTTGCAGACTGTACTAACAGCTGTGTAGGACAAGGGTAGTCTGTCTTTTTGCAATAGGATATTTCCATAGGGGATGGCCAGCACTGGTTTTTGAATAGCCAGCTCCAAGGAACAGGAACTCCGTTGCTGATACTAGGAATTAGGCAACTCCCCTAGTTAAGGCTTATTGATCAAAAGCCAAGAGCACCACTATGTTTTTGTGTACATGTCCATTATACTCCATTATTTGGTGTTTTAGAAAAATAGGCAGCATTTGTCAGAATCTGGAACAAATGGTAATCCACAGTTTACAATGGCATGACGGAGCAGCCCAATTGAAGCATAGCATGGACAGCCTTAACCCCAAAATTCTCTGTCAATTTCTACTTCTTGTTGTTATTGGGGTAGAGGGGGAAAGTAAAACTCCCAAAATAAGTGGAGGTTATGCAGATCACCTCCAAAGTTGGTGCTTGGCATTTTAAAAATGCCAATATTACCTCCGGTAGATCTTCAGTTTTACACCAGCTACTTTCAGATATAACAGAGGAAAATGCATCTGTAACTTATGTGGGAGAAACACCACATTTCACACAAGGGAGCACATTGTGAATTTTAAAATGGTCAAGGCATTGTGGCAGAAATATCCACAACTGTGGGATCAAATTTTCCCTTGATGCATGATGCAGCAGCAAAAAAATAAAAATATAAAATGCTATTCTAGACTGCATCAACAGAAGTCTAGTGTTCAGATACCACTCTAGACTGCCTGTGTCCAATTCTGGGTGCCACAGTTTAAGGAGGACATTGACAAGCTGGAACGTGTGCAGAGGACAATGACCAATATTATCAAGGGTCTGGAAATTAAGCCTTAAGAGGAACGGTTGAAGGAGCTGGGTATGTTTAGCTTAGAAAAGAGGAGAGTGCCATCTACAACAACCACCTTCAAATATCTGAAGGGCTGTCATGTGGAAAATGGAGAAAGCCTGTTTTCTCCTGCTCCAGAGAGTAGGAGTAGGACCCGAACCAATGGATTCAAGTTACAAGAAAGGAGATTCCAACTAAACCATCAGGAAGAACTTTCTGGCAGTAAGAGCTGTTCAACTCCCTTGGGAGGTTGTGGACTCTCCTTCATTGGAGGTTTTAAAGCAGAGGTTAGATGGCCATCTGTCTTGGATGCTTTAGTTGAGATTCCTGCATTGTAGGGGGTTGGACTTGATTACTCTTAGGGTCCCTTCCAACTCAGTAGGATTCTCTGATTCTCTGAATTGTTGTGCTAGTAAAAGATCATCCCAGATTTGCTTGTGACTCCCAAGCGTGCACCCATTTCTTTCAGATATAACGTCCCACACATTTTCACAGGTCTACATATCTGCTGCAGGAAGAAGATACACATGTCACGCTTAAGCAGTGAGAGCAGCCAGTCTGCCTGTTTTTCTGCCCCAGCTAGATAACCAAAAGCAGCGGATGAAGATATCCTTTCACCCACAGCAACAAATTGCTTGGGAAAGCACCAGTCAGCTGCTGAAGCAGAGAAAGGCTAAGATCACATGGGCTGACTTCTGGCTTTAGGCCCAATGCAACAGTTCATGCAGTTCTGGTTATTACAGAATCAAAGCTAGAGGAGGCTTATATAGAAAGTTGTGTATTTAAGGTTTCTGACAATAGAGGACTCTTGACTCTTCAAATCTAATCAAGCTACTGTGCCATTTACAAGGTATGAAAATCTTTGGCTGGCTACTATGGAGAAGCCTTCAGTTCTGGGGGGATGACGACAGGGGGACTTTGTTCTGTACCAAAGCATTACAATTGGTGTAAATATAAAGCTGTCCACTGAACCTTACCAAAGAAGTGTCAGCAAACAGAGTAGCTCCTTACATGGGAACTATTAGGGCAGGAATGTTTTCAAGAATTTGATTTGTTGTTGTTTTTTTAAGAAAAGTTTTCCTGCCTTTCCTGAGATGTTTTAGTGGAACTTTAAGCCATTTGCACCCTGCTGGCGATTGGCAGCTGTTAGCATGGAAGAGGATGAGTGTGTTGAAAGCGGTTCACAAAGAGGAAGACACAGCTTCCAACATTCAATAGGAAAATTAGAGCTGTCTTTCTATATTGTATTTCCAACAGCAGTTAGCTTGATGCATCCTTGGAAGCCTACAAGCAGGCCTGCTTCTGCTTTCAGAAGTTGCTGTCTGATCCCAAAGGCTCAATATAGCTATATTATGGCTATCCTCTTCTTCATGGACCTAAACCAGGGGTCAGCAACCTTTTTCAGCTGTGGGCTGGTCCATCCCTCCGACCATGTGGTGGGCCGGACTATATTTTGAAAAAATAAATAAATAAATAAATTCCTATGCCCCATAGATAACCCAGAGATGCATTTTAAATAAAAGGGCACACTCATGTAAAAACACGCTGATTCCTGGACCATCCGCGGACCGGATTGAGACGGCGATTGGGCCGCATCCGGCCCCCAGGCCTTAGGTTGCCTACCCCTGCTCTAGAACATAAGTTCCACTGAACCTGGTAGAACTTGCTTCCAAGTAAACATGTGCAGGATTGTGCTCTGAAGTCTTCCTTTGATATGAAATTTTGCTTTAACCATCTCAATACCAGAAACACAAACTTTGTACAACAAAACAGAGTAAGCCTACACGGACACTCCCTTGAGCTCCTATAAAGCAGGATGCTTTATAAATATAACAAGTCATTGAAAAGTAATAAAACCACGGAGGAAATATTTTCATTTTCATATGGGACGTAAGTTAATAACGTCAGTTAAAGTGTTTGAAGAGTTTTGTAATTCAAGTCTACTAAATTTATGGATAATATTAATTGGTTGTCGTTATTTGCATTTGTTAAATCACTTTATACAGAAGTCGCAAAGCAAGTTAACAGCATAAAAGACAAATAAAACTGAACATGTCTAAAATACGGGCAGGCTTCTTATTTATTGTTTGTGGTTAGAAAACAAATGGCAAGATGCTACGAAAGAAAATGCATTCTTAGGAAGTGGTAGAACATTTGCAAAAGACTTTTTGGACACAGATTATGCAAGAAGACATTCCAGTCTAGCAAAGAGAATTTCCGTTCTGGAGAACTGGGCTCAAACACTGTTTGAGATGGATAGCTTTGTGCAGGGGTCAGCAAACTTATTCAGCAGGGGGCCATTCCACTGTCCCTCAGACCTTGTGGGGGGTCAGACTATATTTTGAAAAAAAGAAACGAATTCCTATGCCCCACAAATAGCCCAGAGATGCATTTTGAATAAAAGGACACATTCTACTCATGTAAAAACACGCTGATTCCCGGACCATCCGCGGACCAGATTTAGAAGGCAATTGGACCGGATCCAGCCCCCGGGCCTTAGTTTGCCTCCCCATGACCTAAATGAATCATAGTTGGAAGGAACCCCATGGATCACCTAGTCCAACCCCTTGCAATGCAGGAATATGCACTCATACAGGGATCAACCCATGACCTTGGTATTATCAGCATCACGCTCTAAGCAGCTGAGCTAATAGGTATCCTAGTTTGGTGTAAGCCAGGGTATGTATGCAATGTGCTACTGCAAAAAGCTTCCCTCAATAGCCCAGCACGCATGCTATTGTAATTAGATGCCATAAATCACACATTATCCCCCTCAAGATATTTTAAATACTTTTGGTATTTGGAAACTCTTAGTTCACCCTAAGGCAGGCAGTTTTGTTACCTAGAATGGGTATATGGGGCAAGGGAGCGCCATCACCAGGTTCAGATATGTACTGTATCTGTTTTTCCACATAGCTGGCAGGGAAGGTGACAGGTGAACTCAAGAGAAGCAAATTGTTTCCTTCACTTTTGGGTTTGTGCCAGTTGGGTAACTTGTTCTCTAGTAGTTCAACTCTCCAACTAGCCTCAGGCAGCATAGCAAATGTACAGGAATGACGCAGTCTCAGAAGGCCACAAGTTACCCACAACTGTCACCCCAAGTTTTGTTGTTGGACCCTGATACTGGCAAATGTAGCAGCTGAGAGTATGAAGGCATCTGAGTTTTCTCTGGTTGAAAAACCTGAGGAAAAAAGTAACTATTTAAAAAACATAGAAGTGTCCTTTTTAAAAAATCGGGAATTAAGAGTGGAAGAATGCCATGCTTCATTGACTCTTAATCCAGAGATGAAGCACGCAGACTGCCTGAAGAACAGTGCTTCCGGCCATATACAGAGAGCAAATCCTGTGGCTTGGAGACGTGTGACTGAAACCGTAGTGAATGAGGCTTTTTATGGGTGGCTTCCACGTTCACTTGCTTTCCCACAGGGCATTGTCCTGTCCGAAAGGAGTCCACAGCTCTCCGCAGGAGGGTATATTTGCTAGTGAAAAGAGAATAATTCCTGAAATTGAAGTTCTTCCTTTCACCTCACGTGGCTCCTCAGGGTGGAGGGGAAGCCCTTTGCACCTTTTTGCGAACTTCACGATCACTCTTCCAAGAAACGTTGCCCTCCAGATTCTGGGCCGGCGGACTAGCTCTCAAACGGATTTAAGAGTCCTTTTCGCCTGTCGCCGGCTTCCTCCCCTTAGTCAAACATGGGCGGGAACTTGTAGGCTTCTCCGCTTCTTCGGAAGGGAAGCCATTGCCGCGCGGAGACGGGGCCTCCAGACCGGCAGGCGGCGCTGTGGGAGCCCCGGAGTCCCTGCTCGGCTGGGGCGAGCGGCCGGTTCCTGGCCCTGTGGCGCCGGGAGGGAGGCGCGGCCGGGCTCGGAGCAGCGAAGTGGCGGGGGAGCGGAGCGCACCGGCCCGGCCGGCATCATGGGCCGCAGGTGGGCTAACTCCGGGGCGCGGGGCGGGCGGAAGAGGCTTCCGGGACGGGGGACGCTTCTCTGCGCCGGGGATGAGGCGGCCGTCCCCTCCCGCGCTGGCGGGCCCGCGACCAGCGGGGGGAAGGCGGGAGGCGCCTACCGGCATCTTCGGGGGCTCCGGGCTGGGGCGGGGAGGATGCTGTGGGTCAGGCGGGAGAGATGCATGGAGGAGCGGGCAGGAGAGCCCCTCGTTAGGCTTGGGTGCCTCTGGAGGAAACGGGAATCAAAGATGGGGCTGGCTCTCGGGAAGAGCTCGGTTTCCCTTTCCAAGCTCTCGGGAAAGCGGATTTGTCTCGCTTGCCTCGTCCGGGTTCAGCCGGAGACCGAGGAGTCGGATAGAAATGAAATCTGGGGGAAGGGGGGTATCCAGCGAGACTCGATATACAGTACGATCTGATTCTGGGTTTGAAGCAGCTGTGGGAGGTTATAAATGCCTGGTATGTTTCCAGGTGGAAGTCTTTATCCCTTTTCTAGGGGAGTTACGGTAGTCCCATTTATATCAGTGGGGTTTTTTTACTTCTCAGTAGCAAAGTATCCTTTTTCCTGGACCGGCCTCAGGTCAACCCTGCGAGGTAGGCCAGTGCTAGCTCCACCCGCTGAGCAACTTGACTTTGAAATCATCATTTATCCAAGGCCATGTAGTTGGTTTCATGTTGACATCGAATTGGTATCAAGGTTGCCTTAGTAGCTTAGTAGATTACATAGAGGCATTGGGCTTCAATTCTATACCTACTTAACTGGGTGTCTTTTAAAACTAAAGCTCCAGTCCAACCCTGCTTACCAGGAAATTTGATGCTTCATACCAGCCGGGGTTATGATGCAGTAAGTGAAAATCATTGTGCGGACGATTTCATAGCTAAAATCTGAATGGATTAATCTGAAGTAACTCACGGGCTCTATGTTTTAATGGCGTGTATCCAATTTTAATGCAAGTCAATAATTCTTTAATGCTTTTTTTTTTACCCTGCTATAATCACAGTAAATGGTAAGGATGCTTGTCCTCACTTCGCTTTCTTCATTCACACTTAGGTAGAATGGGAATTCTATCCGCAGTGGCAGTTTTGTGTAAGGAATTTATGGTGGTAGCTGTTTGAGGATTATGACGCTAGAGTAACAGGATGTGATCATTTATGTGGGAACAGTAGTATAGTTAAGAATCCAGATTTAAAGTGTAAATGAAGTATTTTGCTCCATTTGTATTGACTTGAGTGTGCAAATGGTAAGTGCATCTGAAATAACTAAAAAATTCAAAGCTCAAAGGTGACAATTTCATTAGTACTTATAATACATCTTATGAAGTTACCCACTGCAGGGATGAGGAACCCGTGGCCTTCAAGGTGGTTCTGGGCTATAACTTCCATCATCCATGACCATTGCCTGGAAGCTGGAGTCCAGTGATACCTAGGGGGCCACAGTCTCTCCATCCTTGCTCTACAGAGTGCCACTTTATGAAGGCCAGTAAGTTCGTAAAGCGATTTGACAGACCACAGAATCAGTTGTCTCATCAATTGAAAAAGGAGCCTACTTCAGCCACTGCCATGCTTATTCACAAATGAAACTCTTTGTACCTCTCCTGTTCAGAATGGATAGGAGGGTCAACTCCTAGTATCTAGTGAAACATGAGCATGTTTAAGAGAGCAAGTTCAATGACTAAGAAGCTGAGCCAGTGTAAACAAGGATGGAGCACAAAGAACAAACAGTCTCTCCTGCATTCTGGATTTATGAGGATTTATATACTGAGACCCTTCACAGGCACCATAGCAGGTATTGGCGGGCACACTGGCACCCGTGGGCACAGTGTTGCTGACTGATGTTAAAGGTCAGTATCAGCATCTTGAATTGGAAACTGAGATTAACAGTTTCCTTAATTTGCTGACTGGGGTTCTTGCTGCAGTTTGTAAACACATGGAGCTATCAGGTGGTTGGCTGTACAAATATACAATAAAAAATTAAAAACATTCAAAACTGAAGTTGGAAAAAAAAAATCTGCCAAGGCTTAGCTAAACAAAAATAGTACCTCTTTTCCTTAAAAAAAAAGTGGAGCTGCACAGGCTTAGGCAGGTGTCTTTTAGGATAAATTACTTCAAGCGGATGTTCTTCCTAAGAACAATCTTGCTCCTAACCACAGTCACAGTTCTCTGTGCTCTGGTCCATGGGGTCACGAAGAGTCGGACACGACTAAAGGACTAAACAACAACAACCCCAGTCACAGTTTTATGGAATATGGAGCAGAGCTACACCTAAAAATTTTGTGTAAAAAAGGCTTGTGGAGGACACAAGCTACATAGGACCTGTTCAGTTATCACATTCAGTTTGAATTGTGCCCAGAACCTGATAATCAGTATTGCAGAACGCAGCTGGCATATGCTCTCAGTCTTTGACTCCAATTAGATCACAGACTTTTGCATTTTATACAAGCTGACATTTCCAGTCTTAAAAGGCAGCCTCATTCGTAGTTTATTTGCAGTAGTCAAACTTCAGAGTTTAAAAAATACACAAATGATGGTTGCTAGGGCCTTGTTTTCCAGGAAGGGATGCAGTTCACATATTGGTTATTAATGAAAAAAGTATCTGGCCAAAGCTTAGAGCAGCCATGTGCAAAAGAGACCACAGCTCTTATACTTTTAATAGTTGTAGAGTAGGGAATCTCAAAAGGAGTAGCTTGACACCTGACATTTCCACTTCTACACACTAGTAATGTTGCACGTGTCCTGTCCTCTTTTTGAGCTGGACCACAAATGTGCATCTATCAGCAAAGCCAGGTCCAGGAGTACTCCCAAGCAGAATATTTGTTCTTTGAGGGACACTGAGACACCATCCAAAAACACATCCCCACTTGCTATAATCGCCTTGTCTGGATTCACCTTGTACTGGGTGAATCTATGCCAAAATAGCCTCTAAGCATGGGTGTAAACACTAAGACCATTGCTATTAGATTAGATAGAAATGAAAGACAGCGCTGTGTTGTCAATTTAGAGATGATACCACACTCCAAATCTGCAGGTAATCCCAATGTTTCATTGAATATTAAATAGATTCCCACAAAAAAACTTCAAGTAGCAAATGAAAATCTCCCCATCGCCATTCTCTGATATTGTCATATTGAAAGAAAAAGCCACCAAAGGGCAATAACAATTTGTATTTCTTCCACTCTGCTTAACTGGTCCAACAATACTTCATGGCCAGTAGTTTAAAATGCCCTGAAACTAGGGTGCCTTTTGTTGTTGTTGTAGATTTCATCTTAGTGGGTGAATCATTAACAGTTTGATATGTTAAAGAAGTTTAGTTAGTTGTAGGCAAGCCTAGAAATTCAGCCTTCACTATAATTATGACATTCCTTCAGCTCCCAGAGTTCTAAGCTGACAACTTCCCAAACAATCCCTGTGGATCTTTTTACACCAGGATCCCTTACCCTGCCTGCCCTACATAGCAAGTAGCCCTGTGAGTTTCTCTGAGGCTTGCAAATAGTGCTTTCTGAGCTCTGGATTTCTTGGGATCCAGTAGAAATATTTAGAATATGTTTAAACAATGAAAAGTGTCTATTATCTAAATCAGTCACTGTTTGGGGGCATTTTACATTATAATATGAAATAAGAATAATAAACTATTTGGGGGCATTTATACGTGGTTAAATTCCAGTTCATGGTTCATAAGCGAGCTTCAGTGTCTTGTGGTGGCACTGCCCAGAAGTGTGCTGCTCTGCAATTTTAATGATTGCTTGACAGGCAAGTGTGACTTGTTTGTTCTCCTAGTGAACTCCGAAGACTAGCTGATCATCAGCCTCTGCTATTCTTGCTTCTGTGTTCTGGGAAGCCCTTAGGCTAGAGATGCCAGTCATAGGAAGAGCTTTATTTTTCATAACATTTTCTTGTCGCTGTGGCTGAGATTTGCCTTTAGCTTTCCTTTGGTTTTCAAATTGTTTTTATTATTTGCTGGTTAAGAGAGCTAACAAATACCAACTTGTAGTTTTCTAACTGTTAGATCAGCAGTGTCAAGTAGTGATTGCCTCCTGGTAACTAGGATTGACTGATAAGTGTCAGAAATGTGATTCAGCACCATGTACTAGGCTCCTGGATGCTTTACTTCTGGCCCTTGAACGCAGAAGTGAGAGCAAGAATGAGATGCTGCACTAAATTTTTGTGTTGTCTGCATGCACATCACTATACCACCTGCAGAGACCAAATACTTAGAACTGGGAGTCCTCAAGTGAGACATAAGCTGTGGGTGGGAGCTGGTCCCTAAAGTTTCCTCTGCAGGAGAAAAAAACAACCATGCACAGTGAATGTCCCTCACCCTGGAATCAGGAGCTCCTGGGTCCAAGGCAAGCATTGGCAGTTATGTTAAGGGAGGTGAATGCCTGCCTCCTCAAGCTTGATTTGAAAGCTGATTAGTAGTGTAATGCAATGTGTGCAATATTCCCCTGGTTCCACGCTTGCACTCACTAAAGCAAATTTCAATCCATGCACTTTATTTACTGTATTGTTCTGAATATAAGCCGCACCTTTAAAATTCAAGGCTTATTTGCGGGTGCAGCCCGCCTCCTGGCACTATTGCCCTGAACAGGGGACAGGGGCTCGGTTCTGAGCATGCGCGCCTGCCTCCCAGCACTTCCTCCTCAAGCCACCACCGCCCCCCCTGCCCCCCATTCAGGGCAGTAGTGCTGGGAGCCGGGCACACAGCACTCTGTTCCGAATATAGGATGCACTTTAACTTTTCACAGTCAGAATTTGGAAAAAAAGTGTGGCTTATATTCGAGCTAATATGGTATACGTGTGGAACAAAAGAACATTGGAAGCTGCCCTATATCAAGTCGGATCATTTTCCTATCTAGCTCAGTATTGTCTACACTGACTGGCAGTGGCTCTCCAGAGTTTCAGATGGCACGCTTCTCCTGTCCTACCTGGAGATGCAGAGCAGCAGGTGCTCTGAGCTATGGCCTTTCCTCTAAATAGGTTGGCCGTAAATGTGCCCTTTTGCCACTCCCTGACCCCCCTAATTGTGAGACAGTATGTCATAGAAGCCTAACAGATGCAAATACTTGCCAAGTACAGTCATACATCGGGTTGAAGTTGCTTCAGGTTGAGCGTTTTTGGGTTGCGCTCCGCAGCAACCAGGAAGTAATAAAATGCGTTACTTCCAGGTTTCGTCGCTCGCGCATGCACAGATGCTCAAAATGACATCATGCGCAGAAGCGGTGAATCACGAGATGCGCAGACGCAGGTTGTGTTCTGCTCTGGACACAAACGGGGCTCCAGAACGGATCCTGTTCGCATCCAGAGGTACCACTGTAATTCTGACTGTGGATCCAAAGAAGGGAGGAATCTCTTAAGGCCCACAGAACTGTAGCTGCAGGAGAAATGCAAATGAAGCATGAAGGGCATTTGCTCCCATGATCTTTTTGTTCTCCACATTCTTGTGGCTTTCTTGTCACTAGCATCAAGAACGGCGATCTATGGGGATTTGTACTCCTGCTTCAGAACCATCTTGCATGAGGAACTGAAATGGAAAGGTCTGCCAAAGGGGGCTTTGTCTCAGACCGCTCTTGCCCTAGTGGAGAGCCGCCTATCCGTGGGGGTGGGGTGCGTGTCAAAAGCACGTCTGTCCAATGTGAAAGGGAACAGTAGAGGTATATATGAGCTCCGACTTCCTGGTTTCTTTGTGGGTTTGAAGCTATGAAAGCTTCTTTCATTCCTAGCACTGGTGCTGGTTTTGCTTGCCTGGCAGAAGTGAGAGCTCACCTGTAACACTAGCTGCCTTGTCTGAAGCTGGGAGGGAGAAACACAGGGTGAAAGTGGCTCACAGGCAGTGCCAAATTTACATATAAGCTAAACAAGCTATAGCTTGGGGCCCCACTCTCTTGGGGGCCCCAAGAAAATTTAAAGGGAAAAAACCCTGGATGTACATTTCCAAAATATAAGATAAAAAACAAATAAAATAAAACCTACATACAGTTAGAGCTTAATAATTATTTTACTATTAATATACTTCTTAATTGTATTTCAGATCAACAATTACTTTGATAAAATACATATTTTGTTATGTATTTGTTTGTATCTAAAGCAAATGGCTTTGGATACCTATTAGGTCCATAAATTACCATATAGCATATATTCAACACAAAAAACAGCGACAATTTGTTGTTGACAAAGGACAGCTGGACATATAAAGGGCTCCATTACCTTCAGTAGTTTAGGGCCTCATCAAACCTAAATCTGGCCCTGCTCACGGGCCAGGGATCTGTGAACCAAAGCAGGAAAGAGAACTGTTGCTTGGCTGGTTTATTCCTTTTTCTCTGGGAGCCAGTAATACCAGCACTCCTGCTCTGGCCCAAAGCAGTTGAATTAAGCCAGGCTGAAATCGATTTAAACCAGTTTCACTCTAAGTGGCTAATCACACAGGGAGGTGCCCAGTTGAGGATACCAGGACCAGTGATATATTTAGGGATTATGACTTACTTGGGAGTGAAATAGGCAAATCAAACATAAGCAATCTCTTGCCTCCTTGCTGAAAAGTCTAGGGCCTGAGAGTCCTGACCACACAAGGAAATAGTATTTTCAAAAGCTGTCATAAATTCTCCATAAAATTATTTAAAATGCCTGCTGATTTTCTTCTTCTTCAGTGATCAGGTGTATGAAGTTCAATAAAGAAGGGTATTGTCTGAGTTCAGCTGGGTGGGAGGGGAATCCACAGAATGCATGGCTCCTGGTGATGTGTCTGAGCCATGAGGGATCACTAACAGAGACTCTCCTGAAGACCTCCGGGTTTGGCGTCAAATGGTCCTTAAGTTAACCTGGACAAAAGTTGTCCAGGAACCCTGAATGTGCCCTAGCAGGCAGCTAGTGCAACCATTAAGCACGGGGGTGATGTGCTGGTGGTAATATGACCCCACCAACCATCTAACTGCAACATTTTCTGCCAGCTGGAGCCTTCAGACAGGGGACATTGCAATAATTGAGTCTTGTGGTTACCAATGAATGAATCATCATAGCCAGGCTGTCCTTGTCCAAAAATGGCTGTAGTTTTTTACATTTATCTGGAAACCACCAGAGTATAATATATTCATGGTTGGGGGGGGGAGATATTTGAAATTCCTGGGTGCCTGGACTACAGTTTTATGCAACGAGGTGTGGAAATTTTTCTAACAATTATTTCTGTAATTTGGGTAGTGCTTGCCACAGCATGAACAAACAATGTAAGAGGGCAATGCTTTGAAACTGACCTCAGAGGGCTGTTTCAGAGCCTCTTTGAACTTACTCAAAACCGGTTTTCTGTGGTTTCATATCTTGCAAAAGATCTTGCGCTGGCACATGCCTGTCCAAGGCAGTTGGTGGGTAGAAAGAGAGAGGATGGGGAAACAGTTAACAGAATTATTCAAAGTGGGCTCCTCAGCTGTTGTTGGACTATGATACCCATCATCCCTAGCTAGCAGAACCAGTGGTCAGAGATGATGGGGTTATAGTCCAACAACAGCTGAGGACCTCAGTTTGAGAAACTTGAGTTAAAGGGTTGAAGTTGTCAGCAAGAGGGTATTAATTCTGCCTTGGAAGCTTTAGTATATTTGAGTAACGGCTCAACTTTTCATTAGGCTGGAATCCTATGGAAGGAAGCTCTGCACAACATATTGAGACTTGCTTCTGAATAAGCGTGCATCTATGATAGTTGTGATTCCATGGTGTCCAGAAAAACATGGCACATGTGAAGAATTTACTATTCTGCCTTCAGCTGGAGATGGAAGGACTAGCCTTCAGGCAGTATGCTTCTAATACGGTGAAGGGAAGAATAGGGATGCGTGTGCTAGCTGCATCGCATCACAGTGCTGGTCCCTGTCACCCTTCACATGTTGGAGCGCAAACATCTGCAACAGAGAACCTGCTGCCTTTGTGCAAGTTTCACGTCTACATCGGTGGCTCCGGCTCCTCGCTGCAGACATTTGCCCTCCGAGAAATGTTGAGCTGTGGGGGTGGTGACTCAGCAGAGCTATTGTGCTTGACCCCGCTCTCCCTCACACGATTCTAACCATGTGAGGTTAATTAACAAACAGGGCTTCTGTCTCTCGCAGTTGCAGGGGGACAACGTAGAAATGTGTCAGTGGTGCCTTTGAGGCTCGGGAATCACGGTGGCAGTGGGGGGGGGGGGACTGCATAAGAACAGAAGAAGAGCCTGCTGGATCAGGTCAGTGGCCCATCTAGTCCAGTTTCCTGTTCTCACGATGGCCAGCCAGATGCTTGTGGGAAACCAACAAGCAGGATTCGAGCAGAAGAGGATTCCAGCAACTAGTTCTGAAGAACATTACTGCCTGCCTGCATGGAGGCAGAGCATAGCCATCATGGCTTGCAGCCACCGATCGTCTTCTTCATGCCTTCTGATGGTTAAAGCGTGCTCTCTCTGCATAGCTTCTTGTTTGTAACAGATATTCTCCCTTGATCTCGCTACCTCTAGCTCGCCATCTTGTTTCGGAAAACAACGCTCCCTCCAAATGTGCATAACTTGAGTTTGACAGATTCAGGGTCGCTGGCTAAAAGGCCAGTTGAGACCCTGTGGGTTTGTTTGCTGCTAATGGGATGAAAAGGCGCTTGACAGCACAGTCATTAATCTGCCTCCTCTTTTGGAGTGTTATCTCTTTGTGGCGCAACTGCACTGTGGCTACTCCAGGGAGACATTAGCTCCTTCTCTCACGTGTCTGTGGTGAATTTCTGCACAACTACACAGCTGCTCATTGGCTCTCGCCCTGAAGTCTGAAAATACGTGCGATTCCTCTGTAATAGATTTGAGTGAGCAGCCCAGTTGTCTGCTTCCCATGCTGAGTAAGAATATAGTTTTTAATAGGCTTGTTCTGTGACATGTCTGGGAGTTATGTACTGCCATATTCCAAGGACGCTCCTGCCCCATAGAATGTCTGCATGGTAAGTACCAACGGAGCCCTCGGCCGATACACTTATTTGCTTTGAAGGAAGGTCACTCTGACTTTGCTGCTCAGGAGACACCAGGATCCGCCTGTTCCAAGATCTGTGTTTGTGCATGTTAATGTGCACAGCTTGTCTGAGATCCCAAAAGGAGGGTGTTTAGAGTGTTCTCTGTTTGCCTGTGTCTATTGCATCCCATCCCTACTGTTTTATTTCATTTCTTTTATCTCTCTCCCTGACTCCAAGGAAGGGTGTTTGAAAAGACCAAAGGCCTGACAAATGGGAGCTCTCACAGGCCTCTGCCTTGGTGTTGTGCCAGATTAAGTGAAAGGCAATAGTTCCTCAGACACGCATAGGGATTGCATGTGTAGAATTTCTTCACTCAGCTTTGAAGCTGCAAGCACGTCTACAGCATTTGCTGTGAGAATCCTGCACAAGACAGATGTAGCTGCTTTGTTTCTGGGGTTCTTGGTTTCGCCTGTTGCTAGAGGAAGGAGGTGGGAGGGGGAATCTTGAATGCTTCCCATGTGTGATGAGAGAGTTGCCCGTATAAACTTTTCGCCGGATCCAGGGATTCCCTTTGGCTTACGGCCTGCTCTTTTTTTTGGCAGGTTCTGCATGGCTCTTGCGCTGGCTGCTCTCCCCATAGTGACTGCGAATGAAGAGGTACCTGCTGCCCACCAGGACTCCTGGGGAGACTTCTGGCTGTTTCGCTTTTTGGTCAATGCCGCAGGCTATGCCAGTATTGTGGTGCCAGGCTTCTTGCTTATACAGTACTTCAAGAGGAAAAATTACCTTGAAACAGGTAGGTGGTAGGAAGATGCACACAGAGTGGTTTCCTGATGTTGCAGCTGAGATAGCTCTTTCTGAGCCCATCGTATCTTCTTCAGCCCCTCAGCTGTGCTATCCTGGACTTGAAACTGCCCCAGAGTGCAATCATCGTCAGCTTCTAAGTGTGCAATCAGTATGTTCACTCAGTGTTAGAAACTCAGATATATAAACTAGGTGTCAAATGGCTCCTTAAAGCAGGGTTGCTGTCGCCAAAACGGAATGCCTCGTTGCCATTTTGGGGCCTGATGGCTCAAAAGTTGTATTTATTTATAAATTTATTTAGTTTTTCAAATTTTGAAATTTACAAACAATTGTCAAACAACCCAGATAAAAAGAGAATTCCATAGATTCCCCTGGACTTCCTTCTTCCCCTTTGTGGGTCCTTAGTGAACTTTTTCTCTCCTGCATCTTCTCTATTAATCCAAATCTATTAAATCTCCATTTGAACCATAATTCAACATTAAACTACAAGTATTATTCCAATCCTACTAATAATTTTGTTTACAATGATTTTTAAGGTAGGTTATATATTCCCCCCTTTCCTTATTAAAGTTTTGGTCTTCCTGATTCTTCTGGTCATTTTTGCCATTTCGGCATAGTCCTTCAACTTAATCTGCCATTCTTCTCTGGGCTAGTAGCATCCGAGCAGCAGGAGTCGTGTACATTAATAGTCTTTTCTGATCCATTGATATTTCGGTGCCTAGAATTCCTAGAAGAAAAGCTTTGGGTTTTTTTAATAAAAAATTATTTTAAAGATTTTTTTGAGTTCATTATATATAATCTCCCAGAATTCTTTTACTACTTTACAAGTCCACCACATATGATAAAAGGTGCCTTCTTTTTATTTACTTTTACATTTCAATGCAACTTTCTGGTTCCTGAAATTCATTCTGATTGTGCAGATAAAATATAATGGATAGAATTCTACGGGGTATGTTGCTAGTGTGTGAAAACAGTCACGATTCAAGGATCCCCAGACAGGCACCTCCAGATGGCGGAGATGTCAGGTGCCATCCTGGTGTCCGGCCATCTTTACTTGGTCGCAAGTGGCCGATAGCCGGGTGCAAAATGTGCCCGACGCCTGGCAAATTTCAAACACTGTGTCCACTCCGTCAGTGTTATCATGCTAGCAAGCACAGAATCTGTAGCCATTACCTGTTGAGGAAATTGGGAGATTTGCAAGGAACAGCCATGGCAATGCGGGTATAAGATCTGCATCACTGTCTCTCTGATTTTCTGCAGCTCAGTCAGTCTGTCTTCTCTTAGCTGGGGCAAGCACTGTGAGCAGAGTAGAGTAGGACTGGCCTAGAGAAGAGGCAAGTAAATCTGTTTGGAAGTGCCATCAAGAAACCACATATGGTGGCACTGTTGGAGGCAGTATGTCTCCCAAGAACCAGTTTATGGGAATCGCAAGGGAAAAGAATGCTGCTGCTCTCAAGTTCTGCTCACAGCCATTCTTTCCATAGGCACTTGGTCGGCCACTGTGAGAACAAGATGCGGGACTATGGCAGGCCTTTGGCCTAATCCAGCAGGGCTCTTCTTAGTTCTTAGGTGGTGGTGATTGTGGGGACAACATTGGCAGCTGTAATGTGTGTGGCTTCCCTTCCTCCCTCCCCCATGCCCCCCCCCCCACTGGTGTGATTCAGTGTTGTGGCTAATGTGTTTTTGCTCCTTTCCCTCTTAGGCCGTGGTATTTGCTTTCCAGTTATCAAATCATGTGTCTTTGGTAACGAGGCCAAATCTGTACACCAGGACGATACCTTGCTAGCAGCTCGGAATGAGACTGTCGAGTCCTCCACAGCCCGGCAGTTCTTTAAGCTGCTGTTTTGTGCAACTGGCCTACAGGTAAAGAACTGAGAGCTAGTACTCCACTTTGATTTGGCTTGTCTGGGGTGGTGACTGGGAGCTTCTCGTTTGGAGGTAGCATTACACCGAGAGTAGGATTGGCTCAAAGGTTAGTTCACAGCTGAGCAAAGTTTCCAAGCAAGGTTAAAATATCCCAGCCATTGCACTGGCTTTATGTGCACTGGGACATATGCAGCCTTCCTGACCTATAACTTCTATTAAGCAATGCTACAATCTCAGTTCTCATGAGACTTGCAGGTGGTCATTAAATTGGAACCTGGGCTCATTTGGGAGGAAGGGTGTGATATAAATTTAATAAAATAATAAATAAAACCTAGATGATGCTTTCAGAATTGCATGGTTTGTACCCTTCATGCAATAATGAGGTCAGAATATCACCCAGTTATTTTTGAATTGGAGTAAGAACACTGGGTTCAGTTAGGGGATTTCTGTTATTTTAGAAAGATAAAAACTTCTGCTCAGTCAGTATCAGGTGAATTAGAATTTTGTTTGTCTTATCTCACTCATTCTGCGGAAGATAGATAAGAGGCGTTTTGTAGTTAATTTGGCTCTTTGAGCAACTGTAAGTCCAAAATAACGATGAGCTACAGGCCCTAGAGGGACAGAGTTTAGCAAGTGCAGAACTTTATTTGGCATCCTTGCGTTATGCCCATAGCTACCTATAAAAGAAATACATAGGAAATGCTGCATGTCCTTGAATGACATTGAAAGACAGAGAGAGAGAAGGAAATTTTCTTAATGCACTGAACTAATGCGGATTTAGTTATGTACCAAGCCTGCTGAATGGCCATAGGCAAGTCATGAAATCTCTTTGGTTCAGATCATTCCAAATTTACAGGACATAAGTAATGATACTTTTCGTATTACTGAGGTGAGGGTGTTGGGATTACTGCTTCTGCATTTACAAGGAACTGAGAAAACAAAGAAGGAAAACGGTTGATTCTGCAGGCCTGATGGGACACTAAAAGCTGCTGTCTGCAGAAGCAGGTGCTCTGTGGCAGCTGCTGTCCAGCTATGTACTTTTTTCAGTGCCTGAAATATGTAATCCTGTATAGCATCATGGTCATTTCATAAAACATAAACCAGATGGTGTTCAGATTGTTTGTGCTGATAGGAAATGCCAAGGCAAACATTGCATCTTGTGGCTCAGCTAGCATTTTATTGCTGTAATTTTTGTAGGTGGTGTCTTAACATAGCCCGGCATAGAAAATAGTCTCTGTGGGATGAAGTGCAATACCGATCTGGTTAGATCCTGCTTGGGAGTGGAAAGAGAATCTCACTCAGATCCGGCCCTCAGCTTCCTGTTGCATAGGTTGACAGTATAGGAAAAGTGGGCGTCTTTATGAGCTCCTTGGGTCAGTGGCATCCAAAGAGCATCATGCTTCCTGCTTGCCCGATACTCCAAGATGCTACCTTACTGTTTGTTGTGGCAGTTGCCCTCCATTCCCCCCTCTCTTCCTCTTCCTTTGCAGATCTCCTACCTGACATGGGGCGTCCTCCAGGAGAGGGTGATGACCCGAACGTACGGCGCAACCGAGTCCGACCCTGGCGAGAAGTTCAAGGATTCTCAGTTCCTGGTCTTCATGAACCGGATCCTAGCGTGCACCGTGGCTGGCCTCTACTGCGCCCTGATCAAGCAGCCCCGTCACGGCGCTCCCATGTACAAGTATTCCTTCGCCTCCCTCTCCAACATCCTCAGCAGCTGGTGCCAGTATGAGGCCCTCAAGTACATCAGCTTCCCCACGCAGGTGCTGGCCAAAGCCTCCAAGGTGATTCCGGTCATGCTGATGGGCAAGCTGGTGTCCCGCAAGAGCTACGAGTACTGGGAGTACCTGACAGCAGCCCTCATCTCGGTCGGAGTCAGCATGTTCCTGCTCTCCAGCTCCCACGACAAGCACCTCTCCACGGTCACCACCTTCTCCGGCGTGGTCCTCCTGGCAGGCTACATTGTCTTTGACAGCTTCACGTCCAACTGGCAGGACGCCCTCTTCACCTACAAGATGTCCTCGGTGCAGATGATGTTTGGCGTCAACGTCTTCTCGTGCCTCTTCACGGTGGGCTCGCTGCTGGAGCAGGGCGCCCTGCTGGAGTCAGTGCGCTTCATGGCCCGCCACTCGGAGTTTGCCGCCCACGCCGTGCTGCTGTCGGTCTGCTCAGCCTTCGGGCAGCTCTTCATCTTCTACACCATCAACCAGTTTGGAGCCGCCGTCTTCACCATCATCATGACTTTGCGGCAAGCCTTTGCCATCCTCCTGTCATGTCTCATCTACGGCCATGCGGTCACCGTGGTGGGTGGGCTGGGAGTGGCGGTGGTCTTCACGGCGCTCTTTCTCCGCGTCTATGCCCGCAGCCGCATGAAGAAGCGGGCAAAGAAAGTGCCCGTCGAGGGCACCGTGCAGAAGGTTTAGGGGCCACCGGGCAAGCGACACGCCCTGAGCTCCTCCCCGCCCCCAAGCACTTGCTGAATCTCTCTCGTCTCACGAACCCAGCAAAGAGCTGGTCAATTTGGGAAACGTCAATTCCCATCCTCTACACCTCCCACCCCAGCTGATTCTTAAAACACTGCTGGGATTGGCTTGGAGGAAGCGAGGGGCAGCTTCCTCCTGTCCTAACGTCTGAGTATTTTAAGTCTGCTGAGGCTTTCTGCTGAAGGAGACTTGCAAGGGGCTCTTGAGACCCCTTTCCAAGATAAGGGTACAGGTGTCCCTAATGCCTGCCCTGACTGACAGCTTGTGGGGGAGAGAAGGCTAATTCATGGTCAAGTCAAATTGGAGCTTTTGTTTTCGTTTTGCTACGGTTCGCCTTCTGCTCACCACCCTGGAGCTGCGTATGAGGGAATAGCAAGGCCAAGACTTTTAGTTTCCATTAAAAAGAAAGAAAAGAGAACTACACCCTCAAAACTTCATGGTTGGAATGGAAAGCTGGCAGCTTCGACAGAAAACCAGTCCCGACTGGAGGTTTTGAACTTACCCTCCTGGGCAACGGCCTCTCTTAAATCACAGCCCTTTTGCTTTCTGGCTCAGTATACCCACCTGTACTTTTGCCCCACTGTCGGACCTTTCAGACGGTGCCCCCTTTGCCAGCGTCATTTGGGTTTTTGCTTTTTGCTTAGTTTTTCTTTGACCATCCCCTCCTCTCACTGCCATGAACAACAGTCCCAGAACCCCTCGAGGCCACTCTTGGGGTGCTTTCTTTGGGTGTACTGTTGCTGCAAACTTAGAAAAGCACAAATATTGCCTTTTTGAAACACCTCTCTTCGGAACCAAGTTTCTTTGCTGCTCTAGGCAAGGTGGTGAGGGAGAGGGTATCCTCATAGTAAAAGAATGTGCACCCCAGTCCTTTTCTCCACCCCACCCCCCACTCCCCAGTGGTTTTTGCAAAGGTTGGTGGGAAAGACATGGTTCAAGCTGAGAGCCAGCCATACGGAAGCAGCCTGAGCCTGGGCTCGTGTGCTGCTTCCAGCAGGGCTGAGCTCTGGGCTCTGACCCTCTTGGGCCTTGCAGTCTTTTGTGCCATGTTCCCATTTTATTATGTGGCACGTAGGCCGTTCTGGAAGCTGCAAGATGTGGTGGGGGCACTGAACTGCACTGTATTGTCTAGCTCGCTGTGCCATTTCCATTTTTGAGCCAGGAGATAACAATTCTGAGATGTACGGTGCAGGATAGTTTGGTGCCCAGAGGCTGGATCTTTTTACCCTTTTCTCCACATGCTCTCAAAACTGGGTGCGGGACTGGAGTTGTTGGCTCTGCCCTAAAAGTCTCGAGTTTTACCCATTAACCCTTTTGTTGCCAAGCTGACATTGGGCAGGGGAAACATTTTTTGGTACTCGACACACAACTGTTTTATTTTATTAAATTTAAACTATGCTGCAAATAAGTGGCCAGGACATGTTTTATAGCCTTTAAAGTGTGTCCAGAAGGGATAATCTAAAGGAGTTGATGCTCCCTTGTGGGCCACCCCCCCTCCAGGTGCTGTTGGGGTGAAAACAAACGCCTCAAATCTCATCCAGTTGATTTATCCAGTATGGTTTAATCACATTAGCAAGTGGGTCGCTTTACATCTGATGTGCCAAATATGGATCTAAGTGGCAAAAATGGGAGTTCCATTACATTAAGCAGAAAGACGTTGCTGCATCTCTTGCCTTTTGAGCCAGGTGAACTTGATACTTTACCTTGTAGATGGGGAACAATTTTGGAGGCTTGAGATCAATTATTTGTGCAAAGCTAGTTATCTTTCCTTCTCTATCTCTGCTGCCACAAAAGTCTTCTCTCTCAAGTAGAAATACTGCCAAAAGTTGATTCCTGTGTCAGCTTAGTTTTAGTACTCTTTGCATGAGGATAGAGGTTTCTGGCAGGAAAAAACCATGTTATTTTAAATAGAGCCAAAACGAGGTAGCTGAAGTGCCATTCAATCTCTGCAGTGATGACTGTTGTCCATTGGGGCTCAAGGCTAAGAGATCAACAGTAGGTGCAGCCAGAACCAATGACAGGCAGAGTCAGAGCCTGACTGGTTATAAGGCAGAAGGCAGGCATGTGGATACTAGGTGAGGACTGACAAGTTATTGTGGAGCAGTGCTGCATTTGCTTTAATGGACCAGCCAGATTGAGTCTCTGGTAACAGGTGGACAAGTATGTGAAAAAATTGATATAAATACAAGTAAGGGGGAAGAGATGTCTTGTGACTGAAAAAGCCCCATTTGTTAATTTCCGCAAATGAGCACATAATAAGTAAATTGAAGGGCAAAGGTACCAATGAGACACCAAAATCCTCATCTTTGGCTACAAAGTATGTTGTGTAAATTCACAATTCAAAATGTTCCAGGCTTTCCGATTTTATTTCAAGGAGTGGCATGGTATGAGGAAGTAATGATGGGCAAGAAGGGATGTGGAAAGAAGTAGTAACTTCACACAGAAGTTCAGCTTTAGTAGCTCTTGTGCACCATGAGGCCTAGATTCTTAAATTGACTTCAAAGCAAAACTTAACTCCCCCAAAAGACTTAAAAACCTCTGCCACTACGGCAGTGGACTGCAGAGGATTTAAAAAGCATTAAAAGGCTGCTTAGGACACAGAAGACGTTCCAGCTCAAAGGTTACACTTGACAGCCATGCTCCACATTAAGAGAAAATTCCAGTGGGTAGGAAATTCAGTATATGGTGTCTTAGCCTTGTTCTGCCAATGTTGTTGCAGTCTAAAAATATCACCACCCTTGGCTGATCAACCTGTGAAATCCACTGTTTATAAACTTGCATAAATGGAGACTGAAAAGAGATCTGTACTGTTAATTGTAGAAAGGGAAGGTATACACAATTCAACCCATTTAAGTCCTATCTGAACTGCCTAAACTCGTAGGATTCCGATCACAGGGTTCAGTGTAACTTTCCAAATTGTAGTTTGTCCTGGACATCACTTACAGGCAGGTGCCTGTAATAAAGCATAAAATCTTGACAGCAAGAAGCACAAGGTACTTCCTTAATTAGCTGTCAGGAAGGCAAATCTGAGTAATCCTATGCATGTTTACTTACAAGTCCCTTTGTTCAATGAAGCTTGCTCTATTGTAAGCGTTTATTAGCAGGGGTGGGGAACACACTATCCCATGGGCCAAATTGGGCAGTTAGGTGGGTGTTGCATGATGTTACAATGAAGGCAAGCTGGTTTTGAAGAGCTCTTTGAAGGCACTCTGCCCATGGATCAGTTGATCATTGTACAGTGGTACCTCGGGTTAAGAACTTAATTCGTTCTGGAGGTCCGTTCTTAACCTGAAACTGTTCTTAACCTGAGGTACCACTTTAGCTAATGGGGCCTCCCGCTAATGCCACGTGATTTCTGTTCTCATCCTGAAACAACGTTCTTAACCAGAGGTACTATTTCTGGGTTAGCGGAATCTGTAACCCGAGGTATCACTGTACCGGGTTTGGCCAGGGGAGGAAGATGGGTTCAGCAATCTTCTCTAGCCTACAAGGAATTGTACATGTTAGAATAACAGCTTTATATAGATGGCTGCTACATCCCTGCTCTTGTAGGAGATGATGCCTTGTGTAGTCTATCCTTTATAGCAGGACTGGGACAGAGGGCCATGGGCAACCTTCCAGAGACTGTCTGCCAGTGGTGGGCAGGGCTGGAGGCAAAAGTGGGCAAAGCAATTTAACTTTTGTACCCTTGGCTCTATTCCAGCTATGCCAAAGTATATTTTGTAGAATCGTAAGAGTTGGAAGGGACCCTGAGGATCATCTAGTCCAACCCCTTGCAGTACAGGAATCTGCAGCTGCGAGATGTTTCTACAACCCCCATGTACATCCAGGCAAGCAAGAGTCACAGTTCAGGAACATATTCTGGCTAGGAAAAAGCATCCAAAGGGCCTGGAGCAAAGCCAGTGAAGGGAATGCTCTGGACTCTCCCTCCATGAGACTGAACCATCAGCACCCCCTGCTGGAAGCAGGCTTGACAGCAGGATTTTATTATATGCATATGCAACTATGCACGGCTGCAGGGTGCGCCTTGCCCACAAGCCCAAAGCAGTTGACAACCCCTGCTGCAGAGCAGATGCCAGTAAAGAGAAGCATGTAAGAAATTTGACTACTTAAGAGACAGTCTCTGAACATGCCAAACTAGTCCTACCACCTTCAGGAGACGAAACTAAGCAGGTGGATTTTTCTAAAAGAGAACTGACTTGAAAATAAGTCATCTTGTTGCACAATGACAACGGGGAGCAGGGATGGGTAACTTATGGCCAACAGACCAAGTGTGTTTCCAAAAGCGACTGTGATACCATACCATTTTGCTCAACGCACGTCATATGGAGGCACCCAAAGATGCTTCCCCTAACAACCTGCAGTTGGGATTCCCCAACATGGTGCCCATAAAGCACATGCACCCACCAAGGCCAAGAGAGACCTGGAACCCATGAGAACCTGAACCAGATTGAATTGCTGGAGAACCAGATTGAATTGCTGGAGGTTTGTTCTTGCCCAGAGCCATTCCTCCACACTCAGTTATCTCCGTATGCCCTCTAACCAGCATGAATGCGGCAATGGAAGCAGCAATGTGGGTTCCAGGGTGGAGGCTTTGGGGCACCATGAGGAACATTTTTACTCTGGCACGTATACGCATGGTTTTTTTAAGGTTTGCCCACAAGGAATCCCCTAAAAACATCACATTTGAGGTCTACAGTTTTGTTCCATGGCATGTTTCTGCCCAGTGTAAAAACCAATGCCACGCGGCTTTAATTTATTTATAATTTGCGGAAGAATCCTTGTGAAAACCATAAGGATTTGTTTTGAGAATCCAGTGTTTGTAATGACAATTGCTGGGTCTAGGATTTTTAGATGTCAGATCTGTAGTTTGATATTGGTTTAGGGGAATACTCCATGTAAATATCATGCAAATGCAAGAGGAGCCATTTTGAGGCTGAAGTGCCCACAACACTTTCTCAGAATTCCACATGTACACACAAGCTCAAGAAGGTCAGGGTGTTCTGGCACATGACACCTGAACTAGGAACCAGTTTCCACTCTTGATTGGGGGGCAGGTATGGCTCTCTGCACCAGTTTGTGACAAGGTCCATGTGCTTCACAAGAAAAGAAATCCGTCACAATACCACTTCATTGTAAACCACATTCTTTGTTATTTTAATTCCAGTAAAACAAAACCAAATACAAACAGCCAACAAGAGTACAAGTCCCTGCTCTCTGAGGACAAAGGGCAGCAGTGAGGGAGGGAGGCAAGGAGTCAACTCACTGCTCTATTAGTGGGGAGGACATTCACTGTGTTCACCTCAGCTATGGTAGGATGGATGCTTGGTGGCCCAGCAGAAAAAGGATAAAACCCGCATGGGGGAGGGAAAACCTAAAACCAGTGGGCCAGTCCCTTTCCCCTAAAGCAGCATTTTTTCTAAACAAGCAGAAAGACAGATCAGATAGGTGTGGAGACCCCTTGTCACACTGGCTACCAATTATACAGGAAGGTAGTGAGAGACTGCTTACGAAGGCATGCCAGAGCACTGCCGGAGCCAGTCTTCCTGAGCAAGGCGATGGTGCAGGGAATGGATGGGGGCAAGACAGAGGGGGAGGTCAGCGCCCTCTCTTTAATCCACCTCCTCCATGCGTGAGGCATCCTCGTCTCCTTCCAGAGGGGGAATATCTTCAGAGACAGCAGCACTAGGCTCTTCAGCAGCAACCTCATCTTCATCAATCCCTGAAATAGTAAGTGTGCAATAGAAAATCATTTTTAGGCCGTTCAAGGCTAGAAAGGGTCTCTTTAAGAGCCAGACTTGTATTCCTTTCTCATTTGCAAGCAATCATCATGCCCCCTGTGGCACATCGGTTGTACTCAGTTTGGAGCTCTCCAAAAGCATGAGGGCCTGAAGTGAGGAGCCTCCATGAAGAGAGAAGGATCCTCACTTTAGGCCTTTGTCCTCAAGTGTGTGGAGGGCTCAGAGCCATGACCTGCTGCTTCTCCCTGCAGGTTTGTTTACATACAAGGAGATTCAGTGCCCTAACAGGGCTTTAATAAGGCCACACATGTAGCAGTAACAAAGCAAAGACTTGTCAGCCTTATACTGCAATACTATAGAATGCCCTTCATGGAAGCTCCTTAGGTATATATCTACAATTTTTAGAAAAATTTGGCAGACTAAAGAACATTTGCCAATATCCATCACAATCTCAGTAATGCTTACAACAGCCTGGAAAGGTGCGGCAAAGTTATCTCCATGTTGTAGATGCTGGGGGGAGGTACTGAGAGAATAGACACTTCCATCAGTAGCAAAGTCATGGAAAAGGTCCAATCTTAGCTTGGGCTCTCATACCTTCACATCCACCACCTTGTGTTACAGGCTGGAATCCTTTCTTGGTACTCCCAAAATTAATTGACATTTAGGTTCCAAGTCTGCTTTCCACACCAGCTACAGGCAATTTCACATCCTTCTGCTCACCAGGCCTCACTTATAAAAACACTCCCCCCACTGCTATACCTCTCCTGCCCTTTTCACAACGTCACAATTCTATGTGACTAACCCACACTCATGTTCCCACCACCACTGCCACAACAAAGTTTCCCCTGAGGCTAGAGAAGAATGAGTGTGCATTTGTGGGTAGAGTAACCAAGTAAATTGGACCTTCCTGAGGCCAAAAAACCCAAGTTGTTTGACAAGCCCTGGATTGAATGCATCAGGGTCACAAAAAGGCTATAAACCTCTCTTAACTTGCCATATTCCATTTCCTCAATAGCAGAAGAAATAGGCTTTGCTGCTCCCCATCTCCCAGCAACTCACCGAGCCCCAGCTTGATCATCCTATAGATACGGTTGGAGTGAGTCTGTGGATCCTCCAAGGAGAAGCCAGAGGAAAGCAGTGCTGTCTCAAAGAGCAGCACCACAAGGTCCTTGACGGCCTTGTCGTTCTTGTCTGCCTCCGCCTTCTGACGCAGTGTCTCTACAATGGGGTGGTCAGGATTGATCTCCAGGTGCTTCTTGGCCATCATGTAGCCCATGGTGGAGTTGTCTCGCAAGGCCTGGGCCTTCATGATACGTTCCATGTTGGCAGTCCAGCCATAGGTGCTGGTGACAATACAGCAGGGCGAGGAGACCAGCCTGTTTGAGACCGTCACCTAGATAAGACACCAGATGCCAAATCATGAGCCTTCATCAAAAAATGCTTATTATTCTTAACCCATCTGGCTACGTTTCCCCAGCCACTCTGGGTGGCTTACAGCATATCTAAAAATATAATAAAAACAAGCTTTAAAAACCCCCTGATACAGGGCTGCCTTCAGATGTCTTCTAAAAGTTGTGTAATTCTTTATCTCCTTGACATCTGAAGGGAGGGCACCACTACCAAGAAGGCCCTCTGCCTTCTTGGCACATGTGTGCGGTCAGGCAGATAAAGGGACAAAGCACACTCACCTTTTCAACTTTCTTCTCCAGGATTTCCTTCATGAGTTTGCAAAGGTTCTCAAACTTGGCTTTGCTCTCCTCCATCTTCTTCTTCTCGTCCTCATCCTCTGGCAGCTCCAGCCCTTCTTTGGTGACGGACACCAAGGTCTTGCCATCAAATTCCTTCAGCTGCTGGACGCTATACTCATCAATGGGCTCTGTCATGTACACCACCTCAAAACCACGTTTCCTCACTCGCTCCACAAAGGCAGAGTTAGCCACCTGCTCCTTGCTCTCACCTGCAGCACAAGAGATTAGAGGAGCTAACATCAGGCTGCACATCATGGGCTCCAACAAAGCTCCATTTTTAAAGAGAGTAATGATGCTCTCATAACAAGCATGTTTCAGCTGGTCATGCATTTTGCTAAGCCTTGTGGATGGGGCCCCCAAACCTGGCAAGACTAGGAAGGTATCAAAACAGGAGATTTTTGCACCCAACACTCAAAACAGAGGGCACCAAGGTTATCTTCTAATAGAGACCAATATTCTAGTACAGAGCAAATCAAGATGTATTTCTGTCTACATCTGCTGAATCTAAGCTTCAGTTCCTATTATAAATGTGCCTCCCTTTTGCGTAATTTAATCAGCACACATTATGTGGATCGTGCAATTTAGGACCTTGAAAGGTGTGTTTTCCCATTTTTTATCATGCACTGAGAAATTAGACTGGAACTCTAAAGGGCAAAGATGTGTAAAAGAATTGACAGATATTTGGAAGTCCTTCTGAATTAACTCTTACTGGTTTCACAACGTTTAATTAAAATTTGGAGGTTTTTAGCTCATGTCTCTGGAATCATGAAGATTAGAGTTGGGTTTTCAATCTCTCTTCAATTAAAGAAAAGAGCCACCACCCCCAGAAGATCCAAGGAAGGTAATCTATTAAGGAGAATTGACCAAAGGCACAAATAACTCAGAAATTGATGCCAGAGCAGGCAAGGCGAGTTCAGTGGAAATAAAATTCCCAGGTTCCACTATAACCAAAGATTCCTGCTCAAAGGAATCATCATTCCACTGTGAGGAGACAAAGGTTTGATCAGCTTTGTCCTGACAGCAGGTATTATTTACCTGTGATGTAATAGATGCTTTTCTGGTTTTCCTTCATACGGGACACATATTCGGAGAGGGAATTCATCTCGTCGCCAGAGTGGGAAGTATGGTACCGCAACAGTTCTGACAGGCGTTTCCTGTTGGTAGAGTCCTCATGGATCCCCAGCTAAGGGCAAAAGATGTTTTAGATGCATTTATTTGTATTTATAGATTCCAAATAGTGTGGGCAAAAAAATGTCACTATTGACAGATGGGCAGCCCAACCCAGGGTGGTTGGGGAGAGAAGAACTGGACTCTAAATAAATAGGTACCCAACTGGCCAGGCTAATAAATGGACATGCAGGGCAACAGGTGTTCAGGCTAGAGTTAAGCTTTCTGATAATCTAAAATTACTGCTTAGCTTCACTCTCCACTTTTCTGAGCTTATGGCCTGAAGATTTCCCAGCCTTTTCACAATCATGAGGACTAGAACTGTTTTTTAAAAGAACACTTCCCATAATTAAAAACAAAACAAGGTAGTAGAAGTCAGGAGCAAGAAATTCTACTGCAGCAGATTGTTTTACTGCCCAAATTACTGTGCTCAATCCAGCCTGAGACAGTGGGCTGGTCAGCTCTCACCTTGAGATTTTTGGAGAAGGCTTCGTAGAACTTCTTGTAGTTTTCTTTGTCCTCCGCCAGCTCTGCAAAAAGCTCCAGGCATTTCTTGACGATGTTCTTGCGAATCACTTTGAGAATCTTGCTTTGTTGCAGCATCTCACGGGAGATGTTCAGGGGCAGATCCTCGGAGTCCACTACACCCCGGATAAAGTCTGATTTAACAAAAGAAAGGAAGAAATAAAATCAGAGACTAAACGAGCCATGACAACTGATAGGTAATCTGAGTAAGAGAGTACCATTTCTTTGTTCTACATAAGTGATCCAGGGAGAAGGGACAAGAAAGTGTGTACATCCATGGCAATTCAGCCTTCCTCAAAAGTGCCCTTTGCAGAACTCAGCAGAAGGGCTTTGCTCATTTCCAGAGTCTCCACCCTGAGAATTTTCATATGGTTTGGTTTTCCATAGAATTGCTGTATGGTTTGATTCTCTTCCTTGGACCAATGTTGTGCAGTATTACTATCATTTTTTAAGGAGAGGATGAACCAACCTGCGAAAGCATTTTATAAGCAAAACAGTGCCCAATTGGAAATGCAAGCCTCGGGTGTTTGGGAGGAACAGCGCAAAGAGAACTTGCACAGAGGGAACTAACCTATGTCATGACCCCTTGCACTAATTCCCGCCTGCCCCGCCACAGTTCTACAAATAGCAGAGGAAGATAAATGAGTACACTAAGCCAGGCTGGCTGGGGTGGGAGATACAGCTTTGCTAGAGATCAGTGATGGGGAACATGTGTCACTCCAATTCCCATCAGCTCCATCTAGCATGACCAATGATTAAGGATGATGGGAATTGTAGTCCATAAGCATCTAGCGATGCCACCTTGTTCTGGGAGTTTGAAAAACCAGAATGAAATGATACTTCAATACTGGCATTGCAGAGATGGGTCAAACAAGGGCGATAAAAACAGCCCAATATTCTAAGTGAGGTAAGGCAGGAACAGAGAGAGGGAGCTTACTCAGGTACTCTGGGATGAGTTCATCACAGCTGTCCATAATGAAGACGCGCCTCACATAGAGCTTGATGTTGTTCTTTTTCTTCTTGTTCTCAAAGAGGTCAAACGGGGCCCGGCGTGGGATGAAGAGAAGCGCCCGGAATTCCAACTGCCCCTCCACAGAGAAGTGCTGTGAAGTTTGGGAACATCAGATGAGCTAGTGAGCAGCCCTTTGGGGAAAACACACACTGGCAGCAAAAGTACCATAGGAAGACATCTGTGTGGACTGGACTTGTTAGATATTCCTGGCAAAACTTGCTAGGCAAGAGGAAGCTTCAGAAGAAGCTTCACCGTGCTAGAATTTCTTGCACCCCAGTAGAGGTGCCACTTATTCCATTAGTGCTATATGGACAAGAGAAGCTGCACCTGTTCATTTGCAACCCAGAACGCAGCTGGAAATGGACAAAAATTTGCCCCAGCATGGAATCTGGCAGCCATACACCTAGTTCCAATTATTTCATTCAAGAGATCCTTCACTCCTCTAGCCTGAGGGGGTGTGTTTGTTTGTTTTTTAAACTTTTCAATGATACCTCAGTTAATACTTTAAAACATATTGCTATACTTCTACCCACAGCTATGAATGGGTGCAGGCAACTCTAATGAAACCTAGCGACACTTAGAAAATATATTGCAGTGGAGAACTGCAAGCTTCTTCCTCCATGAAGCGGTCTCTTCTATCCCCTTCACATAATAATGCATACATTCTTCAGTTAGGGTTGCCATATTTCAAAAATCTGGACATAAAAGGTTGCTTGGCAGTGGCAAAGTTGTTGAGCTTTTTTAAATGGAAAAACCACACTGCCAGCATGGGCTGCCATACATCTGGATTTTTCCAGACATTTTGCTAATTTCTGCCTGGGCACTGCTGCCAACCACAGTATTCTGGGTATGTCCAGGAAATTCCAGATGTATGACAACCCTATTTAAGGGCTCAGTTTCTTAGTCAGCAGACGCTGCTGCCCTGTATTGCCATCTTGTCTGCTAATTTCTCTGGGCCTTTGCTCAATACAGAGAACCAAGTACAGTAGATATCAGCAGAGATATCTACCACTCTCACCTTAACAGCCAGATGGTCTTCCCAATCATTAGTCAAGCTCTTGTAGAACTCGCCATACTCCTCCTGAGTGATGTCATCAGGGTTTCGGGTCCAGATGGGTTTGGTCTTGTTCAGTTCCTCCTGGTCGATGTACTTTTCCTTGATCTTCTTGGTCTTCTTCTTGCTCTTGCCACCTTCCTCCTCCTCATCTGAGCCCACATCTTCAATCTTGGGCTTCTCCTCCTCATCCTTGGGGGCTGCCTCTTCATCCTCCTTCTCCACTTTTTCCTCCTCCGCTTCATCGTCGCTGATTTCCTTCTCACGCTCCTTCTCCAGCTGCAAGAAGAGAACCTTGTTACTGTACTGCAGGTTTATCAAGAGGGATAAAGTTAGAAGGGTCAAACCTAGGCGTGGGCCATATTCAGAGAATGGGGGATTAATGTACCGTGTATGAAGCATGCAGACACAGAGAGGCACCCTTTGTCTTGCCAACTTCACACCTATACTTCCACCAGGTAGAGAGTTTAGCCATTCTGCTTCTCATGCTAGTCAAGGGAGCAGTTTCAAAACACCACTACCATCTAAAGTGTGGCCACTGCTTTCTCAGGCCACAACCCAAGATGTGGCAGAACTTTTTAAAAAGCCCACCACAGGATGGAGCTGCTTTACACAAGAGAAAGCTTCCCAAGTGAAGCCGCACTTGAAATTGCAAGAGCCACTTCACTTTAGCACCCTAAACACTTTAAAGCATGCAAGACTTCACCCAGCTACTGGTGTGTCAGGACCCAATATTGGGTCATGGTCTGATTTAAGGCTCATTAACAGCAGCAGTTAACTGCAATAGAAATATATAACAAAAATTAAGAAACGGATTCCCAAATCCATTTTTGTGTTGAAGGTGGGTCCCAGTCTGAAACGAAATTCAATAAATAACATCAACAGCAGCCTAAGCCACAAGCCAGTACAATGCTCCTATAAAATCTGTTTCAAAAGCTGCAGGATTGCTCTGCAAGTACAGGCAGTATATGAATAGTCCAGCTCTCCCTCCTTCACATACCATGCCTGGGCTCTCCTTCATGGAGAGACTTTAGCACTCCAACAGCAGCACAATGTGGAACAGTTTCCACCACACACCTAAAGGTGGCTGTGGAAATGAAACTCCCTTGACCCCCTGGAGCAGCTCCTCTTGTATACCTACATAGAGGGTGATAGGGTAGCCGATGAACTGAGAGTGCTTCTTCACCACTTCCTTGATGCGACGTTCCTCCAGGTATTCAGTCTGATCTTCCTTCAGGTGCAAGATCACTTTGGTACCACGGCCAATGGGTTCACCTAAAACAAAGAACAAGAGGAACTAAGCCTGGGTTGCAGAGCTGCAGTCCAAAACATCTGGGGAGCACTAGGTTGGCGAAGGCTGGTGGGAGACTCTAGAAGGCCACGTCAGATCTGCGGTTCCTTAGAAAGTGTTCCTGGTCAGAGCCAACATCTCCAGCAGGTGGAAGACTGGCCATTACTGGGGGAGGTAGTCCTTGTTTTGGAGAGGCTGATATAAAAAACTTAGTTTTTGTCTTCTAAGAGCAAGTCGTAGGTCTTATAATTGGTAAGAACTCTTTCTTAAGTGTACATATGCAGCCTAAGATTGTTCAGAGGAAACCTACGAGGCTACTAAAGGTAGCCCCTGACCATTAGGTCCAGTCGTGACAGACTCTGGGATTGTGGCGCTCATTTCGCTTTATTGGCCAAGGGAGCCGGCGTACAGCTTCCGGGTATTGTGGCCAGCACGACTAAGCCGCTTCTGGCGAACCAGAGCAGCGCATGGAAATACCGTTTACCTTCCCGCCGGAGCGGTACCTATTTATCTACTTGCACTTTGACGTGCTTTCCAACTGCTAGGTTGGCAGGAGTAGGGACTGAGCAACGGGAGCTCACCCCGTCACGGGGATTCAAACCGCTGACCTTCTGATCGGCAAGTCCTAGGCTCTGTGGTTTAACCCACAGCGCCACCTGCGTTCCTTTTATGAGGCTACTAGAAAGAAGGTAAGAGCCTGCTGGATCAGGCCAATGGCCTATCTAGTCCAGCATCCTGTTCATAGAGTGGCTAACCAGATGCCTGTGTCAAATTCACAAACAGGAGTGCTCTCCCTCAGCCATTGAGAGCCTTATCCTCCACAAACTTCCCTAATCCTCTTTTAAAGCCATCCAAGTTGGTGGCTATCACTGCTTTGGTGGGAGCAAATTCCAAAGTTTATCTTTGTGCTACGTGAATGAATGCCTTTCTTCCTGTCCCCAAACCTCCAACATTCAGTTTCATTAGATGCCCAGGAGTTCTAGTGTTATGAGGGAGAAAAACATTTCTCTATCCACTTTCTCCATGCCATGCTTAATTTTTCAAACTTCTATGTCACCTCTTACTTGCCTTTTCTCTAAACTAAAAAGTCCTAAATGCCGCAATTTTCCCTCCGTGTTTCAGATGCATTCCAGATTTTTATAACGACACTTGTGATATTGGCAGTTTTATTTTCAATTCATTTCCTAATGATCCTAGTATGGAATTTGTCTTTTTTACAGCTGTCGCACACTGGGTCGACATCTTGATTGACAACTAGCGTCGCCATTTCTTCCCCTGCAAACTCAAGCTATGCACCTAATGACAATATGCAAGGACACCTATTTATAGCTGCCTCAGAAATATGAAAAGCATGAGGTGACGCAGATAATACATTTATTTTGTATCTCTTGCATCAACAGATAATTATGGTTTCTTTTTTATTCCCTTATGGAATGCTTTTGAGAATTCTGTGGTGGAGAAGAGATGCTATTTATACATTCTGTTTAATAAAATATTATTTAAAAGTGAAAAAAATGTCACTTCACGCTCAATCTGCCTCACAGAATCAGAAAAAGAGATCCCAAATGAACTGTAAATGATGCAGGAAGTCCCAGCAACATAGCAGAGGGATTCTGGGACCAGCACACAATGTGCTGCTGCACCATGTCCCAACCTCCGTGCTCTTTTGGAAATGACTGAAAGGTCTCCTGGGTAACAAGTCTTTTTTGCTGGTTACTTCTCAACCTCACTAGCAGAGGGCAGAAAAGAAGAGAAGAGGAAGAATTATAGTGGTACCTCTGGTTATGTACTTAATTTGTTCCAGAGATCTGTTCATAACCTGGAACTGTTCTTAACCTGATGTACCACTTTAGCTAATTTCCGCGATTTCTGTTCTCATCCTGAGGTAAAGTTCTTAACCCGAGGAACTACTTCTGGGTTAGTGGAGTCTGTAACCCAAAGTGTTTGTAACCCAAGTACCACTGTACTATGATTCCTACTTTTGGGTCATGTATGATACTGCCACATTCCCCCTTCTACTTCTAATTCAAGAAAGCATTTGAGAACCCCTTGATCACTTGCTTTTGGGGGCATCTGCCATCACATACCATGGTCAGTTTTGACAGTGAAGGAGCCGCCTGCAGATGACTCCCAGGCATACTGTTCATCATCGTTGTGCTTGGTGATAACCACAACCTTCTCAGCCACAAGGTAAGCAGAGTAAAAGCCCACACCGAACTGTCCAATCATGGAGATGTCTGCACCAGCCTGTAGATGGAAGAAGAGAGACTAGATGCCTGGAAAGGAAAGCTAACTTATACATATGCATACACAGAGTTTCTAAATGACCAGAAAGCTATGTTCTAGACATGAAGAGCTGGCAGGAAATAAGGCAACACCCAGGTTAGATGCAGCTTTATAATGAATTTAGATTTTTTTGTTTATTTTAAAAATAGGAATGGTACAAAACAGTGAAGCAGCTTATGAGCGAGGTGCTGAATTTTGTGAAAAAAAATGAAAATTCATAGGCAAAGGATTCAACATCCTGAAAGCCTCGGTTTTGATTGTATTAAAAGCAGCCTTCTTCCTCTTAAAATCAGGGAGAGGGACCTGTGGCCCTAATTTACTGGAAACCAACTCTCATCAGCCCCAGAGAACATGGCCAATGACCTGGGATGGTAGGAATTTAAATCAGGTGGCATCAGGAGGAGCACAGGTTCCCTACCATCAGACTATATATAAAGTGCATGGATAGTGGCTGATGAAATTCTCAGACGAGCTCATGAGACAATAATTTCCACTTATCAAGGGGATTAGATACCCTGTACAGTTCTCTGTTCCTCTCCAGTAGAATGTTGTTAAATAAGCACCAATTTGCCTACTTTGCATGTAATTACTTTAATTTCTAATATAGATGTTAAGTAAGAGATTCAGGTTTTCCTGCTAAAGAATCCCAGTTTCTTTGAATGTGAAATTCAAGCATGCCTCTATATGCCAGATCCCTTGTCTCTCTACTTATTTAAGTCAACAAACTAAAGTTGTTGCTCTCCATCCTTTCCAAAAATCTCACCCACCAGCCACCCACCTGCAAGGCTTCCATGAAGGCTTTGGTGCCAGACTTCGCAATGGTGCCCAGATTGTTGATAAGGTCTGCCTTTGTCATGCCAATACCGGTGTCCACCAAGGTGAGGGTGCGATCATGGGGATTGGGAATGATATCTATCTTCAGCTCTTTGCCACTTTCCAGCTTTGAGGGATCTGTCAGACTCTCATAGCGGATTTTGTCCAGTGCCTATGAGACAAGAAAAAATAGGTAAGGATGGGATGATCGAACAGACAATCTCAATTTCAGAATCTGTATCACTTCCACAGGACTGCATGTAAGCAAACAAAATGTTTCATGATGCTATCAGTTTTCAGATTTTAGAGATCTACAAACCGTTGTCAAAGTTAACGGCATTGTTGTGACGCTAAGTAGCTGTTTGAAATTTGTTATATAAAAATACAAATCTCAGTCACTTTATATTCCACATATCCAATGATGATGGCAATCAGTTGTCCTGTGATGTTTAAGCCCCCCTGCCCAACTTTCACTTTGTTTGCTGTTAAATTGCATGGAATTTACAAAGCTTGGGGATCCAATTTGTCGTTACTGAAATGAATGAGGAAGAGAAACTTCTGAAGACCAAAGCTAACATAAATCCATTTAATTCTTGACAACTTCTCAAAGTAGGGCAGAGAAAATGTTAGCATTTTACTTGTATCACCAATTCTATTTTAATGTTGTTATACGGCTTTAAAAAACAATGGAGTATGTTTTTGTTTCTGTAAAAAATAGTACATTCCTTGTTGTTTTTTAGAAAAACATTACCTAGGACTACAGGGTAACCACTGGACCTCAGGAATAACGCTTATCCTAGGAAGTTCATTCTGCTCAAATATGACTTTATCATGACACAGAAGTTAACACTCTCATAAAGCAAACTTGCAACAGTTATTTCTTATTTCTACTTTTTAAAACTTATTAGGCTACTAGAACATATTGGACCCCCCCCCTTTTTTTACTATGAGTATTTCACTTAGGCATTTTTTTGTTTGTTTTGGATTCTCATCTGTTTATTAGACTATTTTGAAATGTGATGCCAACACTTGCCCACACCCTTGAACTGGAGCCATGCTAAAATCTATTCCAATCATTGTTTCCAGGTAGGACTTTAAAGGGGCCCACTAGAGCCAGCGATACCGTCAAAACAAAACTCTGCCGGAGGCGTAAGAAGGAACAAAGCCTGTTCAGAAAGGGATGAGTAAAATCTCAGAGCAGTATGAAGGAGAGGTGAACCAGTTCCCCCAGCACTTGTTAGCACATGCCTACTGCAAAGCTGCTTCTGAGGGTGAGAGGAAGAAATTGAGCCAATGTGATCAATCCATGTCAGAACGCTGCTTCTGCATGAGAAGGTTCTGCTTAAACGAAGTCCCAGAAGCAAACCTGGCACAGGGTTGTTGCTCTCCTGGAAGGAAGAGTATGAAGACCTCCCTCCCTCTCTTATTCATAAACTAAGGAAGGTAGGAGCGGCTCAACTGGTGAGGCACACCAACAGCAAGAGCCCCCCAGTGGTTGCCGTTGATGGGAAAGGAGAGGCGCTAGGCAGTGAGGAGGTTGGGGCTACACAGCAGAACCAATCCAGCACTCCTACCACTGCACCCAGCCTTGTCCTTCCCAGGAAGTGGCAATCAACATTGCTGCTGGGCAAGCTACTCTGAAGGGAGAATAGGAGGGAGCTTTATAAAAGTATTCATGATGCTAAAAAAACGGTAAGAGGAAATTGTGTGTGAGCGCTCTCTCTCTCATATATAATACTAGACCCAACAAAATTTGGGCAGCAGATTTAGGACCAAGTAAGTATTTCAGCACACAATGCAGAATTATAGAATTTGTCGTCATAAGGTGTGGCAATCGCCACTGGCTTAGAGGATTTAAAAGGGGAATACAATCAGCCATTATAACCACAAACAGCTGCTCTGTAGCAACCGGCAAACAATGGCGACATGTCTTCATGCCCTTCTTTTGGGCATCTTCAGAGCATTTGGCTATCCACTGACAAAAACAAGATGCCAGACTAAATGCATCTTTGGTTTGTTCCAGCAGGGTTTTTAAATGTAGGAATCTGTCCACACTGTCTACCTTCCTAACACTCTCAAGAGATTGCATGCTATAGTGTAGGCTTCCCCAACCTGTGGTCCTCCAATGTTATTAGACCACAGCTCCCATCATCTCTGACCACTAGCCACACTGGCTGGGGCTGATGGGTGCTGGAGTCCAACAACATCTAAAGGGCAACAGGTTGGGAAGGTTGTCCCAATCTGAACTTCTAAGGTAACCAGCTTTACCTAGAAAAAGATGGAAAGTGAGTGCTCACTTCTAGTTAATACCAGCAGTTGGCTTGATCAAATCTGTTTGTCCCTACTGCTAAGCCTTTTTTTCAGTATTGCCAAGATGAGGGGAAATCATTTAATCAGATTTGAAGAAGAAAAAATCCCAAGTTTATCTTTCTAAAAAGATAGGACAATTAAATCTGAATAAAATTATGTGAAAACTCAAATACACTGAGGGAAAGGGTGCATTTATTAAAAAATAAAGAACCACTGTAAAAATACATTTTTCAAGATCAATCATTACCAAATGACACAAAAGGTTATGTACTATGTTGTTACTATCGGTTTGGGACTCTGCAATAGATTCCATATTATACTGCTGTTTGTTATAGGTTTGATACTGGGGGCTAGACTCCAGCAAGTGATGAAATGCACCAGGATCTAGACTCTTGATCCAGGAGGAGGGAACTGTGGCCCAGCAGGAATATGAGTGGTTGGATTCGACGAATGAACCTGGAAAAAGTCAGATTTGGAGAGATGGAGTCCAGTTGGGCTTGGAGATGGGGGGCTGGATAGACCCCCCTATGCAGGGATGTTTTGACCCAAGTCTGGCTTTGGGCCGGGGGGAGCTCGGAGTTGTGGGGGCCTTTAACTTTGGAGGGACCTTGAAACATGCCTTTAAATACCACATGGATTTCAGTGTTGACTATGGAAAAGAGGCTGACTTGTCGAGAAGGGACAAAAATATTGTCAAGCTGGAGTCTCCCCGAGTGAAAAGAGCAGAAGACAAAGTAAAGTACAGGTATAAATATGAAGAAGACCTGCGCAAGGGACATGGAAGAGACTTAAGAGCCTCGGACATAAGGTCACCAGATTGATGGACTAGATGGATGGGATAGAAAGGACTGACAAAACCCGAGACCAGGAAGAAGAGACGATGGATGAAGATTGGAAGAAAGTTTTAAAAATTCATTTAGAAAAGTATCGTAAAATTAATGAGTATTAGAAAAATGTTGGAATGAAATTATTTGGCTTTAGCAGAAATGTTAAAAAGAATTATGTAAGAATATGTTATGGTTCAGAGAATTTGGTATAAATAAGATTTAAGTTTTAGGGTTTTTTATGGTAAGATAAGGTTAAAATAGATTAAGGTAATTTAATGACAGAACATTGTGAAAGATGGAAAAGATTTGCTGAGATAATTAACAACTAGAATACAAAAAAGGGAGGTGTGAGGAGGTCGATGAAATAAGGTAATGACAGATAAGGATCTGGGAATATTGGATCTGTTTTTAAATTTTTTGTTTATTTTTGCTTTTTGATTTTGATGTATTGTGTGCTTTGTTTTTTCTTTTTGACTTTTTTTCTTTGTAATCTTAAAATTCTCAATAAATATTATTTTTTTTTAAAAAAAGACTCTTGGTCCAGGAAATGCCATTCTGTGGATCACTGGGAGACCCATACTATTGTGCCCAGGGCCTGCCATCGATGCAAAGTTTTAAAGACACCCATGGCAAGCCCCACTTGCAGAGAAACAACCAGGAAAACATTATAAGGCACCAATTATTCCTCTGTAGCTTTCTATGCCCCACACCTTATGCCGTGTTATGGCAGGTGGGCCTTGCAAGGCAAAGCAGGAGCCCGGCAGGCTTCATTTTGTCCACAGATCAGTAGTTTTGAAGACCGCCATATTCTTTAACTTCTTGAACTCTGCAACCTACTCCATAACTGACATTATGAATACGAAAACAGAAAAAGCAGATGTCCTAACAGCTTGCTCTGCCCAAGCCTTGCTTCTAGAAAGCTATGGGCACTTAACAGTCTCTAAATAAACAAAAAAAATGTGCATAGGCATGCTGCTATGGAGCTTTTGGATTGTCTTCTACTTTGTGTTTTTGGGATCAGGACAGAACAGGTGTGTTCTGCAACTAGAAGAAATGGCTGGCATACAGTGTAGCCTCCTAGACAGTATAAATGCTCTATTTAATTAAATGTTTATGGATAGCTCAACTAATGAGTGTGCACCACTGTTTGGGAAATAGATGACGTTCCAATGGGAAACTCTAAATAAATTATTTAAATTCTAGATTTAAGTATTATTCCTTCTTCCACACAGCTCTTCTCCTTCCTCCCAACTCTAGGTCAACATACTCACATCAGAGGCGTTGGAAATGATCTCCCGCATAAAGATTTCCTTGTTGGAGTAAAAGGTGTTGATTATCAGGGACATAAGCTGGGCAATCTCTGCCTGGAAGGCAAAGGTTTCCACCTCCTCTTCGCCATGCTGGGTTTGGATTTCTTCAGGCATCTGGAATACAAACCAAGAAGTCAATATCTTTGTCATACAGGGTTCATACAGGGATACAGTACTAACATTTACAACTTCATCAGTTGCTAATTTGTTTCCAGGTTTAATTTATGGAGCTCACACTGCTGTTAAAAGCCCCAAACTAGGCCCCAACTACCTGAAAGACCACCTCCTTGCCCTACAGATCCTCTTAGGTGCTCAGATAAGCAGAGGGGGTCCTCTTGGTAGCTGTGGCACCCTCAGAAGTTCAAGTGTGGTGGGCCTTAAATTGTGGCATTCCCTTTCTAGTGGTGCATCTGACACCATCCTGTTTTTGTCTTATGCTGAAGACACATCTCTTTATCCTAGCCGTTGACACTTAAATATATTCTAGGACCCACTCTAGTTGTATTCTAATTTGTTTTTTAAACTGTTTTTAGTGTTGTATTTTACATTGATGTGATCCACCCTGGAACCTTTGTGTTCAGTGAGGTTAGTATAAATTAACTCAGTAAGCCTTACGACCACCTTGAAAGGCATATCCCCACATTGTTGTCCTCCTACAAACATTGGGCAGCGATAGTGACCTCCTGAAAGCTAGCTAGTCAAGTTTGCAAGAGCAAAGATGTGACGCAGAGACACTGTGTGTAGTTCAGCTGCACATGCTATGTCTACACAGCAAGAACGAGAAGCTATGGTCCTCCAGTTTCTGTTGGACTGCAACTTCCATCATCCTTGACCAGTGGCCATGTTGGCAGGAGCGGGAGCCTTACAGCATCTGGAGGCTGATAGGTTCCCCATCCCTGTTAGTCTGACACTGCATGATGGAGTCCTGAACTTCAGCTTGCTAGAGTCAAAGAAAGATTCACTGAACATTTCCTGGGATACCGCTATCTTTCTTCCTCAGCTCCTGCGAACAAAAAGGACTTATCTCCTGCCAGGATTAGTGCAAGGCTGAACTAGATCAAGGCCACCGGCAGGCATCTTCTTGCATCACATGTTTTGCTGTAGTGCAGGGGGCCAGCAGGCTTAACTTCCCCGACGTTTTCATTCACTGGCCCGCCATTTGTAAAAACCCAATAAACAAGATTTAAACCTAAGTTGAAACAATGGGAATTCCTAGATCTAAGTCCCCTCCCGTCTAATTTCTCCTGTTTTCTTAGCGGCATCTGGGATAAAAGCCGGCTGCTTCGGGAAGCCGAGGCTAAACCGATTCCCTTTCGGCACAAGGCGATACCCGAGACCAGGCGAGCCATTGTTGAACGGGCCACTTAAGCCGTTAGAAGATGAGCGCCATTAGGGCGGCGGCAACAGCAGCAACCGCCACCATCCACCATGATCGGGTGGTTTTGCTTCTCTTTCACACCTTCTCCCCCGCGAGGAACTGCGCTCAGCCAAGGCCGGTAAGAAGAAAAGCCGAGCGCAGGGAAGAGAAGCCGCAAGGCCTCGAGGGAGGGAGGCAGGGGCTGCGGGAGGCGCCAGGGCTCCGGGCCCTGAGAATGACGCGCTCGGGCACCGGGCCTGGCTAGGCCCACGAGCGCGCGCGCCTGCCTCTCCTCAGCCGGGTGGCGCTGGGCCCCCTCCCCCACCCACCCGCGCGCGTGTCTGCGCGGCCGATCCTGTCAGCGGCGCCTCTGAGGAAACCCTTCGCGGGGCCTGGGGCCCGACCTAGCCGAGGAAGAGGCGGCGGCGGCGGCGGGCACATGGCTCCCCGGAGGAAGCAGGTGCGGCGCCGCTCCTCTGCCCTTCTACCCGCAGCATCCCTCGGGACACCGCCGTCGCCTCACGCGGCGACCTTCTTTTGGGAATGGGGTGGGTGGGGGGATTCAGGCCACCACCACCCCGCTTACTTTGATCGACGGCGGGAGATAAGCCTGGAGCACGGCCTGGTCTTGACGACAGAGATCGCGGCACAGCCAGGAGAGGAGCGCGGACCGCCTCTTGCAGACCTATATAGCGGCTGAGTGCGGAGCCTCGCGTCCCTTTGCTCCCTCCGCCTTAAAAGGGCCTGGTGCTCGGATGGGCTCCGACAGCCTCCTCCCTCCCCTTCGCACTTCGACGGCTCTTCTTGCTTGGTCCTTCTGAAGCTCAGGGACTCCCGGGTCCCGCTTCTTCTCCCCGTGCCGTTTCGAAAGGAATGGCTAGGAATAACGAACGATGTGCAGATGATAAGTGCGGTCTGTTAAAGACGTCGATTAGCTCGCAGGTTAACCCATCAAATGTGCATTAATTTGAATGGGAAGTGGAGAGTTCAGAATCAAGTAAACTGTAAACAGATATTTCGTTTTGTGATGATGGAGGCGTGTACCTTCAGTCAACATTTTCAGAAGAGGAATTCCTTATGTGAGGAAGAAGAACGCTTCTTTTAAGATAGTCTAGTTACAGTTTTGTTTTTTAAAAAACATACTTTTATTTTCATTGGAATCCTGGAATATTAGAGGTGGAATCTACCTTGGCGGTAGATCTATGCAGGTAGATCTCTATGCAGGATCTTCGATGCTGGATGCAAATATAGTATGCCTTAAAAAATGGCAGCCCAGTCTCCAGCAAAGGAGAGCCCAATGCCTCTCAAGGCAGTCTTTTTGCAGGTCCCATAGCTCTCACTCCAATATTTAACAAAATTGCTTCCCTGCAATTCCCACCCATCGATCCTACTCCTGCCTTCTGTGACAACTCTGTAGATATTGGAGGACTGCTATTATTCCTCCCATTAATCTCTTCTCTAGGCCAAATACTGTATACCCAGCAATTTTATTGCCTAAAAAGCTTTTATATGATTCCATCTTGGCTTTTTGGCTAAAATAAAAGGTAATGTGTGTAATTGGTTAATCTAACAGATCAATCCATTGAAAGTGTTGCAGTTTTGCCAGATTTATAACCTTGTTAACCCTAATTCAAAAAGCTAACTCTGTTGTAGCACAAACAGTTGTTGCTCTGGGACCATTTATTGTGGGATCAGCTTCCACAGACTACCAAAGAGGTGGAGAATCTGTAGCCTTTCAAACTGTTGTTGGACTCCAACTCCCAGTAGCACCAGTCACCATGACTAATGGCCAGGGGTGATGGGAGTTATAGTTAAACAACATCTGGTTCCACATCCCTGGAAAATGGATTTCAGTTGGGCAATGTGACAAAGTGAATTCCATTCAGTCTATGAAATCTTTGTGGTTTTAAGGTGCCACAAGAGTCTGGGGGGCCTAGTGGTTTTGAGTCCCCGACCAGAATGCACAGGTTTTTAGAAACAGTTTTTACTTTATTGTAACCTGCCCCCAAAAACACAAAATTAGTATTTCATTAAATTGGTATTGGCTTTCCAGCATGTTGTGACCAACAGGCTTCAGGATAAAAGACCCTACTTTCAGAGAGGTGTAGAACAGCTTTTATTTCAGTGCTCAGACACCTTCAGAAGAACTTCTCTCACTAATAATAATAATAATAATAATAATATAATGTATATTTGTGGAATGGAATGCTGTCAAACTAGGACAAAGAGCTGAAGAGAGGCAGTTCAAAATCAAATGCATGTAAATGTTACAATTACAAACACGGAAAATGCCAAAACCCAATTTAAGCATCAAGTGTAGAAACAGGGCTGAAACTAGACTTTATTTCACCCGGTTAAAGACCTAGTTTGGCACACCCGGGGTGCACAATTGCATCCAGACATACAAAGGCTAGGAATCTCAATGGTACCTTTCTGGAGGCTTAACCCAGGGTAAAAAAATCTGGCTAGCCCCCTAGTAGCTAAGGCCCTGTGTATAAATGCTTCACCAATTACTTTCCATTTGGATCAGGGAAAAGAAATCCTAACTCAGGATCCACCAGGTTTAACTGGCCTTTCAAATGCTTTTCAGGTCTTGATGAACTGAATGCTGGAGGGCACAAACTGAAACATTACCAGGATTACTGCTTTAAATGACCCAAGTGTCATTAGTTTAGCTGGAAGCATAGAAATCTGCTGGAAAACTTAAAAAAACTAATCATGTGAAATGACCCTACGCACTTACGCAGTGGCGTAGCGTGGGGGGTGCAGGGGGGGCCGGCCGCACCGGGCGCAACATGGGGGGGGGTGCTCGCACTCGCAGCTCTCTGCCCCTACCTCGAGTGCTAAAATCCACAGGTTAGGGGGCGCAAATTACTTGCCTTGTCCCGGGTGCTGACAACCCACGCTACGCCACTGCACTTACGTATACAAAACTATCCATGTGTCTACAATTTCTCTCTCCGCATGTTGCTTTGTGGGGACTTGGCCCTGAAAAGCAGCTAATAAATAGCTGGAATGCACGAATGAAAACAGAGATATGTGCTCGATTGTGAGTTGCGCTCCTCTCCTCACACACTGGAGGAGGAACGTCCTTGCCCCACTACAGCTTCGTCTCTCAGGCTGGAGCTGACATTGTGGGACCCACAAGATCTTTCCCTCTTAAGTGAAAGAGAAAGCTGTGGGAGGAAACGCAGAGGCTCTGGGGCCGATTCAGTTCTCCCGCCTCCCCCAGATCTTTTAATAGCCAGATTACTACACATTTCCTGTAATCAAAGGAGAGCCCTTGCGTTTGAAAGCCCAAGGCAGGGCAATGGGGCCCCACACTCTTTTCGCCCCAAAGCCCTGACTCCGCTTCCCGCCGCCCCCCCCCCGCCTTGTGTCTGTGGACAAAGCACTCTGTACATGCCCAGAGGCGCTCTCGTCTATTGCTGTGTGCGTTCCCGTTCTCAACTCAAGCACCTGGGTGCTTCCTATGGGCCGGTTTGCTTATAAACACCCGCGGAGAGCAAGGGCCAAATGGGCACTTTAGACAATCGCTGCTCCCGAACGGAATCACGGCTCCCAGACGCAGATTTGCTTTGCGAGAACCCTCCCGGTGTACGCATGCGCAGACGCGCTCCCTCGAGGTCCGAGGCGGAGCCGCGTCCGCCGGCTTTGATTGGCGTGCGACGGCGAGGCTGTGCGGGGACTATTTTTCTTGAGGTACTCTGCATGGGTGGCGTAGGGAGACGGTTGGCTGTGCTGCGACCTCCTTCCAGTAGTTTCTTCGCGAGGCTCCTCGCTCCCTCCCTCCCTGTTCGGCTTGTGGCTTTTACCTCGCGCCCGCTTTCCCGCCTTGCGGGAATGCTTCTGACGCAGCGGCGGGCTCATTGCGTGGCCACCAGGGGGAGCCTTAACTCAGGCCTCTGCCGCACAAGCCGTGCATTTAAACCACCCAGACCCCCAAGAATGCTGGGAACTGTAGCTTAGCTCTACACAAAACTACAATTCCCAGCACCCTTAAACTACATTTCCCGGGATTCTTTTTTTTGGTTGTGGTGTGCTTTAAATTCGTCGTGTGCTCACCCATGAGATCCAGCAACCAGAGCGCCATGCAAATGTCGACAAATAGTTCTGAAATCTAGGATTTTTGTGTGTGTGTGAGGACCAGAATTGAACCCAGCTAGCATTCCCCCCCCCCCACACATAATTTTTCTTGATTTCAACAGTGCAGTTTGGTGTGGGGAGGGACACATTTTGGACATTACTAAAAATCATCCAAAATATTACCAATTCATCCTGATCTGCTTTCTGCCTAGCCTACCTCTGTATAGGCCAGATAGTACAGTGGTACCTCGGGTCAAGAACTTAATTCGTTCCGGAGGTCCATTCTTAACCTGAAACTGTTCTTAACCTGAAGCACCACTTTGGCTAATGGGGGCCTCCTGCTGCCGCCGGAGCATGATTTCTGTTCTCATCCTGAAACAAAGTTCTTAACCCGAGGTAATATTTCTGGGTTAGCGGAGTCTGTAACCTGAAGCATATGTAACTTGAAGCGTATGTAACCCGAGATACCACTGTAATTGTGTTTATTTTTGTTTGTGTAACTCAGCTGTGGTCAACCTTTTTATACCTACTGCCCACTAATGCATCTTTCTTGATAGTAAAATTTCCTTACCGCCCACCAGCGCTTGATGGAAGGAGGATTCAGCAAGTGCTGTAAAACCCCCTACCGCCCACTTAGAATCCTGAAACGCCTACTAGTGGGCGGTAGGGACCAGGTTGACAACCCTGGTGTAACTGGTGCTGCAAAAGCAAGAGAGGCTGCCTTGGCCAGGTGCCCAGCAAGCCATGAGAGGGTTCAAAATCCTGGTGGCCCCAAAGTTCACTGTGGGTGACCTCTCAGCCTAGCCTGCTTCACAGGCTGTTTGTGAGGATGATAAAATGGGGTAACTTCATCCATGTGCTATCATGTGCCCACCACTCTGGAAACCCTGGAGGAAGAGGCGGGGGATATAAATGTGAGAGACAAAATAGATACAAGGGAAAACTGTCACTCTAATGCTGCCCCCTAAGCTTTATATAGCTTAGTAGGAATTTGAACCAGCATCTCCTGCCCACTAACAATGGCCCCATCTGCACTTTACATTTAAAGTAGCATCATACCACTTTAAATTCATGGCTCCCCCCCCCAAAGAATCCTGGGAAATGTAGTGCATTAAGGATGCTGAGAGTACTTAGGAGGCGTATAGTCCCATCAGAAAGCTACAACTCCCAGAGTTCCCTGGGAAGAGAGATTGAATGTTAAACTGCTCTGCTCCAAAAGGATCTCTTCAAACTGAGTGAATGGCTATTAACGTGAAAAATGCAGTTCCGTGTAAGAAAGTGTACAGTTGGGGCAAAAAATCCTAACTTTACCTAGATGCTTATTATGGGATTGGAACAGACAGTAACTGTCCAGGGAAAAGATGCATAGTAGATAGCTCCATGAAAATGTTTAACTGGTGAATCTCATGCTAGGACCATAGCTGTCAACCTTCCATTTTTTTTGCGGGAAATTCCCTTATTCCAGCGCCGTTTCCCGCTGTTATTCCGGATTGTTAGATATCCCGTAGACTGTCTCCAGGACAGGTGAGGCTGCTGACCCCTTATTTTCAAGGCTGCTGATCCCTTATTTTCAAATCTGAAAGTTGACAGTTATGGCTAGGATCTCTAAGAACGGGAACAACAACAAAACTATCCATATCATAATGCCAATAAACAAACATCTATAGTTCAGTCAAACTTTGAATACTGTGTACAGTTTTGGTCACTACATTTCAACAAGGGTATTGTAGTGCTGTCTTAAAATGGGACTCAAATGTTTGCTCGGATATAAAATTTCAGGGAAATATATTTTGAGAATGACTTTTTTTTTAAAAAAACCAACTTTTGCCTTGCAGTATAGAAATATGGCCAACAGGTGGTGTTCTAGTTCTACTATTGCCTTCAGAAGCCAAAGCCAATAACAAGCAATGTTTGGAAAGCTTTACCTCTTGTATGTAGTTGACATTTGTCTACTTATACTTAACACTTCTCCCCCTCCCCCCTTGAATGTTGTACCACCTCCAGCCCCCCCGCCCACCAGCTGAAGTTTCCAGATACAAAATTGCAGTAACTAGTGGAAAATTTGTGAAAGCATTATTTTCTGGAGTAGAGCTGAGCAGGCAAGACCTTCTGCCTCGAACTTCTCTCTACCCATTGTTCTTTGTAGTGTTAAAGGGGTAGAGGGAGTTTCAAGATGCAAACTGCCTGCAGAGCATTTAACATATGGTAACTCAGTTCTTGTAGTTCGTTCAGTACTAACACACCATCAAGCTTTTAACATGTCTGGTCATTTCTTCTAGTAGTGTTTGGCTGTGCTCTCATCCAAGTGCTGGATGCAATCTCATCCAAGTGCTCTTCCCCTAATTTCCCTCTTCATATTTAACCATTCTAATAATTAACAATTCTGCAGTCCCATACACACTTACAACAGAACTTCTCTGCAGGCATATACGGAATGTGCTGTTCATTGCGAACCTTTACCTCCCATACACTTTTCTCCACACCTTTCACAAGATAAGGTTCCAGGCATGTTTTTTAATTATAAAAAAGCAGTCCTATTTTTAACGCATCTCCTAATTTAATAATACAAATCTCTTCCACACACTAGAGGCCTATGAGCTTCTCCCCCCCCCCCCAAAAAAATAATAAAAAATATATATCACAAGCATTGCCTTTTTTTAAACAGAGTACAAACAAAACAACTACAATCCTGAGCTTTATAAATCCAAGGAGGGCAGGAGACAAGCTGAGAATGGATTGCAAGTGCCTTGGGCCTTTGCTCTAAACAACCAGGGCAGGGGAGGGTATGGGATGAGGTCTGCCATCCACTATAGCATTTCCTGAATTCCATGCATTAAAATGCACTCCTTCGGTCCTGCCACCTGGTGACCATGTGAGTAGAAAGTTGTCAAAGACATGGAGGCAGTTTTAAAACCGGGGCATGTTCTGTTTGTATACAAAATGGCAAATGCACACACATATTTACAAAGGCAAAGTAAAAGGGAGTAATTCGAGACTCCAGGACTATGGCTGTTGAAAGCAATACTCTCCATCATTGGCTTGCTCAGTCATATTCTCTCTCTCTCTCTCTCTCTCTATATATATATATATTCACACACACACTTCCGCCAGTTATGGGTCAGGAGTAGCCAAGGTAGCCTCCTCCTTGGACTTGGCACTCTTACCATGCTCTTTTCATAGACAGAAACCAGCTATGCCTTGGGGAAATGTGGCTTGGGAGTGCCAGAAGTCCACCTCAAGAGAAGGGTTGCCTTCCAGAGGCAGGACAGGACACCCGATTGACAGAACTCTGGGTATAACCTCTAATTATTGCCAAAACATTGGGATTTCCCCCATCAGATAGCAGATGCCAGATAAGCTTGGACACTTAGGAGCAAGTCCTTCCAACCAAGGCAGGGGTGGGAGACTGAAGTGGCAGTGAGGTGCAGGGGAAGAATCCCTTTAACGGAGCAGCGGAGACTGCAATGGCGTTCAAAAAAATAGAAGTAGGGCAGACATTCTTAAGCCAATCCCTGCATAAGGAAACACGGTAAATGGTCCTGGGTTTGGGAGGCAGGACAGACAAATACCCCGATGTCAACGGGAGCGCAGAGGGTTGGCACAATCCTTGGAAGTGGAGGTCATTCACAGCTGGCAGTAGAAAAGATGGGAAGGCTGGGCGTATTGCACAGAAGAAGAGCCAGGCCGCTAGCGCAGCCCCACTGCAGGCCAAGAAGTGCTTGAGTCAGCTAAGGCAGTGAATTCCCGGGCAGCAGGCAAAACATCTTCCCTGGCACTGTGGCCTCTCTGAGCTAATCCTCTGCCCGCAAAGCATTCAGAGTGTGTCTGTTAGATGGCTTGTCGGATTGGGAAGGAAAGGACAGCCCCCAAGGCCAGGCCCAACGAGAGGAAGAATGCCATGATGGTCCCAGCCGTCTCTGCTTCGTGGGACAGCACTTTCCTAGTGGGGGAAGGAAGGAGAAAACCTGGTCAGTTCAGGGCCGACACCCTGTTACCCAAGCCACCAACTGCTTGCACACAGTCCTTTCAGTGAGTCAGCCCAACAAAGGGTTTCAGACAGCAGGTGTGCCAGCTCTGCCTGGAGATGCCAGGGGCATGTAGCTGGGCTTGCTTATATTCTTCCCTTCGCCTCTCCCATTTAAGAGTGTAAGCCCCTTGGGGCAGAGGCCTGCCTTTAAGGTTTCGTTTGTTTCCATCACTCTGTAGGCACCAGTGTGCCAAGTGCATGGGCAGCGCTGTGCCAAAAACCCGGGCAATAGCTTGCTAATCCCAAACCAGAAGTGCAGAGGTGGCCCAACATTATGCTGCTAAGGGAGCTCAAGGGAAGCACAAACCCTGCATGCAGCTCCCACCTTGGCATATCTAGTTGATGGACTGAAGCTGGGGCCTCAAGCACTAGAAAGGAGCTGGCAATTATTATCGATGGTTGAGATTAACTGGAATCATAGAACTGTAAAGTTGGAAGGGACCCCGAGGGCCATCTAGTCCAACCCCCTGCAATGCAGGAATCTCAACACAGGGTGCCCCATCCAATTTTAAACCAGACCGGACCCTGCTTAGCTTTGCAAATGTGCTAGCAGTTTTATTGCTGCGCCACTACCTCATGGGTGAAGAATCTTAGGTCCAGGGGACAAATGTTCAGTCCTTTCTATCTGGCCCTAGGGCCGCTCACCAGGCCACACCCATCCCCAGCCATGCCACATCACTGTTCCTCTCCCACACCCTCATCAACTTGTTTGTTTGCATGACTGTAATGTGTCCTTGAGCTCTGATAAAGCCTCTTGCTTGCCTGGATGGGATTGTGTTTGACTGGCTACATATTTTGACTGTTAATGAGATGACAGCACCATCTAGTGGAAGTCGGGAGGTATTGATATTCATCATTTGTGGTGGAGGCTGAAAGCTTATTTCAGGGTGTGCTTATTTTAGGGTTGCCCAAAACAAAACAAAAGCATTTTGTACATATTTTGGCTATTACTGAGATCATTACATTATAATAAAATATCATACTATTATTGTTATTATTATTATGTAGGCTATCATTGAAACACCCAAACAAGGCCTCACAAGGCCCAATAATCAGCTGATGGTGCTTTGCAAGCTGTGCCTTGATTTCAAGGACAGGCAAAAATACAGGTCACCTGGCAACAGTGGCATCAGGTGTCTGACAGGTGGGTGAATCAGCACTTTGCACAGGGCTCTTCAGTGCCTACAACCGCCCCCCCTTCAGCTCAGTAGGGTGGGTGGGTGTGCCTGGGCTGCAATGGCCTCACAGACCAAATGAGAAGGCATGGAAGACCTAATTAGCCCCACATGACAGAAACTCCCCACCACTGATCTAGTGTTTTGCAGAGTGTGGAAAACTGGGATGCACACAGGTTGACCGAAACATGAAGCAACGCGAGGCAGTTACAAATAGAATCTTTGTCTATCTACAATGCCCTAGATTTTGAAGTGGTTTCAGATGGAGGCAATGCTGTGCTTCGCCATGTGGTTGGAGGCCGTCTCCTGCTGCGAAAAATTCCCTGAACCCAAGGAAATTGCTGTGGACCAATGCGGTAGACCAGTGGTTTTCAACCAGTGTGCCGTGGCACCCTGAGGTACCTTGAATGATGGCAACACAGGCCTCTGTCCCTCTTTTCCTCTCGCATCTCTGCCTCCCAAAGGCTTGCACAGCTGTTTGTTGCAGCAGCCCTGGCTACAAGCTCCAGAGGCGGAAGGAGGAAGCAAGCAAGCAGGTGAGGAAGCCCAGCCAGCCAGTCCACCAGCCCTTGCTGTTGGGAATGGACAGACTGGTAGGAGGCCAAGCAGGCAGTGTGCAAGACCTGCTTGGGAGCTGAGTGTGTCTGATGCTGAAGGCGGGAGCCTTTCTGCCATGCAAGCCCAGCAGTGCCCACTGCTGGCTGCTAAGGTGAGTAAGGTGCTGGCCTCACATTCACCTCTGGCCAGTCTCCGTCAGGTTGCTAAGGCTGGGGGCATCCTCTTCCCAGGCCCTTGAGGGGCGGTGTGAGGAGCACCTCTATTTGGGGCAGGGGGTGCAGCTCAGAGAGCAGAGGACTCCCAAGGAGAGAAGGCTGAAGGAACACTCCACAAGGGAGGGTATTCAAAAAGGGGTGAGGGGTTGCCAGCTCTGCAGGCAAGGGGTGATACAACAGGGCTCCTGAGCCCCATAGGGGTGCTGCAGAAAAAATGTAGCTGGTCAAGGGAGCTGTGGGCTTGAAAAGGTTGAAAACCTCTGTGGTAGACGACTAGTAGTCAATTTGCAATTTGGGCTGCAAGTGCAATTTGGGCTGCAATGATAGCCCTGCAGGCAAACTCCATGCCAGTTCCCATACAGCAGGAGAAGCAGAGTTCAAGTTTGGCCTTTTTGCTCAGGCCTGCCTTCCACTCAGACGATTACTCACTTGGGTCCAAAGCACATGCAGAGACTGGCCAGGTAGCCATTGGAGATGGAGAAGAAGAACATGAAGACAATGTACCAGGCATCATGGGCAAAGAGGACAGGCAGGTGTCTGCGTGGTTCCACATTACACAGCATGAAGAGGGGGATGAAGACCACACGGGCAACCACCATGATGGGCAGTAGGCGGCTGTCCTTCCCAGGCTGTATGAAATGGAGGAGAAGACAATTAGTAGTTGTCAGGCTTCAGGGAATTCTATCCCTCCCCCGGTGGCAGCAAGAAGCAGAGAAAACAAGGAAGAGTTCTTACTAATGAGTTTATTCAATCACCAAGGCGGGAGACAAAGGAATGCAGTCTGTATCCCGTTAATGGCGTTGCTCCAACTGATCTCCTCCCCTCTCCCTAGCAACAGCCCTTTCCCTTATGGTGGCCGCCAGGGGCTAATTGCTCTTGCACTCTCAATGAATGCCAAATTCTGGGAGAAGCAGGGTCAGAAATACTCTCCAGTGATAACGTGTCACCTGGCTGCTCTGTCTCTGTCTCCTCCTTCTCTTCTCCCAACTCTTCTGTTCACCTGTCTCTGAGCTGTGACCTTCCTCAAACCACTGCTGTAATTCAATACTGCCTTCCTCTTCTATGGAAGCTTCAGGAAGGGGGGGGGAGAGATCTCCACCATTCCTCATCAAGCTCATCCCCCTTCAGTCCAGTCCCTGACAGCAGTAAGCTGCTGGTATTTCCTCCCAATGCAAGTAGCTTCAGAGGAGCAATTTTGGTCAGGATTACAACTGGGTTGTAAGGGCTAAACTCCCCTTCCTTTCTATTGAAATCCTGGTATTTATCAGATGCATCAGCAGATAGCTAGGTATATTTCAGAGTATGCATATTACATTTAACATCAAACACATTATATGTCACATCTCGTTGGCTCCATGCTATAGAATCTCCCTGCTCATTCTTCCCTGCTCATTTTTCCCTGCTCACTGGAAGACATATTGTTCTCTGGGCTGACTGAGAATATACAACAGTACAAACTGCAGCTCTGCGCTCTTAATTCTGCAATTGTTAAATGGGGAGGTGGGCTCCCAATATTATTCTGTATTTAAAACAGCACTTGTTTAGTCGTGATTTAGTTGACCAAAGCAACTGACAAAACTATTTCTTATTTTGAACATCTTTATCCTAGTTTGTACCTGTACTAGATTTGAAACTGTTTTTACATATAAAAGCGTTCTTGTTACAATTTTTTTTAATATATGAAATTGCGCAATTGTTTTTATTGCAAACATCAGTAAGGAGCTATTTTGTGGGAAATGATTATAATAAATGGAGTTAAGAAAAACAATAAGATCCTAAGGGAAAAGAGAACAAAGTCGTGCCTGAGCCAGAAGAAACCATCAGGAAAACAACAACCCATACATACAAAATGAGTCCCTGCCCCATGGAGCCTTTGGTCTATTCGTTTCCATGAGGGTACAGATTTGCTCAGCAAATCTCATGTATGTTCAGTCTAGCCTACCAACATACCCTTGTGGGTTCTGTTTTGTGAACTGCTGTTATCTTCCCACTGAAATTACACACCAGAGAGAACAGTCTGTTCCTCACACGCATCCTTAGGCTGTGTAGTTGCAGTCTGTCGGCCAAATCATGGGGAGAAGTGACTCCACAGAGGTCACAAAGGACATCTGGAAGTTGAGGGTTTTCCCACTTTCCCCTCTCATTGGGCACTTCCTCCCACCAAAGTGGGAGAACTTGTGCAGAGCTCCACAGACACACTCCTCTGTGCCCAAGCAAAAGGAGAGCAAAGGAAAATGATCGAAAGAGCCGCTGGACGCTTCTGCCCTGGATTGCTTGGGTCGCTGGCAATGGCAAAGTGCTGCACAATAATTCCACAGATGCAATACGTGGCAAAGAAAGCAGCTGGAAAAGCCACTCACACTATGGAACAGCTCACCCTTCCCTGAGCTTTGGCAAGGGGACCTGGCAAAACCTCGATAAGTGCCTGCATATTGCAATGCTCACATTAGTCTCCAAAATACTTTCTAGATCCTTACCCCATGCACAAAGGTCAGCTAGTTCAAAAGCCTCCCAAGAGAACGTCCTTAGTATTGGCTGACAACAGCATATCCACAATCTAAACTCGAGATGTTTTGCAGCCTAGCTCTCTTGACTGAGCCTTTGGGGAAAGGCGATAGCTCAGCTGCAAAGCAGGAAAACCGTGTGCTTAAAATCCTAGTACCAGCACTGTGTAAAACCCCTACCCAAAGCCTGTCAGAGTAGGCCACACTGAGCTAGATGGTCTGATTCCATATAAGGCGGCTTCCAATGACAACATGAGGCCTGTAATTTGCCTCATAGCTATAAGCATGACTCCTGATTGAAACAGGTCAGGTGATCCTTTAATTCCCTTCTTCTTGTTATACAGATAAGAGTTCAGGACAGTACTTTAAACTGGGTTCTCCATAGCTCAGGACTGCTAGAGGACCTTCAAATTGCCTTCTTTTGCCATCATTTCTCTCTCCCTTCCCCTGCCTAATCCCCACATTAAATGGATACAGCTAGCTGTAAGACTGCATAATCCTCAAGAAAGCTTCACACACACAGAGCTACTGGCAGTCACCCAAAATGTTGTTGAACTGTTACACACATAGCTATATATAGAGAGAGAGAGAGAGAGACAGAGAGAGAGTTCTTATGAACTATTTCCATTATTTTTCCATGTACAATACTAATAAGAGCCAGAAAATACTGCCTAGGTTGACAAAATGGCTTAGCGTGCACAACTGCTAAGGGGTCTTGATTCAGTACAGCTTTCCTTAAGACCTCAACAGAATGTCCCAACTTTTCCAAAAATGGGGAGGGGGGGGAGAATCACCCACAAAGGCAGAATTATATACTGTAGCAGAGATCAAATTCTTAGTCCTGATTTACTGGAGAACTTTCCACCAAATGGGTCATGACATTATAAAGACCAGAATTAGACTTCCTGGGGGTTTAACTAGTCCCGGTTTGCCAAATTGGCACTGGTCCCTTATCAAAACATGAGAAGCTGGATGGGCCTATATCTAGGCACTTCAATAACAGTGGGGCGAGCAGCCCTCCATCCACCTCGGTGTTGACCATGCTGTGGTGAACGAACACAACTATTAGTTCTGCCAAAAGAGGAGGCAGGAGGAAAATGGATCTGCCAGAGGAAATGAGGGGCCTGGGTGGATCATGAGGCTCAAACCACATACAAAGAGGCAGTCTGTGGCATCAGACTTCCCACACTGCTGTTTTGCAAGCATTATTTGTACATCCATCTCTTTGCATGGGCAAACGGGAGAGCAGCCAACAGAGAGAAGCAAAAGGTGAAGTTGGGCTCGGACTTCCCACAGAGGTCTATTGACTTAGACCAGGATGGGGTCTCTTATTGGTGTGCACCAATATATTTATCTGAACTGCGGGGGCCTAGGCCAAAGTGGTGAGCTGTAGTGCAGGTGCTCATCTGGCAGAGGGGCCCAAGAGGAAACCTGCTTCTCACAACCCTCCATCCACAGATCTTGGGCTGGGCTGCCAGAGCCCTTTCTCTGTTGACTGGCCCCCAGCACGCCGCCTCTGTGCTGTACCAGACAGCCTGCTCATTGAGAGACTGCAAGCGTGGGCTTGTTTACTAGAGTCTGCAATCGGTGAGGTGTTTTTCTCCATGGGGGCGGGGGACACAGAGGTGTGCCTCTTTCATGTGCCAAGCAAAACCATGAGCTGTCTTTGACTCTTCCCTCCCCACCTCTGCACTTCTTATTCTTTCCACGGTTGCTCATGTCTCTGGTTAGCCAAGCATCAGCTTTGCCTCCCACTTTCCCTCCTGTTTTTGAAGTCTCTTCCTTTACACCCCTTTCCCCTTCCTTCACTATTCCCAGACACTTTATTCCTCTCCACAGCAACTGTGGCCTTCTGTGGTACCTTAAAGCTTACACAACACACACTGACTCACCCCTCTGTCACTGCCTGGCATCTCCTGGTCTACGACGGTCAGGCAGCTCAGCTCAACTTGCCTCTCCTTAACCTTAAACCATAAGAACTACAGGGCCAGAGCGAGACATAGCTGAACAATAAAGCTGGTTGTAATGATGGAGAGTGGCAAAGGATCCAGTGAGACTCTGGGCAGTGACCCCTTGGCAGATGCCCAACCCATGTCAACCCTTGATGCCAGGCCAATATGTTGCATGTTCCGCAGAGGGCCATGAGGTGAAACTGACTATGCTCAATCCAGTCAGGGGGCATCTTAATATGAACCACAACTTCAAGAAGCAAGAGAAAGTGTGCTGTGAGGGCTATTCCTTCAGCTCCATTTGTGGCACATTCTCTCTACAGATACATATTTTCAGCTCTAACTATTCTCTACTACTCTATACAAAACTGTGAATCCATCTGCCCTCATTCGGAGGCAAAAAAAATAAAAAATGGAAGAAATAATACCCGCATATCTCAGATGGAAAGACAGGAAGTTTCTAAAAAGCCAATGGAGCCTGACCCAAAAAATGAAATATAAAGTAGGGGGGAAATGGCTGTTTTTAAGTCTCGGTATTCAACTGGGTCCAGTATATGGACATCCTTTTTCAGCCCCCTGCTTCAGGGGTCTGTAGAATTCAGGCCCTCTCAGATCTAATTTGTGTTTTCACTAGAACCCCACAGACTCAAGAGCCAAGTGCAAAAGACGCAGTTAAAATTAAGAGAACAGGGTGCCTCAAAGCACACTTTAGGAATTTAGTTTTTCAGTACTGGAACTGAACTGAGCACACAGTCCTTTCACCTAAAAGCCCATTCCTGGTTCGCTCATTTCGGCAGCTTAAATATACTTGCAAAAGGTAGTTTTGTTGTTTGCCATTGTTCAACAATTGCAAGCCAGAAATCTTTGCCCATCCAATCTCCCACAAAATCAACAAGTATAGATCCCAATCAACTTTCTACCCATCCCAGCTCGACTTCACATGAACATGCCTTTTCTTGATAAAAACAGAAGAAGAGCCAGTTGGATCAGGCCAGCATCCTGTTCTCTCAGTGGCCAGCAGATCCCTACGGGAAACCCGCAAGCAGGATTCAAGCACAAGAGCTCCCTTCCCTCCTGTGGTTTCTAGCAACTGGTATTCAGAAACATTACTGGCTGTTGTGCTAACTTGTTTAATGAGCTTTAGGAAGGGTAGGCTCTGTCTGGTTAAGCCAATACCAATGGCCTTTCTAGTGGATACTCACCCACATGCAGACAGCTGTAAGGCTCCGACCTGCCCAGTCAAAGACATTAAACGTCAGGAAACAACAGACTGCGATAAAGTAATCAGCTGAGGAGAGAAAGAAGTGGAGAGGAGGAATCAGTTCCAGGACCTCAGTCCCCTGCTATATTCAAACAGAGCGACAGCAAGCCCCAGGGCTAGGCCCAGGCAAATGGTACAGAATGCTTGAGGTGCATGTAAGCCACACACTTCCGCCTTCTTTGAACATGGAACATGCTGCTGATGAAATGAGCCCTGCAGCCATGGATCAGTCTGTTCCTGTACCCAGTCACTATGGGAACACTAGTGAGTGGTGTCAAACTGGTGAAGAAAACTCAGCTCTTTGAGATACATGCAAAAAAACCACAACCCCTCCCAAAATAGTAGGTTAAGGACTGGGGGAAGAGCATCCCACATGCAGGACTTGGTGGTTGTGGAAATTTCCTTCATTCTTTCCCTTTCGATACTGTTCTGTCTTATCAAAGCAGCAAAAGGTTTCCTCCTACCCCGATAAGACACCCTCTGAAATCTTCTCTGTTCTCCACTGTGAAATCATACTCCCTTCTTTAGCATACTTTTCATGCTCACTGCTCATGAGAACTTATCTATATAATATGCATGGATTGTCACAGCCCTCTGCTATTCCTTTCCCAACAAATAATGTCGCCGATAATTGTACAGAGTCTGTTGTATCATGAATGCATGGTGTAAATGCAGAGAGGTATGGTGAGAAGAAATAAGAAAACGTGCATGTTTTGTCCAAGCAGGATGTAGAAACTTAGAACAGGAAGGATGCATTTAATTTTCAGACCCATTTCCACCCTAGTCAGTGTTGATCAAATATTCTTCTTCCAACAGATAATCCTCCCTTCAAAGTCTTTCAGCTCTCCAGGCTAAACCTGCCCAGTCCACACTTAATGCCCTCCTGCTCTTACCCACAGTTGATGGCGGCCTTCTCAAACTTAATGCACTTCACAAGTTTTGGACTACAACTTCCATCAGCCCTAGCCATGCTGGATGGGTATGATGGGAGTTGTAGTCCAAAACATCTGGAGAGAACAAGGTTGGGGAAGGCTGCTTTATGGGGTTACAGCTGATGTTGGTATGATGGTGGTGTAACTTTATTCAAGCTAAGCAGGCACCAGCCAGGTTAGTTCCTGGATAAAAGGCTGCCTAGGAGTCCCCATGTAAGGAGTTCTGAGCCCCACAAATGAAGGGTGGGCTATTCATGTATTTTTAGTCTGCCAAAATCTCCCAGGGTTTGGCCATCAATAGTCCTGATCCCAGCCACTTCCAATGGAGTGCACTTTCACTTACCCCAAAGTGTCTTTCCCGCAATGGTTGGTGTTACTTCAACAGTGACAACTGGGAAGACCCCAATAGTGACAGTAAAGACAAAGCAGATACAAGCGGCCATGACCCAGATCTGGTGAAGAAAATGGAATAGGTATACATGAAGACAAATTCAGGGCAAGAAAACCCCAGAAACATGGATGTGGGACAGGCCCATTCCAAGGCCTAACCTCGGAAGAGCCAACTATTCCAAGGCCCATTCGAAGTTCCAATACCTTTTTGAAAATGCTCAGTACTGAAGGGTTGTGGTCTGGTTCACGGGAGGCCCCATTTGCAGCATGTGGAGGTTCCACACCATTGAGGTCATCTGCAGAAAAAGACAATGTTTAGAATGATTTCTCACACTTTTTAAAATTATGATAATTTCTGATAAAGTACACTATGCCTGAGTATTTGCTGGACCTTCAAACTTCCTTTAAATTTGTTTTTATTATGAGTTTTCATAGGAGGTTGTTAATAACTGGCCCACAAAAGTTAAAACAATAATAAAGAAAATCCTAACATAGCACTAACAGATCTGGGGTAGGGACCCTGTGGCTCTCTAGACGACACTGTACTAAAACTCTCATCATCCCAACCATTGACCATGCTTCCCAGGAATCACGGGAGCTGGAGTCCAGCAACATCTGGAGGGCCACAAATTTCCCCACTCCCCGTGCTAGGGATATTCAAATGTTTACAAGCGAGAAATGCTGGGTTGGTTGGTAGAAGAGGGGAGATTATAACAGTGCACATCAATGAAGACCATCGTTCCAAAACAGGGAATAGGATACAAGTTGAGCATAAGGGTTCCGTGGCTTATGTAATTTATTTATTTATGCAGATAAATCATACGGAGAATAACCATGCGGAGAATAAAAAAGTAAAAATGTGTCATAAATCCAAAACACTCCCCTACAATTCCTTCTGTAGTAAGAAAGGCTCTGCCATGTGCCTGAAGTTCAACAAGGAGGTCTAATCTCTCTCTCTCAATCTCTCTCTCTCTCTCTCTCTCTCTGTGTGTGTGTGTGTGTGTGTGTGTGGAGTTCCATAGATAGAAGCTATGCATCCAGTGTTGTGGGTCCTAATGCACGAGGGGTGCATTTGAGCTATGGGAAACCACCAACAGGGGCTCCACTCAAGATTTCAGTGTTTGAGCCAGGATATAAAAGATCAGATGGCCCCTTATGATATCCTGGAGCTGAGTTGTTATGGTAAATTAACACAAGAACCTTGAACCTGGTCCTGCAACATATGGGCAGCCACTGCAATGAGTTATGGGCTGGCAGTAGCCTCTCCCTCTCAGCGATGCAGCCACAGCATTTTGCGCCAGGCGATGTGCGAGGGTAGCCCCACACCGAGCGCATAGCAATAACAGCGTCTTGCGGTTACAGTGCATGAATCATTGTAGCCAGGCTATTCCTGCACCATGGTGGCCATATAGTTGGCAGACCTGCCATAGATGGCAAAAGGTACTCCTAATGTTACCTTGGGGAATTGCCCAAATAAAGCGGGCCACTGGTGTGTTAGAGGAGTTATCATTTGCTGCATATATTCTGTAATAGGGATGAGGAATATGTGGCTTTCCAGATGTTGGATAAAATCTGCCATTGTCCCTGACCATTGGCCATTCTGTTGCAGCCCAACAACAGATTCCTCAGCCCTGTACTAAAGCATATTTTGACTGTTACTAAGTGCTGGTGGGGACCCCCACCCCCATAACTGAATTGGAAGCATACTTCCCAGCCCATCATCTCTTCCTTCTTTTACCTTTCTTGATGAGGTCCATCTTGGTTTCCACCTCAGAGTAGGCCTCATGGGTCCGATATTCTGTCTTATCCTTCATGGAGTAGTAGCGGAAGAAGTCCTGTTGAGAAAACCAGGGCGTAGCATAGAACATGTGTTGGTGTGGAATGTAAAAACAACTATAACATAGTGGTGGCAAAGGGAAAGATAATAATAATAATAATAATAATAATAATAATAATAATAATAACAATTTATTTATACCCCACCTATCTGGCTGGGTTTCCCCAGCCACTCTGGGTGGCTTCCAACAGAATATTAAAATACAATAACCTATTAAACATTAAAAGCTTCCCTAAACAGGGCTGCCTTCAGATGTCTTCTAAAAGTCTGGTAGTTGTTTTTCTCTTTGACATCTGGTGAGAGGGTGTTCTTGGGTGATCTTGGGAACTCTTCTGAAGCAAAAAACTGAGACTCCTTGTGGCTCCACAGACCTATTGTTGAGAATGGGACACAGAGCCTGCTCCCACCTCCCTGCAAAATGGTGCCCATTGGCCAGGAATACAAGGAACTGCCCACTTGCCCACTATTTCAGAGAAAAGAGAATCCTTACCAGACGAGGCAACATAATATAGGCGCCAATGGCCATTAGGATCACGACACAGGCGGTGATGAAGTAACCAAAGGCACTGTCTTCCAGTTTAGAGCCACCTGAAAGATTTGGAAATAAACGGTGACTGGGGAAACTTTCCCGCCCACCTGAGGGTAAAGCAGAGGCAGCCACCTGAAAATTATGTTTCTAGGAACCTTGGGATTCCTGCTTCAAACCAGGGAGTCATCTATTGCAACCCTTTGCATGGAGGTCCAGTCACAAACCAACGCACACAATGGAGGTCACCAGTGATAATGACCGCAGAGCCAAGGATTTTGAAGATACCAAAACCTCAAGGTTTGTCCTTCACAGGCATTTGCGAAGGACAAGCCTTGCAGTTTGTGACTGGGAAGGGACATGAAGATTAGGGACCACAGAAGCTAGACCCCAGTGGAGAGAAGGCCCTTTCAAGAACGTACACTAAGGGGGGGCCCGCTAGGGGCGCATTGGAAGATGGCCGACAATACCATCTCTCCGGCTCACACGAGGAAATTAAGAGGCTGATATGGGAGTATGCAGCCTCCCTTGTTACCCCAGGGAATGGGGAAACACTGCCTTCGCCTGCGGTTGCCGATAAATCACCCCCGAGTTCGAAAGATGCAGGGGGTGAGGGCACTAGGTGCACAGCCCTTGTGTGGGTTTTCGGCTCTCCCAGACGCTGTCTCTGATAGCGCGCCTGGTTGCAGCAGCTCAAAATAAACAATTAGAGAGCAGCAAATGCTCATGTTTCGAGTGAAGAACGGCAGTTGAGACTGCTATGTGAGGTGACCTCTGTGAAGTCGAGCGACGGGCTGGATTCAACAGGAAAATATATCAAGAAGAAGACACATCAAAGGGTCGGTATGTCAGAACGGGACGGAATGGGGGGGGCTTTTATTTTTTTTTATGTCATTACCTAACAATCCCCCCCCAAGAAGAATCGTTGCAACAACTGATTATAAGCGGGGTGATTAAGAACTGTGCGGAAATAAATTACTAATCAAAGACATGGTTTGTGGAATATCTGGAAAGGAATGAAAGGCCTTTGGAATGACGCAGTTATAAAAAGAGACTCGCCAGGAAGCAGGCCTTGTTGCAGGATTTACGATCGAGGGGGAGGAGACCATGGTTTTGTTATCAGATTGGACTATGAGTTTGACCTGGCAGAACCCCCTGAGAAGATCGAGGAGAGAGTGACAGGCTTGCGAGGATTAATGGGCAGACTTTAAGAATGTTTTGTACGGAAGTGTTGAAATGGCGTCTGTCTATTTGAATATGGCTCTTGGAGGAATGAAAAATCCACACAGGACTATAACAACGTTTGTTTTTAACCCGCTTGTGGAGACTATCAGAGGTCACAAAGAAAGGAATATATGATAACAACAAGAAGATGAGGAAAACAATAAAGAGAAGATTGGATAGAACTGTGAATACTATTTGGACAGAACTGTGAATATTAAAGCAGCAGCAACAGAGATGAATGGATCCCTTTCTGAGCTCAAAGCATGGGTACCCCCAACAAAAATTTACAAATTTGGCTCTGTAATTTGGAATTAATGTGATTTGATTGGTTTGTTAATAAAAATTATATTAAAAAAAAAAAAGAACGTACACTAAGAGCTTCTTCTGATCTGAGATTTCATCCACCCAAGTAGTCCAGGCTGTTATGCTGAAAGGAGATGGGTGGTTGTATAGCAATACTCACTGGCGAGAGCGCAGATCATGGCCAGAGCTGCAAATGTCCCTGCAAGGCCCTGCCCGCTCATAATAGGCGCTGTGTAACTGGCAGGCAAGAGTCCTGCCAGTCCAAAGAGGCTGCCCTGGAGAATGGCACCAAAGGCTGTAGGGAGAAAAGGCAGAGAGGTGAGTGGCAGAGAGGTCTGGTGCAGAGGCGATCTTGTGACACCACCCAGTGCTGAGGAGCAGGAGGCAGCCTGAATATGCACTCTCAAGGGTAAACATGCCGCACTCAGCCTTGCTGAGGAAGGACTACACCTTCTACAGCCTCCACTGCCAATTGCCAGGAGTGATGGAAGCCATAAGACCAACAATACCTAGACAACCTTAAGTTTCCATATGCAGGTTTTACAGAGATGAAGAAGCTACTTTCTCACTTCAACACCAAGTACCTCTGTCTGTCTGTCTGTCTGTCTGTCTATCTATCTATCTATCTATCTATTTTATAAAATTTTGTAAATAAATAAATAATCCCTTACCCAAGTCCCTACAATATCTTCTGCTATGAGAGTCATAGCTGTGAATTCTGACATTCCCATTCCTCCAAAGGCAATCAGGATTTGCCTTCCTGCATTCAGACAAGCTCTCTCTCTCTCAATCTCTCTCTCTCTCCGTTGGTGAAGGGTTGCATGTGAGAAATGTCTATATTCCATTCTGTCAATATCAAGGCCAGTCTACAAGTGACCCACACTTACAATTGATGAAGACTATCTTGACAATGGTGATAGTGAAGAACGACAAAGGGTCCATGGAGATCTTGACTATGATGGCTGTTACTAGGAAGACCAACAGGATAGCCACCAGGCTGCATAGGATCCGAACTTGCTGAGGGATCCTAACAAGTTGACATTGACAGAGGGAGTGAGAGAAAATTGACTGATTGTTTGATATGCATTCAAATGAATCCAAAAGAGCTTACAAACAATAAATAACAATGACACAATAGAGCATCACAGTTACAGCATAAGCCATATTACATGATTAATGTAATATCGACATCATTGTCGAAAACTAAAAAGCCCAACAAAGATGCAGAAGAAGGACATGATCCACCATGAATATAACTCTATCAAAAAGAGGCTCCTTTCCGCTGGAAATGGCAAGGCTGTCTTGCCCTCGACGCAACTGTTGGGCCAAAAGGAGAAGAGGGACGAAGCAGGAAGTGTGGGACTTCCTTTGAGGAAGAAAACTACAAAGATCTCACCTCTGGTGGATGAAGGAGTTGAGGCAGGTAAAGATGAGTAGAGGCAACATGGCGCAGAGTGTCATCACACTGTTGAATATGGACTGCAAGTGTGTGTCAGGAGGTTTCTTAGTCTCTGTGTCATTCATGTTCATATGGAGATCAATGGAGGACACATTGTTGTAAGTATCCTCCTTCAGGCGGCTAGTAAAGTACTGCAGAGAGGGGACAGAGGAGAGCATGAAGAAAAGAAGCTTCCCTGCTAAGTAATTGCTAAGTTCTTCATTGAGCAGGGCTTTCTGTCGCCTGTTAAAATAATCAACTCTAAATCATGCTAAGCCATGTTTATGGCGGCAAAACAAAGAGCTGTTTTGCGTGTTTTTTTGCGGGGGCTGGATCCTCATAAATGCCTTGAAGAGATTCATCTTGGAAAGATAAAACACCTTTCCAATAGGAAGGTCCAGGCTGGCTCGCCTTGGGTGCTACCCCTGGGATAGAAGGGGTTTGGGCAGAACAGTTGCCCATATCGCTGCTCATATTCATCAAGCAATCCTCATCAAAAGGCACCTCCTATGTATGGGATGTGGGTGGCGCTGTGGGTTAAACCACAGAGCCCAGGGCTTGCCGATCAGAAGGTCGGCGGTTCGAATCCTCGCGACGGAGTGAGCTCCCGTTGCTCGGTCCCAGCTCCTGCCAACCTAGCAGTTTGAAAGCACGTCAAAGTGCAAGTAGATAAATAGGTACCGCTCCGGCGGGAAAGTAAACAGCGTTTCCGTGCGCTGCTCTGGTTCGCCAGAAGTGGCTTAGTCATGCTGGCCACATGACCCAGAAGCTCCCTTGGCCAATAAAGCAAGATGAGCGCTGCAACCCCAGAGTCGGCCACGACTAGACCGAATGGTCAGGGGTCCCTTTACCTTTTATGTATGGGTGCAAGCCACAGGAAGTGGATGTAATGAAGTCCCACTGAAGTAAAAATGACTACAGTGTCTTGGACACGGACTAACACAGAGCCACCATGCCTCTTAATCTTGTCTTGTGGAGCAATGTGCTGTGGTGGATGCATCCAAGAAACAATCTGATTCCTCAAGGTGCATTTCAGTCCCTCTAGCATCACACTAACCCTGACACACAGCTTGGGAATCCCTGATCTAGGCCAGCCCTGGTGAAGGCATATAGTACCAAACACATCAACTATATATACACAAGTGGCTCCCACCTCCCTTGAACTTACCCCCGAAGCAGTCATGAAAAAATTCCATGGCAAAAGCGTCCCAAGGCCAAGAATGAAAAAGATCAGCCAGACAGCCTTATACCTGCAAGAAACAAGAACAACCAATGAGGACTAAATGGGAGCTCCTGGACAAGGGACAGCCTAGCCATTTAAGACATTTCTATATTGCCATTCAAACTGTTGCATACCGCTCGAGGATTAAATAAAGGTTAGAAACGCTGTAAGTGCAAAAGGTGCTAAACATGCCAGAGAGCCAGTGTGGTGCAACGACTAAGAGATTGTTGGACCTGGATTCAAATTGTGACTCAGCCACGAAGCCCACCATTTCTCAATCTAACCCATCTCACAGGGATGTTGCAAGGATAAAAGGGGGAGGCTGAGAACCCTTGGAGTAAATAAAATAAATTAATTTTCTACTAAATAAATAAAATGCTACCCTTGGGGCAGAAAATAAATAAATAAATAAATAAATAATCATAGAACTGTAGAATTGAAAGGCACCATGAGGTTCATTTCAGTCCAAATCCCTTTTGCCCAACGTAGGGCTTGAACCCAAGACCCTGAAATTAAGTACTGATTGAGCTAGAGAGTAAGCTATGCTGTTGCAGCAACCAGCAGGGCAGTCACATCTTGCTCCTTCCTCACCTGGAGAGTCCCACTATCCCGTGCCGGAACGCTAGTAACCAAAGGAAACCAATAGGCTGATCTGGGTTGACGCCAACACAAAACAGTTGCACTCTGCAGTTGAGTGCTTGCTGCAGATTACATCACAACAGGAGGTTCATTCCACACAATCTAGGGTTCTTAGGGTTGCAGCACCTACCCCTTGGAACCTCCTCTACTTGCATGTTAAAAAGGTGCCATCTCTGTTGATTTTGAGAGCCTACTGAAAGACCTTCATCTTTCAACAAGATGTTTATATGTTGGTATCGAGGCTGTAGTGGTGGGAAATTGAGCAACCGTTTTTATAAACATGCCCTTCAGGCTATATATAGCCCCAGAGCCAGTAAGGGGCAACTTGTAGATTCTTATTAGAATCTCTTGAGTACAATATAAATCAGCCTTTCCCAGCCTCCAGATGCTTGGGACTACAACTCCCATCAGCCCTGGACACCATGGCCAATGGTCAGGGATCATGGGAGTCGAGTCCAAAACATCCAGAGGCACAAGGCCAGGGAAGGTTCTATATAAATCCTTTCAAGATCCTTTGCTCTGCTAGTTCTCGCCAGACTCTGTGAGGTAACTTCAGTACTATTCTCATTTCATTCCTCCCCGTCCTTCAAACTTCATATGTGAGCTTGTTAGGGACATGGATCCATCTCGTATACAAATAATTCTCATCTCGAGACTTGGGATGGACCATCTGTAGCTCTAAACAAATGAGTGTACGATGCAGCTACAGTTAAGAGTCCTGTTGATTTCGGCAAGATAAATTTAAGCATGTGTTTGCCTGGGCTAATGAATGAGTAAGTGTGCTTGACCAAATTTTTTTTAAAAATTGAGTAAATATGTGATCTTCCAAAGCACTCAGGCACCAAGCATGGAAACACAGGAGGGGGGGGTCCTTCTTTGCTATCTTTTATGAGAGTCACAGAAGCGTTGAGTGGGAGAATACTTGCCCAGTCTCTTAGGATCATTCATACAACAATTGCTCACATGTTCAGCAGAGGATAAAGTACTAGATTTGTGGCAAAGGAGGTTTTGGGTGGTGGCTAAAATGAGGCAAGGTACGTACAGCAAGGGGAATGGTGTAAAAATGTGATTTATTTTATGCATGGTCTCCTGGCAAGCAGCATTGCCGTGGCTTCCATTTAGGAAGAAAGAGCACAGAGGCTTTGTTCAAGCTCTGGAATTGCTTTCTGTGGCTCATCCTAAGCTCGTGCCAGGAGCCCTCAGCACTAAGCATGTTGCCTTATGTCAGAAAGTGAGAAGTTCGTGGTGAACAAAGCTAGGAAGAAAGAGATTCAGAAGCAGGCAAAGAGACAGAGCTCATTTTCTAAAAGGGACTGCCACAGCTTTCCCACTGCCAATTGATTCTGTTTGTTGTTGCTCCTGCCTCAGAACAAGGAAGTCTCTTAAGAGACATCAGTGCAGTCATCGGAACATATATCCAGTCATCCAAAAAACACTCACACTACGTTTCCCATACAATAAGTCAGACAAAAGGTCCTGGGTTCAATTCAGGTCCAAGCAGGGCTGAAAAAGACTCTTGCCTGAAACTCTGGAGACCTGTTGCCAGTCAGTGTCGACAGTATTGAGTTAGATGGCTCCTTGGCTTGAATCTATATAAAAGCAGCTTCCTATTTCCATGTGGGGAAATGTGTCATGTGACATCAAAATCAAGGTGTAGGAAAAGAAGGGGCTGTTTCGTACAGTGCTAGCAAAGCTGGTTCCGGGTTTTAGGGGGGTCTTTGTTAAAGTGCCCTAGTGCTTGGTTTACCATGGTCACTAGGTAAGTCTGCTAGGTAAGTAGAAGACTTACCTAGTGACCATAGTAGGCAGCAGCCATGCTCTGATGAGCAGGCAGCTCAGTCTGGATGTCTGCACCTTTAAAATTACCCACAATGCCCCTGAGATCGCATCAATCCAGGGTATTGTAGGACATTAAAGTCACAGTGACTCCCAGACCAAGTTGCATGGGCACAAGCTGGATCACCAAAACCGTTATTTTTAAAGGTGGTCCAAAGTAGCTGTCAGCAGTGATCCCTGATAAGGTAGTAGGACTCCAGCAGCTGTGTGTTGTGTGTTAGTGGTGGGCCTGGTGCTAAATAAACACACATGTGTGTGTGCGTGTGCGTGTGTTTGCATTTGCCCATATACGCAGACAGTTCCCTTTCTGTTCCATTGCGCCCCAACCATACCTGTCCTGAGGGCTGTTGCCTGTCATTTTGGCACTTTGCAGGTGTTTCTTGTGTGTAGCAAATTCTCACTGCTTCACTTCACAGCTGGCCCCCTGGAGAGTCAAAAGAGAAGAAAAAGGTTAGTTACTGATTAATTTTGCTGCATTAGATTACTATGAATATATTATACATCTTGCACCATATATTGACAAGACCGCAGAGCTTCACTGAAAATATTTGGTTGTTCATTATGCTCAAATAAAAGTAATAGATTTTTTTTTAAAGGAAAGAAAAAACAGTTAATGAGAAGCCAGAACAATGGAGTCCAGTGAAATTGTTCATAGAATCCAAAGAAACTGAAAGGATCTAGAAACACTGGTGGTTCTAGACATCAGCACTGAAGCAGCTGAACAGAACAAGGATGCATGTGGATTTCTAGAATAGAATGTGCTGGCTTACAGACAAGCTTGTCCCTTTTTTTTTAAAAAAAGTTTCTAGTCCTCAGGAACACAAATAGAAAATTTAATACACAGTGCCCTTGTTGACCTCTCTAGAAAATACATGCAAAAACACATTTAGCAGTGGCATTTTAAAAAGGAAATCTTGCTTGTGAATGCTGGGGAAATGCTCTCAGCAGAGATTTGTTGTGGATCCATCCCTTTAACTCTCACACAGGTCCATCTCATTACAAGACCTGGATGTAATCCTTGTGCCCTTTCAGAAGTTGCACACAACAGGTTACTACTGGGCTGTTACTGATTTGCCATAATTATATATTCCCCACTTCACTCCTAGCTCTCCCACCTTCCACACACAATGTTCTATTTGCCGAAGGCTGAGAACTGCATCAGTAATGGAAAAATGGGGATGAATACCGTCCAGAAATCTACACACAAATACAGCGATGGAAATCTGAGTAAGCAGAAACAACAGTGGAAAAGGCCAGAGGTAGAGCAGCCAACATAAAAGATCTTATGTGCTCAAGCGATCAAAAGACAACAAGTAGAAGTTGGGGGACAAAGTGAAGAGAAACCAACATCTGACGTGATAAAGGACTAGGAGAGCAAACAAGACCATGTTGCTACACAGGCGCAATCATAGCAATATGCAATATTTCTTGGATAGAGAGCAGATACAGTAGTTCCAATCTGATCCACACGTAAGTCTGGACTTGTGAGCCCTTTGCCCTCTCCCATTATTGCCCATAACTCTACGGCATCCACAGCCTGGGCACATCACAGCCTCCTTCCAAAGCCTTCCATACACAAGCATAACAGGATGCAAAGGAAGAGCATCACTCTGGGATACTTTAAAATTTTTGCTCCGTGCTCCTAACAAGATACAGCAATTTCCCATCAAACTTGATTTCCCCCTGGTGAAGTGCATTTTTTTTGGGGGGGGATTTATCATCTGCCTTATACCATGACACGGAGAAAGTGATCTTCAGATTAGATGCTACAAAATGAAATAACTTTTAATGGAAAGGTGCTACCCAAACATCATCTCTTTGAATTGGGATTTCGCTCCTGTGTGCATGTGACATTTATTTATTTTAAAGCACTTCCGTATCACTTAATACTTCAAGAAACTTTAACTGGGTACAGTCTGAAGAAATGAACAACATATCGTGAAATCGTTAAAACAAAAAGTCTTCCGCGTGGTTTGCCAACTTGTTCTTTTTATGCAGATTGAAGAGACAGATTCCTGCCTTGACAACATTTCTCGCTTTCCCCTAAAGCTTAGCATCTTTCATACATGAAATGAAGAGGTCAAAACCACAGCTCCTGTGGTGACTTAAGTACTGGCTACAGCAAATATGCAAATTCCAGTTGCATAAGAATGGAGCTTAGCTGGTTATATTTAAAAGCTGTTTGACATCTATTTGTGCCAGGTCCTGAGATTTCCCCCCCAAAACTCCCTTACTTGTCTTACTTGTCTGCACTGCACATACACTGAATCTCTGTGATTCTGCTAAAGCATGCACAATAAATAAATACTTTTTACAGCATAATTAGTGTACAAATTGATTTACAGTCTTTATCCATCTCATTTTTATCACATTTATATGGCCCCATTTGACAAAGGGCACATAATCACTTCTCCCTTCCTTCTGCTGCAATACTTTCCCAGCCTTCCTTGGAATCAGAGGAGACCAGAGTTTCCCCTTGGTCTTTTCTCCCCAAGGCTTGCAATAATGGCCTGTTATACCACTAGGTATTTCAAGACTATTGTTTTATTGCACCGTGAACATAGAGCTGTTACTCACATTGTTTGGGTAATCCAGATTTCCTTTCCACTGTAGTACTTATATTGATGGGAAAATGCAATTTATCTGCAAAAAGCAGCTGCAGTTTGGAATACAGTAAGTTCAGTTGCGCACATGCCACAGGTACCTATTTGCTAGTGCCCATGCCACCACTAGTTACAAAGACGTACTTCTCTTTTTTTTCTCTCCCCCCCAAATATCTTTATTGAAACTTAACATATATACATAATAACCAAAATTCCCAATGATTCCCTCACATAAAATATAATATCTAAATTACAACAGCTGTATAATTATACACTTAATTATAAAACCCACCACCTACCCTCTACTTCCCTCCACAGCAATTCAACTTCTTTATATTTCTTTCTACCTTTTTCCCTTGCATTCTATAATAAATTATTTTTGTTAAATTCTGATTTTTCCTTCTTTCTTTATTGGTTTTGTTATTGCTTACATTTTTTGTTCTAAGCCTCTTAGCATGTCATTTTTAGAACAATATTTTGACATATAATCTTTGAAATACTTACACTCCATTCTTAACTTTTGATTTGATTGATATCTTATAATTGAAGTTAATTTTGCCAATTCTATATACTCACTTAATTTACAAATCCACTCTTCCTTTGTTGGTGTGTCCTGAGATTTCCATTTAGTGGCAATCACTACCCTGGCAGCTGTTGTTGCATATAAAAAGATTGGTTTTTTCATATGTGGTATGTTTTTGCCCACCAACCCTAATAGATAAGCTTCGGGATTTTTTATCAAGGTTTTTTTTTTAGCATTTTCTTAAGTTCCTCGTGTATTATTCCACAAAACTTCTTTATTTCCTTGCAACCTCATCACATATGAATTATCATTCCAGGTTCTTCGTTACATTCTCTTTCTCTCTTACATTCTCTTTCTCTCCACAAAGCCCACAATATTTTTTTATATCTATCTGTACTGTTAACTACAGTATTACACACAAAAAGAGCAAGTAACTATCAATAAGGAACCATAAGGATAAAGGATGGTACAATTCACACAAATCCCAAACAGAAGCATTCCCACAGGTGGCACACGCTCCACTGCAGTGCAGAGATATACCATAGTAGGAGATCACCCCACTGGTGCCGAATTTGGGGCTGAAGCTGGACTTTCATTTTCAAGCGGAAGAAATGCCCTGGTCTCAGAATTGCAAAATGCTTTGAAAGCCCATAATCCTAAAGGGCATCATGCAAAAACACCAGGTTCCCTGGAAGCTGCAGGATTTTTTCTTCATGCTTTTAGCCAGGTGCAAACAACCTACATACCACGAATCACACCCAAGCCCTCAGGCACTTCTGTAAAAGGCAGAGATTGCCGCTATGATCCAGAACGTCACAACTTTCATTTCAAAATACATTTCTAACCATGGTAGTTTCAAAGAGAAGTTTGAAACAGCATTGCATTTCAAGGAAAAGTAAAAGGGTACACAGAGATTTTTCTCTTCTCTTTTCTGGTAAAAGCTCACAATGATTTAATTATTTTTTTTCCCCAAAGACTCAAGTATTTTACATCTGGGTGTTAGCATTACAGGACAAGACAAGGCTCAGCACATGTGTTTCTGTCTATGAACTGCCATGGAAAACCACGCTGTGAGAACCAAGTCCTCCAGACATCCAGCATCCCTGTGACAAGTCCAATCAGTGCAGCAGCTGAGAAATGTGCTGCCATGTTCATTACTGCCAGGAAATTTCAGCTGGATCTGTGATGGGTCAGGCTATACTTATGCATGCAAAAGCAGCCCCAGACAATTGGGTTGCACTGTGTGGAGCCCTTTGCTACTTGTAGGCCACTCTGTATCTTATGAACTATCTCTCATCTATATTCTTTCCTGAACATGGCTTCAGCCTATACCTTTCTTTTTTACCACTTTTCTTTTAAGTTTCTAAACAAATATATATATATAACAAACAATCCCCATATACCCCCACCCTCCAAGAAACATTCCATGCTCATACAATGTAAATAATAAAGTAAAAAAAAAGTTTGGACGTGGTTTAGAACAACTGGTTAGGTGTCTTTTACTCTCTTCTCTTAACAGATTGTCCTAAAGTGAGCCATGGGTGAAAAGGCAACACTGTCCTTTCTAATGTACTGGAAACAAGAATGCGCCATACAGTTTCAAATTCATCTTTGTGTTCCTGAGTGCTCGTAAGATTATTTGCTACTCGATACTTCAGCTGGGGATCAATCTGCCCTCACGGCAACCTGGCCAACCTGTGAACACAACACTCCATGACCCTCACCAGGGTACCACTACTAACAAAGCTTCTCCTCTCTCTCTCTCTCTCTCTCTCTCTCTCTCTCTCTCTCTCTCTCTCCAACACAGTCCCTGCTTCCACCACAGAAAGAGGCTCCAGATACAAGTCCAAGAGCGAGGAGAAGCACAGCTTTCCTGCCTTGGAAACAAGAGAGAATTTAAGCCAGATGGAATGGAAACTGGCACTTACCGTGTCTCAAGTTTGCTGAGCCTAGTCCTGTGTTGGGAGCCGTGTATTTGAAAGGAGTGGATATGTGTTTTGCTTTCCACTGTTTTTGAGACTGACATGGGGCAAAGACCATGTCAGAATCATGGGCTGGATCTGACTTGCGGTCAGATCAGTGTCTGGCGCTACATCTGGTCTGTTGCTTGAGTCACGGCTTAAGTAAACACATAATGGGTAGGAGCAGCTGCGGCTGCCAACTCTGGGATTATGGTGGGGATGGAGGATGCTTGTCTCTGTCAGGAATGCTAAGTAGGTCTGCAGTATCTGCTGGGTCGAGCTAGTCTGTGTTTGTCACTAACACCCAACTCCCCTCTGCTCTCTTCTTATCAGGAAGGGCAGGAGTTGCATTTCATAGAATCATAGAACTGTAGAGTCGGAAGGGACACCAAAGGCCATGTAGTCCAACCCCCTGCAATACAGAGCGGTGCTTTAGTTGAACGCATTCATGACAGGTGGCCACCCAATCACCAGTGAAGCAGAGTCCACCACCTCCCAAGGGAGTCCATTCCCCTCACTGTTAAACAGTTCTGTCCGAAAGTTCTTCATGTTTAGCCAGAATCTCTTTCCTTGTAATTTGAAGCCATTGAATTGGGTCTACCCTCCAGAGCAGGAGAAAGCAAGCTTTCTCCATCTTCCATGTGACAGCCCTTTAGATATCTGAAGATGGCTATCATATCTCCCCTCAGTTTCCTCTTTTCCAGGCTAAACATAACCAGTTCCCTCAACCATTCCTCATAAGGCTTGGTTTCTAGCCCCTTGATCATCTTGGTCGCCCTCTTCTGCATACTCTCCAGCTTGTCAACATCCTCCTTAAATTGTGGCACCTAGAACTGGACACAGTATTCCAGGTGGGGTCTGACCAAAACAGACTAGAGTGGTACTATTACTTCCCTTGATTTGGACACTTGATTTCTGTTGATGCAGCCTAGAACAGCATTAGGTGGTTTTTTTGCTACTACATCACACTGTTGATTCACGTTCAACTTGTGGTCTACTAAGACCCTATATCATTTTCACAGGTACTATGGGCAATCCAGGTGTCCCCCAACTTATATTTGTGCAGCTGGTTATTCCTGACTATGTGCAGAACATAGTCTAACTATCATTTTGTTAGTTTTGGCCCAGTTCTCCAATCTGTTAAGGTCAAATTGAATCCTGATTCTGTTTTCTGCAGCATTCACTACTCCTCATCTGGCTTACATTTTACCAGCTTCGCTGCAATATTATGGGAGACTTTGTTAAAAGCCTTACTTGAATCTCAATTCCCTACTACAAGATGCCTGTTGTTCAGACACAGCAAAGTCCAGCAGCTTCTCAGGAAGGCTTCATTGCACACATCTTACTCAGATTACCTCTTTTACTTTTGCAGGTGCCCACAAAGCTATGAATGGGAATTTAACTCATGGGATGGAAAATACAAACTGAATCCGTCATCCATGCTAGGGACACAGTTCTGTGGGCATAAATCCAGAACCCTTTGGAAAGGATGTGCATGGGGAAAAAAGCCACAACGGACATGGCTCATTGTGGTCTTCCTGGTTGCTTTCGCCACATGCCTCCAAATCCTTTCCAAAGAAAGCTGTGTTTTGTTTCTGAGAAATGAGGCAGTGCTAAACAACTAGGGATGGAGTGGGTGGGGAGGTGCCCTGATGGTACAAACTTCCCTACCACAAGAGTAATTCAGCCATCACAGACTAATGCAATCTTCCCTAGCCTGCTGCCCTTGATGTCTTGCACTACAAACTGTGGCCAGCATGGTGGGGGGATTTGTAGTCCAGAACATATGGATAGCACCGGCTTGGGGAACATGACCAGGGCAAAGTAAGTTAGGGCAACCTAAAATGTTTGGGCACTCCTACATGATAACCAATTAATTTGATAAGGTTTATAACAACAAGCAAGCCTCTTGGGAATGGTCAGTCAGCAAACATAGTTCAGGTCAGCTTTATTGCACAATTCTGCAGCTGTTAGCCTAGAGCCAGTTGCTGGTACATGCGGAGGACATTACAAATGTTCACAGCACTGTCACAGCAAAGTGTAATGGGGCGCTTCAAAGGTAATGGCCTTTAGGAAAATAGACTATCAAAAAATAAAAGAGGGCATTTTCCTTTCTGAAGGACAGTCCATATATCTTTCCTAGAACTGACTATGTAATGTTATCACCTGGATATTTTTCAAAGTGCCACAAAGCTGTCCAGGTTCTCTCCTGACTAGGAAATAAAAGAGGAAAGGCAGAAAACACAATCCCAAGGAAGCTCAGAAGAAGCGGGGTTTGACAGCGACAAACTCCTCCTGGCATTTGTCCCCAACACCTGGCAATCTAATAGCCACTGATAGGCACAACATTTGTGTGGTGGTGGTAGGGTGTGTGCGTGCTACATTTGAAGGGTCTAAATATGCATATACTAACTTGAATAACAAATCCCTGAAGGCAAACCTTCAGGAAAGAAAAGTGGCTTGGGGATAAGGCCATTTTAAGCAGAGAAACTTTTGTATGTGTCTCTACAGAATTAATTCTTTCCCCACCACCAATTTTTCTGCTCCAAACCCCCTCTCCCACCTGATCCCCAGTGGGATTTCAGCTGTGTGTTTACCCTAGTACAGTGCTGTATTTCTAGAAAAAGAGGTGCCGGAACTCACAATGAACGCCTCCCTTGTTCGCTTATAATGGCAATGGCGCCCACCTGAGAGGCACCGGAAGTGAGTTCTGGCTGAAAAAAAGCCCAGCAAGGACACATCTAGAATTCCACAAATGCGAAAGCACTGGATACATGAGTAGTATTGAGTTAAAACATGGGTAGCAAGGAAAGTATTATATATTTTCCCTCCCCCACCTCTGCCTCTCTTTCTCTATCTCACTTTCCAGAAGCTACTTTTCAGAGACTCTTATGTCAACACTGGCATCATCCAGTAAAGGTAAAATGTAAAGGACCCCTGGATGGTTAAGTCTAGTCAAAGATGACTATGGGGTGTGGCACTCATGTCATTTTTCAGGCCAAGGGAGCCGGCGTTTGTCCACAGACAACTTTCCGGGTCATGTGGCCAGCATGACTAAACCACTTCTGGTGCAACGGAACACCGTGATGGAAACCAGAGCACAAGGATATGCCATTTACCTTCCCACCACAGTGGTACCTATTTATCTACTTGCACTGGTGTGCTTTAGAACTGCTAGGTTGGCAGAAGCTGGGACAGAGCAACAGCTCACTCCGTTGCGTGGATTCGAACTGCCAACCTTCCGATCTGCAAGCCCAAGAGGCTCAATGGTTTAGATCACAGCACTAACGGTGCTTCACCTGAGAGCAGCAAGCTAGCTTGGTGGGTGCAGGGCTGGTCATATGGGGTGCACACAGTTCTGTTCTCCAACTCTGCAGCCACTCTGTGCCTTCTAGCACATCCCACTTCATTCTGCCTAACGGTAGGGCTGGCCCTGCTACTTTTCCTTACAAAAGCATCACTTGGAGGTTTACTCATCCATGTGTAACATGTAGCAAAACTTCAGCAAGACAGTGGAGGCAGAGGAACCAGAAATTAGAAAAAAATATTAGCAGAGATGAAGAAATGGTTTAGAAGACATGGCTGGCAAAATTAGATTTAGTCAACAGGGAAAGGTTTGCAATAGAATGTGTTAAAAGGAGGGACTTGATGGAAGGGGGGGGGGGCGGATGACTGCTCCAAGCAAGGGAAGGGGCCAAAGGAGTTAGAGGGAACTAAACAGAGGGTACTGAGAGCAGGTGAGCTTTTTTCTATACTGATCTGTGCTCAATGACTTGTTCTCTGCAGCATTGCTGGTAAGAGAAGAGTGCCTAAGTAATATTTTCCTTGTTTCAACATTGCTTCCTTTCCATTTCTGCCCTTGTTCTGACATCGCCTCCACATCAACACAACACTGCTTTCTTTGGAATGAATTTAGGGATGTGGTAAAAGGAATCAGAATGGCAATATGAACTATATCCGTTTGCTGTGGCCAGTTTCCATGGACGTGCTTTCTAAAGAAAACCCGCAAAACCCTGTAATTGTGCACAGCAGATAAGTTATAAATTTTATTCTGCATTCTGAGAGGTAGAATTTGCTTTGTGGCAGTCTTTGTTACACCCCAAAAGGAAGTTATTGTCTTCTCCTTTCCCCGAAGTCAACAAACCTGTGGCAGCTCCTGTGAATGTAGTGACTGAAAAACACTAAACCGGAATTACTGCCAGAAAACTGCAGGTACCCGGTAAATCTAAGAAGGATTTGATTCATATAGTATAGTATAGTTTTATTTTATCTTATTTACTTATTGAAGTGGTCTTATACCACTATTACCATATCAAGGCAGTGCACGTTGATAAAACATAAAACACCATTAAAACCAGTACAGGATTATCATTACAGGATTTGGCTAAATTATGTGCTTTATGCCAACTACATAGGCCTGTTGGCATAAAAAGCCTTCAAGAGATGCCTGGAAGTCCAAAACAAGGATGCCTGCCAAATCTCTGCTGGAAGAGTGTTCCACAGCTTGGGTAGGACTAGTGATGCTAAATGCCCAACAAAGGACAACTAGCAGTGCTCCTTCCGAAGATCAAACTGTGATACAAGGGCTCAGGTGATCCTTTAGGTATCCTGGGCCAAAGTTGTTCAGGGCTCAGTATATCCACACAACAGCCTTATATACCTGGTTTCGTAGCTTTAGGCTGCAATCCCATGCACACTTACTTGGTATAAGCGCACATGAGACCAATGAGACTTACCAGTACATCTGAGCAGACATGCCTAGGATTGTGCTGTTAAGGCTAATTCTGCAGTTAATCTACTAACAGGGAGGCCACATTTTGGGGGGACCCAGTACCATGCACACACATACAGCGACTGCTGTTATTTCATTGTCAGCTCAGAGAAGATCAAGCAGATATTTAACTTGAGTCAATTATTTTTGCTATTCAGCCCTCCTTTACGTGACTACACAGTACCCAGAATGTTTCACACATTCTGAATGGCAAATGCTTTGTTTGGAGTTCAAAAGGATGCCGAAATCTCTTCCCCCTTCCTTCCTTCCCCCTGTTTTTAAGCTGATAAGCTTTACTCTGCTCCAGAGGTCAGGCACATCTTCCTCCTTTGATGTCCCTGTGTAACATCCCCCAGTTCCTTAGAACACAGTAGGAGTGAAAAAGGGATGGACTGGAAGAACTTTACTCCAGGTGCACTGTAGTTTGTAAACAAACGTATATATTTTTCTATTTCACACTGAAGGCTGCCCACTCTCCCACATTTCATGAAAATCAGACTTGGTCTGTGTGCACCATAAACTTCCCTAGTTTCCATGTGCTCAAGGTTTAAAGAGACATAAGCATTCATCACTCCACCAAATGGCTGTATCAACATTTGTTTCTCACAATCCCCTGATGAAGACTGCTCCAGTTCAAAATGCATCCGGATTCACCTAACCACTGTCTTATCTCACAGTTGCCACCTGGCCTTGTTGAAAAGCTGTGGTGCAAGTTCCCCAAAGGTTCGGATGTGCCTTGAGCTTTTCCCACTACCCCAAAGGAGTATGGAGGAAGTTTCCTTCTGTTTGTCATTGTTCACCAGAAAAGGTGGTGAAATTGGGTCAAATTGTAGGTGTCTTTAATAAGCACTGTTGTGCTCATCTTCCACCCTTACCGTCCTGCCCCCGTAGATATTGAGATTGCAATACAAGGAGCTAAAGGCAAGAATACAAGTGCTATGAAGCCCCAGTTTTCATCCAATAGCACTGCATTTGCTGGATCCAGTCTGGCTTTGACACCGGCCATAAGAGAATGAACAAAAGGGCAATAAGGATCAGGTCTTGGAAATAAAATCCAGGATGGAGTATTGTGACTAGATGGTCCATACTACACTATCCAGGGTTAAATATGTTCATGTCAAAACCTGCACTGTACAAGAAAATGTGGAATAGTTAGGACCTATCTTAATTTAAAAAAGAAATGAATTTACATTGCAAACTCAATAGGGAAAACATTTGCCTCTTTGGGTTATGTACACAAAGTGATGGCACTAGTTAAAATATAATTATCACACCTGCTGCCCCCATTAGGTTATATCTTTCGATGGGAGAACTGGGCTAGTTTGCATGACTAATTACCTCCAGGCCCATTTATAAACACTACTTGAGGATGATGCCCTTGCTAGGTTGATCTTTCAGGAATCTAAATTTATTTCTCTATAATAATGTTGTAAACCTAAGGCTCACTGGAGATTACGCTCCTCTAAAGGACAGCAAAGCCAAACTCTCAGTTATATGCTCCCCACCCCCAAGGCAGCTTTCAAAGCAAAAACCCAGTTAGGATTCCGCCCTGCAGATCCTCCAAAGGGCCCCATCGCAGCAAAATGCCAGACTCCCTTGGAACTGCACCAGCCAATGTGTTGCCAATATCCACAAGACTAATGGGCTGTTTGTGCCTTTCTCCCGAGCCTCTAGCATATATATACACGGACATCCATCACAGGGAATATCTGCACAGAGCAGCTCAGTGGCTGTAATTAATTACATCAGTAATGATACCTTCTCAGCATCCAAGCAAACCCTGGGGCCTCCACCCAGCAGAAGCTGCAGCCAAGTCCCGTGTCCTGCTTCTTTTCAGCATTATGGAAACGGACCAGTTAGCCAAATCGACACTTCAAGTTGCAGATCCTTCAGCTGGAAAGAATAGGCAGGTTTAGGCATACGTGCCCTTGCCCCCTACAAATCTTAAGGTAACGTTGAAAAGAGACTTACTTAGAGCACAGGCTAGTTCATCAGTTCTATAAATCCTTTAACGCTCATGTGATAAAGAGTTCCAGTAGACTATCAGTGGCCCAGGAATGAGTCAAACACACGCACATGTGCGGTATCTAAGCCAAACCACCTGCTGATTAGCAGTTTGCCATCAGCAAGGGCCTCTTTCTAAGAAGGCAACCTAGTGAAAACAGCGATAAGGCTGGGTGTTGACCGACATCTTTTCTACTGAGTTGCCAAGAGGAATCACCATGAGACTGAACGTAAGGATAGTCACTCAAGCTTACTTAATGCAGATCAAGCTTGCTTATCGCAGATTAGGCACTCTTTAACCAGCTTGTAAAATGGATGGAATTGGTGTGTATGGGATTCCAAGCACTGCTGGTGAATGTAAGTATGCTAACAGGTAAAGGTGGAAGTAGCTATTCTGGGTTGACTAAGCTGCCATAAACTAAATCTGGCCACTAGAGTTAGTCGGTGTCTTCCCAACCTGGCTTTCCAGGTGGCAGCTGTGCTAACAGACATTCTTCTTTAAAATTGAGGAAGCCAGGGGTTAAATCTGAAGCTTTCTGCATGCAAATCTCATGTGTTCTACCCATGAGCTATGCCCCGTCCCCTTGTATGGTGACTGCCCTCAACAACACTTCAGAACTTTAGAGAGGGTGCAAAAGAGGTTGCATTAGAACTATGGCTGGCCAGAGGAGGACCAACAGCCCTGAAACTACAAAGTAAGCTTTCTAATGAAATTTATCAATGCCCCTCTTTTTTATCTTTTTGCCACTTTTTTATTTTTGCTGACATTTAGGAGCTGGCAGAAGAAATACAAAAACTGTTCACTTTTTCACTTCTTTTATCAATTGCTTCCCTTTCCATTGGCAAGCTGGGTTTTTTTTTAAGATCTCAAAGTATTTGAGTAATGCTACTGCAAAGGGGAAGGGGTGTTTAGGGCAGGAGTTAGAAACTTGCAGTCTAAGGGTGATATGAGGCCCCTGGCTAAATGTCATGTGGGTGGGGGGAACCAAGAGGGAGGATAAGGGGAAAGCTAGAAACTGAAATGCAAAGCAGCTTGCTGGGAGGGTGGAGAGAACAGAAAGAGAGAAAAGGGGCAGTGTTGCCCATTTTTGGCTCTGGCCCCACCTGCTACCAGTTCCACCAGCATGCAGCCCCCAAAGGAATGCAGGCCTTGACAGAAAAAAAAGCTTTGTCCTCCCTCCCACATTAGGGAAAGGCTTCAGACATACAGACATCCCTGTTCCATCTGAGAGCCAGTGTGGCTCCATTGCTTCCATAAACCCATGGCAGAGCTTTAGTAAATTCTTTCTCTTTTTTAACAAAGGCTGCACACACACACACACACACACACACACACACACTATACACTTAAAGCACATTGCTACCCCCAGATAATCTTGGGAACAGTAGTCCCCCCCCACAGAGCTAGCACCCTTAGCAAACTCCGGTTCCCAAAATTCTTTGAGGAAGGGAGCCACATGTCTTAAACGTGTTAAGCAGGGACAGCTCTTTGCAAATTAAAGTTGCAATACTAAACATACACACTCTAGAAGCGAACTACACTGAAATCAATGTGTCTTAAATTCTCAAGCAAAAATGTGCTTAGGACCTGGCTATAAACATTTTATTAAAACGATAATACAGAAGAAGCCATGACTCCTCTCAATTCCATTTCACCAACCACGCTGACCTAAGTTCCCCCTTCCTTGGCCTGAATCGCCCCAATTCCTGCCAAAATATTCCAAAATACTGCAAAAATATTTTGCTCAAGGAAAAAGAAGTTCAAAGTTCATTCTGAACACAGATACTGCTTTCCTTGGGGAGAATTTGATTCTAATTTAAGTACGTCATAGATACAGTTCAAGCCTACTGCTGAAATCCGAACACACAAAACACCCTCTTTCAACTCCAGGGAGAAATAGGGAGTCTATGTCTTGCTGTGTTGAAAAGTTAAGACAGACTTGCTGTGTGTTGTCAAACCACTGCTTGGCTCCAAGGCACTGAGAAGTGCGTTAAAAGTATGTTTTGCAGAGTCGTGAAAATAGTAAAAAAAGCATGTTAAACCACTGGGATAAGCCAATGTGGTGCCCTCCAGATGTTAGTCTACAACTCCCATCATCCCTGACAGCTGGTATCCTTGCAGAAGCAGATGGGCATTGGACTCCAACAGCACCTGGAGGGCACCACATTGGCTGCCCTTGTTATAACCAATATCATCAGGCTGGAAAGACGATGCCAACAGGGATGATTTTAACTAACTATCCTCCTACTCCTCCAAATTGCTGAAGATGGTCAACGATATTTTGAGAAGAGATTTCATTTTCATTCCTTCTTTAATCCACCCTGATGAGCTGGATTAGTAAATTTTGAAAGGAGAAATATGTTTACCGTGATAAAGAGTATGTATTCATAAACAAGCTGTTTATTTCAGGAATAATTGGCACAGTTATGATCTTACCGGCATGTTTTTTTTGTTTTTGTTTTAAATTACACTCCTGTCTGACAGTCAAGTGCTTGGAAAGAGGGAGTTGCTGTAGAGTTGCAATATTTCCCCCCTCCAGGAGTACACCTGTGTTTTTAATAGTTACGTAGCATGTAGATGTTTAACAGGAGCTTTTGGAATTACTGGAAAATGACTGAATTCCTTAATGAAACTGTTAAATGTCTTGCATCACACCCACCTTTCCCTAGCAAAGTTCCAGCAAGGAAGGATCAGTATGGAAGAACTGTGGCATGTGATGTTCCAAAGAATTGTGGGCTGAAAGCTAAGAGGACAGTGGTGGAGGACAAGGGATGTCTGAAGGCATCATTTTCCATATCACCCTATACTGACTGCATGCAATGCTATCTCCATCCTCTTGCAGTTCATCTTCCACTAAACACTACATCTCTCTGGCTGCTGTGGCAAAATTACATAAATTACATTGTCATTTCACCCCATTCATTGCAATGCAAAGGAAACATAATGTGAATAGGTGGTGGTGGGAATGTAATCATATTGTTTGGAGATGGAAGGCAGCAGCAAATACCGATCTTAATCAAAGGGAAAGGAAATAAAACAAGAGGCTTTGAAAGGAGGCAGGAGGAATAAGGAACTTTGCTGAGGTGAAGAGGAAGAGGAACGAGGAAGAAAGAGAATGCTTGTGAGAGAGAAGAGAGATGGGGCAAAGGCTGGCTAGCAACTGTATGAAGTTTCATTTTTTTCAATATGGCTCTTAGAACTCTGCTACTATTTGGATGGTGAAAAACATTGTTATTTAAATAAAACAATATGGACTGCAGCTTTAGAATTTGCACTAGCTCCATACTGCCTTCTGGACACAGTTTAGGGTGTCCATTTTGACTACAAAGCTCTATAACAGGGGTGGGAACTCACCCAAAATGTTGTCCAAGAAGGAAAGCTACTCGCCTGCATTTCAAGGAGTGGAGTGGCAGTAACATTTCCATCTCCCCCAGAGCAGTGTATTAAGTTTGCAAATGGAAGTTGTAAGGCTCCCTTGGCTCATCTTAAGAACATTTTCCCAGGGTCAGTCTCAGGCTGTGTGCTAATCAAATAATAAAAGCAAACAAGACCCCTTTTGTCCCAAGGGTGGAGGAGAGGAAGGAACTTGATGGAGACCCAGGTTGGGGACTTGCCCCTAGTTCACAGAGCTTCCCATTGCAGCAAATGCCTCCCATTTGAGGCAAAGTAAGGCCATGAGGTTGGTCACATGGGAAAGTTATTCTGCACTCACAATGCAGTAGCATAGGTAGCCAAGGGTGGGGAGGGGGAGGTCTATAGGACGGCACAGGGGTCTGTTTTATGTTCCCTGCTGTGCGTCAGGGGTTTTGTTTCTGGGCGGCAGGGGAGCTTTCTCAACAATTTTGATTTCCCATAAAAAGCTCAACAACTTTGGTCTGCCCCAGGCGCCGGCAGGGGTTGCTACGCCGCTGCACAATGTTTCTTCTTAGGCAGGAATAACCAGCTGCAATGCAGAGTGCAGTGATTAATTGGGTATATAAAAGACACTTTTTCAGGTATCCTGGTCCCATGCTGTATATGTCTTTATACACCAGAATCAGTACCTTGAACTTAGCCAGGAAGTGAATTGGCAGCCAGCTTGTTGAAGTACTTGCTATAGTCACAATCGATGGATTAAATCGCTAGGCAAGCCAAGTCAAAGAGTTTCAGCTTGGAAATAGTGGTCAAGGCGCATTGGTGAATGAGATGCATAAACCTTCCTTAGAACAGCAAGACAATGAGCAAACAATGATGGAGGGGGAGGTTACCACAAGAATGGAAGAGAATTACTCCCTATGGGCAAAATTGGGAAATGACACAATGGCAGGAAAGTAGGATTTCCTATTCCCATGAAGATTCTATATAGGAAGCAGCAATAAAATAATAATAAAGTAGTCTTCATAATAAAGTATCCTGATTGTGGGAAACTTTGAGGAATGTTAATAACATGAAAAGCAAGCAACTCCCCTGTGAATTGAGCCCCCCGCCCCCTATCTCAGCTGCAAAGAGTGCTATGAACTTGGCCCTTTAAATCATGGCCATGTAGAATGATAGGCACCCAGAGCACTTTTGTTAAAAAGCCGTGATGAAGGTGCCCTGCTGTGAATGGTGCATGCATTCCACTGCTCATGTGTACCTGTTTGCAAGAGATGGACTGAGTCAGGTTAGGTAGGTTTTAGTAGCAGCAAGGGTTGATTCCTGAATTTGTAGAGGTAGGAGATAATGTGCCAAGAGAGAAATAACTTTTAGCTGTGACTTGCAAAGTAACACTTTGCAAAAAAAGAAAGGGGAAAAAAGGAACAAGCTTGCCCCAGCATGACCAGCAAAATGGCAGTTCGCTTAAGTACCCCAATATTATCTCACGGGTGCAGTCCTGCATCCAATTATCAAGTAATAATAATAAAAATAATTTATTATTTATACCCCACCCATTTGGCTGGGTTTCCCCAGCCACTCTGGGTGGCTTCCAACAAAGATTAAAAATACATTAAAATGTCACACATTAAAAACTTCCCTAAACAGGTCTGCCTTCAGATGTCTTCTAAATGTCTGGGAATTGTTTATCTCTTTGACATCTGATGGGAGGGCGTTGCATGTCAACAGCTCTTTAAAAAGCTAGAAAGAAAACATAAGGAACTGCATAACCACTGACAAGCAAATTTAGACTTTAGAGTGACTGTGGTTGCTCTTTGGCTGCTCCTCTGAAGCGATGATGGAATAATGGCCAAACAGTGATGAATCACACATAAATAGACATGAGTCACACATTAACAGTAATAAATCAAACTAAGTTTGTAAACATTTTAAGAGAGTTGCAGAAGGTGAGCTAAGAGAGGCATTACTCCCCATGGTGCTCATACAGGGGGTTTTTTTGTGTGTGGTTGAGTCCAATTCTTGCTTCGGGTCAAATGGATTTTGCAGGCTTTTGAAACAATACCAAAAAAATGCCTAACCTGTTTGCCAGAAACCAAAGTGGGAAGATAGTAAACAACACAGTGGTCCTTCTAGCAAACAGATTTCGACTCTCAAAAATCCTATTGTCTGTCTCCAGCCCAACAGCATAATCCTACCCATGTTTACTCATTCAGTGGGGCTTACTTCAAGGAATGTGAGTATGCAAGTGAAGCCTAAGCCTCCAACAATTTATTATCCTTTTTTCCTTTTCCATATCTGCAAGTTCCATGGATCCCAAGCAAGCATTTAGACCATGTGCAATATAGTGCCATTGCAGAATAATTCAATCTTCTGTTGGCCATTTCAGTTTGTCATATGGAATGATTGCCCCTGCCATGTGCAAGTGGAAGTCTTTGTGTGGGCTGCTGTTGATGGTACTCATTAGTTGAATTCCACCCACAGGTAATTCATAGTAATCATTTCAGGTAGAACAAAGCAGCTTGGGCAATTCTCATTCTCTGAATCCGGATTTACTACAGCCACCATGTTGGCAGCAAAGAGTTCTTTGTACCATCCTGTGGCTCTCCTTCAAAGTCACCTATTACCTTACTCATTATCATTGCAATCAGAACGTGTAGCAATCATGGTGATGCAGGTACACTCTTGCAAAATTCTACAGTTTGCAGAGTATGAGATACTTGGTCTTGCACGAGTGGAGTGATACATGCATTCTGCTCTTTTACTTCCAACACAACTGTGAAGCTGGTTCACTCTCAGCCCATAAGAGCATGATTGGAGGACTTTTGTGTGCATACAATATAGCACAAAATTATTCTGAATGTCTGATGCACAGAAACTTTGGCGGCAAGAGACCTGCCTCATATAGACACAGCACTCATCCATTTTTACAAAGGCACAGCTTCCCACTGAGCTATTTTCAGTTGCCATCTGCTCCCTTTCATCTATATTTCGGAGACATCTGTCCTTCTCTTATTCAGCCTAGAGGCCAATGCAAGACTTACAGCATTGCAGCTGGTCCCAATTTAGAGGGAGTGTGGTTGAAGCCAAAACGCAGGACAAAACGTTCTATGTGCTAAAATACCATCACTTCCACCAATTAAAAGTAAAATACCAAGGCAGAGCTGTTTGTGGCCATGATTGACACTGAATTTGACCAATAATTATTCTTGGAGGAATGCCAGCCAACATAATGGCTGGGATTCATGGCTTTTCTCCCCACCTCGTTCACGACACACACAGGACTAAAATACCGGGTCTATTTCAGGCTGAGCAATCCACCATCCATTCACACAGCACTAAACTAGCAGCCAAAACCTTAAGAGGGGATGGAACAGATGCAAACCTAAAAGATTAGTTTTCTTAGCAGCGTTCATCCTAATGCCAAGTCCATGGATGAACATATCAATTATCAAAGTGAGGGGGGAAGGCATAGGATCAAGTATGGACACCCCTGAGAGGGGGATGCAAAAACACTGCCAAAAATCTGGCAGAAACCCACATTGGCTCCCAGCACCATCATCAACGGAACGGAAAAGGATGCAGCATGCCACAAGTCTGCAGAATGCCTTTCAAATTCAGGCTAGAAAACTGAAACAAGCCATTTGCTGCTGCAAGGGTAGCAAGCCTATAGCCCTCCATACAGTATCTCCATCTCCCATTAGCCCCAGACAGCATGGTTAATCGTCAAGAGATTTTGAGAGCTGGAATCCAGTAAAATCTGGAAGCTCACAGGTTTCCCGTTCTTGCCCTCTCCAGGTCTGAAAAAGACTTAAAGGCCTTTTTATCCAACTCCTACCCACTAGTACCCCAGATATCAACATATGCAATTGGGTGAAGCAAATAGTGGAAGTGACTCAAGCAAGTGAGCCAGGCTATATATTGCACAGATTCTTTTCTTCCGCCTATTGTCTTGGGCACCAGATAATTATTCCAAACTTTCCTCAAAGCAGGCCATCCACCCTCCAGTTCAAGAATATGCTTGAATGTTTATGCATTAGGGGGGCTGAAGAAGAGCCTGCTGTGTCCTGTCTAATTTATAGCTCCCTGGAACAGACAAAGCATTCTGCTTTGTTTAGGCAACAGATAAATTTAGTGGACTGGATTCTATCTTGGCAAAAGCTTTTTTCAGCAACAGAGGAGAGACCTCCAGGGAAGGCTGATTTACAGAATGGTTTAAATAATGACTAGCGCCACTGCTGCAAGTCAGACAAAAATATCATTACTGTCATCCTGAGACCTGAAAACTATCATCTTTCTTACTGCACCCAAACTAAGTTCTGTTATTTGCACATAACGCAAAATACAAACTGAGGGACCAGATCCTGCCACAAGCCAAGATATCAACCCCACTCAACCAGTACTGCTATAGGGCCTAATAATGTCAGCCACAACACCAAATTAATCGAACCTGATCATCTTCCAATACAGTATATGCTATCATCTGCCAGTAATACCTATCTATATTCTATGTATAAGACAAACAATTCAGTCACAACACAAAAGTGTAAGTGGGTTCCAATATGACATAAAAGCAGGTGTATTTCAAAATCACTATGAGACCATCAGCTGAACTGTTCAGTGGAAAGAAGGAAGTTCAGAGAGAAATTAGCATGAAATTGTAAAATGACCACTTATAAAGTTATGTTCTATCACATGTGGCCTGAATCTAAACAATGGGTTTCCCTGTATGGGAGTTCAGCCCGGACACTGAGGTCCAGCGCCAAGGGCCTTCTGGTGGTTCCCTCACTGCGAGAAGTGAGGTTACAGGGAAGCAGGCAGGGGGCCTTCTCGGCAGTGGTGCCCACCCTGTGGAACGCCCTCCCACCAGATGTCAAGGAAATAAATAACTATCTGACTTTGAGAAGACATCTGAAGGCAGCCCTGTTTATAGAAGTTTTTAATGTTTGAAGTTTTATTCTCTTTTTAGTGTTCTGCTGGGAGCTGCCCAGAGTGGCTGGGGAAACCCAGCCAGATGTGTGGGGTATTAATAATAAAATTATTATTATTATTATTATTATTATTATTAGACCTTGCTGCAATGCCTCCATGCCACACATGTGATATGCACACACACACACACACACACACACACACACCTACAAATTTAAGATAACATTCCATGCATCCAATGAAGTGGACTCTAGTCCATGAAAGCTTATGCCATAAAACAGCCTTCAGGTGTCACAAGGCAACTCTTCAGAAGCAGGAATTGACACAGATCATACCACCAGTTAAGATGACCAAGCTGGATTTTGTTTGGTGGTGGCCTAAGCAGGGCATAAGCAAACAAGACACCTGACCAGAACAGGGAGGGAGGTGAGGAGTTAGGAAGAGATAGCCTAAGGTCAGGAAGTAATGTGTTAGGCTTCTGGCTTATCATTCCTTTGTTATGCAGATTATGGGCTAAATGGTCATCAGATGGTTAGGAGGTGGTTGGGAATTTCACATCTATTTGAAAGACAGCAAGAATATCCCAGATAACAGGAAGTCGTAGTCAATGTGGAGGCTGAACTTCTAAGTGGCATGGAATATCACTATCATATTACACTCATGGGCATCGGCTGTCTTTGGAGACAATGGAGGAGTGAACCTTTGGGGGGGGGGATGAGGTCAAGCTGTTGGAAGGTTGCAGCACCTGCTGTGGCTGTAGAGACTGATGCAGGAGAGACATATTTTGTTGCAGCTGGGGCAGATGAAGACATTCGGTTGTGCTGCTGCAGATGCACCAGGGTGTTTCTTCTCTCTGCATTGCTACTGAAAAATCGCACTGACTGCCAGCTAGCTACTGAGCTGCATTTAAGGTATTGGTGTGCAAAGCCCTACACAGCTTGGGGCCAGGATACCTAGAAGGCTGCCTCATAACCTACATCCCCAAATGATCACTGCATTCTGCAGGAGAGGGCATCCTGCAGATACCATGAGGTCCTTTCTTTACAGTGTCAGAATCAGGCCTAAATTTCTTCCCATTGCATGTCAGGCAGGTGCCATCTGTTGAATTTTCAGCACTTGCTAAAGACATTTGTCTTTCAATGAGCCTTCTAAAATCTTTAATCCAGTTGGGAGGTGTTTTGGACTTGAATTGATCCCATGTATGTGCTTTTGTTGTTTTAAACTGTTTTTATATTTTTGTTTTATATGTGTTATTATATTGCAAATGATTCCTAAACAAAATAATTAATAAATAATTTGATCATTCGTGCATGTATTGTTTCACACCGCCGGAATGAGTGACTTAGAAGGATATCTTCATATAAAATGTACAATTCCATAGAACAATTAAAATGGGGGGAAAGGTAGGAAGATTAGAGTGTCTCTTGGCCCCACGCTCCTGAGTGGACCTTCTTGCAGCATCAACAGCTTCCTTGTGTGACAACACCGAGAAAGGCTGGTTGACCACAGTAGATCATAGCTAAGTGTAATACATACCATGGAGTCACCCGGGGTCAGAGAATAGATTGTGCAAGCGTGTTTTACCCATGAACAAAGGTTGGGGAACCATCGTTCTAGTGATGCGGCTCATGCGCCCGTGAGAAACAAGCCACTGCACAAAATGGAAAAGTGGTGCAATTATTGCCCAGAGGCACATTGTGTGCAAGAGGTAAGCAAGACAGGGTTGTGGGAGAGGCTATTGAATGGGAACTCAAACAGGGTGGAGTAGCCCTGTTGTGATGGTGGTGATGGGGGTGGAATAGCAGGTACAGTGAGGTTGGGGGTGGTGTGGTCAGGAAAGCCATTGCTCAAGTAGGTCACAGAGGCTCTTAAAAGAGAGAAGGGAAGCTCTTCCAAGCATGGAAGTAGGAGTGGGAGAGAAGGAGGCATAGGCATCGTGAGCAGCCATTATGGGAACCAGCCTTAGTTGGGGACCTATCTGTGCTATAAGAGACTCTGAGTATCACCCAGAGAGGAGGACCATGGCTACTAAAATAAAACAAACCCTCATGTTTTTAAAGCAGCTGTTAGAAAATCAATATGTCCAGGCTTTCTCTGTGGGGAAAAGTTGCCTTTTATGGCAGAGTGACTTCTCCAGACCCCTTCTGAAGCCACAAGGAAACACCTTGTTTTCCTGCATCTTCCCTCCCTCACTTGAGGACGCTTCTTCTCCCATCTCTTCATTCACTCTCACGCAATTACTGAGATGCAAGCTTGGAGGCCCTACTACAGGTACAACCACTGTCGGAATTTAACTACTAGAAATGCTGCCTTTGCTGTTATACCTCTGTATGTAGAATTTGAACCCAAAATGAAGGCAAGACATTACATGCGTTTGGCCCATGCTGGTGGTTTATTCCAAAAACACACACAAACACACACGTCCGACACTGGTGGCGCCATTGTATTATGACAGATGACCTTTTGCAAACAACCTTAAACTGCTGTGCAGAAGATTTTATTCCGCATCACTGGACGCTTTGAAGACCATCTGGTCCAAAAGTGTCACATAAAATGGGATGAATAGCACAGCTTGTTGGTGGGACATAGGCCCTGTCTGAAAAGGCCTACGGTTGTATTCCTAGCATCTTCAAAGTGCCTCATGAAGCAGGGCTGGGAGAAGCGCTTGCTTTGGACCTTAGAGAGCCACCATCATAGGCAAAAACACTGGGCTGTTTAGGCAATTCTTATCTCACCTCTCCAGATGGTCAAAGTGACTTGCAGTCCAACTGCTGGCAGACCAATGACCTGACATGGGCTACATTCACACTTAAAGCACAAATATATCATTTTAAATAGTCATAGCTTCCACCAAAGAACTCTGGACACTGTAGTTTGTTAAGGGTGCTGAGAGTCGCTAGGAGACCCCTATTCCCCTCACAGAACTACAATTCCCACAATCAAATCCCTTTTCCCAGGGAACTGAATTGACAGCAAAAACCCCTCTGCACATCCACTTGCTTCATTCAAGGTGTACAATCCCTTTGCCCTTCCCAAACTTGCTATTTAGCACTGATTGCTGCGTATGTGTACCACTTCCAGCTTTATCAGCCATTTATAAATATTGGCTGCTTTCCAACACATTTGGCACACCCTCCATTCAGGTCAACAAGGCTGGCTCACTACATGTTCCCAAAAGGTTGTAATCACCAGAAGACTTAGCAAGTTGGGCAGCTGCAAATTTTAACTTTGATAGCAGTTGGAGCTATGCATGACACCAGCAGAAAATTGATTATTCTTTTAACCTGAACATACCTGGCTCTGGAAATAAGAGCCTTGCTGGATGAAACTAACAATCGGTTCCATGGGTAGCCAGCCCACAGGCCTTAAAAAGGTAAAGGACCCCTGACAGCTAAGTCCAGTTGCAGACGACTCTGGGGTTGTGGTGCTCATCTCGCTTTACAGGCCAAGGGAGCCAGCGTTTGTCCGCAGTTTTTCTGGATCATGTGGCCAGCATGACTAAGCCGCTTCTGGCACAACAGAACACCGAAACCAGAGCAGTGCATGGAAATGGCATTTACCTTCCTGCCGGAGCGGTACCTATTTATCTACTTGCACTTTTGGCGTGCTTTCGAACTGCTAGGTTGACAGGAGCTGGGACTGAGCAATGGGAGCTCACCCTGTCGTGGGGATTCGAACTGCCGACCTTCTGATCAGCAAGCCCAAGAGGCTCAGTGGTTTAGACCACAGCGCTTCAGGCCTTATCTACCCCTAACAAAGGTGTTTAGTGACACCCCACACCCTCATGGTTAGATCAGGGTGCTGATAAAGCCAAGGTTGCAGGTGTGATCTCCTGATGAGACAGCTGGATATTCCTGCATTGCAGGGGGTTGGACTAGATGATCCTAAGGGACCCTTCCTGTGGTATATAGTGAGTAGAATGTGAGGTTAGGACTCGTGGAGACTAAATCCCTGCTCAACACTGAAATCCCCCCCCCCCCCTCAATTATTTTCTTTGGAAAGGCAAAGAAGGAAATACAAAATCACACACACTCCCGATCTCTATTTTTAGGCTGTAAAAGGTATAGACCTAAACATTTACTCATTAAAAATGAATCGCTGGTTGCCACACATCCTCTTGCTGTTTGTAACTCACTCCCTTCCTGCCAGAGAGAACTGGAAAGTAGGACTTCTGGTTTGGGGGAAGGAGGCAACGTAATGTCTTGACGAAAGGTGACTAAGGGAGGTTTGTAAAATTGCACATTGTGTTGATTGAAGTTTTCCTCCTTCCCTCATAATACTAGAACTCAGGCTCATCAAATCAAGATTTGGGACAGAGAAAAGGAAGTACTTCATAGAATCTTGGGGCTCATCCAACCTTTTACTTGACCCATATTTTGATCGTTTTGTGTACTGGTTAAGTCCCCCTGCTCCAAGAGCTCAGCTACGTAAACTCTCTTCAGATTTTCTAAACATCTGATAAGATCCAATTCAGGCGGTAAGAATGGATTTTTGCAAGGCACAGCCGCATAACCACGAGAAAGGCTCTTGGACCCAGGGAAATTAATTGGTACACAATGCAATCAAATTACAGGTCATGTGAAAGTGTTGATGAGCCCATAGGCTTTGAAGGGGGCTTTATAGAGGCAATCTAGCTTAATTAACCGTAGGAAATAGAGCAGAGCAGTGCCCAACCTGGTGATAACACAACAAATGATGCAAGGAGGAAGCTCAAGAAAAGAGATGGTAAAGGAGCCCCTAGCTACTTTAAATGAGTTCAGATCTCCAGGGCCTGAGGAGCTGTACCCAAGGGTACTAAAGAATTTGCAGGTGTAATTTCAGAGCCTCTGCCTATAATCTTTGAGAATTCTTGGAGAATGGGTGAGGTTCCTGCAGACTGGAGGTGGGCAAATGTTGTCTTCTTCTTCAAAAAGAAGGGAAAAGAAGACCAAGGTAACTACTGACTGGTCAGCTTGATGTCAATACCAGGAAAGGCCCTAAAACAAATAATTAAACCGTTGGTTTGTGAGCACATAAAAGAGGATGCTGTGATTACTAAGACCAAGCATGGCTTTCTCCAAAACTAGTGATGCCAGATAAATCTCATTTCTTTCTTTGATGGAGTTACAAGCTTGGTGGATCAGGGAAATGCTGTGGGCATAGTATATCTTGAATACAGTAAAGCTTTTCACAAAGTCTCCCATGATATTCTTGCAGAAAAGCTGGCAAAATGTAGGCCAGACGAGGAGTAGCAAATTCTGCAGAAGACAGAATCGGGATTCAAGATGACCTTAACAGATTGGAGAACTAGGCCCAAACTAACAGAATGAATTTTAATAGGGCCAAATGTAGAGTTCTACACACAGTCAGGAATGACTCAGAGTTACACTAAACTTTGAGAATTTCATTTAACACAATTGCATTAAGACACCAATATTGATTTTTAATTGTATATTTATTGCTTCTTTTTCTTATTGTATTAACATTTGAATTCCATTTTTTATTACATATATTAGTTCCTAGCACAGAATATTGCAGTTGCTAAACAACAGACAGAAAAATCATTAAGTAGTGCACCCGGAACCTCAGCAATTTTCAATTACTCTTGGGGTGGGGTTGAGAGTACAGAATTCACCACAGGCAGCTGCTCAGCCTCTGTTTGAATATACCTCCCCATATCAAACAAGAGCCCTGCCACTCCAACAAAGTAATTACCGGTAGTTCTTTGGTTGGATGTTCTTACCACAAAGCAGTTTCTCCTAATGTTCAACTGAAATCTGTGCTCCTGTATTTTAACCCCATTGGATGTAGTTCTGCCCTCTGAAGAAGCAGAGAACAATTTGTTGCTCTCTTCTATATGACAACCCTTTTGAGTATTTGAAGAGTGCTCTCATGGTCCCCAGCTGTCTTCTGTTCTCCTGCCTATTTATTTATTTTACAATATTTATAAACCACTTGACTGTAAAAAAAATCCTCTTAAGTGGTTTACAAAAATAAAGAAAAAGTTTTAAAAAGGCATTTGAAAGCACTCAAAAGATGACTAAAATCACAGCTAAAAAGACATAAAAGATGGACCATTGATATGATCCAATAGGGCTCGTCTTACATTCTTTGGATATTTTGCTTCCATGATTACTTCAGTCTCATGACATCTACTTTGAGTTCATTGCCTCATTTTTAAAAAGAACCAAAAATATTTCACGTGCGTAGCTTGTTTATGATGCAACCCTTATTTTACCTTTGTTTACATTGATCATCTTGGTTAGGAAAGCAAGCGTTGAGGCCAATATGCCAGCAATCCTCTCTGCATGTGACCCAGCAGGCAAATCCTACTCATACCGATTTCTGTGCCAAGTTGCTGAAGGTGTGGTCAGTTTGAACGTGACAAGAGGCAGGGAGAGCCAAGTGCTGAATTGGGTGTATTCATTAATCATATGGTTGGATAAACAGAAATGTTAGCTCTTTTGACACTTAGCAGTGAAATCTGGGGGAACCAACCCAAAATGTTGGCTCTGCAGCATCAGGGTCGTGCTGGTGAAATCAACTTTGCTGAGACCCTAGACCGCTTGAACTCAGACAAGGTGGTGGGGGGAAATGTTATTCTCACCTCATTATGAAAGCTGCTTTCAATTCTCTTAGTGAATATAAACTCCCTTTAGTTATTCCATAGGTTTAGGATAGGCCCCAGGAAGGGCATCTCTCAAAGTTAAGCTACATATCCATTTCTGAGGGAACTGCAGGAATAGAGGGCAAAATGCTCATAATTTGTAGTGCCACAGTTCAGTTGGAAGGATCCAGGAGAGCTAAACTGGTTTATATTCATGGTTCAGGTATGGCCTAAAGGCACTCCTGCACCACAAACAATTCCCTTTAATAGCAAACTCAGGTGGTCGAGTGCTGACAGGATTGGAGCCAAAATGAAACAATAGGAAGGTATCAACATGCTCAGCTGAATTCCAAGGTTTCCAGTGGTACAAGGAAAAACCAAAGGGGGCACCCTCCCCACAACCTCCCCTCACAAATGCATATGCTCAGCCAGGGAACATTGAGTTTCAGCTTGGGGGGAAACCTGAAAAAGAGAGAATGAAATGAAGTATCCTGGAGAAGGGCCAACAGGCACTATGAAGAAGAAAACTGCTCCTCAGAGCTGAGGCTATGCTGCAACACTTTGCTGCAAGTCACAATTGTTCCATCTAAAGCCCCAAAGCCCTTCCCAACTATTATGTTCAGGGTAAGAGGGATAGAACAAGAGAACACGACAGGTCTTGCAATTAAACTAGTTTACATTTGCGCTGCATATGTACTTTAAGGGTTTGGTAGCATATGTCAGCAAAACGACAATATGTCAGCACCATAGCTGTCAACTTTTCCCTTCTCCTGTGTATTCAGAATAAGGGAATTTCCCTTAAAAAAAGGGAAACATTGACAGCTATGGTCAGCACATAACAACCACAACTAATAAAACCTTGCTAAGGGATATTGCAGTCTATAATAACCAAAATACTTTCCTCTCTCTTGTGGCCAAGTCTACCTTTTACCAGTTTCATGTGGTATGCCAGGTACAGCTGTATCTGGATCAGAATAATTTGTCCAGAGTAGTCCATACATGGGTAACCTTGAGACTAGATTACTACAATGTACTCCTTGTGGGGCTGCCCTCGGGCCTGGTCCAGAAACTCCAGTTAGTGCAGAAAGCAGTGTGGGGCAGACAAATGACAGGATATGAACCTCAGGTGAAACACCTGTATTGGCTGCCCATATGCTACCGGGCCAGGTTCAAGGGTGTTGCGTTGATATACAAAGCCTGAACAACTTGGGCCCAGGATACTTTAAGGACCACCGGAACCTAACTCAATCACTGAAAATATCTGGAGCACGGTGGTCCAACAAGTGGCCCTGGCAGCCTCTGCTAAGTTCCAAAGGGGTGATACTAACAGCCATCCCTGTGATACTTTATGATACAGAGGTATATAAATGATTTTATAAACAAACTATAAACTAGATTCTGCGGAAAGCATTACTGGTTAAGGGACTTTCCATCAAGTACCACCATGGGAGTGGGCTGGAGCTAGCCAACCATCTGGTATCCTGTTCCAGAAATATTTGCATGATAGTTGAAAGGCCATTGGGGCTATAAACTAAGGTTCCAGAAAGACTGGAAGGCTTTACATAAACACATACTTTGTACAACAGAACTGGCACTATCTCTTGATTTGCTGACACCTCTTGAAAATGTTCCTGGCTGCCCTTTAAACAGTGCGCAAGCAATGACCAAACAGCAGACTAAAAAGCGTAATTCAGTTTCCACTGCCAACAGCAAAAGGGACTTTTCAGATAAGCAAAGCAGTATTTTCAGATTAGCTAGAATACCCTGGCATTCTCCATGAGCATTAAGTAGCTGGGCTTCTTGCCCCAGCAATCTTTATCTGAGAAGCATTTCCATTATCACTGTAGCATGGTCTTCCCAAAGTAATATATTGCAAAACATTCCATACCATCTTAGTCAGGCATCCCCAACCTTCGGCCCTCCAGATGTTCTGGACTACAATTCCCATCATCCCTGACCACTGGTCCTGTTAGCTAGGGATCATGGGAGTTGTAGGCCAAAACATCTGGAGGGCTGCAGGTTGGGGGTGCCTGATCTTAGTAGTTCAATCCTATGTCTACTCAGAAGCACACCCAACTGAAGTCAATGGGATTTACTCTCAGGTCAGTGAGGGAGGAACTGCAACCTTAACAAGTTTCTTAATCCACCTCCCGAAACAACCTGACATTCTTGTACATCCACTGCTTCTTCTCCCAATATTTGTCTGCTCAGATGACACACCACAGGAAAACAATTACAGATGCTTACCAGGAAATGAAGAGTCGGCAGGAGTAACTTTCCAAAGAAAATTTCCATATAATTTACAAGGAAAAGTGGCTACTTTGGTTGGTTGCAACAACAAGTGTGCCAAGCCTAGACTTAATTTATGTTGCAAGAGACAGAAACGCAATAAGTTTCTGCCACTTCTTATGTCAGCCGGTTCCAGAGTGCTAATCTCTTGCAGGAAAACAACAGAGAGTCTTGCGGCACCTTAAAGATCAACAAATGTATTATTGCATAAGTTTTTATGGACTTGTAGCATAGTACACGAGAGCTAGATCAGGTGGTTTGGAAGGCAACCAAGTCAGCACAGTCTTCGAATGATGTTTTCCAAAAACTAATCTCAGATATTTGTTAAAAGAAGTAGACTCACACAACTGTCAACATTTCCTGTGTGATAGATGGACTTCCCCTCTTTATCGGGTCAGCCAAGGTTAAAGAACAGCTCTCCATTCAAAGAACCCAAAAGGATAGAAAGTCTTGCTGAATCAGGAGTTTACTGCTCCATCTTTAAAAACCCGCCCCTCCCTGCAACATCTGTGCCATCTGTGTTCTAGGTTTGATCTTAATGCTGGTTTAGTTGTGATTAACTTGAGTGTCTGCAATAACAGAAGCCTCTAGTTACTGGGCTTGTATTTACCAGTGCTTGATGGTTTGTCCAATAATGAGGGGTACGTGAAGGGGAAGGACCACCTGCCTCACTGATGCAAAGGAGGAAGTATATTTGGTTTCCACTCACCCTTCCATCAGAAGGTGGGAGCCTCTGCCTTGGTTAAGGTACAGGGTGCAACCTTTGAATTTAAGAGGGAGACAGTATATGCCCCAGCTGACACAGTCATTCTTCACATAGCTTTTTTATCCCTAAAATCAAAGCTTTCTGCTGACGTACCAAGCCCCAAAGAGCACAGGAGAGGACCTGCCCATTTAAAACCCAAGAAAGCCCTTCCCTTCCTAACAGCCCATCCTTTTCTGCCTCTCCTGGCCCCAGGACTAAGCTCTATCCCCACCCTGTTATAAGAAGGCAGTGTGGGCCAGCCATGCCCAACAGAACCAACTTTCTGTAGCAGCTGGAAAAGAAGAAGCTTTTGCCCGTTTTCTCCTGGACCCTGTAAAGAGGTCAGTGAGTACTTAGTAGGGGTCCATTCAGGATAAGGAAGAGGGCCCAGCACTTTGCTTTGGGGCACATCTGGAAAAATGGAGATCTCCATTGCTACTAAAAATGAAGTTAAGAGGTCTTTGGGTTTGGATGCAGCTGTTAAGGCCTAAATAGAACTTTTGAAAGTATAAAGTATCAGGTCCCCAACTGAAACAGTATCTAGATCAGCAACCAACAACCTTTTTGGCAAGCGTACAACCAAGTAGAAGACTGAGTTCCTCTGGTGTACACCACAGTAGCCATTAATAATAATAATATAATATAACATAATAAATACAGTGGTACCTTGAGTTACAAACGCCTCAGGTTACAAATGCTTCAGGTTACAAACTCTGCTAACCTGGAAGAGTTACCTCGAGTTGATAACTTTGCCCCAGGATGAGAACGGAAATCGTGTGATGGCGGTGCAGCATCAGCAAAAGGCCCCATTAGCAAAAGCGCGCCTCTAGTTAAGAACAGTTTCAGGTTAAGAACAGACCTCCGGAATGAATTAAGTTTGTAACTAGAGGTACCACTGTATTGTGCCATAATGTGGTTTTGCCACAAATTAGGGAATAGAGAGTTGTGCAACACCGGGCTTTATCCAAGTGCAGGAGTGCAACAACCACCTACTGTCTGCGCCACTTGCAGCACATGTAGCATGAATGAGCAGATAATCTCAGCAACAAAGAGAGGGTCAGTGCGGAAACAAATAAACAGAGTGCATTGTTAGCTGCTAGACTATGACAGAGCATGTCTAGAGTGCCTTGGTTTCTATTATGACTGTATCAGCACAACTTGCTCACACCTATCTGAAATTAGAGATAAATGCATCAAGGTTAGTGGGGTGGGACTTTGAGGCAGAGCTGAACTTTGGCACCTTTCATTTAAGAAATAAGCATGGGCAAGGGTTCAATGTACAGATTCTGCACTGGCTTAAAGAGGCAAGGCATACTGGAGAGAATGCACGGCAAAAGCAACCGCCCCCCCCATTTGTCTTTTTTTATATATAAAAAAAATAGTACCGGTAATTGACTGCTCCTGTAGGTCCCCTACTGTGATGGCAAAATGTTGTGTTTGTGTGTGTCCCTCCAAGTCGCTCCGTAAAATATGTTTGTTTAAAAATACTTTTTGGTTACATAATTTAATAATGAATGATTTAAAATTGATTAAAAATAGTGGTAGCTGACGGGGGTGTCTTATGTAAGGCGGCTTTGAGAATTACAGTTCTTAATGCAGCTACTTTTCCAGTTTGGCCAGACCCATTCTGACATGCACCCCTGCACCCTTTGACAACTAACCATGAGTCAATGCAGCCCTCTGCTGAAAGAACGTTAGCCACCCCTGTTGTAGAACATAAGATTCCCATTCTCTCATGTAAGGGGTTTGGTTTCCTTTAAATTTGCACTAAGTATGCACTTTATCTGTATCTGAACATGCAAAGGCTAAGTGAGAGAGCTTGAGCTGTATACAGAAAACTAGAGGTTATATGTCCCATCTTCCTATATCAGATACAGTAAGAAGGCTGGCCAGTACAGATCCAAACAGAGGCTGAGAACGCACCATATATTTAAAGCACATGGCTTCCCCCCAAGAATCCAGATTTTTGTGTGGAAGCTATGTGCTTTAAATTTATTGGGGGGGGGGTGCATGCTTACAGATCTGGGAACATTTTTCCATTTGCACACTACTAATCCATGGTAAGTCATGTTTTATGATCTAGCATGTCATCCAAACACCTAATGTGTGCATGCATGAGAACAGTGGTGCAAATCCAGGGCTATTTCAGTGTGGGGCTGGAACTAAGAAATGAAAAAGAATGCAAGCTTGCAAAAATGTATCACTTGCCCGATAATAAATGTTGGAAATGTAAAGAGACTGAAGGTACATTTTTTCACCTTTGGTGGACGTGCCCAAGGATTAAGACATTCTGGGAGATGATTTATAATGAAATGAAAAAGGTATTTAAATATACCTTCCTGAAGAAACCAGAGGCCTTTCTCCTGGGCATGGTTGGCCAATTGGTGCCAAAAAAGGATAGAACTTTCTTTATGTATGCCACAACAGCAGCAAGAATACTCATCGCGAAGTATTGGAAGACACAAGATCTACCCACCCGGGAAGAATGGCAGATGAAGTTGATGGACTATATGGAATTGGCGGAAATGACTGGCAGAATCCGAGACCAGGGAGAAGAGTCGGTGGAAGAAGTTTGGAAGAAATTTAAAGTTTATTTACAGAAACATTGTAAAATTAAGGAATGTTAGATGGATGTTGGAATGAAGTAATGTGGTTTTAGCAGAAATGCTATAAAGGATTAAGAAAAAACAGATTGTTAAATGGTGAAAGGAGGGAAGGTAAAGTTACATGATATTAAGATAAAATATAGGACAAAAACTGGAAAAGATGGAAAGGATTTGCTGAAATAGCTAACTGAACTAGAATGCAAAAAAGGGAGGTGTGAGGAGGTCAAGGAAATAAGTAAATGAAAGATAAGTTATGGGAAGATTCATTGTATTATCTTTTTTTTTCTTTTTTTTCCCTTTTCCGTATTGTGATGTGATGTTCTGTTTTTGCTTAATATGCTGTTTTTTTATTTTTCCTTTTTCCTTTTTGTAACCTTTCAAATCTTAATAAATATTACTTTAAAAAAAAAAAGAAATGAAAAAGAATGGATGAAACATTTCAAACGTGCTGGTGTTGACATAGCCCAGGCATAGGCAACCTCGGCCTTCCAAATGTTGTGGGACTACAACTCCCATGATCCCTAGCTAACAGGACCAGTGGTCAGGGATGATGGGAATTGTAGTCCCAAAACATCTGGTGGGCCGAGGTTGCCTATGCCTGACATAGCCTAAGCCATGGGTAGGCAAACTAAGGCCCAGGGGCCGGATCTGGCCCAATCGCCTTTAAATCTGGCCCACGGACAGTCCAGGAATCAGTGTGTTTTTACATGGGTAGAATGTGTGCTTTTATTTAAAATGCACCTCTGGGTTATTTGTGGGGCATAGGAATTCATTTATTTCCCCCCAAAAAATATAATCCGGCCCCCCACAAGGTCTGAGGGACAGCAGACCGGCCCCCTGCTGAAAAAGTTTGCTGACCCCTGGCCTAAGCTTTGTGAGCAGCAAATATGTTGCTTTCTTTGGTAAAGGTTAAAAAACAACAACCCTATTTATCTACTTGCACTGGCATGCTTTCGAACTGCTAGGTTGGCATTAGCTGCTTTCTTTACACCTTCTCTTCCTTAGCATCATTTTTTTAGAGCGACTAGAGAAGTGGAAACCCCACCTATGGTCTTTGGTCCTTTTATGTGTAAAATGAACACAAGGATCCTCCTTCCCTGTTGTTTAAGAGTCAACTTGCAGGTTGTAGGTCTATCAAAGAGCTCAGAACTGAAATGCTTGTTCCAGGAGTGTTATGACTCATGGAGGCATTAATCTCAATCTTTTTATAACACCTTGTTCTTTCACAACTCTCAGGCCCCACAGTTTCAGTGCTTGTTGTTCCCAAGTGTGGCTAAGGGCTTGCTTGGCACACTGGTGGCACAAGTCTTGCAGGGCAAATAGCCAGGAGGTGGTCGGAATGATGCAGAACTGGGAGGTGGGAGGGGGGATTCCTACTAGTGCCTGGCACAAAGGCTTTCCTCAACAATTTAAATGAACAATTATTACCCCTACCTGTGATCAAATACACCTGCCTGAGCTCAAGTGTTCGAAACTCCCATTGTTCTAGGCGCATTTTAAGACAGGGAGTTTCATTAGCGCGAGCAGTTTCTGAGCTCTGTGGGTGCAGTATTGCGCCTAAAATTTCAGATTAAAACTTCAGAGTGGAAGGAAAGGAGCACCTTTTTTCTGCCTCCCCACTTCCAGCTACTTTCTGTAAACTGGAGAAGAGACCCTCTTAAGAATATCAGGGGGTGGGCAGGGGAAGGAGTAGACCATGTGAAAAATGAACATAATATTTTAGCTGCAGTTCATTTTCAGCTTTGTTATAAAAAGTGTGCCTAAAAATTACGTTGTTGCACCCATAACCTAGGTTTAAGATGCCATTTAGCTCCTAGCTTTAATATCTATTTTATAACACTGCCTGAGCTGTAGTCTGTATGAGGGGGGCCCTGCCCTCCGGCCTGCTAGTAAGAGCAATTACATTGGTGGGTACCTGAGACAAGGGCTTTTCATTGGTGGACTGGCACCTTTGGAACTCCCTTCCTAAGGAGGGGCCCCAATGGCCCCATCATTGTCAATTTTCAAGATCTTAAAAACATTCTAACCAGCCCAGGTTTGGTTCATTTTATTGTATACTTTTTATTTTTATTGCTGCTGGCCTGTAAATTAGCAGGTTTGATGGGGTGCTCTGCTGATATGACGTTCTGTATTTTACGTCTCTCTACAACTTTTGTGAACGGGGGTGCCCCTTGAAAAGAGGGCAAGGAATCATTTTAACTTATTTAAGTGTAAGGGCATTTAAGGGTACTTGGGTTTTGTTTTGTTTTTTTAAAGATCCACCTATCAGACCCTGGGTGCAAACCCAAAAGCTGAGAGGGTGGGTGTGTCAGAAGGAAAATGAATTGATATTGATTTTTATATATTTGTATACTTTGTATTAATGTAACATTTTTATATGTAACTGCATATTTGTAATATTTTGTTTAAGTTGTTGCTTCAGTTTTTATACACAGTTTAGATATATTTAAAATGTATTAAATGGTATAGAAATTAAATAATCAATTAATCAGATCTCCCTACCTCCCCTCAACTATGAGAGTTTGGAAATCTGCTGACCATGAAAGTACACACTACTGCTGCAGGTGTTTTATTTTGCTCTGACTCTGCAAAAGGCAGCCTCATCTATACTTTGATGGATGGATACAAGGAGGTACTTCTATTGCTGAAGGATGTGCCTCTTTATCTGGAGTGAATCAATTTTTGCAACTGCTGGAAGATTTAGCAATAATTCTGCGCACCATAGAAAAACAATGGGTGGAATTCAGCTTGACTTTGTCTGTAAACTGACCCCACACCTACAACATTCAGTCTGTTTTTATTACTTTATTACATTTTGCCCTGTGCAACCACCCCTAATTGTACAACATCTTGCCTGCTGAATAATTCTGGAGAATTCAAAAGTTTGCCACATCTTTGTAATCTTTCAGTCGGTCCAAATAAAGGTATTACCCAACTGTGGAAACTGGAGTTGTTTTCTTACAGAGTAACAAGGCTACTCTTGTTTTCTTAAAGTGCTCAGTATATAATAGCTTAACTCCACGGTATGATCATCATGCCTGATAAATACTGAGTGCAATACATTGTCATTATATTCAATAAAACTGTACTTTTATTGGCAGCCTGACTTACACAAATTGTTTCTAATTAAGACCCCACATTTATCATATAATCCAATGCCACTCGCAACAGCATAAAGTCTATGCCAAGTCCAAATATCCCTGTTAAAAGTCTATTAAATATTCATTGATTTATTTCCTTCTGCTTCCCAAACCTTCTTATCTCCTTATGCTTTGTTACTGGAATGCTTTCCCAAGCTTTGAGATACAGACACACTGAATAACTAGTTGCTTTGGTACAATAAAATACTTGGTTTTCCCTATTCTATTTGTCTGTCATTTAGCACCAGGTGTGGGAAAAGCAGCACAGATTATAGAAAAGACAAAATGCTAAACTGGATAGTCAAATGTGACTTTGCCTTTAATCTGTATGTTTCTTTAAATGAAACAAAATTACAAAATTCCTTCCAGTAGAACCTTAGAGACCAACTAAGTTAGTTATTGGTATGAGCTTATGTGTGCATGCACACTTCTTCAGATATAGCTTAGTTGGTCTCTAAGGTGCTACTGGAAGGAATTTTGTAATTTTGTTTCAACTACGGCACACCAACACGGCTACCTACCTGTATCTTTAAATGAAAATACCATCTTATGGGGGGTGATAATTATCATGATCTCAGCAGCAAGAGGGGGAAGCTTAAACATTTGCTACCCTGCCTTAATCCTAACAAAAATTCCTCCTCTGCTACTATTTGCATTGGTATTTTCTCACAATCCAAAAAAGCAGTTTCAGATGAGGAATTTTGGTTAGGACTGAAGCAGGTGAGGAAACTGTTAAACTCTCACTTCCCCAACTTTTTAGATCCTGATTATTGTCTAGCTCACCCTTCAGTCCATGTTAAAGGGAAAGAGGTCAGGAACCTGACAGTAACGACTGGCAGACTGAATAGGAAAAAGTGAGCTGAATGTGCATGAAGAAAGTGCGTTTGGAATGGTAGCAATTGAAGGTTCCCTTCACAATTTGCCCTCTCCCTCATCTTCCTACTATCCTACTTTCTCCAATTGTAATATTCACTTCTCTAGTTCCATCACCCTCAAACAGTCAAGTCTCCTGCTCCTTTTTAAGCATTCTGCTCTCTCTCTCTCTCTTGCTACCTTTTATGCTTGAAATTGCCTCTCAGGACACCTGTATGATGCCACTTGCCTTGCCTGAGTAAGGGTTGCAGCTTACTAGCACAGCACAGGTTTTGTATGCAGATTCAATCCCTGCCACCTCTAGGTAGGCCTGGGAAATGCCCCTCTTTCAAACCCTGGATGGCCACTCAGTGGAGTAGCGTGGGGGGTGCCAGGGGTGCCAAGGTCCTGTGCACAGAATCTGGTGGGGACTGTGCAGAGATCCCTATGCCCTGCTTTGGCCCAGTGGTGGGGGCTTGGTGAGAGCGGAGAGTGAAGGGCACCCTCCGTGCCCACCCGGCACACACCTGCCCAACAGTGGTGAGGGCTCGGTGAATGCATTCCAACACCATCTGGCGAGCATGCTCCACCCCTGCCCCGGGTGCTGACAAGCAGCGTTACACCACTGTGGCCACTTCCAGTCTGCGTAGACATGGGGTAGGGAACCTGTGGCCCTCCAGATGTTGGACCCACCACATCTGGAGTAATCTAGACAGATCAAGGCACTTTCCTAATTTCCTGCTTGCTTCAAACTGCTCCTCAAAATCCAATGCTGACATAACCCCATGAACCTACTCTAAAACCCTAGGCGCATGTAACTAAAACCCACTTATACACACACATCCTTTCTCCCACCGAAAGAGCCTGCTGAATCCGGCCAATGGCCTAACTAACTAGTCCAGCATCCTGCTACCACAGTGACCCATATCAGATGCTTGTGAAAAACCCACAAGCAGGACCCAAGCACAAAAGCATCCTCCCTTTCTGTGTTTTCCCGCAACTGCCATTCAAAGCCTGCAGGAAGCTTGATCATCTGATGCACGGGGCGGGGGGAGTGCTATTCTGCTTGGTCACTATCTTTCCTCACACAGGTGATTGACTGGGGAGTAGTCTCAACCGCCTGTCAAAGTTGACTGTGAGGGGAAATAAAGATATGGCCCAGGTTCTCCACCCCTGCTTAAAAAAGGCAGCACACTAAGGTTGGTATTCTCAGGAATACCGGAGAAGATCCAAGAAAAAGCAGCAATTGTTGCATGTGGGTACAAATTTTGAAGTCTCCATAGGAGACTTTGGTTATACCACTCACACAATCCTGTGCACAGGCAACCATCCGTAGGTGTGCAAAAAATAAATAAAATGGTGTGCCCAAGACCAGCTCACAGGACTCTCTCGCACAGTCTACGCTAACCACCTCCATGCAGTATGGAATAGCTCAATAAATGTAAGGGATACACAGTTTACACGATCGCCATCTGGAAAGATAAGCAATTCCTTTTAAGACGAACGGCGGCGCTGTGATACGTCAGAAACAATAGAGGGATTCCAGTGGGAGCGGTCCCCGTTACCACGAGGTGGGAAGAAATCGTTAGACTCTTTTATTCAAAGAAAGGGGAACGGCTCACAAGCTCTTAAATGTCGAAAAAGAACAGAGTATGACTCATAAGAGGTGGACGAAGATGGGGAAAAGCCCCCCAGCCCCGACCACGGGCATCCTAACCCCCTTCCCGCCAACTTCTCTTCCCGCCAACTTCAAAAAAGTCACCACCGCCGCTACTTGGGAGCCTATTTATTCTGAGAGAAATAAGCGTTACTCTGGCAACCTACGTTTCAGGGCAGCGGGTGGGAAAAGGGATGAATGGACGGACAGAGATATATAAATACAGACACTAAGTTGCTCGCGCCCTTAGGATCTGCTCTGCCGCCTCCGTGAAACCGGAGCGACTCCTCGAGCCGCCTGCTGGAAAGGAAGCAGAGGTGAGCCCCCTAGAGCCGAGTGCCAGGCTGGCACCGCTCGCCTCGTGGCCGCGGAGCGAGCAAGGCAGGAAGCCCATCTCCGCCCTCCGGAGCAGCAACAGGCACCTGCCACTGCGCTCCCCGCGCTCGTCGCTCCGGGGAGAGTTGGCTCCCGATGCCAGGCACACGCGCCACCACCCCGGCCCATCCATCATCGGCTTGGCTGGCATCGGCTTGCGGAGCCACGTCGCTCCTCCCGGCTCGGGGGGGGGGGGTCTCTCCGTTCCCGCCTAGCGCCTGGGCCCCCCGGGCAGGCCGCGGGAAGCGGTTCCTTATGCACGCCAGGCGAAACTCACCTGCTCCGGCCCCGCGCTCTCCGGTCTCGGCGTGCAGCGTCCTCGCGGCGGCAATTCCATGTGAAGGGGCCGGCTCACTCCGGGGCAGCCCCGCCTCGTGGTAAAGATAGGCTCTCCCGCGGCCCGCCTCCTCCTCTCCTCGCGCGCCACTGCAGGGACTCGGTCGGCTTGCAGCAGCGCCTCCTTTCCCGCCTTTGCTGGGCACCGTGCCTGGTGACTGTGCCCTGGGCCTGGACCAGTTGGCAGGGCGCTTCCCAAACGAGGGAGGCGGCTGGAAGCCCTTCGTTCGGGATTCGCCATGAGGTATGACTGCAAAGCGGGGCGTGAGGCGAGGAAGGGGCCTGCCCATCTTCCGAGTTTTACGCATTCAGAACTGCTGTGCCGGATCAGGCTAGTGGCCCATCTAGGCCAGCATCCTGTTCTCGCAATGGCTAACCAGCTGCCTGCGGAATACCAGCAAGCGGCACCCAAGCACAGGAGCACTCTGCCCGCCCTCCTGTCGTTTCCAGCAACGTTTTTCAGAAGCATGGCTGCCTCCAACTGTGGAGGCAAAACATAGCCATCAGTAGCACTCTCCTCCATAAATTTGTCTAATTTTCTTTTAAACGCAGCTAGCTCGGTGGCCATCACTGCCTCCTGTGGGGGCAAGTTCCATAGTTTTAACTATGTACCGCATGAAGAAGTGTCTGAGGCCTGGCGGAAAGTGGGGACATAGTTCTCCTATGTGTGTTAATTTTGGGGGTAGGAGAGAGCCCCAGTGATAAAGAGCATTGGAATAGGAGCAGGGAGGTGTGGGTTTGAAATCCCCACTGGGCTATAGATCTCACTTGGTGACTTTGGGACAGTCACTCTTTTTAGCTGTTCCCCCTTTACAAGATTGTTGTGAGGTATGGCAGGTTATAAATGCAAGACAGGCACTTGGAGTAAGTTACTGCCTTCAAGTAAACATGTCTAGTACCATGCCTGGACTATGGCCCCAATCCTAAGCATGTTTTCTTGGAATTTAACTCCCATTCATTTCAGTGCACTGTAAGTTTCTGAAAGGGATGCGGGTGGCGCTGTGCCTTAAACCACAGAGCCTAGGACTTGCTGATCAGAAGGTTGGCGGTTTGAATCCACGCAACGGGGTGAGCTCCCGTTGCTCGGTCCCTGCTCCTGCCAACCTAGCAGTTTGAAAGCACAAAGTGCAATTAGAAAAATAGGTACCACTCTGGCGGGAAAGTAAATGGCGTTTCCATGCACTGCTCCGGTTCGTCAGAAGTGGCATAGTCACGCTGGCCACATGACCCAGAAGCTGTACACCGGCTCCCTTGGCCAGTAAAGTGAGATGAGCGCTGCAACCCCAGAGTCGTCTGCGACTGGACCTAATGGTCAGGGGTCCCTTTACCTAAGTTTCTGAATAGGGCAGCCTTAGTTGAAATTGATTGCCTCTCTGCACACCCCTCCCTAGCACCCTTCTCTTGCCGTGGCACTGCCTCCAGCCAGCTCCTCTCCAATCATCATTTGGCTGGCACCAGGTCTTTGTGACCTCCCCTTCCTTTCTTCTAATTGGCACACATTTCACTCTGGCTGGCAGCTGTGCCACCCCTCACCCACTGCCCCTGCCCCTAATGTTCTGCTTCCTCCCACCCACCCTCCATGTCTTTTGCTCTCTTCAAGCCTCTCCATTCAGGAGCCCAGACGACAAAGTGGGTCATTGCTATTTCCAAACACCCAGGACAGGGTCTGAATGTGAATAAGTTTCCAGAGCCTTATGCGACACACAGAAAGCCTCTTCCCTGCTTAAGGAACCACTTTCTGCCTTGCATCCTTGCTAGGAGGAGATGCCAGGGTTTATGTGCTTTTCCAGAGATTTTCAGGGCATCAGTATTGTTTTGAGTTCGGGTGTGTGTGTGTGGGTGCGTGCCAGGCACATATAATTCCTGGATCTAGTAAGTGTTAGAATTTAATCAAGGCTTGGAGTGTTAAACTGGGTGCCAGACACTGAACATTCATTCAGCAAGTGGTAAAATATAACCCAGGCTAGTTTCCTGTTGAGGTAATCACCTGGGGTGATAAGCCATTAAGAAAACAAAGGAAGAGTGATACCCCATTATGAAAGTTGAGAGGGGCTCTGTACTGGATGGCAAATGAGTGGGGCCCCACCTCCAGCTCTTAGATAGTGGGAAGGACTAAAGTCAGGATTGAGAGTTGGTTGTGATGAAACCTAGCGGTGTGTGTGTGTGTGTGTGTTGCAGACTGGAAAAGGGAGAGAGCACAATGTTTGCTGTGTATTTGAATCCAAGGCTGTGGCTATGAGAGAAGAGCTTTTGGGGGTGTTAATGGTGTGAACCCCTCCAACATAGGATCAGGTCGCATATAAGTGTAAATAAACCATATACCACAAAGACACCACAGTCTCTGCTGTGCCTCATTTGCAAAAGGAAACACGGACCCTGGATGAGCACCTGGAACCCCTGAAATCTTGCACTGCTCAGAGACTGGGGTGGTGTTCAACTGCATATTTCAGAGGATAGCATGGAGACACTCACTTCTATAATGAGCAATCCAGATGCAGAACAGACTATTTTCTCCCCTTTCAGGGTTCATCCTGGCTGTCAGGGCTTACTCTGAGATAGGCTCAGAAAGGCAGACCCAAAGACACTGGCCTCAGCAATCCTGTTCACAGGGTGAAGGGTTGCATCTGTGCAAAATGCACCTCCCATATATGAATCTGGGTTTCCACAGAAAAAAAAAGAAAATAAGGGAGCAGTCTGGGGTTTGTCAACCTCTTCTTTCAATGGGAAAACAAGGCCCATCATGAAGCTAGTAAAATAGATAATTACTGCAACTAGGACTTCCCTGAATGCCAAGAACCAACTTACCTTACTGTTTGAATAATATCTGGCAAGCCATGGTAGCAAGGCAGTATAGTCTGTTAGCAGACTGGAATTCACAAAGAGGCTTGATGGCACTTAGCATTCTCTGATGAGGCCTCATGAGAAGAGGAATACAAGGAAAGGCTAAGCAGAACAGAACCTCAAAATGTCATCACACAGGTAGTGTTCTCAAAACAGAGGTCATGACACCAAATGGAGTCACAGAGTCAGCTATCAGGGTAATTGATCCACCCATGTTAATGATCAATAGTGAGTGATTTCCAGAGAAGTAGTTGTGTTAGTAGACTCTTCGCTGTCTTTACACTGAATGTAGTTATTGTAGTTACCATACAAATCAAGGTCCTATGAGTCCTCCTTTCAACCTTGGTTGTGGATGGAAACAAGACCTATTTAAATTTTATTATTTTTATTTATTAAGTGATATCCCACCTTTTTTGCTTGACAGGGACTCAGGGCAGCTCACAGATAGGCTTGCAAATGTAATCTTCATCTTGGTCATCCATGGATTCCAATCTATACTCATTGGCAGCAGTTCTCCAGGGTTTCAGACAGGAATATCCCAATCCTAGCTGGAGATGATGGGAATTGAACCTGGGACATTCTGCATTCAAAGCATATGTTTTATCCCTAGATAAAAGGACCAGTGGTCAGGGATGATGGGAATTGTAGTCTCAAAACATCTGGAGGGTAAGAGTTTGCCTATGCCTGCCTTACGTACTAGGGGCCGCAAGACTTGTTTTTTACTTTAAAAGTTGTTGTTGCATTTATATCTTACCTTTCCTCCAAGGTGTTCAAGGTGACTACATAGTTATTTATTATTTCATAAAATTTACATACTGCTTGAATGTAGAAAAAAGACCCCTCAGAGCAGAAATTGTTCTCCCCACCCCTCTTTTATCCTAACAACAACCCTGTGGGTAGGTTGGGCTCATAGGCAGTGAGTGGCCTGAGATCACCCCTGTGACCTTCATGGGGGATTTGAACCCTGCCGGATTTGAACTCTGACGACTACACCACACTGGCTTTTATTTAGCCTTTATATCAGGAATGCAAAGGGAAGGAAACACACTATTCGCTCAAAAAGGTTATGAAGATTATGATAGTTTTAGGCATACGTAAAAGATCTTTTAATCCTCAAAAGCATGATAAATCGTCATTTCACTTGCAAGAGAAAAGAAGTTCCAAGAAAAGGAACTACTCTATGGAGAGTTTTGCCTCCATTAGTGCCAGCTCACAGTGAAAGCTGAGGATTGGGGGTTAAATGCAGTTCTGCATATAATATCAAATAATAAACACAAAGTGAATTCTCACTCATTCTAACTAGGAATCATCATATGAAATGATTGTAATTACTCAGCACACCCCCAATCCCGAGGAAAGGCTGGTGCCAGAATTTGGAAGTAATTAATTTTCTCTAGAGATACACCAGAGTTCTTGTAGCAACATCCTGTAAAATGAAAACCCAAAGCAGCAATATTGTCCACAGCTGCAATTCTAAATCACTCATTTTGTAAGTTAATCCTTCTGAAAGTCAACAGGACTTACTTCAAGGACAGTAGATTTAGGAAAGAAGTGCAAAATGCTCTATAAACATCTTCCTGCAAACGACAACTCTAAAGCAGTATCCAAATATAGAAATAAAATGAAAATTAACATAAATGGATTATGAGTTTAACTGCTGAAAATTATTTCAGGACTTCACTCAGCCTTTGTTGTCTGCAAACATCTAATTAAACAGAGGGAGCAGCGGTCATAGTGTTTAGCCTGTCTCACACACCATTTCCCAGACCTATATGCCATCTGCCAAAGCAGCTATTAGCAGTGTTGGGAGGGGGAAAATATACACATATACTAAGCAAAATTCAAGGCTCACTCACAAACAAACTGCTCCTATTGCAGAGATCCATTAGCAGTGTTAAGCCCAAATTCATGCAGGGCTATTTGCCCCCGTTTCTCTGCTGCTCCCGTAAAATCCTCAGTCCTAGATTGCTGCCAAGGGTTCATTCTGCCATGGCTGCTAAACAACTATGAGAACAGGGGAAAAGGTACAAACCCTCTGGTCATTAGGGTCCCATTATCCAGGAAGCAAGGCCAAGCTAAGCTTCTTGGCACAAATGGCTGCTGGGTGCATTATCAGGACACTAGTCGACTGCTGTCATGGCTCGTTTGATTCCATGGCCCAAATGACTTGAAAATTTGGAGGCCCAATCGTGTATCCTTAAATTTCAGCAAACAGCCTGGGGAGCATTAGGTACATGGTGCAGTGAAGGGGCGGGGGCAAGGTGATTAACTCTTTCTCCACACATATTTATAAATTTATGTATTGTTGCACGCCACCCCAATCTCTGAGATGGTAGAGAATGAATAGGGGGGATCAGTAAAAGAGGAGCTTGCAGAAAGAAGAGAGTGCATGCTCAGGGGTGGAGAGGGAAAAGGGTTAAATGGAAAGAAAAATTATTCCATAGATAATGTAGCTGCAACAACATTTGACAATATTGTCAGCATTGTCCCTGCAACCTTGAGGACTTGGAACCTAGGGCTTGGGTAGCATGCTTTTTAAAAATTAAATTTGAAATTGTAGCAAATCCTTATATTCCTTCTCTTGTCCGAGGGAAATGAAGGGGGAGGGGAGAACAAGAGGTGCACCATGATTTGGGATTTATTGAAGGGTGCAGAAAAAAGCACTGCTGTGGTAACTATAGAAACTGACTATCTGCTGCTCTTTAAGGGCAAATACCCTCCTCTCCCCCACCCCAAAAATTCCAGCAAACTCTCTCGCTTTGACTTATATGAGGGCCAATTTGGTGCATGGGTTGTAAAAGTATTCACTTAACAATTGGCCAGTGCTGGGGAGAGAAGACACAGAGGTTGGAAACGTTATTTTATTGGTTTGCGAAAGTGAAGCAGAAGGAGAATGTTGTTTTTAATTCATCCAACATTGCTTTTAAGAAGCTCCTTATGAGCCAATATATCCACAAAGGGGCGGGGGAGCATCAAGAAAAGCCTGAAGAAACAAGGCCATGACCTCCTGTTGATGACTCATTTGTCTGCAAAAATAAAGAGAAGCAGCAGTGTCAGTGTAAAACATACCAACAGTGAACTGGGCTATAACCGAGAAGGCCTATAGGAGACAGGCCAGTAGATCTGCTGCAATGGTTGCACACTACCCCATGAGTGGTTACAGATTCCAGGGATTCTAGATGTTACCCAGGATTGGAGAGATTGAGGCACAGTGGAGGCTAATATCTTTAAGATAAATGGTTTATTACCACATTTTTACACCTGGGAGTCTGCAGCAGAGGAGGTACAGAACATTGTACCTCAATAATGTATCTCGTTGCCCCTCTCTTCAGCAAGCTTGGGTGCAAAGTTGCACCCATCATCATGGCTCCCAGTGCAGCCTCCTCTTGCCAGCACCACACGGGGTTCTCCCTCTGTTCCCCTTCTCCTTCCTAGCACACATTTCCCCAAAATCCAAGGCTCCTGTATAATGACAGTTCCCCCCCGCCCAAGGCATGCTATGCGTTTGCCTTCCTGCAATTCCTTGTCACCTATGGCTGCCATGTATACAAGTCATAATTAATAATATTAAACTTTAAATAAAGTTACATATTCAATGTTAAACTGTTAAAGAAAAATAATATAAAAAACAATCGTTGCAATAGGCCAATGGACACACACACACACATTCAAAGCAACAGAATGGAAAGAGTGTTAAAAATCAGCTCATCCAATATTTGAAAAAGCCTGGGAGGTTATGTATTTGTCAAAATGGCACAATAATAGGTGCCACGTTATTAAAGCCTAAGTACCACCATCGTACAAAGATGCAATTGGCTGCAGTCCTCTACCCATAGCTGGGAGTAAGCTCAACTGAGACCCATGAGACTTACTTAAACATGAATAGGATTGTACTACTATATACACGCACACTTCAACTCTAATCCACAATCATTGCAGGCAAGCTAAGCTCTGTGATACACATGTGATACCAAAAAACATAAGTGAGATATTGTAGAAGGATAAGGGGAGTACTGATATAATTTGCAATTATAAAAGATGTGTTATACAACGTATCTCACATGCATGATGGGTGGGGTTTTTTGCTCATTGTGAGCCGTAAGTGATTGTAGGACGGAAATGGCATTAGGTGGTCTGTCACCATATTATGTATACTTTGAATCAGGCTGCTACTCATCCCTAATTTTATATATCAGAGCCTGGCTCTTAATAAATAGTTCACTTCTTATGGATGCAATTTATCCATTTGTTTTATTCCCATGGATTATTTCTCATAATAAAATCACAGTGAATAACCCTAATTTTGGCATGAATTACTGTATGTATCCAGACCTCCTTGAGAGACTGACAGTGGCGTAGCGTGGGTTGTCAGCACCCGGGGCAAGGCAAGTAATTTGCGCCCCCTAACCCGTGGATTTTAGCACTCAAGTGTGAGCGCGCGCCCCCCAGATGTTGCGCCCGGTGCGGCCGGCCCCCCCTGCACCCCCACGCTACGCCACTGGAGACTGAATTAAAATTGATTTGTTCTCTGCCAATGCAGTGCAATCTGCACTGAAATAACACAAAAGATGATAGTAATGAATGCTACTAAATAAGGGCAATTCTTCAATAGTTAATAATGAAGTTAATTATAGTTAATTATTATTATATTGCATTATTATATTGCAGTTGCAATAATTTCTTACTCATTTTGTGTTTCTAAAATGTTGAATGGGTCATTAGTTTGCCAAGTTACTGGGTGGCAAATTAATTTTGAGTGATCCCTGTGCTTCATGTATATGCATAAGTAAAATCAAGAAAGCTACAGGCTGAAATTGTATAGTGGATAGTGAGATTATATACAGTATCACAAGTTCCACTTAATCCTGGGTGCTATCAAAATGCCAATCCAATACAGTACATACATGAAATGACTGCCCTCTGCTGGAGAAAACAGGTTCGCTACTCAACAGATAAGGCAGTCCAGGAGACATGGTGTCAATTGTATCCTGTGGCACCATCACAAAATGAGCCTTTCTGGCTCAGCAAATGCATGCCCGTCATTTGGGGTGACAATAACAGTTCACGCTCAACCCTCCCTAAGCTACTGGTATTTTCAACCTTCTAGCTGATAGAATCTTGAGATTGTTGTCTGTGGAGGCTCTATGGGGTCTTGCAGGCTTCCAGTGGGAGCTGTCATTTCTCTATATTGGAACAAGCAGGAATTTGAGCATTGCCTTTCTGGCTCAATAAGCAGAAACAAACCTACATTGTCCGTAGCTCAGGCTTCAACTCTGTCGGGGGCACCAGCATCACGCATGCAGACTCTTAGCTGTGCACATTCCACACAATTGCATTGCAAGATTCTGACTCACCGGAATCTCATAAACCATGGATATGGGGTGTGGTATATATTCAGACATGAGGTAAATATTAAGCCAAAATGGATCTCATGGCAGCTCCTTCTCATGGCTGACGTTATTTCCCAGAAGTTAATAGCCTGGGAGCTCAAACTACCAAGATGACTGACACTTAAAACAGTTTCAGTTCACCTACTAGGATTAATAAATAGCTTGTATGGATTCAAATGTTGCTTCCACACTTTTGAGGTTGTGTCTTTACTGATATTTGCCTGCCAGCTGACCTTCCACAAAATCTTGCTCACATTCACAGTCTGCTTGTAGGAACAGTGCGATACTGGAGCCTCAATCTGACACGAGATCGTGGTTCCAGTTTTTCAAACTGAAAACTCACAAGTTATCACAACTAAAATATTAGTAGGGGTGCCGGTCCTACCAGTAGGAAGAACAAGGTGGCAAAGGATGCTGGGGTGGGGTGTTGGAGGAGAGAGCTCTGGGCACCATGTCACCTGCCCCATAAGCTCACCTGCTGCTACAATAAAGGACAATGTCCCATCATCAGTGCTGAAATAAGATTCAGTTGCCAGGTCAGCTGGCTTTTGCATATGGGATGGGGAACACTTTTGAGGAAGGGCCATAGCTCTGTAGCTATCTGCTATGCATGAAGGAAGTCCCAGATGCAATCCTCAGCATCTTCCAAGTAGGGCTGGGAAAGACTCATTGCCTGAAATTCTGAAGAGCCACTGTCAGTCAGGATGGGCAATACTGAGCTTGACGGACCAGTGGTCTGACTCAGTAAGAGGCAGATGCCTACATTTCTGGGTTTCCTATGTTCCTTTGGCACAGGCAGCAAAATGTAGTTTGTCATCTCTACTGCAGAAAGAGTAGACCTTGTCTCTCACCTCTGAATTCTCATGACACAGAAGAGGCAAACTGGTTGATGTCCCATCTCAAGTACCCTCCAAAAGAGCCCCATGGCAGGAATTCCACTCTGGAGGCTGCAGAATTTCTCTCTTTTATGCCTATGAATTTTTTTATTGATTTTCATTTTTTTATAAAACAAATGAACCTCCAGTTAATTCAAATTTAACATACATTTTCAGCCTTGGCATTTCCCTGTTCCTCCTAGCCATTGAAATCAAAATGCCTCTCTTAAGCATGTGAGACCATCTCCACCAGCCACCTTCAAAGATGAGGATGGCTCGACTGCACAGGGCATGATCTGACATCACATGACACTAAGCTGGTCTGGATCCAGTGCCTGGATGGGAGACTCCCTGTGAACCTCCTTGGGCACCAACTGCCTTGAATTCCATGTGGAAGACAAGCAAGTTGTAATCATAATGAAAGAAACTACACCTCCCAAGCCCACTGGGAGGGTGGTTTTTCCCCCTGCATTGATTTTGCATAATGAATATGTTATTTTGAATTGCTGTGATGAGGCGAGAGCCATTCTATACCATTCTGGAACAAACTGTTATGATACCTAATAATGGAACTGTAGTATCGGAAGGGATCCCAAGGATTGCCTTGTTCAGCCCCCTGAAATGCAGGAAACTCAACTACGGAATGGGGTGGAGAACGGGAAGGGGTATAGTTCAATTATAGAGCATCTGCCTGAGAGCTGTTGCCAGTCAGTGTGGTCAGTACTGAGCTAGATGGACTCTGCAAAAGGCAGCTTTCTATATCTTTGTGGTCCTAGGAAAAGAGGGGGTAACAGAGATAGACAGGCGATAACATGGGATAGGGCTGCAGACTCTGGCAGCGCAAGAAGACACACACACCATAGACTGCAAAGAGAGAGGAGAGAGGGCCTGCTAAGGAGTGGAGAGGAAAAGAGACATCTAACAGAGAGAAGTCAAAGATGGTACAGAGGGAGCATTGCTGTGAGTCATAGAGAGAAAGAAGAGAGTTTTACAAAGTAAACGGAGTTAAAGCAAAGTAATGCAAGCATCACTAAGAGCAAACAGAGAGGGCTTGAAGATTGCAAATTCTATTACATATTAACAAAAGCCATATTACTATTCCTCTTATTTATAGTGTGTGTGCGTGTGACTTTTGTCTTATGAATGTAGATTGAGAGATCTATGGAAGAGTAGATATCATTTACGGTATGTTCCAACTTACAGATAAGATAATGTATTTTCTTCTTCTCTGTTTTCTTTCTTGTATTATAGCTTGTATTTTGATTTTAAATTATTTTTTCAATAATAATAATAATAATAATAATAATAATACAGGCTTAAAATTGTAAAGATAGCAATGTGATTCTCTTGAGGTATCAAAAATAGAAGTGTGGCCTTCTGAACAATTTGAGTTTGACACCCCAGCCGAGATCACCTTGAGCCCATCAAAGACTTGACCGGTTACATTACTGCTGCCTGCCCTGGGGTGTTGGCAAAGCAGGGAGCCGACAGACCTGCTCAACAAGGAAAACGGCATGTCCTGGCTCCAAGGTCATCGGGTCTATTAAGCTGTTGTACAGGAGCAGCAGCTCCTTGGCTGGCAAGTGGAGCCAGACTCCAGCGAAGGAGCACCGTTGGACTTTAGCCAAGCTCTTAGGCCATAAAATGAAGTGGAGGCCAAAGACCAGCAGGGAGCAAAGGAGCCAATGTAGAGTCCTGGGCTTAGGATAAGGGTTTTGTGCCACAGAGCCACCCTCACCAGTAGAGGGCGAATGGGGCATTGCCCCCACAACCTCAGCCAGACCCCACCTGCCTGTGTTCTAGTCCAAGGGACAGTGCTGGCTGTCAATTTCCTCTGCCTGTGTTACAGTTTTGTCTGTATAGAACTCAGAATGGAGGGGTGGGGTGAAGACTAGTATTTATTCGCTCTGGCTCCCCCTAGTGTTGACCTCCCTGCCTTCACTCAGCCTCACCTCTAGTTGTGCATTAAGCCAGATCTCTCACTTCAAAGACTGACCTTTCCCGAGGCCAGCCAACAATATATTAAAGTCAAACATAAAGCAGCCCGCTCACTTTCAATTAAGGTGCAATTAAAAACAGCTGAAAATAGATTAGTAGCTTTCCAGAAACAGGGGGAGAAACTCCCGCCACATGCTCCTGTTACACTGGGAGATTTCAGGAGCAGGTATGCAGTCTGTACTATATATCCTTAGACCAGATGATCCATGGAAGGATATGATGATGGGGATTCAGGGATTTGTCCTCCTGCTCTATAAACTCTCCTCGGCTGCCAGGATTTTGCAGGACCAGCTGGCAGATGTCAGTGGCAGCTGTGTGAGCCGGTATGAAAAGACAAGCTGTGCCCATGGCTGGCCTCTGCAGAGCGCTGCTTAGCAGCTCACAAGAGAAAAGTATTGCTATAGCACAACCTAGTACTTGGTTCATTGCAAGGCTTTTCTTAATTCAGCCTCCGCTCCAGATTGCTGAGACCCACCTAGGGCAAGGCCATCTCCACCCCTCTCAGTGAGAATCCCTTCTCACTACCATCCTCACCACCTGCTCCTTCTCCTCCCCATTGCCATGACCACACTCTTCTTTTCCAGGCAGAGAGCCGGGGAGCAAGCAGGCAGCGGCATCTATTGCTCCTTCTTCCCACCACCTCTGTTGTCTGGGTCAGCTCGAGAGGCTATGAACCAGAGCTAGTCAGCCCATGAGACAAGGTGAAGCAGTTGCCTTAGGTGGCAGATCTGGCCTCCAAGGAGCTTGGCTCCTCCTCTCCCATGTCCACCCACCTGTCATGGACTGGCTGGTTGCAGAGGTGTGGTGGGAGACGCCAGCCGGGGAACCCTCTAGTGAACCCCCAGGGGAAGAAGACTCAGAGCCAGGGGATTGGTGGTGGGTGCTTTATCTGAGATTCCAGCATCTTGGGGGGTTGGACTAGATGACGCTTGGGTCTTTTCCAACTCTAAGATTCTATGATTCCATGACAATGAGTGGTCAGAGAAAGAAAAGACTGTGGGGGGAAGTGTCGGCAGCTGGCGTGGCAACAGGGTTTCATGAGCAGGAAGAGTCTGGCAGAGTGCAGTCCAGACTCTGAGGCAGAAGCTGAGGCTGAAGAGGGTGGGGGTCAAGAGGCTGCTGAAGAATCCAGGGAGACTTCCCCTCCTGCTGCGACCAGTTCCCCTCCCCCCTGGTGGCAAAGAAATGAAATGAGCAGAACACAGATTACTTGTGTGCAGACACAGTTTGAGACTGCGTGGGGGAAAACCCGGGAAAGGAAGAGCCTTAAGGAGGGGTGGTAAGGCAGGGACCTTCAGTCCTCACAACTGTGTCATCGGGGCAAGACCTTCAAGTAGAGTTCCCGAGACCCCTAGGCCTGAGCTGTGGGTTTGTTTCCTTGGTTAAAGATTTAACTTCACTGGCCTCAGGTGATTTATGGGTTTTTTTGTCGCTGACCTACACCTGACTCAAGCCCTGACACCACCTCCTCTGTACCTGCCTGCTGCCCACTCCTCTTCACCTTCCTTTTGCTTCTCAGTCACCTTCAGCACAGGGGAGGGGCGCCTGCGGGCAGCATCTTCCGTATTGCCTGTAGCGGCAAAATGTCCTGGGCCAGCCCTGGAGTGAACAAACTGGAAGAGGGCTGTTGCCATTGGGTCCCCTGCTGGGCTGTGGACCAATGGCAGAAGCCCAGTGGTGCCAACTGTTGATGCTGGCATTTACTTTTATATTTTAAAATGTAACTAGCCACATAACTAATAAAGAAATAAAGACGCTGGCCCTGCTTTTGTTCATAGGATGTGCAAGGAGCCAAGCAGCAAAGTCCAGGCCTCTAAGAAATGGCACCGTTTCATTTTTCTTTATCTCATTAAAGTTAGTAACCAATTAGCTTCACTTATTTCAAGTGGTCCTTAAGAATATGTACCCTGCATTTCATCAGATTGCCTAACACAAAGTGTTCCGTTTCTTCAGGGAGAGAAGAAATGTGGCACAATAAGCTAAACTTTGGCTGTTAAGCCTCAGGTTTGGGCAGGCCTGGTAATTTTCCAGGACTTCTTAAAAAAAAGAAAAAGTAAAGTAAAGCCATAAATAGTTGGCTCAGTAGGGAATTGAATAGTCCAGGCTTCCTCAACCTTGGCCCTCCAGATATTTTTGGCCTACAACTCCCATGATCCCTAGCTAGCGGGACCAGTGGTCAGGGATGATGGGAATTGTAGTCTCAAAACATCTGGAGGGCCAAGCTTGAGGAAGCCTGGCATAGTCCTTCATACAAGCTGCAATTCCTTCTTTAGCAGTCAGTGGTATGAACAGGCCCAAGATGCATCTTCCTAGTAGAGTAGCATAATATAATTAAGAGATCCTTTTCCACATTGTTGTTTGCAGCGCAGTAGATCAATGTACAGTAATCTATCCATTATGTAATTTACTGGTGCATTTTCACCCCCATTGTGGGTATCATTTGGATCTTCTGCCACAAGCACCAAAACATCTTGAGTCTCTCTGCCTTCCCTGATTGGTCTGTTTTAATCTCTTGCAGCGTCACTGTTCCCAGCCCACCAACCAAAACATCAGCATTGATTAACTGTGACATGGCTTGTGACAAGCTTATCTTCTAGATGGAGATCTTGCAGATTTTTCAGAACTCTGACCTACACATCCTCCCCTCTGCTCATTTCCCACCCTCTGATTTGATCATATTACATAAGAGCTACCAATGGGTACCCTGGAAAAGACCCTGATGTTGGGAAAGATGGAGGGCACAAGGAGAAGGGGATGACAGAGGACGAGAAGGTTGGACAGTGTTCTCGAAGCTACCAGCATGAGTTTGACCAAACTGCGGGAGGCAGTGGAAGACAGGAGTGCCTGGCGTGCTCTGGTCCATGGGGTCACAAAGAGTCGGACACAACTAAACAACTAAACAACAACAAAGCAATGGGTGCATGAGTGAAGTCTACACAGTATTCCATCAAGTGCAAGTTAAAAACCAGTACTCATGGAAAATCAGAACTTAAGGTTCTCTGTAAGCTCTTAGTAAAAGAGAAAGCCTTTGATGAAACATTTGATGAAATCATTTTGTGCACAAATTCAATCATTGTTTTTTTAGTATGCTGGCACTTGACTCCAATTAGGATTAAATGTAAGGCATCTGCTAGTCGATGCTGGACAGATTATAGCAAAATTTGTATTTTGCATCATGTGGAGTAATGGGGAAAACAAAATCCAACCATTTTTGACTAAGGGTAATCCTTTACCAGGAGACAGGAGTGCCTGGTGTGCTCTGGTCTATGGGGTCGCCCCCTGCCATTAAAGAGACCAGATCCATCTTAATTCTTTACTGCTGGGAGCAGAGATCTGGTCATTTTACTGTCTCAGGCGCCACTCATGCTTTCCACAGGAGAAGTGTTTTGCTCTAGCTCGCTCTGCCTGCTTTGCATGCATCCTAAATGTGCTGTGCCACAGTGCTTAAGTAAACTGATAGATACGTGAAACTTTAAACTGCAGTTGCTTCCCATTTTCCAAAAAAAGGCAGTGGGTGTAATAGCTTTATGGAGAGCAGTGCAATGTTTATACATCTGATCCATAGGGAAAGCAGAGAGGCAGTGTTAAAGAGACAAAGTACCGTATTTTTTGTCCCATAGGACGCACCGGCCCATAGGACGCACCTAGTTTTTTGGGGGGAAATAAAGAAAAAAAAATTATTTTCCCCCCAGGTGTGGGGCTGGGGTGGGGGAAGCCCGAGCCTCCCCCGACCCCAGCCCCCAGAACAGGCTGCTATCCGCTAGCCATGGGAGAGCTGCGCGACTTCGCACGGCTCTCCCACGGCTAGCGGAGCGCTGCACGAAGCCCAAAGCTTGGGGCGTGCTGAGCTCAGCGCGCCCCAAGCTTCTGGGTGTAGGCAAGCTCTCCGCTAGCCGTGGGAGAGCTGCGTCTCCCACAGCTAGCGGATAGCTTCCTGAAGCCTGGAGAGCAAGAGGGGTCAGTGCGCACCGACCCCCCTCGCTCTCCAGGCTTCAGCGAAAGCCTGCATTTGCCCCATAGGCCGCACACACATTTCCCCTTCATTCTGGAGGGGAAAAAGTGCGTCCTATAGGGTGAAAAATACGGTACTTTTTGACCTTAGCTGGAGCAGCCTGGGAAGCTCTGCCACCCTTTAAAATGGGAGAGCAGGACTCTCTGTTGCTAAGGGGTGTTACAGGCGGATGGAGGAGAAGGAAAGGAACTGCGCTATTTCCCCAGCAAGGATCAAGGCATCACATGAGGCACATGAGGAGCTGGATTAAATGGCTTATAGAATTAAGTGCTTCCGATAGCCTGACGAAAGAATGGAGAAACTTTTAAAACACCGAGGTAAACCTCCCAAGATCTGCTCGTGGCAACGGCATCCACGTTACAGCACAGGCCTGTTGTCCCTGTTCTCTTTGGCTCCCATTTAGGGTGGCTCATCTGAACATGCTGCACGTAAAGAGAAGCATTCCCTATGCCTAATGTCCAAGCTGCTTCTGCTGGCCACACACTTGTCACGTACGTGTGCTGCTGCTGCTGCCCACAGGATTCAACTTCTGGCATGCACCGATATGCCAGTGCTTTTTCCCCCCCCAAGAGTCTGCCACAATGTGCCCAAAGCCAAATCCTGGCATGGCCCCGGGAGCAGCACGTGACAGCATTGTATTTCCCTTTTGCATGACTTAGCAGATTTGTCCTCCCACACAAGGAGAAACTACGAGCAAGGCCTGTCAGAGGAAATACGCAGGGAAGTGACCATATGCCTGTACTTTCCACATCGGCGTCAACTATGTCATCATTGTTATTTATTACATTTATCTGTTTACTACAAAAAAAAGTTTGTCTCAGAGTAACTTACTTTTTTTGGGGGGGGAGCATACACTACCAAATTAAAAACATATCAGAAAATAGAATAAAATTGTTAACTAAAAGTGTCCAAGAGATTTTACTTTCTTGGGCTCCATGATCACTGCAGATGGTGACAGCAGTCATGAAATTAAAAGACACCTACTTCTTGGGAGAAAAGCAATGACAAACCTAGACAGCATCTTTAAAAGCAGAGACATCACCTTGCTGACAAAGGTCTGTATGGTTAAAGCTATGGTTTTCCCAGTAGTGATGTATGGAAGTGAGAGCTGGACCATAAAGAAGGCTGATCGCCAAAGAATTGATGCTTTTGAATTATGGTGCTGGAGGAGACTCTTGAGAGTCCCATGGACTGCAAGAAGATCAAACCTATCCATTCTGAAGGAAATCAGCCCTGAGTGCTCACTGGAAGGACAGATCCTGAAGCCGAGGCTCCAGTACTTTGGCCACCTCATGAGAAGAGAAGACTCCCTGGAAAAGACCCTGATGTTGGGAAAGATGGCGGGCACAAGGAGAAGGGGATGACAGGACGAGATGGTTGGATAGTGTTCTCAAAGCTACCAGCATGAGTTTGACCAAACTGCGGGAGGCAGTGGAAGACAGAAGCGCCTGGCATGCTCTGGTCCATGGGGTCACGAAGAATCGGACACGACTAAATGACTAAACAACAACAAAAATTGTCCATCCTGGAATAGCATAAAAAAGACACATGCTACCCCACTCCAGTGGCTTTTATCAAAACCAGCACCTTGAATTGAGCCTAGAAACTAATTGGCAGCCAATGCAGTTGGGCCAGTATTGGCGTTATGTACATCCAGTCAGCAATCTGGTCACTTAGGTAATTCTTCACTAGCGGTAGTTTCCAAATTGTCATCAAAGGTAGCCCCACATATAATGCATCAAAGTTATTCAGCCTAGAGGCTACCAGAATGTAGATAACCAAAGCTGGGTTATGGAGTCTGTTCATATGGGGTCACAGCTATAGGATTTTAAAGAGCAGATCCAGGGAGAGAGAATGAGGGCATGTGATTTTGCTACTGGCTGGTAATTTTAGGTCCTGGCAAGCATTTTAAGAAAGAAATGATGAATCAAGTTTATCTCCCAAGTAATCCCATTGACCGAAGCATACCTTCTGAAGCAGGCATAACTTAAGGACTGCACCCTTAAAAGAAAAAGCAACCACTTTTAGAGAAATGTGACTGGGACAAACATTTCTTTTATAACTGCTTTTATGTCAGCTTTGGCCTCTGCACTTTCCATTTCTGCTGCTGTTCTATGTATCCTTGCCAAAATGTTTCCTTGGGTGGATTTCTTTTTCTTTAGACACGGTTTTCAAAAATACAAAAGCTAAATAATCAGCCATACAGCAATAAGAGAACAGATATTGCAGAAGTTGATTTAAATGTTATTCACACCAGTATAGACAATATGATGAATAAGGCACTGTGCCTGTTCCCTGGGAACTTTGTGTTTTTGAATTGTTTTTACATCTCTCTTTCTTTTCTATTTACCTTGTGTTGACATTTGTTGCTGAATTTCACTTGAATATAAATAAAACCCTTTTTAAAATAGTGCAAGTTAACATCTGAACTTTAAAAGGCAGAAAGAATGTATTTTAAAATGTCTTGCGCTTGGCACTGAAAAGAAAACAATATAAGCCCCTGAAAAACCTTTGGTGGGAGGGATTTCTAGAGATGGCATTTTCTTTCCGAAGAGCATGGGGTGAGAGCTATAGACCCTTTTGACATAACTGCAGGCCCATGACAATAATTCTTTGTGGCCTTGTGAGTAAATTCTTTGAATTCTGATCCCACCCCAGGCATGAGTTCACTGGATGATTCCTCAGCCAGAGTTCTGTAAAATGGGAACAGCAGAAATCTCTCTCACAACTCGCAAAACAGCAAAACAGTATTAGGTTATAATTATTTGTCATGCTCCTTGGGAGAGTTTTAAATTCAGAAGAGATGTTAATTGCCGTGTCGTGTTCTCCTCAGGCAGGAATTGTTCAACCTCAGCTGTAGGGATCTCCCCTCACGGAAGGATCACTTGACTAGTTCAAATAGCAGCTGATTGAGCAGCCAAAAATCACGTTGAGTCACATGCCTGAAGGCAGTTCTCAGAGTTATGGATGCACTGATGTGGTGAGAACGTTAAAGCAGAAAGCTACTAGGATAGTGAAATTACACTGAAAGATGCATGGGGAGAATTAAACAGAGAAGAACTTCAGGGACAGATTAGCAAAGCAAAAAGGGGATAAGGCTGATAAGAAACATCCCTGCTATTGGACGTGTTAAGAAAGGCAAGAGCTGAAAGAAAGGGTTAAAGTTAAACAGTGTGTAGTAGTAAATTCTGAAGTGCAGGCGCTTCCCCATGTCAGGTTCCCAGACCTCTTCTAAGACTATACGTACAAACTTTTGACTAATGCAGGCATTATGGCTTCAATACCAAGTCAACTTCTCTCTCTCTCTCTCTTTCTCTCTCTCTAAATCACACACATACGCACTTGGCTTAACATTCAGCCTGATGACGCGTTCTGGTGGACTTGAAAGCTTGCTCATGATTCTGTGCCATTTTGGTTGGTCAAAAGTTTTCAAAACAGAAGCCACAGCTTAATTCTTAGCCCTGCATGCCAATGTAACCTGCTCCTTCCTCTTGCTTAGCTCATGTAATGGATTCCTCTCTCAGGAATAACTTACAGGTTTGATTGGCAAATAGTGCTCCAGCATAAGACATCAGCACCCCTGCTTTGATATAACTGGTGGTGCTTCATCCCTTTTCCAGTATGCCACTGATACCCAGCAGAGAAGCCATGATGGGTAGGCCTCAAAGCCCTGCCTAAATTTCCACCAACATGTATTTTCCTTTGGATATACTGGTAAATTGAGATTGCCCTAAGAGGTATGTTTGGCCTTAGAATTTACCACCTATTTTGGGAAGTAAGGTGACAGCTAGCCTGCAGTATCCAATCACATCCACGTCTCTGGCCAAACCTAATTAGGATCCGGTGACAAGAGTTTGAGCCATCAGCAAGAAGTCCTCTATTCACCTCTTAACTGTGCACTCACAGCAATCCACCCTCAGCCAGAGTCAGCTGGGAATCTGCAATATGGAAACAATAATACTGGCCTACCCTACAAGGCTCTTGCAAAGTGGTTTGATTAGTCAAAGGCATGTACAGTGGTACCTCGGGTTACATACGCTTCAGGTTACAGACTCCGCTAACCCAGAAATAGTACCTCGGGTTAAGAACTTTGCTTCAGGATGAGAACAGAACTCGTGCTCCGGCGGCATGGCGGCAGCAGGGGGCCCCATTAGCTAAAGTGGTGCTTCAGGTTAAGAACAGTTTCAGGTTAAGATCGGACCTCCGGAACAAATTAAGTACTTAACCTGAGATACCACTGTATTATTATTGCTGCACCCCTTTGGAGACAACATCAGTGGGATGGATATCTGAAAAGCTGTGTAAGAAATTACCTGTGTGTGTGTGTTTTTTAAAAACACTTCAGGGTCCTGTGATTTCACAGAGAAAACAGTAGCTAAAAGAGTGAGATCAAGAGACAGCTTGATCTTTCCACAATTGCCAAAGCGACAGCATTTGCAGTATTTGGTATTTGGCTTTAGACAATAAAGAAACATTAACTTCTCCACAGGTGTCTGGTGCTGTCCAGCACAATCATCAGCAGATCAGGGCTGGAAGCACAAGGAACTGCCTTGCTGCGGTCTTCATGCAAAAAGCTATTTTATCCAGGCTAGAATAAGCTCATAGAGGAAGGACTTGCGGGGGGGAGGGGCAGATTACAGCTGTACGTTACCATGACGATTGCATGAGCACAGCAACTGTGCCTGAGCCCCAGTACATGAGAGGCTCTGAAGGACTGCCTACCCTTGTACAAATTCACCCATTCAGTGATGCCTTGCTCCAAAAGCCACCCATAAAATGGAATTTCCTGCTTGTGCATTGACCGCAGGATTCAAGACTAGTCCCCTGGAATCTGCTTGAAATAAAGGAGCCTCCATCTTTGAACAAGAATCTGGCCTTTCACACTTGAGCAAATCATCACAACCTACTAAAATGCAGCAAAACCACCTATATTTTTCCTAGCTAATTCAGAACTTTGAATCCAATTGTACAGACAGTATTAAGCTATATCTGTCTAGATAGTTAAATAAGCAGCACCTCACACGTGATGCTTAAAAGAGAATGAGAGAAGCTCACGTTTCATGTTACTCTTCATGCGGAAGAGAAAACCAGGAGAGGCATTTGTCCTGCAAATGGGCATTTTGGCCACTTTAAACTGCATGTGTGAAAACAGCCATCGTTTGCACAAGAGATTGTTGTCATGGTTCTTCTCCCCGCCAATCATTTGTTGAACAGTTGTTGGAAATCAAGCTTAAGCTTGAGAGGGTGGCAGGTCTTCCACAACATTAGCTGCATAGCAGTTCGAAGGGCAGGAAGCTCAGGAGGAACAGCAACCACCCTACTGCATCTCCTGAACAGAGCCTCATAGCCTGCATAGCAAGGCAGTAGCCTCCCTGGTGGTGCAAAGAGGGAAATTTCAGCAAAGAGCATCAGTCACCTCCCAAGGTCACACAGTACATCGGCAACTGAAGTTCCCTATGCCTTGTTACCACTGCCGACCCACATGTATTTACATCTTGAACTCTGGGCTGAGTTCAGTGTGATGGTGACAGACCCGTTCTGTTTAAAATGGTGTCAAATGCAAAGGGAAGATCCAGTTTTTAGAGCAAGAGGGGCATGTGGGCAAAAGGAAACCTTGCCAACTTTGTGGAAGAAGAATATGAACATAAGAAGAGTCCTGCTGGATCAGGCCAGTGGCCCACCCAGTCCAGCATCCTGGTTTCACAGTGGACCACCAAGTGCCTATGAGAAGGACCTGATGGAAACAGCGCTCTCCCCTCCTGTGGTTTCCAGCAATGGTGTTCAGAAACATATGGGCAAAAGGCATCAGGAGAGCAACAGAAGAAGGGAAACCACAACGGATTCCTCTTTTGCTCCTGTAAAAACAGTACAAATCATCTACACAATCTCTGGATTGCAACCTGGGAACCCTTCTGAACACCTGTGCCGATTGGCCAAACCTGGCACAACTCCATCATTGAGATGCCAACACAATTGACCTGGGACAGCTCTGGCTAGTGGGGAAAGAGAACAACAAAAGGAAATTGGGGGGGGGGATTAGAATGGATGAAGACATTCTGCTAGCGTGCAACAGAAATGGCAGTGTGTTTCACTGTATTCAAAGCTGTGACCTTGAAAACCTGGAGATCTGTACACATAGCCAGCCCTGGAGACTTAGCAGCAAGGACATAGCAAAACGATGACCAATGCCTGCTCCTACACCTGCTTGATGGAATATCCCAACACTCTTAACCTTGTTTAGACTAAGATAAAGCAAACATTAGACACGCCTCCAGGCTTTAAAAAGAAAAAGAAGCAGCCTAGCCTAGACATTAGTGGCAAAGTCCTATTACTTAGTCAGCATTAAAGCCTGCAGGAAGGAAGCACAGTCAACAACTTACATGCAACTTCCAGGCAAGCTCTCTGGTTCCCTGCCTAACACCACAATTGTATCTGGAACTCCGTTTTATTCCACTCCACCCAGCCCAAATCAAGCACTGTTGCTGCTGCATCAAACGGGCAAGCAAACGGCATCAGGTCAACCGGTAGCTTCCTGAGCATCAGCTAGTTTATCTTTGGGAGGCTTCAAAGGGCAATTTCTAAGCTTTCTCCAGCCAAATCCAGTTAAGAATTTAGCAGGCGCTTTATGCCCTCTGGGCGATTTCGCACCATTACACTTTGGAGGACACGCGCACCTTGCTCCAGCTAACATAAGAGATTTATTTCTCCTTGGATGTGCACATCTAGCAATGAACAAGGGTAGGAAATCCACAGCGATCGAGAACACAGCAGGGCGTGCGTAAAGGGCGAGCTAATCTCCTCTCCATGCTGCTGAGGAACTGTGCCTCCGGGCACACCCGCCAAAGCACTCGGCCCGACTTGCTTTTCAGAAGAACGACATGTGCCGGGACAGACGCGGCCAAGCAGGCGTGTGCCCAAGGCTCGCGAGCAGGCTCCACTTTGGAAGCAGCGGCTGTGCGCCAACGAGATCCGTACTTGCGCGCCGGAGCCGGAAAAAGGGCGCCCCCACCCCCAGACGCAGTTCAGAAATGAACCCCGCGGGGAGAAGCGGGTGGCCCTGCGGACGAGCCCCGGACGAAGGGCGCCCGCCTCGGCTTCTTTCTCTCTCCCCCCACCCCCGGGTGTTTACAACCTGTAGGTTCCCTCTGCGGGGAACTCGGCTCAGCCAAACGCAAGCAGGAAGCACAAGCTGGAGCCCCGAGGCACCACCGCGCACGCTTACATGTTGCCCAGGGCTCGGCCACCTCGCCGCCGGCTCCAGCGCTTTCTCCGCCTCTCCCGCGGAAAACTCGCCTCCTTCCACCAGACTGCTCGCTCGCTCGCTCGTCCCGGCGAGACTTTTCTGCTCGGGCGCCTGCTGAGCATCCCCAGGTCCTAGCGCGCCCGGCGCTTGCTTTTATCCTCTGGCGCCCTTGGCGATCCCTTCTTAGATGAGGCTTTTATTTGAAAGCAGGACTCTGCTCCGGCACGTGTGAATCAGTAATCAAAGCAGTGCACTTGAGCAGGTGCAGAGTGCCTCCCCCACCCTAGGGCAGGGCATCCTAGGCGTTGATGACAGCTCTGCATTGCAGGCAGAAATGCAATAGGTGAAGCTTTCCTGTATCTCCTTATAGATAAATGTTGCCACACACTTTTTAAAATGGTTTCCCTTCCACGCAGAATAAACACAGCAGTTGTAGTTCAGTGACATCAGGATGACTAAAGGATCTCCACACCTGGAGTGGACGATATCAGGCTAGAGCTGGACCAAGGGCCTGTTTTAGTTGAAGCCAGCTCTGTACATTGGAACGCAGTGGCTTCAACAGAGACTCCGATGCTGAATGGGGAGCAGCATAGGCTGAGGCAGCCTGAATCAATGGAGCAGGAGAAACCCTAGCAGCAAAGTGTTAACAAAGTGCAGTCTCCTCTTGCCATCTCATGACCTTCATTTCCTGTTTGGGTGCAGATAGCTTGTAGCCTCCTGCCCTCTCTTACACTCTGGAAATCCTGATGCAGGAGGCCCTGCTTCTGAAGGGAAGAGGTGTGAGCACAATTGAATTTCAAAAGAGAGGTGCCAGAATCTCACCTGGAATCTCCTATATCCTTAATGCAAAAACTAGGAGGGCTGCCAGCAGAGAAGGAAAGGTATAGGCCTGTTTGTTCATCCTTGGACCAATGGCAGCTCTCAAGGGTATCAGGCTCCAGTTCCTTCACCTCACCTGCTCCTTAATCTTTTACTGGAGATGTGAGGCAGGGGGTGGGCTTGGTACCTTCTGCATATGAAACATGTGCTTGAGCGTTGAGCCAGGCTCCGTTTGTTTCCAAGGTTAATCAGCACTATGGACAGCCATGTAGACTTGGTTCAGAGGCTTTACATTAGGGGTTATCAGTACAGTACCTGCCTTTTCTTGGCGTCCATCAGTTCCCCTCCACTTGCTGAAATTAGGCTTGAAAGAATCATTCTGTTGTAGCCAAGGAAACAGGATGAGATGGGTGTGTGGTGCCTGCAAATTTGCCATCAGGCTCCAAATGTTTGGTGACTCCTAGCCTATATGCACCACCACTTGCTAAGCAGGCCCTGGGCCTAAATTAAACTGTAAGAACATAAGAAGTGGCTGCGGTGTAACTATGGCATTTCCACACCTCTAGTGGCACTGTCAGAATGCGCACACCTTTTGGACCAGTGTCTTTGCGGAAATGGAATTAATGTAAAACACAAAACATGACCACGTCAACTTCATTAGTGCTGTTAGGGATAACAGAAGAAGCCAACCAGCTTTTATGTTATAAATAATTGCTGATAGCTCTGATAGTGGTGGCGCGTTTAGAATTTGCCAGGTGTTTGCGTTCTGCAGATGGACTATTTGTTGACTCTTGGTATACTTATGTTTGGACAGTGGTGCTGACAGAGGAAAATGACACGCCAAATACATGCTAAGGGGAAATCAGACCCATTATCCCTCTATGCAGCTTGGCAACCATTCACCTCACACAGAAGCAGTGGGATGGCCAGATATGGAGACCACCTCAGTCAAACAGAGGACTTTGGAAAGACTTAGCAGATTGAAGCCATTATGATTTGCCATGGTCTGTGCTTTTGCACAAACTTTCATACCCCTTTGATGCATCTTGTACTCTCTAAGTGGGACAACCACCAAGTTACTTGTCACTGTATTCACTTGTTAAGGTTTGGAAAATTAACAAAAAAAGGCCTATTTTTAAAAGAAAGAAAGAAGTGCCTGCTGGATCAGGTCAATGGCCAATCCAGGCCAACATCCTGTTCTCACACTAGCTAACCACATGCTGATGGGGAAATCTGCAAGGAGGACCAGAGTGCACCAGACCAGAGAGCATAGCTATTACGCTTAGTAGTTACTGAGAGCCTTATCCTCCATGAATTTGTCTAATCCTTTAAAAAGCCACCCCAAATCCCCAAAAGCAGCATGGATAGCAATACAATGGTAACAAGAGAGCTGGGAAGTTAGTATTCTATAAACCTAACACAAGCCACTGACTGGCCACAGAATGATGACTCTGCAAAACTATACTATGGAACTAGGGTCCTGCCCATGATGATGCTGCAGCCACCACTCTGGAGTTATCACCCATGACTAGAAGCAGCACTCCAGAGTCTGAAGAAGAGATCTGTCTTTGCTCTGGTAAACAGAAATGCTTTTTAAGTAGCGATACTAGCAGTGAATCCCAGACTTTATATATGTGATGCATCATGCATGTTCTCTACTTCTAGACTGATGCATTCCTGGAGTGCACAACTCTGGGGGGCCAAACATGTGCCACATAAATGTGTAGTCCTGAGATTGCTTTTGCTACAACAGTCTCACTCACCTAATCCCTCTGGAATTTTCCATGCAAGCATGTATAGCTTGCAGCCTATTGATGTTGTTTGAAACAGGCCGGCTCTATCATTAGGTAAGAGTGAGGTGGGTGCCTCAGGCAAGTGGTACTGGAGGACAGAGTCTGCCCTGCACCCTCGAAGCTGGCCTACTGCCACCAAGGGCAGTCAAGGACACGGACTCACTGCCAATGTTGAAATCAGTATTAAATTGCCAGGCTGGTTGGCTTATATGGACAGATCTTGTCCTTCACCTCTTGCAACAAACTGCCTTTTGCTAACCCTAGGAAAATTGGGTTTTCAAACATATAATTGAACCCCCTAGCTCCCATGTGTGTCACACACACACATAGAGCCATGGTGTGATTCTGGAGAAAAATAATGAACAGGCAAAAAATTTAACTGCATCATTTCCCACTACTTCCCTGTTCTTAACTGCCCTCCTGTACAAAGCAGCTTTTCAGCCCTTAAGAGGGTGTTCACTACAATTACTGTACATGCATCTTTCTATAACATCTAGCGAGGCATAGATGCTGTAAGTCAGAACTGCACCAGACCAGAATATAGCCAACAAAACTGCAGTGCAGACGTGCTCCATGTTTTTCATTCTGCACTCCTAGGTTCACAATTCTGCATATTCAGATTCATATATTGTCTCTCTCATTACTTCATCTTTTCATATATAAGAAAACATTTCCGTCTGCAGATCTTAAGAGGCTGAACCGCCTTCATTAGATGGTTACAGATAATTAAAAGCCCCTGCCTTTTAGAGCGGAGCTGCTTCCAGCTCTCCAGGAAACCAGTGCCAATTTCAGCTTAAACAGCAGCTCTGATTGCCATTCCACACTTTGCTCTTATGAGTGGGCTGAACAAGTTGTCACTGACAGCATGAGATGATTAAACAGGTGTGGCCCACTGCTGGTTGCTTAAAGGCTTCCTCACATTTGATATTAATTATTATTAGTAGTAGTAGTAGTAGTAGTAGTAGTAGTAGTATTTATACCCTGCCCATCTGGCTGGGTTTCCCCAGCCACTCTGGGTGGCTCACAGCACATATCAGAACATACTAAAATGTCCAACATTAAAAACTTCCTAATACAGGGCTGCCTTCAGATGTATTCTAAAAGTCAGATAGTTGTTTATTTCCTTGACATCTGATGGGAGGGCGTTCCACAGTGTGGGCGCCACTACCCTCTGCCTGGTTCCCTGTACCCTCACTTCTCACAGTGAGGGAACCAACAGAAGACCCTCGGAGCTGGACCTCAGTATGATGTTTGATGTTTTATTGTGTTTTTAATATTCTGTTGGGAGCTTCCCAGAGTGGCTGGGGTATAAATAATAAATTCCCTCACTTCCTCCCATTTGAGAACCCGCCACCATTAAAGGGACAAACCACCTGTTGTTTTCCAGATATCATTGGACTACCACTCCCATCGGCCCCAGCCAGCATTGCTCAATGGACAAGGAGTGCCAAGTGTGCTAAGGAGCCTTAGAGCAGGGTTATTCAGCAACAGGTTCACTGATAGACAGTTAAATAATAACTCTGTAAACTCTATTACACTTTGAAGGAAGGCACACAAACAGCCAACTGGTGTTTTAATGTGGTGTTAATGCTCTTGAGGAGATGCAACTGACTATTTAACAAGTCTCATTTGCTGCTGCATTAGGCATCATAGTGCAGGAGAAAAGAAAGCAAACATTAAGGTTTCTTGCGCCCACACACACAGTGGAGAACTCGCCCTGTATTTCTGAACCATAAAAAGGGTAGGTACAGAAATTGTTCTTTTTGAGGTGCAACCCCCCCCACACAAAAAAACTAGTTCCAAAAGCCTCCACAAACCTTAATCCATGCCCATTCTAAATTAGCAATGTACCAATTTGCCCAAGAAATAATTTTTCTGCTGTGGGCTCTGCTGCAGACTTTAGGACTGACTTGGCCTGGCCTCCGTGTGTGTGTGTGTGTTGACATGTGCATTTTACAGCAGCTTGACCTGCAGAAATCAGGAGATTACACATTATCCCCTGCTAATATCTGTGAAGGCACCAGGTCAAGTTAAAAAAACAAAAGGCAACCCTATATGCCTGCGTAAATAACATAGTCAGGATAATTGGTACTGAGAAAGCACTTCCTTTTTTGATCCCATCATGAGCCATGCAAACATTTGTTAGGAAGGAAGAGAAGCAACATGAGTCTTCCACAACCCCCTGCCTTGAATACAAATACAGTATTAATATGTATGTGCCTGGGAATGTATTACCTGATTTCCTATATTAGCTTGTATGTCAAATAAAGGCTGTGCTCTGTGCCTGTAGAGAAAAAGCTCATGGTAGTTGGAATATACTACCCTGCAACAATATGAATGAGGTGGGGTGGTTTTTAACTTTAATTTTCTTTCTCCCTGAAGACCTTTGACCCTTTCAGCTGCTATTCCCTGGGGTTGCTGCCCCTATCAGGGTTGAGTTAGATGGCATAGGGGGCTGAGGGATAAGGGATTGTTTCACTGTGCAGAGCCTACCAGTCCCACCTCTCTCACCCGACCTCCTTGGGCAAAGAGAGAGAGCAAAGGTCAAGCAATGGTGCAGCGTAACAGTGTGTCCTGGTAGCCATTGGGCCCAGTCCTAGGAAGGTTCAAGCGCTTGCATGCAGCCACAAATCCCACTCCTGGGCCGAGGAGAATGAGCTGGCATCTCAGTCTTTCTTCCCAAAGAACTTTCTGAAGACAGATTTGTTCTTCTGGCGAGGCGAGGCGCCTTGGCTCCTCTCGCCCAAGGTTTCTCGGGCGCCACCAGGAGAGGCGATGAAGGAATGGCAGCGAGGCCTGGGAGGAGTCGGTACCTGCTCTCCAATGTACAGAGTGACTGAGTAGCTGCTGCCAAGGCCCAAGGGTTCCTTGGACACCGACAAAGGTGTGATCTTCTGGTACGTAGCTGAAAAAAAGAATGGAGCGGAAAGGTTGCACTGCAGCACAATGAACTGAAAACAAGCAGCAGAACGTGTCAGAGGCTGGTTAATAGTCTGTGGTACACACGGTTGTTTTACTCCAGAGTATCACATTCATTCCATCTCTTAAGTAAATAGAAGAGAAGAGAATTCAGGGCAGTGTTTGAACTGAGGCTTATTATGCCTCTGCCCCAGGACCTTTTCTGGTGCCAAGGCTCAGCCATGGAACATATGATATAGTAGTAGTAGTAGTAGTAGTAGTAGTAGTAGACCACCTTGTCTCTGAGTAAGTTCAAAACATGCTTTCCCCTCACCAAGGAATGCCTACCTCCACCCACAACATGTTTAGGTACAATGCACAGTTCTGGTCATTATTTTTCAAGCCCTAAATGGCTTGGGACGCTATTGTCTCTATTGTCCATACAAAACTGTCCCATTTTCTACATGCTGTGGGAGAGGCTTTTCTTTGTGGTGTCTGTCCCCCCCACAAAGTACACTAGGTGGGGACAAGAGAAAAGGGCCATTCCTGTTGTAACTCCCAGGATGTACAATTCCAAGGCCTGTAAGATTAAGCACACACCATCTTTGTTTACTTTCTGGCCGCTGTTTGCATACTTCATTGTTTCTGAAGGTCTGCATTTTATGCGATTCAACCCCTCCAGAAATTGTTTTTGGAAAATTGTAATATTGCTGTTTCTTCTTATTTTAAAATGCGACTACTTTAACTTTGCGGGGGCGGGGGGGGGGGGGAACAAGGGATATGCTATATATATGTAGTGTCTGCACAGCCTACAAAGGTAACAAGCTTCAACTTCAGACATGTGCCATTGAGTCAAAAGCGTGTTGCTGACACCTAATGGCGACATTCAGCAATGAACTTGTTCCTTTGAGAATAACCGTGCTTTGAATGAATGCAGCCAAGCACTGAAAATAGCATAATGATATCATGCTGGGTACACAACAGACTGGATTTAGTCAGAGAGATTTCAGCTGCATTTGAACAGAAGTCAGTTGGCAAAGGGCCAAACTGAGCAAATGCAGTACATGAGCAAATGAGCAAACTCAGATTTCCCTGTACAAACAGGCAGAGGGGTAGAGGTAGCCTCAACTCTAACTAGTAACCCATTCTTCTTCAAGGTCATACAGTATGTACCTGAGGTAAAGGAATATGATCGCCTCTTGTTCGCCGCTAGCCCATAGTCCTCTTCCTCAAAAATGTAAGGTTCCTGCGACCTTGTAGATGCTGTAGGAGAGCACTGCCTCAGACTGTGATCTGTGGTAAAAATGGCAGCAGATTTCTGGCTGTCTTCTAAGAGGAGAGAAAGGAAGAAATCAAGGATGTGACACAGAGGCAGACCTCCAGGGATTCCTTACTACTATTATTATTTATTTAACTGAACTTACCACATTATACCAAAGTCTCAAGATGATTTAAAATAATGGACCAAAAACAACAACAACAATAATTTACACATTTAAAAATGCAGCACAGTCATCAAAATCACAAGGGGTCACAATAAAATCAAGGAGCCCTCTCCCCTGACTGTCTTAAGCAGAAGCAACATCAACAGCTAGAAATATTCCAGCAGCAACAGTGAGGTGCTGCTCCTCTTTGCCATGGCCTTTGAAACCTGAAAAATATATTTTAGGACCCACTCTATGCTCTTGATGGTCAGCTGTTTTTACTGTTTGTAATATTGTTTTTTTTAAAATTGTTGTAACCTGCCTGGGACTTCATAGTAAAGGGCTGGTAAGAAATCTAAATAAAGAAAGAACAAGGAGAATATCAAAGACCTGACAGAAGATAAAAGTCTGTGCCTGATACTGTAAATATCTTAACATAGTCACTAGGCAAGCTTCTTTTGGGAGAGCATTACACAAGGGGGGAGGGCCACCATTGAGAAGGCCACCACCCAAGTTCTGCCAACAGGGGCACTCTGAGGAGTGTCTCCAGAGAGTATCTTAAGCTCTGACTGAGCAGGCTTATATGGAGAAAAGGGTACCATGAGGTATTGGGGTCCAAGCTACATAAGGATTTCTAAGTTAAAACCAACACTTTGAATTAGGCCCAGAAATATATCAGAAGCCAGTGCATGGAGCCAGACCTGCTGTAATGCATTCAGATTGTCTGATCCCATTGGCAGTGTGACTGATGAATTCTGCACCAGTTGCAGTTTCTGGACCATCTAGAAAGGCAGCCTCATATATAATGCATGAAAGGAATCCACTTGGGAGGTTATGAGGCCACAGACCACCAAAGCTAGATTATTCATGTCAGGACATGGATAGCTGAAGCTGATAGAAAGTATTCTGCACCACAAGGCTACATTTGCCCCCACTGACAGCAATGGACCCAAGAGTTGCTCTAATCCACAAACCACATCCTTCAGGTAGTGCATAGCTGTCAATGTTTTCCTTTTTTTAAGGGAAATTCCCTTATTCCGAATAGGGTTCCTTGCAAGAAAAGGGAAAAGTTGACAGCTATGGGTAAGTGCAACCCCCTCCCAAACTGGTTGCAGAATCCTACGAGACTGCTCAGTCTGGAAGGCCACAGGTCCCCTATCCCTGCTTTAAAGAGAACCCTCAAGAAACTGTGAACAGCCCACATACATACCTGTCCGTGATTCTGCTGGATCCAATAGGTCATCCTGATTTTCGTAAGGCAGCTGCAGCCTGACACTTGATCTGGGTAAGAGTATGGCCTCTTGGCTTTTAGCTGTGAGAGACTGATGAGGACCAAGGAAGTGGGGAACTCCATGGCTTGGAATCACACTGGGAAAAAAATGGAAGCAGCATAAAATAGAGAATTGGTCTCACATGCCCAGTTGCACAGGGCTATGCCAAGCTAGAGTAAAATTTAGTCCTAGCAAAGGTAATACAAGCCACCATAATCACAGCCTGGGTTTACAGTATCTGAATGGGAAATTTGATGTACCAGTGGTTTCTATGCGGCTGAGAAAATTCAGCAGATTGCACAATAATGGGATGTGAACATTTTGGGGGGTGGGGAGCACAAGGAAGTTCACCAATAAAGGCAGAAATTAGAGCAGAGCAGCAAGGGGCAAATGGGATCACTCCTAAACAGGATAACTAATGGCCTCAGCTCAAATTGTCCTACATGTACTTCTAAATCCTAAGAGAGAAGAAAAAGGGGAACACATACCAATTTGCATTCCAAAATTTGAATTTTGGTTTGTGTTATGTACTGAAGTTCTCACCCTGGGCCAGCAGGGGGATACTGTAGATAGTTATGCAAATAAGGGATCGAAAGTGACATTCAGTGATTGGATAGTTTTAGAAAATTGTTACAGTTACGTTGTACTGGAGCTCTATATAAGCAGGTTGACTGAACCCTTCAGTTCAGTTCTGTTCTGGCCTGTGAATAAACAAGAGCTGTTTGAAGAATCACTGTGTCGTCTGATATGTTCACCCACAACTTAACAGTTTGAATGCATACAAATCCCAAAACATGTTTTTTTGTTTAATATGCTGAGTTTGACAAAATAGCACCGTATGATTTATGAGAAGATCTACTTGCCACTGGACAGGAGTCCTCATTAGGACAAACATTATGAGAAGAACTTTTTTAAAAGCTAGCCCCTGCCCCCAGCAAATGCATTTGGATCAAGCTTTGCTTATAGTAGTTACCTAACAGCAGAGGTCGTCTCTTGGGCAGTCTGGGAAGCTGACTGGAAAAAGTCCACTTCAGGTAAGCCTTTGAAGAGAGAAAAGCAAACACTGAGAGATGGCTTTTGAAAATCAAGAGTGTTGTTCACCCAAACAAACCTGAGGCATAGGTCTGTTCCACATACTTGCTGCCTTGCAATAAGGAGCTGTAGTCTCTCTGATAAGCAGACTTTTAAAAGCTACATATCATTCACCTGTTTTGCCACATGCCCACTTGTTTCTGGGGTGTATACCTAAAAAATGCAATGTGTACAGTAGCCCATAGAACCTACGGGGCAGACTATTATTTTCTTCTTTACACAAAAGGAATGGAGCCCAGGAGCCAACTGTTTTGCAGAAAACCTTGTAGCTAAACTGGAATTTGAGCTCCAGCCTCCCACGTGCAAGTCCCAGCACTCTATGGGCCTTCTGTATGTCAAAGATGAATCCCCCTTCTGAACTCAGGTCTGACTCAATTACAGTGGGAAATGTGGGAGATATAAAGTCTGGCACAAGTATAAAACCCGTTACCAAAAACATGACATGGCATTGCTGCTTCTCTCGACAGTGAACTTCTTGAGGGAAAACAGAGAGTGCCCAAGTGGGCTTCTTGGTCATGTAGACCACCAAAGTAGTCTGCAGGAGGCCTCAAATTACCTCTTGTTCCTGAGTGGTAACCATATCTCCTTCCCTTAGACCTCCAATGCCCCCATGGTCTCTTCCTTATAATTACTTCAGTCTTACCTGAGTTCTGCTGTAATTTGGTAATCCACTCCTGCATGAGTGGCTCAGTAGGAGCTCTAAGGAGGTACTTGGAGCCATCCTTCAACCTGGGGTATGCAAGGAAATCAGCTGAAGGTATTTGATAGGATACGGATACAACAACCAGCACCAGCCTTAAATACCTGGCAATCTAGGAGCTAGAAGCAGGCACCCTCTGCAAAGATTTCTATTATCACCATTTATGCTGTTCAGGGGCATTTCATCAATGTCCAAGCATGTTCAAGTCTTTCTTTCCCAGATCTATCTATCTATCTATCTATCTATCTATCTATCTATCTATCTATCATCTATCCATCTTACCGTCCTTCATCTGAGGATCATAGGGTCATTTACAATATAAAAACACAAACATACATAACAACAAACAAAACAATACTCCCACCAGTTTAAAAGGCCACAGATTGATTAATTATCAGTAGTCGAAGGCCTGGGAGAAGAATGTTTTCACTTAGCACCTCAAGATTTGTAATGAAGGCTCCAGGCAACCCTCCCTGGGGAGAGCATCCCACAAATGGGGAGTCACCACAGAAAAGGCTTATTCTCATGTTGCCACCCCCCAGACCTCTCATGGAGAGGGCACACAAAGAAGTGCCTCAGATGATGATTACAGGATCCAGATCAATTCTTATAGGAAGAGGCTGTCCCTGAGGTATTACGGTTCTGAGTTACCTTTATTTTCTTTTTAAAACCTGTAATAGTATTATTATTTAGCATTTATTACCCCTTCATAGAGCTTAATGTACACTGCATATATTATCTTGTGAAGGAAAAGAAACAGAGGTTACTCACTGTAGTGTGAAACAGTTGTTCTTTTTGATATACTCTGTTTCTAGGGTGCAAACAGCTCCACGGAGGTTCAGTGGCAAGGCCACTACAGAACTCTGCTGTGCAAAGGAAGGCAAATGATAAAAGATCCTGAAATCAGAAAGCCACTCTGAAGTGGGCTCCTACTAGTTACTTCACTCTTCTCTTGGGTGGGCAATTGTTACTCGGGATGGCCTGTGCTGGTACACTGAGCTTTTAAATTTGTTGAGCTTTTCTTCTGTCAACGCTGCTCGACAGTTTTGAGATTTGCCACTTATGACTAGACTTGGTTTTACTGTGATTTGTGGACGGTCTTTATTTTAGTTTTAGATGAAGTTAGTCTTTACAAGAATTTCAAGTTCTATTTTGGCAGAGAAGGCACTGAAGGTTTAGACAAAAATAAATGCAATTGGCAAAGTGTAGATGCTTGACAATCTATGCACGCCAAACATTCACAGGAGATGTCAGTAGGGGAAGGACTATACAGGATAGGAAAATGCTGGAGGCAGTGCTTTTTTCCCCTGGGGAGATGCAGGGGTACGCATACCCCTAAACATTTTGTGAATCTAAGTTTGGCCTGATTGAGGGGCTGTATTTCATTATGAGTAGGAAAATCGTGCCCCTAAACAATTTTTTAAGAAAAAAAGCACTGGCTGGAGGTATATGAAAATGTGACACAGACCTTACTCATACCCATTTCTTATCTCCATTTGTCTTTGGGCATCTCACTGCCTACCATTACCTTGAGGGTGTCTTTCTTGTCCTGGTAGAAACACAAAGTTTGTCTCATCAGTACTGTGTGGAATGTGTTCCAGGAACGACAATTTGCCTAGGAGAAGAGAAATGAACAGATCAGATCTGAAGTAGGTGAAGAGTTAAGGTTGGTTCGCAAGGTGACCTGTTCACATGGTTTCATGTGCATGAAGCCCCTATCTGCCTGTGCTTGCCTCCAGAGTAAGACCCCTCCCTTCCCCTGGAGGCAAAGATAGGCAACCTTCTAGCTCTTCAAAGCATGGGAACATGAACATCAGTGCAAAGTAAAAATGAACATCACCTTCAGATATATGGTCAACTTACTCTGGACCTTATGTTTCCACCTCCTGTCTGCAGCAACTACAGTTGGCAGTACAGTATAGCGATAAGAATAAAATCCACAAGTTTTTCGTCATTTGGAAAGGCCCTTTGCCTTCTGCACCACCCACACTGTGCTGATTTAAGCCAGGCCAGTGTTCCAGATCCTTATATCCACACCCCATCACAGGCGACATTTACCCAGTGGGTGGGGCTATCCACCTGTCAATCACTTGATGATACAATAGTGTTAAGTGGCCTGTATTTCTCTGTGTGGTTTGAAATCAAATTGTGCAGACAAAATCTGCAAAGTGGCAACTAGCTGCCTTTCATCTAAGCTTTGCCTTTACCTGCTCCACACCTGACTTCAGGTGTAGAGCAGGTTGGCATGGCTTCATGAAACAGCCTCGTAGGCCCACAGGCTGGAGGTTTCCCCACCCCTGGGTTTAGACATAACCATGGCTTGGTATTATGTGAATAAGCAGCAAGGAGCCTCAGTTTTGTGAGTTCAGCCACCAAGCCTCGTGCAGATCCTGGCTTGGACCAAACCATAGCTAGTTTGTTACACGGCAAACTGTTATTTATGCTTCCCCTGCAAATCAGGATTGAATATTGGTTTGCTGTTATGCCTGAACCACCTCACAGAAGTGTTTCTGTGTGTATTGATATAAGTCAGAGCTTTCCAAATTGTGTGTTGTGACACGTTAGTGTGTCATCTGCAGTGTGTAGATGTGTCACGCGAATGCTCCCTGCGCTGCTCCTGGGGCTGGAAAGGGGTTGTTTCAACCTCTGGCTTGCTAGTAAAACTGAATTACTGTGTCACAAAACGATGCATGTCTAAAAATTGTGTCATCAACATGAAAAGTTTGGAAAGCTCTGCTATACAGGGGCTAGGCTCTGTTGAAGTGTTACTGGAACACCAATGAAGTTGTTTCTTGGTGGCAAGTCACTGGCATCCATATTCAACCCCCCCCCCCCCCCATAATGCCACGCAGTTCTGACAGTACCTTCTTGCCTCCTGCCTGCAACAGATGCTTCCTCTCCAAAGCTCCTTCCATCATCTGAAGCTCTAGTTTACTGGGAAGATTCTAGAGAGAAGCAGGAAACAATGAATGAAGCAACCACAACGAAAGCAGCAGTGTTTCAAATACGAAGGCATTTTAACACCACATTCCCCAAAACAGAGCAAAAAAGGAAGAAGTGTGCTTTGAGCAGTCACTGATTCATCGAAAAGACATACATTGTGTGGCTCATGCTAGGAAAGTGTGTGGGGATCTCCCCCCCTCTCTCTCTCCCCCCCCACAGTCAAATCAGGAACAGTACTGATGTAAACATCTCAAGCGTAAGCATCTCATTAGCTAGATCTGTATCTCCTTTAAAAGAAAATACTCCACATATATGGAGTTGCTGGTTCCTGATAGGAAAAAAATACACATTTTAATAATTGTGCAATGAGAAACTGCTTAAGTACACATTGCAGATCAGTGCCAGCAGTATCCAGGGACTTGAGGTAAAGAACAGTAAACACCTGGTTTCCAGGCATACAATCCCCTCCCCTGCCCCATAGAAGCCAATGTTTCTGACCTTGCCAGTACTTCTGCCCTCCGCCTGAAGCTTCTGCTGGGCCCCTGGGCAGGTACTCTGCAGTGACCTCACAGCTGCAGCTACTGCCCCTTCTGAGGGCTCCTGGCCAGAAGGCATGGATGCCCGGCACCGACTCGGACTGCCACAATTAGTCCCTCTTTCTCCTTCAGACCTCTGAAGCAGCTGGGCAGAGGTGGGGAGCTTGAACTTAGCCACCAACAAATTGTCTGCCGCTGCCAGGTGAAGTCTTGCACCAGAGCTGTCTGGACTTTGCATCTTATCCACCTTTCCAGCAGGGCTGCTGTGGATTCCCAAGCTTTTCTTGTGCTTCTCCACATTGCTCCATATGGCCTGCAGCTCCTCTTCCTCCTCTTCAAACAACTCGTGGGCAGGGTGACAAGCCTCTAGCAACTTTGGCCCTTTAGTCGTGCTTCCTCCAGGAGCCGGGACAAGAGGGTCCAGCCCTGAGGGTGTTGGGGTGCCTAGTTCACATTCAAATACAGACAGCTTGGCAGGAGATTTGACCCCCAGGTGGAGGAACGAGGGCGAGGTTCTCACACAGCTTCCCTTTTCTTCTGCCCCATTCACAGCAGGGTTCTTAGCTTTGGCTATACTGGAAACTGCATCGGAGCTGCCCGTGTGCTTAGCAGGTGAGGGCTTCAGCTTCACCCGAGATGCTTCTCTGACTTTATGGTCAGCCGGACCCTTTACCTGCGCCTCCTTGGAGCTGCCAGTTGTACCCAGTGAGGTAGCTAGTCTGTCCCACTCTATACCTATCTGCTCGTGCAGGACACTAATGCGGGATAGCCGGTTCTGCTTGAAATCCATAAAGTCGTCACTGGGACTGCTCTGGCTATTCGGACTCTGCCTGTCTTCTCCACAAAGAGCAACGAAGCAGGCCTTCTGCCTGCTGTAGCTTGGGTTGATGCTCACCTCTTCAAACCATGTGCCTCCCTTACCCTGGGGAAGCTTGTCACGAGCGTCTTCAGGCCTGAGGGGCCTCTGGTGCATGACTGGCTGCCCTCCGAGCACCCTCTTTTGCAGGCTACTACCAACTTCCTGCACTTTTGCCCCAGCTGGGCTGCTCCGAGCTCCCTGGCAGGCCTGGCTTATTCCCTTCCTTCCTGCTGCTCCCTCTTTTGCTACTCTGATGGTTTCATGGATATTCCTTAGGATTGTGGGGTCCTTGGGGAGCTCCAGGCTCAGGACAGAACCGAGAGAAAGATGCTGGCATGTGTTGTTCATCCGCTCTGCCAGTGACGGGGGGCTGTTGGGACCTCTGCTCTCTCTTGGGAACACATGACATCCACATACTTCCCTAACCGAGTCACATTCAGCGTCAATAGCCCGTGCCAATGGGTTCTTCACATAGTCTGTCAACTCTCTGCAGGGTGCTGGGCACTCTGCCTGCAAGGCCTGTGCCCTCCTGTTACCCTTTGGGGGCCAGGTGCTACTAGTGCTGCTCCTCTCCCCTTGCCCTGCCTGCAGGTCGCTTGGTTCGGTTCCCATGATCCCTTGCAAGGTGAGTAGCTGGGCATCTTCTGCCTCCACTCTGCCTTTTCTCTTCAGGCTCCTTAAGAAGCAGCTGGAGCTGATCTTGGGCAAGGTGTGGAAGGCTGAGGTGCCCCACCCAGGACTGGGAAATGGGGAAGAGTGAGCTCCGGGAGGCGTTTGCTTAGCAGGCTGCAGCATAGTAGAGCTTCCACAAACCATGCCTGCATCTCTGTCTCCCTCTTTCTCCTTCACGTGCAAATAGGTGCTCACCTGCGGAAAGAGGAAGACCCAATGAGGAGCACTCTTCAAATTGCACAAGGTCACTGGAGCCTAAACCTACCTATTTTGGATGCCACAGCAGCAAACTGACATGCACTAGCACATGCTCCTTTCAACTCAGCGAGTATACATGCATGCATGTTCATTAATTGTAGCAGACACTAAGGTAGACTGCCCACAACGGGTTCCAGGATGTTAGGATCACTTTAGTTCAATCCTAGGGAGCGGCAACAAAACTTCTGGCTTACCATGGTTCCAAGCTTACTACTGGAGACAACCCAACTCTGCTGGGCTTTCCAGAAGGGGCACACTGCCAACTTGCAAGGCTGCTAGATGCACCCCACTCTACTTCAGGATAGATGATGCAGCCTGAAAAGAGGCTACAAAACTCAGTATGAAATATTGCAGTAGAAACTGAAGAGCCCAGCATGATTGGGGGGTGGGTACCATGATAGCAGCTATGGGCTGTGCTACAGTTGAGGCCAGCTCAGGGCCAAATGAAATGTGTATTAAGAATCTTACATTGTATGGTTTGAGATTGCATGTGGTGCAGGTTGCATGTATGAATGCTCCTTGTAAAAAACAAAGAAACCCTTCGTCTACATAGAAAGCTATCACAACAGGAAGAGAACTGGGCTTAAATAAACCCTTAGGCAGGGACTCAGCCAATACATAGAACGCATGCTTGCAGAATGCATGTAGAAGATTCTGGGTTCCTTTTGCAGCCTCTTCAGAAAAATCTGAGAAAACTCCAGTCTGAAATCTGGAATAGCCACTGCCTTTCAGAGCAGACAATCCTGAAATAGAAAGATTAGTGATCTGACTGTATAAGGCCTCTATAAGATCTGGCTCTATAAAGTATAAGGCTTTAAGTTTGTATGAGCTCCTTGATGTACCAGGGGTATTCTGTGCACATGAATCAGCTCTCAGTATAACAGGAATCCCCTTCCTGCAACAGCTGCAGGAGATGTCTAGAAGTTTAATTCAGGAATTATTACTGTACACCGTAGAGGCTGATGTTCCTTTCCCTTCATGACTGGCAGCTGACTTTCTAAATGAATACACTTTACAGCCCTGAAATCCTCCTCTCCAGTTCACAAGTTGTTGGAGCTACTGTTGCTTCTATGCTCAGGCACCTCGCCAGAAACTAGTTTTGGACAGCATGCCTCAGCCTTTCAATTGTAGCAGCTACCCATCTGCTTCAATCCCTAATTATCTTCTCACCGTGCCCTTTTAATCACAATTGCTAATGTGTGAGTGATTACGAAGACTTGCTTGCTAGCAAATAGGTGTATTCCTCTTCTCAGTTCATCTCATCCCCAAATCACCACAAGACTCTGAATTCTTGTTCATGGGACAACCCAAAGTGAGTGTGTCTTGTCATGTGGGTCATTTCCTCACAGCAAACTAGTTTGGCCTGCCTTCAGCCCATATCAAGAGGCAGTGCACTTCAGACTCGCTTCCTGTTTCCTCTAGCAAATACGGTAGCTCTTCTGCTGTGGGATATGAATTATTGTGCTGAGGAAGACATCTCCATATTCCACTGTGCTGGCTGCACATTTAAGCTCTGGTTTGTTTGTTTGTTTGTTTGTTTGTTTGTTTGTTTGTGTGGATGGTCCTGTGCATCTAAGAATATTCCAGAAGGGTGGATTCCTGGCAATAATATGACACGACAAGTTGTGCCAGCTGAAATTCTCTTAAAAGGTACAGAATCCACATTTTGTGCTGCACATGGCAACCCTGTGCTTTAACCAGGAGAAGTCACAAAATATTTGAAGGTGTTTCTCCTAAGGGGGCATCTCCTCAGGAGTACAGGTGCAAACACAGAATGCATATTTAACTTATTCACCATAGCCTTGGAAAGGAGAAACACAGCATCTGTGTGACCTCTTAACATTTTGGAGATGCCACTTAAGTGATATAGGAGAAGGGAACAAAGCTGTTGAGACTCCAACTTCCTAAGTCCCAAGCCGGCTAGCCAGACCAATGGTCAAGGATGATAGCCAAGTCACATCTGGAGCGTTTCCCTCTCCTAATTTCAGAGCTGCCTTTTGAAGGAGGCTATTGGATGGGTTAGTCAAGGTTTCCTTGCACCATGCAACCACTCTCAGTCTGACATGCTTCATCGTCCCCCCACTGCTCCATGTTACCTCTTCTGCATGCTGGCGGGGTGGCCTTTTCTTTCTCTTTAAACTACCCAAAGTACTTCCTAAAAGCCCCTGGCAACGTTTCCAGAAAGCTTTACAGGCTGAGGATTTAGTTTCAGAGAGCTGGATTTTTAGGAAAGAGAGAGACAAAAATAAAAATAAAAGTGAAGGAATAGCAAGGGTGACCTGCAAAAGCCAGGAAGAAAAGGGCAAAATCAGTGCCTGACCCATGAAGAGGAAGCTCTAGAACTGCATGCCTGGCGGTGGCTTAAATGAGAAGCAAAAAAGCAACAGAGCTGCTAGTCTCCCTGATTCAGAGTATCCATTAACATCTTAATGCTCACTGGGAAGTTAGAAGTTCTCCACTTGCAAGCCTTAGCCATTAAGCTTGGCACTCCCTCACTTGACACCCCACTTCTGTCCTGTCTGAACACTTGGCAATACTTTGCATCATGAAAACACTGCCTCCCTTTGCCGCAGAGGCACTTATTTGATGTTCTGGAGATAGCAAACAGCTCTATCGATGCCTAAAGTAAAGGGCAACTTACCTTGTGCAAGGTTTCCGGTCCCATTGATGGTGCCGCTCCAACCTGGCTTCCCGTGGCCTCTCTCCCTGCTTTCTTCCCAATGCTCAGTATCAAGTTCACTGTGCCACCCAGACTGCCAGGGCCTGGCTGGGGCACCAGCAGCACAGGGGTCTCCAAGGGTTCTAGGATCAGAGTCTCCTTTGGGACGTCCATCTCAGAGGGCAAGTGGTTTTCCAATTCTTCCAAACTCTTCCTGTGCCCTGGAAGAACATCCAGGGTAGATAGTACTGCAGTGGAGACCGATTCACTCTCTTGCTGTGCTGCTGAACCATTTGGGAGGGAGCAGAGGGTGAGTGGAGGCCTCTCAGAAACACTGGAGTTAAGGACACCATTTGCTTCACCCACACCTGATTCAGGAACTACTTTAATCTGTGGAGTAAGGTAATACAATGAAGAAAGAAATTGCAGCGATAGCTTCTTTGTTCTTTGTTAATTCTAGGATTAGGTGGGATCTCTTCCACCTAAAGACCAATACATGAAGCTTAAAATTTCCTCTGCTCACGTGTGTGTGTGTGTGTGTGTGTGTGTGTGAACAGCAGCCAGAGATTCTGTCAAAATGTATTGCTTGGTATGTTATAGAAAGGCAAATAAAAATTTATGCAAAAAAATATACAGGTCTTTATGAGGCAGAATAGCAACAAGATAGATAGTATACACATGGGGAAATTGTGTAGGTATTCGACCAAGTTTGAAATAAGACAGATTTCTAAGCTTGGGGTGGGAGTGGTGGAGGAAGGAAGCTAAAGAGAGAAAACATGAAAGGGGGGGGGTTTGTTTATAACTTTGTGCAGATGCCCCATAAAAAGTGAGTGAACAAAGCATAGCTATTCCACAATAAATACACAGTGCAGGCCAAGCTATTTTTCAAGTTTAGCTCTAGTATTGCCACTCAGGGGCTGCATACTAACTTGGCAGTGCTCGGTCATGTTCAGCGTGCCATTCTGAGTCTCCCTGCCATCACTCTTACTGCCAGGGTCCTTCTGGGAACTCTGTGCTCTCCAGCGCACCATCACCCATCCCAGCATGCTTTGCAGCTCCTCCATTCGCTCCTTTATCTAAAAAGACAGAACAAAACTGAGAAAGAAATGAAAGGAGGAAAAAAGGCCACATAGTGAACTCCTCTCTTTTCTCTTCTAGGTACAGTTCTCAGTCAGGGCCAAGCCTCAGGATGACAAACAATTGGAACAACTGTCTAGCTCCCACCCACCTGATGAGATGCTTCACCTCCTCCCTTCCGAAAGCAGTGATGGCAAAAGAAAGAAAAGGGAAGTGAGGTGGGATGGGAGGTTGTTCCCCAAAGGATGCTGCAGGCATGTAGGAAGCTTGCGTATCATGGCCTGCCACACTTACTGTCTCACTCAAGCTGTGTTCCTCAGCTACCAGTTTCCATCCAACTGCTGCCAGCTCCTCAAACTCCTTGAACTTAGTCTCCATGTTACTTTCCAGGTCTTCCCACTGAGCTTCTGAGAGACCGTGGGAACTCATAGTCTCAGAGAAGATCTGTGCCCGAGTATCCTCTGTCCAGGAGCTGGAGAGTCAAGGAAGGAGGAGCAACTATGAATATGGCCAGAAGAAATGTGTCTTAACACCTCACAAAACTGCAGCTCAATTTATCCTCTACCCTTCCAACAAAGCTACAGATCAGGGTACTTACCAATTGACAGAGAAACCTGGAAGAATCCCAGTAAAAACCTATTCTGCATCAAGTTGTCTCAGCCTCTAGACAGCTTTGTCTTTCAAGTAGTGGCATACAGTTAAGAAACATACCATTTCCCCAGGCCTTTTAAAGCAGTATTAAAAAGGTGTGTCCCAGTAAAAATAGTTTTTCTCTCTCTTTGTTAACCACTAAGGCAGGCATCCCCAAACTCAAACCTCCAGATGTTTTGGGACTACAAAGCTAACAGGACCAGTGGTCAGGGATGATGGGAATTGTAGTCCCAAAACATCTGGAGGGCTGAGTTTGGGGATGCCTGCACTAAGGGCTGCTTCCATTGTGGCAAAACAATCTACACACTAAGCCCTTCCATGGAAAAGTTGGTGTTACATCTCACAAGCAAATCACCAGTCTTGGCAAATGTGTGAGCAAAGAGGAGTAAATACTCAGGAAATCTGCAGCTAAATCACAACATCCAGGGCATGTGTAACTGCACCAAAATAAATGCAAGATAAGCTGTGACGTGCGACACTGAAGTTGCATCCAATTTCAGTAAGAGAATATTTGGTGGGGTGCAGCTGCCATTTCAATGCAGGCATTGCTGCCACTTGCCTGGATGGTGCTGGGCTGGGACAGCAGCAAGCTCAGCCCTTCACCGGTGCACCAACGGGAGCAACCACCTGGTTGCGCAGGTACCCCTGCAAGGTCCCAAACCTCACTTCCACCCTGCCCCACCTCCACCCCATCCAGGTGTGTGAACGGGAGTTAGAATTGATGCTGAGACTCAAGCTTGCTGGACTGACTTCAAAGTAGATAAGATGGATAGTCCCCAAGCGCAATTGAAAATAAGGGGTGCTTCCAGATGGGGGCTTAATATCACAAATGGGTGAGTCAGACATTGCAAAACAAACTTTCAAGGGACAGGATGAGTCCACTAAGGTCTACTGACTTACATAATGGCTAAATAAGCTCTGAAGAATTGTCGCAAATGAGCGGCTTGCTGTCCATGAACTGCATTTCCCAACACCAGCTTTTGCAGATCTTTCCAAGCCACCAATGTTTCACTGATTCTTCTGGACTCATTTGGCATTTCAATCAGACAGCAATCTTCCAGCTCAATGAAGGCTCTCTCTAGTTTCTCCATGTCCCCTTCCAGGCTAGACATTTCACTCTATGAAATACAAGACCACAGGATTCAGGCTAGCAACAGGGCTTTCGAATGGGGAACTCCTGGCTCCTTCCCAATAGTAAATGCTTGCCCAATCTAAAAACAAGCATGAGACTCCCAACTGGCTTTAGGAAGCCAAACAAACAACAGGGCAGTATCATCAAACATCAGATCTATGCTGACCCATTTAAAAAAGTGAGAGCTCAGAACCAATGGTCAAACCTAAACCTGCATAACAATCTCAACCTGCAATTTACAATGGGGCTGGGTGGAAGAACAGACTTCCAAGGTGTGTGTAATGCCTGATTTAGCACTCCTCCAACATTGCCATGAGCAAACACTGGTTCTATGGGGTGCTTGTTACAAGCCCTCAAATAGCCTTTTGATCTCACCTCTATCTCTTTCTGCCTTTCCATGAGCCCCTGCAGCTCCAGAAGATCTGCCTCACTCTTCACTGTGGCAAAGCTTCTCTCTGCCTGCATTATGTCCTGAGCCAGTGTTTCTGCTCTGTTCCTCATTGTCTTGATCCGTGAGGTGACCCAGGCCAGCTGAAAAATTGAAAAAAGAAAGGCGACACTGAGAAACAGTTCTCTGTACTACAGGCTGCTTGGACAACCAAACCAAAGCTGGAACTGCAACAGAGTAGTGCTGGTAGCATTTAATAGGTGGTCAGTCCACCTCTATGAAACAAGAAGATAGATTTTGTAGCTTCTTGCCCAAATACAATAACCAACACTGAAGGATGGAGTGGTACAGGCTTTCCACCTCTAATCACTAGGGAAGAGGGATTTTTCTAGCACGCAGCCCCTCTTAACCCTCTCTTACCTTAGTTTCCTCCCCACTTGACAAGGCCTGCACAAAGCACTTCAGATTCTCTGTCTTGGTCACTGCCTCCATGACCCGCTCGCGCTCCTTCACAACACTGTTCAGCATGTCCACTGCTTCTTGCAGTTCCTCCAGTGACCTGTTCATGTCCTCATTGCTCAGCTGTTGAGCACTCTGGGCTATGAGAAGCTGCAGAGGCTCTTGGGAGCCTAGCTGGTTCGGCACTGCCTAAAGCAAAACAAGTACATGAATAATATTGGGTACCAATCTAGACAGGCCACCCTGTTAACTCTCTCACAGACGTCTTCTGAGCAAATTGCCATGATTCCTACTTTACAGAGAAGGAAAGTGAAACTTCAAGAGAGAGGCTTGACTAAAGCCACTCAATATTAATATTAATAATATTAATAATGATGATAATAAGGTAAAGATAAAGTGACCCCTGACCATTAGGTCCAGTCGTGGCCGACTCTGGGGTTGCGGCGCTCATCTCGCTTTATTGGCCGAGGGAGCCGGCGTACAGCTTCTGGGTCATGTGGCCAGCATGACTAAGCCTCTTCTGGCGAACCAGAGCCACACATGGAAATGCCGTTTACCTTCCCACTGGAGCGGTACCTATTTATCTACTTGCACTTTGACGTGCTTTCGAACTGCTAGGTTGGCAGGAGCAGGGACCGAGCAACGGGAGCTCACCCCGTCACGGGGATTCGAACCACCGACCTTCTGATCAGCAAGTCCTAGGCTTTGTGGTTTAACCCACAGCGCCACCCGCGTCCCTAATGATGTAATAGATTTGGTTATATCTTTGTTCTACTACTAATTGTATCTACCACAACATACATCAAAATAATAAATAAAACCATGCAATCTACTAATAATATAACTCAGAGCCAACACCCAATTTCTAAAAGCAGCAACAAAGAACATGTGATATAACCAGCATTTCAAACTAACGAAGACCCAACACCAGCAAATGTAAAAGATGCTACACATTAAAAATTAGCAGTGATGAAACTATGCTTATAAACTAAAAACAAACTGAAATAAAAGTGTCTTCAATTTCCAACACTGATCTTAAGTCCTGAGTATATTTAGCTGGGAAGCTAATTTCTGCCACCTCACTGAAGGCCCAGATACTTGCCAGTGGATATCAGTAAGATAAGGCCTCAATAAGCAGCAGTAGCCAATTAACCAACAGTGTCAAGAGTTGCAATTTGTGGCATTATAGTTAGGGGTTCCATGACTAAATGCAACCAGAGCTAGAATGGTGATAGAACTTAGCTATACAGGATCATTACCATCCACAGTAATTTGGATGGCATACCATACTGAAATCATGTGAACCCAAACAGGAGAGTCATGCAAACTGTTCCTGTGTCACTAATCTGACCACTTAGATACAATGCAGCACAAGGGACTTTTATGGAGATGTGTGTCCCTTCAGCGCCATCCTCCCTCATTGTTCAAACTAAACATAAAGCGAGAAGCCCCTTGCTTGTTATTTTTGAACTCTGACCCTTCTGGGGAAGTGCTGTAGTTCCGTGGCAGAGCATTTCCTTTCCACATAAAAGGTCTCAGGTTCAATTCCTTGCATCTCCAGGCTGGGAGAGACTCCCTATCTGAAACCCTAGAGAGTTGCTGCCAGTCAGCCTGGTTAGTAGTGAGCTGGGCAGACTAATGGTCTGACTCGCTATAAGGCAGCTTCCTATGTTCCTATGACAGGACGGAATTCAGACCACACCTCTGCACATCACCTCATTCTTCCCTTCCCTGGCCCACGTCTTCTCTGCTTCTCACCTGTACTTGGTTCCTGTGACTCAGCATTTCTTCCATATGCACATTCTGCAAGAACTCGGTTAAAACCAGGGCATCTTTCAAGTCTGACGTTCGGCGCTGGAGAGCCTCCTGCACACAGGTGAACCTGGGAAGGAAACCATGACATCTTCCTAAAAGCGTATTTCACGAGAGCAATGCTACCTGCTGCCTAAACATACACAATTTCAATTTGGACAGACAAAGCTGTTGGAGATGAGAGATAGGTCTAGAACAACATGGGCTACAGCTCAGTGGTAGAACATCTGCTCTGCATGCAGAAGGACCTACTTTCAATCCCCAGCATCTTTGTCTGAAATCCCGGAGAACTGCTGCTTATATAGTGTGAGGACAATACTGGGCTAGATGGACCAATGGTCTGACTCAGCAGAAAGCAGCTTCCTATGCTCCTACGACAAGGGAAACTTAACCAACAACAACCCTGGCTCTCTCCTCCTCCTTGGTTGCCTGCATCTATTCCTTTGAAACCATTCTTCCACCCTGAAGTAACCTCTTCTCCTTCTCCAGCTTTTCAGAAGCCAAGTCTCCTTCCTACACCACCTCCATACAGAGAATACTCTTTTGTTCCCAAGAACTCACTTTTCCTTCACTCGTTCCATCTTTCTATGAATCATTGCAGCTGCTGTGTGTTCCGAGGAGGAGTCCATTTTCATTTCCTCCTTCAGGGCTTGAAGCTTAATATGCCACGCCTCCACTTGGTTCTCCAGGGTGCCAACCTTCTCTAGGTCCCCATGGAGGTCATCAAGGTTCTTTGCAGCTGCTGCTTCTGGCTCAGAGAGCAAGCCTAGAACAGTTTCTAGCCAACACTCAGCCTCTTCTACCTCCCCAACCAACCGCAGAGCCTGCAAACAGAAAGGAGTGGCATGAGCAAGGCAGCCCCCCAGCCTGAATATGACAAGAAAGTGATTGCGCACTGTCCTCTGCAAGAGAAGGCCTTCGCCCTGAAAGATGGCAAACAACTTTCTTAAATAAATAAGAGAGTGTATCCTAATCCCAAGGTTCAAATGTCTAACTGTGGGAGAAAACTGAACACTACACCACAAATAATCTGTTCCCTACGGCTAAACTTTTCAGTGCATGGATGACAGGCAAGCAATCCAACTGAACAGGAAATGTGACCTCTGTCAGGGATAGAGCTACAAATATTAGAATTGCTAGGGTCTTTTGAGTGAGGCTGAGACTACATGTTACCCACAACATAGAGCAGCTGCCAAGGACGGCAGCTGTCTCACCCCCTTCCACCCCAAAACCTTTTATTAATGTCTAACATAATTCGTCTCATCTGACGATGGCGTAGATTTCATTTGCCTCCACACTGCATCATTTAGTTGTTGCCAGCAAGGGTGGAGAAACACGCAGTGCTATGAGATCACAGGATGTGAAAAACTGGCGCACCATGTTTACAAAAGGGAAGGACTAGACACCCTTTCCAGTGGCAGCCACTACTCACTGTATCAATCTCCCTCAGGGCCACGCCATTCTCTTGGTGCCGCCTTCTCAGTTCCTCCCAGAGATCCTCCAGTTCCTCAAGGGCATCTTCCATCTGAGGACTCCACCTGTGTAGCTCCTAAGATGTACAGCACACACATGCCATTAAGACATATGAATAAAAGGGCTCCCACTGTGGTGGTTCTGCATATGTGGAACTCTTTGCCCCAGGATGTTTGCTTATTATCCTCTCTGTATGTGTTTGGACAGCAAATGAAAGCAGTTCTCTTTAACAAGTTTTTGATTCTGTTCGTTACTTCATGCTTTGATTTATTGGTGATTAGTTTTGGCCCTTGGGTGCTGCTTTTAACCTGGTAATTATGTTTTAATGATGGGTTGCTATTTTTATGCCTTTTTAAAACATTGCGAGTTGCACTGACTTTTTGAAGGGGAAAAGCAGGATACAATTTTATTTTATTTTTTTGTATAAATAAAATTCAAATATATAAACCTGACTGAAGCCATGTCAGACTGCTGGACCATCTACTCCAGTTTCATCTAGTGATAGGCAGCTGAATTACAGGGTCGGAATTACAGGGTCTGTGTGTGTCTTTTCTAGCCCTTTTACCAGAGAGTCTTTTAACTGGAGATGCTGGGAACTGAGCCTAGGATCTTCAGAATGAAAAGCATGCACTCCATCACTGAGCCATGGTCCCCACTTGCTCAGTTCCCTCCTCAGATAAACTCTAAGAGCAGAAGCCATTGCCCCTGTTGGGGAGGTATTAACAGATCCAGTGTGGTGTAGTGGTTGGAGGTCAGACTCTAGGACCTGGGAGACCAGAGTTCAAATCCCCACTCAGGCAAGAAGCTCACAGGGTGATCTTGGGCCAGTCACTGCCTCTCAGCCTAATCTACTTCAAAGTGTTGCTGTGGGGATTAAATGAGGAGAGGGAGAACTATGAATACCATCTTGAATTCCTTGGAGAACAAGATGGGATAGAAATGCAAAAAAATAAACAAAATCTCTTGTGGGATCCAGAAAATTCATTTTTCAGGCTGGGCTAGAGGTTGTCACCTGTCCTGTATAATACAGGATTGTCCTGTACAGTGGTACCTCGGGTTAAGTACTTAATTCGTTCTGGAGGTCCGTACTTAACCTGAAACTGTTCTTAACCTGAAGCACCACTTTAGCTAATGGGGCCTCCTGCTGCTGCCGCGCCCCCAGAGCACGATTTCTGTTCTCATCCTGAAGCAAAGTTCTTAACCTGAAGCACTATTTCTGGGTTAGCGGAGTCTGTAATCTGAAGCGTATGTAACCTGAAGTGTATGTAACCCGAGGTACCACTGTATTTCAATGTAAGATGCTACATCCTGTATTGATACAGTTTGTCCTGTATTTCAGGTCTCTTCACTCTTTCTCTTTCTCTCTGCCAAGTTAGGGATCCTCTCCAAATGCATGTGCTTGAAAGGGTGTGTGAAAGGTCATGTATTAAAGCTCTGGGTAGCCAAGCACAGACAGGTTTACAAATGTGTGTGTGTGTGTGTGTCTGTGCGCGTGCATGTGTGTGTGTGTGTGTGTGTGTGTGTGCGCGTGTGTGTGTGTGTGTCAAATTCCAGAGGGGCCATCCTGTCAGGCTGCAATAGATTATAATGGTTTGCTTTGAAGTCACTTCAGCATTGGGGGGGGGGGGAATCACACACACCCCAACCGCCTCTCCCTGCTCTGTCATGTATTTTGCCAAAACAAAGGTGGCAACCCTAGGCTGGGCAGGAATTGGGAGCATCCCTGGTGAACAGGCCTCTCTCAGGCCTCCCTTCTTCTTACCACCCACAACAGTCCTAATTGAAACACACTTTAATTCTACAAACCTGCTTAAATACTTGGGTATTTGAAACACAAGATTCCTCTTCATTAACTCAAGGTTTAAAAATAAATTTGTCAACATTTTGCTTTTGATTTCTGATAACCACCTCATTCAGCTATGCTTGTAGACTAGGCCTGTTCTTCAGCCAAGTGGCAGCCTACCAGCAGCCCAAGGGAAGCCAGAATTACTACCACAGTAAGGGAATCTATGTGGGCTGCAGAATGACAAAGACTTGGGGATTTGGTGAAGCTTGCAGAGAGACATTACCCCATCAGCGACCTGGCAGAAGTCCTGAAGGTTTGCCTCCTGCTGGGGCAGGTCCTTCAAGGCATTTGAATGCCAGAGAAGCTTCTTCCTCCTCCTGGAGAAGACAGAAAATTAGGGTGAGGCCATATATTCCAATTCATTGCTTGATAACCGCCACATCAAGTACACATGTGCAAAACACCACAGAAAGAGAGAAAGAAAGAAAGAAAGAGAGAGAGAGAGAGAGAGAGAGAGAGAGAGCGCGCATTTATACATATCGAGATCACCCTAAAACACAACACATTTTAATGGCTTTTCAGAAGTGTAGCCATATTACTCTATTGGGGGTATTTTTTGCACTTTAAATACTGGGTAGGATTCACCTAAGCTTAAAAACCTCCAAGGAAGGAGGAGGGCCCACCACCTCCTGAGTAGTCTGTTCCACTGTTAAACTGCTCTTAGTGCCAGAAAGTTCTTTCTGATTTTTAGTTGGAATCTTCCTTGTTAGTTGAAGCCATTGGTTCAAATCCTACCCTCCAGAGCAGGAGAAAACAAACTTGCTTCATCTTCCATGTGACAGCCCTTTAGGAGAGGGAAGGATCATCTCCTCCAGCAATGCTTGCGCAGATGGAATGTTCATAATAGTGCAACATTGAATTCCACTCTGACAAATTTGTTATGACAGCTTCTGCTATAATAAATGTGGGAGTTTTTAAGATTCTTTGTTATTTGAAGTGAAGGCAGTTTGCATTCTATAACCAATAGTGAACTCAATTCTCTGAGTGCAGGTCCTAATGTAACTAAAGCATCCATGCTCAATGGGGAAGTACCAGCAGGCTCACGAGAACCACAAGGTTTACAGAAGTGCAAATATATATATACCCAGCCAAATGAGGATTGAGCATGCTCAGTGGCCATGGAATGCTGACAACCGAAGAGAGTGATAGAAAACCAGGAAAACTTGAATGGAAGGGGGCATGACTGACTGGAACACTGAACTGAGCGTTTTGTTGCAGGTGCTACTTAGATTCAACTAGAAGCCACTGGGTGGTGGGCTCAACCTCACAGCTTCACTGTTTTTCTGTGGAGCTCACAGCATCTACCCATAATGAGGCTGGGCTTAGTGCCAAGACCACAGGGACCCCCCCCCAACCCGTTCAACTTCAAAGGGCCAGCCCCTCTGCTAGGAGTAAGAGATAAATTCTTTTGCATAGTGAATTGTTGCTAAGCAACAAAGCAGATCCCAGTAAGCAACTTCTACCCTCCCCAGTCCCAGTTTCTCCTCACCACTTCCCACATAGCTTTCCCCCAGCTTTCCTCTCCCAGGAAAGCACTGTGTGTGCCAATACCTCCTGCTGTTACCGGTGATGGCGTCCTTGCCTGGTGAGTCTGTGTTGCCCTCTTGGCTTCCTTGGATGTCCTTCCATATCTAGGGTTAAAAGAAGAGTAAGAATATATTTTGCTCAGAATCCTGAGAGGTAAGACTCTGGGCAGGACCTTGTCTGAACTCTGAAGTGGCTCCAAAATTATGGAACCAGTTCCCAGAGATCTGTCTTAATCCAGCTCTTGGCCCAATGCCAAGCATTTTGCATTCTTCCCAGGTGCCACCTTGTGGGAGAAAGGGGGATGAATTTGCCACTCACCATCCTCTTCCTCTTCCCCACCTTTGCCAGCTGCAACGTTCTTGTGTTAGAGCTTGGCTGAGGCCAAAAAAACTTAAGTAGCATGAAGTCTGTTCTGGGATATTGGTAAAGCAAACAGGCCACTGCTTAGCAGCAATCACCAGTGGTCTTCTTTACTAATTCAGGGCGAGAGAGTACATAGCACTCCTCTCTGCTTTTCCTCACCATAAAAAGTAATTGCACTGGCTTGGGCTTTTAAGCACCACCATGTTATAACAAGAAGGCTACAGCTGAGAAGGCTACAGAGACCCTCCTTGTCTGCTGGGACACTTGAACCACCAGTTCTGGCCCAAGTGTGGCCACCTGAGATTGACAGACTAGTCTTGCCTGTTGCTATGCATCCACACATGAAACATTTTCTCCAGAGGTAACTTTTACCCATGAGACATGCCTTACAAATGGAGGGTGCTCTGAGGCTGGTCATCTACGCACAGTACCCAGGAGATCTTGAGGTGTTATCTTGAATACTTTTCTTACCTCCCATACAGGTTTTCCTCCAGCCTCTCTCCCTACACTGTTGGACATGATCTTCACTTGCTCACGATTCGGGGAATCAATTGATCTCCTGGTTGAAGCCAGTAGTGGGGCAATAGGAGCGAGGGGAAGCAGAGAGGTGAAAAAACAAAGAAAACTGTTAGAGTAGGGAACAGAAAAGGGCAAAAAAGAGAGATGATAATCATCACAGAATAAATGCAGACATCCTTGAAGAAATCCAGTATTCCAGGGTAGAGTGTCTCAGGCTTATGCACCTAACCCAACTGTTTTCAGCTTTCTCAGGTTGTTTTATTCTGACACGTTATGCTTTCAGCTTTCATTATGCTTTCAGCTTTTGTTGAGAAAGGAATGTATTGGGTAGAGCATCCCGAAGTTACAGTGATAGTAACAGAGCTGCTGGCTTAGCCTTGTTGCTGGAGCAGAGGCCATCTCAGTCTCCAGAGTCCACATTAACTTTGGGTGAAAGTTTCCTCAAGTTACTCACATCAAGGAAGATAGTAAGTAAGTGCTGATGGTAAGCAAAAGAGGGGACTTCCCTTTACTTCCTAAACTGTCTTTTGCCTTGACTGGTAGAGAGAAACATATGCCACCCTCAGCACTCACACATATAGGCTGCATATTCATAACTTAAAAATCTAAACAAATGCATTGCCTGAAGGCCTACAACCTCAAAAAATTGTGATTAAACTACCATGCATAGTACCTTGTTCCAAAAGAATGAAATAGGGAGAGGGGACATTGTCAGGGTTGCCACCTTTTCCTAGCAGTTTTGCTCCTGTGCATCTAATATCAGTAGCATGCAAAGCTTTTCCAGGCACAGTAGATTCCTCACCTGCTTAGTTTCTGTATGCCACACTCCTGTTAAAGGTGCACAGCAAAACAGAAAATGGTAGTAGTATTGTCAACAATGGCTCTGGCGTGCCCAAATTAGAGACATTTGCTAAATATAATCATTAACCAGCTCAGGATCCACCTCATGCAGAGAGAAAAAAATTAGGCATTCAGCAAATACCTCAATAACTGCTGGAGCTGGGCCCAGCTCTCCTTCACATCTTGATGCTTGAGAGAGACTCGTGCTACTAGGCTGGGATGGAGGCTTGTCAACTGGGACACGGTCACATCCAGCATCTGGGTGGCAAAAAAGGCTGGCAATGAATGAGTGAGCAGGAGTGACAACTGGTCACTTGGCTTAAATTAACCTGACCCATCAAGATAACCTCACTAGCTATACATATCATGTAGCTTATAATGACCAGTAGCCCCTGGTTCCCTAAAACCAAGTGGTTTGTTCAGTCCCTGGTGGGCTACCATGCATCTTAATGGGTGACAAGTTGTGCATGTCTAATCTAGAGACTGCCTCCAAAGAAGCTGCAAACGCATGACAATGCAGGATTCAACTCCCTTTCTTGTGGATCATTCCTCAGCATTCAGGAGCTTCTGCTGAAAACTGAGCTTCTTTCAGAATGCCAGCATGAGCACCTCACTTTGGATACAATCACTCCAGCAGTGGAGGGGTAGGATATATACCAGATGTTGGTACTTCAGCTGGATATCAGTTCTTGAGTCCAGGCCATCTTGCTTAGTTCATTATTTACAGGATGACAAGTTGTTCTCTAAACTAAGGGAGAAATGAACATGCCTACAAATCTTTTCTTAAAAAAACCTTTGCCCACCCCTCACATCTTCTTTAAACATGCCACCAGACTGTCATTACTTTGTGGAAGGGATTCAAACACATACCAGAAATTTGGTTTTGTACAATTAAAGTGGATCAAAGCACTCTGCTGCTCTATCACAAATCCATTTTTTAAAAGAATCAAGAATTTTTGTAGTTTGGAAGGTGACAGGAAAATGCACTGAAAAGTGTGGGATGAACAAATGGCTAACATGAATATGTATCAACACATCAGGATGAATGCAGGACAGTTGCTCATTGTTGTATAACCACCCCACAAACAAATCAGAATCATTGCTCAATAAAGACTGGATATACTCTGACCTCTATGTAAGCAACTCAAGATGAATGCTTAATAAATAGGGCATCTGGAGGGGCTCCAAGTCATGTTCCTGGGCATTGCCCAACTTACCATGACCTGACTAGCTATATCCCTGACATCCAGGTCTGGGCTGGTTTCAGGTTCCCTCTGTTTCCCCACTCCACAGAGATTCCTCCGCTACAACAGAAACAACAGGCGTTAAGCCCCGAGACAAGTAGCAATGCAGTTCTTAGAAAGCACCCACCACCTCCTCTTAGAATCTACCTTTGCATGGATGGCCCCAAGGAGCACTTCTGCTTGCTGGACGAAGGCAGCAGCTTCCAGAGCCAGCTGCAGGTTCTCATGGTGTTCCTTCAGTGTCCCCTGGAGCCGCAGCCACCTGGAAGGTGAAACGGGCAGAAGGATCTTAGGAACGGGGAAGCAGCTTAGCCTGCACATCCTTGACAGTTAAAGTAAAGCAAATGCGGTCAGATGATTCCATAGCCCATCCTAATGCTGGTTATGCCCCATCTCTCTTCCCCCACCAGCTCCTGCTCTAGCTCACATTTTATTGAGATGCTTGCGCCGTGCCATAATGCTCCTGCTCTCACTCTTCCCCTGCTTCTCAAGTTTGTGAGCCAGGCTGTTCATTTCCTCATGCAGGGCCTGGAACTGCTGCTCCTCCTAAGTTGGATGAGAGAGAGAGAAAAGGGGAGGAGAGACGGGGGAGAAGAGGAATAACATAAACTTACTTTCTATAAAAGTATGACCTCATAAGAAGCTAACCGCTACTGGCATTGCCAACTGAGCCCCAGCAGAATAAACCTTGTACTCAGAAGTTGTTTTCGAAGGGAGCTTAGGAGCTCCCGATAATAATTAAGCATCAACTTTTTTTTTTTACAGTGCTTTCAGGTGTTCCAAGGACTTCTCATACATTATCTCAGCAATCCTTACAACAACTATGATGCAGGCCAAGAATTATTATTCCCAAATTGCAGGGAGGAGGGGATGGAGGGCTGAGAAAACAGTAGTACTATCCAGTACAGACAAGAGACAAAATCTTCGTAGTGGCACCCGCCTTTCTGTTCTTGCAGATGGCAGCTGCAAAATGTGATGAAGGACTGCACCAGGCTACCCACTAGGACCTAGGTATGAACTACAATGCCATTAATATCATCTGAGGTAGGATGCAAAGCCTAACTGCAACCACCCCAGGTAAAACAGCACTATCAGAACCACACACCCCCAACACTGTACAGAGAAGAGAATCCCACACAACTGTCAGTAAGACTGTCACCTGTTTCAAGTCAAGGATGCGTCGGGTAAGCTGAATCTTGTCTGCATTCTCTTGCAGCAGGGCAGTTAGCAAAGGTTTCTCTTCCTAGAGGGACAGATAGAAATGGTTAGAATATATGAGATATTGAAGGCACAGTGACTACATTGTTACAATTTCATCCCAATCCTAAGAGATGCAAGTGGAGTGGTTTGGTTTTTCTTCAGAATACAAAGATAGACTCCAATTTGTAGACCAGGAGTGGGGAACCATTTTCACTCCAAAGGCAATATTCCCTCCTGGGCAGGACTAGAGGCAAAGGTAGGCAGAGCCATGGGTGTCACTCTAACCTTTGTACAACAGGCTACATTCCAGCTGTACGAAGACAGAGGATTCTACATATGCCCCTCTAACTCTCTCCATCTAGACAAGCAAGAGCCAAAGAGTCCCAAGAGCCAAATGGAGAGGAAATTATGAAAATCAATTAATCTTGCTTCTATTTTTGTATTCAGGGTTGTTTTCTTCTTTTAATGATTTAGGATTTCTAGGAATTTAGAACGTCTTGTTATGGAATGGAATTTGGGGGCGAAGACAAAAGCACATGGAAATTGCTATTAGATGGCCAGTGCAGTCAGCAGACAGGGGAGAAAGCAAACTATAGATGCCATGGGGAAATGACTACCTTAGCTCCCCATCTGCCATAACCAACTACTGTCTAAATCTTTCTGACCTTTGCTCCAAAACCTTGGATGATTTTTCGAATGCTTTCTTTTTAAAATGTAATCGATTGAGTTAATTCCATAGGTGGATTTCAGAAAAATCTGACCAGCTGGGGAGATCCTTCCATATATGTGTCCGGCATCTGCAGGCAAAACATAAATTCCTCTTCCCTATGGCTATGCATAGTTCTTCCGTAGTTCTCATTACTATTTACCCCTTCATTACATTTCTATCCCAAGGGAGATCAGGGCAGCATACATATATACTATACATGCTGCAGAAACAGGGGAACTGAGGGTTGTCCCTGCTTTGGCACATACCTTCTGCCTGATCCAAGCTTCTAGTTGCTCAGCTTTCTGGTTGAACTCTTGTAAGTTTCTGAGTCCACTCACTGCTTTGCTCTGATTTGCTGCCATCTGCTTCAGCAGTTGCCACTGTTCGCACAGGGTTTGTAGTCGCCTCGCTATCTCGGCACTGGAGTTGGACTGGACAGTAAGCTGGTCACCCATCTATGGATGGGAAAGAACATAAGAGCACGTGAAGAGCCCTGCTGGATCAGGATGATGCCCAACATCCTGTTCAAACAGTCACCTGTGAGAAGCCTGCAAGCATAAGCTGAGCATATCAGCGCTTTCCTCACTTGTGATTCCCAGCACTGGTGGAGGAAGGGGGGTGCGGTGGGTGTGGTCCGCCCCGGGTATCATCCCTGAGGGGAGGTGACATCGCTGCTCGCCCCGCCCCTGCAGGCGGCTAGCCACACCCCGTGTGCACAGCATGTGCGCCACTCCGGGTGCCGGAGCAGCTAGCTCCACCTCTGATTCCCAGCAAATGGTATTCAGAGGTATACTGGCACTGACCATGGAGATAGAACCCAGCCACTGTGGCTAGTGGCCACTGATAGTCTTATCCTCCATGAATTTGTCTAATCTTCTTTTAAAGCCATCCAAGTTGGTGGCTATCACTGCCTCCTGTGTTTTCCCCCTAGCTCTGATAATAACCATCTTGAAGTGACGCAATCAAAACTGTGCACACTGTTCCAAGTGTGCTCTCTCGGCATAGATATAACAGCGTTATGACACTGATGGTTTTGTTTTCAGTCCCTCTCCTAACGATCCCTAACATGGAATCTACATTCCATGGAAAGGCAGGACTTAAAAGTCATCCAGTCTTGCCAGAGCACTGATTTCATGGAAACTCTAGAAATCAAGAGTGCAGAAACAGGACGAAACACAGAGATGCTGAAGTACAGGAGAGGGAGCAAGGGTGAACAGGATTCAGGTCTCTCTTCAGGGCTGTGCTGCAACCTAAAGAACTCAAAGCAGGGGGGAGAGGGGGCTTCCAGAGACCTCGTTGTACCTGGTTCAGTTTGATCATGGTATTCTCGAAGTCTTTCATGTCTCTTTGTAACGTCTGAGCTGCCTGCGCCCATTCCTGAATACTGCAACCATCCTTCAGGTCTCGGAGTTTCGCTCGCACCCATTTCTCAGCCTGAAACATGAAGACAAATGCCAAGATGGGAACTGGACAAGCAGCTGGGGGAAAGCACTCTTTCTACTTCCATTAGGAAGTTCAAAAGTCTGATTTTGTATGGGAGAAAGGAGAGACTCTGGGCAAAATAGAGAAGATGCCTGTTCTGGCATGACATTAAAGAAAACCCAGTACAGGATTATTCCATGTAACTCCTCATTGCTACAGCATGTAATCCTGTGGAATTGCAATGTTTTTAATCATTTGTTTGTTTGTTTTAACCAAAGCTTGGGTTTGATGGTGAAGGTCTCTCTTCAATACACAGGAGAGCTGCTGCCGGCATGAGAAGACCATATTGGGCTAGATGGGCAAACAGTCTGACCGGGTAAAAGGTGACTTCCTTCCAATATTCCCCTACAGCAGCATCCAGATGTTGTGAACAGATGGCTGCTCTGGCTGGGACTCATGAGAGTTGTGGTCCAGAACATCTGGAGGACGTCAGGTTGGCAAAGGCTGCCCTGGAGTTAACCTCACCACAGATCTACCCCGGAAGTTTCAGAAGTCAATCCATAGAATGGAAAAATGCTAAGTAGATGCTTCAAGCAGTGAGTGACAGAGTGGCACAAGTGTGAATTAGTTTATCTTAATTATGTAGTTACCCATACTACACTGCTCTTCAGTTACAAAGCTCATAGTCATGTCTACAAGCACTGAGACATGTTCCAGCTATGTGCTTGGGATTAGCAAGAGCTGGAAAACAGGGGAGCAAAGAAGCTGCTATGTGCAGTGCAAGAGCTCAGCCTGGGTTTGGTCTGAGCTGCTCAGATTGAAGAGCCAGGCATGAATTAGCAGCTTTACAAGAGCAGGTCGAATGCAATTGGTCCCTTGTGTCACCTGGCCAATGCTAAACCCCTGAGTGCCATATGGGTAACAGGCTGCCTGTTTCTACCACCATGGCAACTAGCCATGGTGCTGCAGAAAGTAAAGTGGCTGAGTCCCATTGCTAAGAGTTCCTGGTTCAAGACACCAGGCACAGAGAGGAATGACAGCCACCTTTCTCACAGGGCTGATGTGAAGTCACATGACAAAAGCTACATACCCAAACATTCTGATATAAAAAAATACACTTTTATTATCACCTAGATGTCCCTACACCGAGCTGAGTCTGCTATTCTGTGCCCCCTTCACCCCAAAGAGATGGGAAAGAAATCAGATATCTGTGGATTGACCCCCTCTCCTCTGGTCCTCCATCCTAAAGACAAGCTGCCAAGGATGACCTCATGCCATAACAACAGCCTCCCTCTAGCCAAGGGACCTTGTCTCCTTCCGTCTGCACGTTCCTCTCACTTTAACAGAGGAAAGACCTTTGGCAAGGAAAAGGCTGCCTTCCCTTCCTTTCTACTGTAGTATGGGAAAGAAGAGAAGAACATGTTCCTGCTCTACCGAGACACTAAAGGGGATTTGTTCCTCTGCCAATCTCATTTTCTTTTACCTGCATCATGTCACAGCTGAACTGAGCTATGTGAGGGCTCCATTTGGAAAGGTCAGCCAGCCCTGGGCTGCTCTGGAGGCAAGGCTTCAGCCCTGCTACTTTGCCTGCCTCTATGTTCTTGACATTCTCCTTCCAGGGACCTGCAACAGCACAGCTTGACATCTAGGAGAGAGAAACAGAGGGAAAGAAAAAGTTTGTTTAGATTTGGTCCATGTCTGATAAAGGGGAAGCAGCAATGCCCTAATTGAGCTTCAGGGGGGTTTGGAACTGACGGCCTTGTGAAGTAAGTTGATCAACAAGATAGAGTCTTAGGCTATGTACGCACTGTACCTTTAAAGCTTGCTTCCACTGAAATCCTTCACTGTTTTTGTATTATCCGTTCACTGCAAGAATCTTGTACGCAGTGAGTAAATGGTTCATCTTTCTCAGCACATATGGACAAGGCTGGTGGTATAGTTGAAGACAAAACTCTCTAGAAGTTCTTTCCTGGCACTGCTACTCGAGATCCACTAAGGTGCCAGGGATCAAGCCTAAGGCGTCATCTATGCAAAACATAGAAGAGGAAAGGCCCTATCTTTAACTTCATCTCATCCTGCCTCTCTCAGGTTCGGCAGAAGTAAACCTATTTCTGCAAAACTCCCAGCCCTCAGGTAAAAGAGCTTTGCTCCCTGAACAAACAGGGAGACTTTTTGTCTGCCTGCCTTCCAAATGAGCTCAGACCCTGCTCCTCAAAAGCAGTCTAGAGAGATACTTATTTTAAGTAACTCATCAAATGGGAGAAAGTCTGGATTTCTTCCAGGCTTTGTTCTTGTGGTCAGAAATGATGCAATGTTCTGTCACCACTCCAAGACCGCTAAGGTCAGCCAACTGCAGAAATGGCTTTCCTCCAAGCTCAGCCCAAGGTCCAGCTGCAAACTACCATGGAGGGCTAAATTTGTAAACAGTATCTCAAATCCCACTGCAGGAAGAGAGGTCAGTACTGGCTGCTCTTAAATGGTAGAGCATGGAAAGAGAAGCTTAACACTACTGAACTCAGAACACTGACGGCACACATACCAGAGCACTTATGAAAGATACGATTTGAGACGTTCAAGCAGAAAAGGTGTAAGTCAGGAGGGAAATAGTTCATGATGCATGAAGAGCACGACTCAGAAACATAACGATTTTAAAATTAAAGCTTGGGCGCATATTCCCAACAAAGTTCATGCTAAGGGTAGGTCTACACTGCAAACACAAGCTGGTGTCAATCCAGTTTAATGATCAGTTTCACCCCTCTCAATGATTCCTGGAGATAAGTTTCCTGTAAGGTAAAAGGTAAAGGGACCCCTGACCATTAGGTCCAGTCGTGACTGACTCTGGGGTTGCGGCACTCATCTTGCTTTATTGGCCAAGGGAGCCAGCGTACAGCTTCCGGGTCATGTGGCAAACCAGAGCAGCACATGGAAGCGCCGTTTACCTTCCCGCCGGAGCGGCACTTTGACGTGCTTTCAAACTGCTAGGTTGGCAGGAGCACAGACCGAGCAACGGGAGCTCACCCTGTTGCGGGGATTCAAACCACCGACCTTCTGATCAGCAAGTCCTAGGTTCTGTGGTTTAACCCACAGCGCCACCCGCATCCCTAAGTTTCCTGTAAGTGAATGTAAACTAGGTGGTAGGGGGAGAGACAAAAGCTGCTGCATTATTCTGAGTAAGACCATTGGTCCATCTTAGTTCATCACTATCTACACTGACTGCCAGCAGTTCTTCAGGGGTTCAGACAGGGGACAACCCAAGCCTTACCTGGAGATGCCAGGGATTGAACCTGGGACCTCCTGCATGTAAAGCAGATGCTCTGCCACTGAGCTATGACTCTAGAGCAAAAGATGTCTAGCAAAGAATTCTCATCACCTCATAGAGGGCCCTCAACACTGTCGAACCAGTTGTAGTGTAGGGGCATCCCAAAAGGAGACCTGAATGAAAGCCAAGATGTTTGTCATGGGAATGTCTCAGAATACAAATATGGAATGAAAACAGAAGAGACTGAACAAAAACAGTTCCTAGAGGACAGCAAGTGGCATAGGGTTGTCAGTAAGAACACACATATCTGCAATGGAAAAGTAGCTCGCTATCAAGCCTGGGGGCAGCACTACAGCCTCATAAATTGATCATAGCTAGACACATTACAGATTGGCATCCATTATTCTTATTCAAGAAGGGGGATGGGGAGCCACTATTAAAGGGACTGGACTTTACAGCATAGATGACTGAGTCCTTGTCTATAGTTGTTTATAGCCTAAGCTATCACCCTTCTAATGATGTCCTGTTCAGTTTTTGCATGAGAAGCTTGTGGACATGCCCCAGGCATAACCTAATTTCCTCCCATGACATTTTCCCCAGAACTTTTTTTCATTTGCATTTCTGTCTGGCAGGATATAGCGAGGGAAGCTGGAAATGAACAAGTAAGACACTTTGCACAAGGACACAAAAAAGAGACTGTGGTGGGGCACAGTCTTAGAGAGATTGGAGGCGGGCACAATACCCTGACATTTCCCATTAGCTTGTGCCTGCAGACAAAATGGCATGCCATGTTCTCATGGCATGAGTGGTGGCCTTTCAAAGGATGCATTAGAAAGTGATGAACTGGTAATGGTCCTTTACGCTGGATGCCAATTAGCTGAAAGAATATGCAAACTGGTACAACGGTCTCCCAGATTACATTTTTATATACTGCACTGAAAGAACACACATCTGTACATGGAAGAGCTATGAGAGCTCCCCCTTCAGACAAGACCCCATAAACCTGGAAATGTGGCATGCGAATCAATAAAGCTACAATGCTAAGCAGGTACATTGATGATTAACTTCTACTGAACTTGGCAATATTTCTGAGCAAATGTTTTCAGGACTGCACCACAAGATATCTTCTGTTGCTACTTCTACATCACATATGAATCACTTGTGCAGCTTCTCATGGAATGTGCTCTTCCTTGGTTCAGGTAGCTTTTTGTACATGCTTTAACAAAGCCAGAATGTACAGCCGCAACACAGGCAGCCCTTAGAACAGGATGGGGAAACTGAGCTCTCCAGATACTGTTAGACTACAACTCCCATCATCCCTGGCCACTGACCCGGCTGGCTGGAACTGATGGGAGTGAGAGTCCAATGGCATCTGGAGAGCCGCAGGCTCCCCATCCAAACCTCAGAATGTGTGCACCTCCACTTATATAGGTAGATAATGTACAGAGAAACTGCGGAGAGACAATTAATTTGTAAAGGCTTTTTGCATCCTTGAGATTTCAATGATATATCGAGGAACGCAAGGAATTCTCATGGGCTCATTCCTTCCTCTTCATTTGACTGCACTGCTCTACAAGGACAAAAATGAAAGCATGAAGTCCATATTCTATAATTGAGTTTGCCTTTGTTTCCATTTGAAAAGACTCAAAACAGTCACCAAGGCTCACAAACAAAGGGCTTATATATTAGAGGGGGTATAAAGGCACATACCATGTGAAGAGGAGCAACTCTGCCCAATGAAGAATGGCCACTAGCCTGGGGCCTCCTAGAGTCTTGCTTTTCTTCTTCTATTTCCACCTCTTTTCTGAGAAAGACCTAAAAAGTGGGGGGAAACAGATAATGGATGAGGAGAGTGCAACCTCATCCAGCTCTGAAGAATATTGGAGAATACTCGAACTGGACAACTAAGGGCTGTTCATGATGCAAAGGCAGAGCGAAGAAGAAAGGAAACTTCTCAGGGGCAGACTTCATCACATTTGCCCAACTGCAGCTTAAAGCAAGGTCTCATCCAAATTATGCTCTTAGGTGAGCATCACACACCCATGATAGCTGGTCAACCACAATTTCAACAAAGCCTATCTGCCAGCTGCTACTGGGTCACAAATCTGCAGGCAGCCATTCCATGAGAATACAGAACAAAGGCTCATCACTTTGCAACCCTCTTCAATCCTTTATTATATTTGGAAATACTGCCTATCCAACACTAAGTTCCACTCTCACTCTTGGAAGAACAGTGCAATGGAAGTAATACTTATTCCTATTTTACATCTGAAGTACGGAAACTAATACGTTACTTTCCAAAGCAACCCAGCAAGTACGTGGCTGAAGTTAATATCCAAAGCCACCTCGAAAAGCATAACATTCTGGCCAATGGACTCACCTCTCTTTACATATCATTTGCTATCAAGCGGGAAAGGAAGGCATTACATTTCAGGTGTTATCTGAAGAGGCAGAAACCCTGAAGTCTAACAAAACTATACTTTCTCAGGATTCAGATCTTTATAAACACTCAGTGCTACCTATGCCAGACATTTATCCACAAAGCCTGAAATATCAAATCAAGTAATTTGAAGAAACGTTCTTCACCTATACCCAAAGACTTAGCATATGGGGTGGGGGGGTGGGGGGGAGAGAAGCAGGAATGAACAAATCTGGCACAGAACAGTGACAAATGTCAAATGTAACCAGGAAGGATATGGACTGCAGCGACACAGAACATTTTGTTCCCTGTATTTGTCTTCCATTAGCAGTAAAGGAAGGTACTTTTACTGTACACATTGGGCTATAAGCAATTCACACAAGTGAACAACCAATGTTATTAGAAGCAAAGGTGACATGGTGCTAGACAAAGTACCAAAGTTTCCTTGGGGAACAGTAAATCAGCTCTCAAACACCCAACCCAAAGCTATGTAATTTACATTTTTTGAGGGGAGACTTGCTGGAGGTGGTTGTAGCATGCTTGTGACTGAGCTCAGCAGACTTGAAGAACTTTCTTTTGGAAGGAAAAAGGAGGAACACAGCATGGGAGAATCATCATCATCATTATTTATTGTGTTCCAGAGAACACAACTGCTTGTCAGAGTTCATGATTCAGAACAAAGGAGAGCAGATGGTTTGCTACTGTGGTGGTGGCTTCTGAACCCTAAACTGGTACCTCGGGTTACATACGCTTCAGGTTAAATACACTTCAGGTTACAGACTCCACTAACCCAGAAATAGTACCTCGGGTTAAGAACTTTGCTTCAGGATGAGAACAAAAATCGTGCTCCAGTGGTGCTTCAGGTTAAGAACAGTTTCAGGTTAAGAACGGACCTCCGGAATGAATTAAGTACTTAACCTGAGGTACCACTGTATTGACAAGCTATGGTCTGGGAATAAGAACAAAAAATGGAGGTTAAGCTTGCACTTAAGTGCACTCAAGCATGACTACATTTTAAGCACATATTAGAAGTTTCTGTTGGCTTTTGGTATTGTTTATTTCCATCTTATATGAGCATTCAATATCTTGCACTTTTCAAAATAAGCTTGTTGGTTGTTTAATTATTGTTGGGCTTACAACAGCACAAATCTAAGCACATTTACTTGGAAGCAAGACCCTCTGGACTTACTTTTAACTTTTGTGAACTGCACTGCAGCCCAAGTGTTATTTACGTGCAGAGGGGTCTGGTTAGGGCAAGTTAAGTAGCTTTGAATGCCTCATTTCCAACGGGGCTCCAAAATCTCTTGAGATTTCTGGTGGATCATGCAAGTTTGGGGCTCAGTTTTGCAAGCAAAGAAATGATAGCCCAAGACAAGCTTCTTGCTGCTCAGAAGATCTTCAGTTAGCAGGAGGTGGGGGTGTTTTATAAATGTATGAATCACCATATCACAATTTCTTTGAAGTATGTACACTCCCTCTGTTCATTACTGCAGTGTACATCTGAGATCTGGCGTGGGTGGGTGTGTGGGTAAGAAAACCATTAGCTAGGCCACTGAAGCCAGGCTACTCCTCTCCAAAACACATAAGAACAAGAATATTCCACGACGGATTTTGCGATGCATTTTGTTATCCAGATAAGACTTAAAGGGGCTTGAACTATCAAAGCATCCAAGAGATGAGGAGCTCAAACAAACAATTTAGACTTCCTGGCCTGGACAACTATCCTATCAGTGCATTAGGTGATGCTTTGCTCCTATCCTGTTTATGGAATGGTTGTTACTGTGTTTGGCACAGCGCCCTGTGGTCTGAGATGTTCACGGTTAAACCTGCCCACATATTCTCCACCACAACCCACTTGGCCCTTCTCCAGCCAGAGCTCAGTAATGGGAGATAAGCTTGCAGGTGACATAAGTGCTTTATTTACATACGAAGCTCCCTCAATCCATCAGCTGCAGGAAAACAAGGCTTTCAGCACAAAGATGATCTCATCCTTCCTGCAGAGCTGCTCTGCTTGGATTGCAGAGGCAGGACTCCCTCCCTCCCCTGCCATATCATCCCATCCAACAAGCAGCAGCCGGGAGCACATGTGAAAACAAGAAACGAGTTAGTCTTTCTGTTGATTTGGAAAGTAGAGGTTGCAACTGAGAAGTGACTGCCTGGAACCTTCACTGGCTGGTGTGACTACACAAATGAGGGCAAATGTATGTCTGTCCAAAGGAAGAACTAGCCTGGGTCCTATGAGGCTCAATGCCAGGGAAACACAGAAGGCCTTATAGACAGACTCTTGGCTGAGATGTCAAGGTCAATTTGGAGGACGCTTTCCCTGGGGCCTATGAGATAGCACAATGAGGTAATGCCTTTACCAGACACTACAGAGAACCTGACAAAATCTTGACTTCACTCAAAACTGAAATAAGCAGGGTGTCCTCAGTTTATCCCATTGGGGCATGTTTCATAATTTCACAAAGCTGATGTGTCACAAGGATAGAATTAGTCTCAGTGTTACTTTCTTCTTCTCGGAGTGTTTAAAAGTTCTGCAGAGAAGTGGCTAGAAAACTGTTGCAAGTAATGCACCTTTGTAATGGGGTAATGGATCTTATGTGATCCAGAGACATCCACTTTTAAAAGGGTGCTTCTATAAAGTTTGCCTAACAATGCATCTTTTCAGGGATTTGCCAGCACTTCCATGCACAGACTTTACAAACACAGGCAGAACAACCAACCCTCAGATCTGCTCAAAACAAGCCTAGTACTAGCATAGCAGGAATAAAGGGCATTGCTAGGGTTGTCTGTATACAAAAAAACAACAACACGAGTCTGAGCAAGAAATGAAAGCAACTCTGGGTATGGTTTTTAAGCACTGGCAAATACTATGTAGACAGACTCTGGATTACAAAAGTAGAAGGCTGCACCAGAATGCAGACTGCCTTTTCTTTCAAGCCCAGGAACCACTGCTGCAAAGAAATACGAAGTCTTTCAGCTGAGTACCTCTGAGCCTTTACCAGCATCACTCTGCTCATTACCCCTATAAAAACCTGCCCATCATTGACATGCCTGTGGGCGAAGCATGATGGAAAAAGGAAACTTAGAGGCTTACTAAAGATATGGGAAGCCTTTCCTGGGCTTGCCGTACCATGCTCAGCTAGTTGCTTTCTCACTACATCATCCACAGGCCATCCAAAAAGGCAGATGAATCCAACAGATAAGAGATGGAATAGAAATGATATAATAGAAGGCAAGGCAGAACTAGAAATCCCTGGGCTCTGTTCCCAGTTTTGGGAAGGGTTGCATGGAAAAGCCATTGTAATCAAAATAAGGATTAAACTATCCAGGATCTACAGCTATCTCTGACAAGCAAGGCTGGTGCTGCTTCTATCGATCCATCTGCATAAAACTACCATCAGACACTGCAAAATATGATAATGAAGGAAACTTCGGTGGTGATTCAAGGGAGGCAGGTGCTTTGTTTCATCTTATCCCTACAGAAAAAAAGATGACATCATCATCTCCTTTGAGATTCTGAACTGTCCCTTGTTCAGAATTATTTTCTACCATGATATGAGGAGTAATTCTGCTTCCTTAGTTTCAGGCAATCAAAGCTCTCAAGATCATCTTCCTCAACAGATAAAAAGGGGGAAACTTAAGCTATGAAAAACCCTTGAGATGCATATTAACCACCGCTTCTCAGAGTGTCTTCTCAGAGGATCCTGAAACCAAGGGAGAGGTCAGGCCTGATGTGACTGTGATATAGAGTGGAGCAATGCACTCTAGTGTAACAAAACAAAACAAAACAAAACAAAGTAAGGCAGGGGAGGAATATAAAAGACCTTACCTTAAACTGTGCTTTCCCTGTTCTGCAGTTGTTGTTGTTGCAGTTCCTCTCGCAACGGGTATGAGTTGATGTTTCCTCCCCTGGATTAGGTTCTCCGTGCCAGTTGGACAAGGTGATTTTTTTGATGGAACGGGACAGGGAGTTGCGGTTGATGCGATCTTCATTGGTGGCCACCTCCTCAACGGGGCTGGTGCTGTCAAACCTACCCTCAGAGGACACGGGAGAAGCCTGAGCCAGATACAGAGACACACGCTCATTGAGGTTTTGGTGCAGGGCATGATTATCCAGAGCAGCTATGTCAGGACAGCTGTCTCCTGGAAAGTCCAGGGAGCACTTGGGTAGGGAAAGCTTGGTGGTAATAGTGAACGGCTGGACCTTCCTTGCTCTGCTGCCAGACATTTCTCCCCCTCGCATTGGCCACACAGGAGACAGGGGAAAGGGAAGGGGAGAGTGCACCACCAGTCCTGAACTCTAACAAGAGACTACAAAACACATAGCAAAGTCACAAGAGATTCTTCTCCAGCCTCTTCCAAACCATGCAGATGCAGAATTTGCCCCTCAGTCCTCCTGGGAACTCTCTCAGAAGTTAAGCTTGCTCGGAAATGTCTAACGGAAGGGGACTTCCAGTCTTCTTCGGCTTCCAGGCCTGAGAAATCACGCTGCTACCACCACGCCAGGCCTCTGGTCAGCAATGGTGGTGTTGCTTTGCTTCCCCATCCATAATTCTCCACCAGCAACCAAAAGACCATGAGTGTGGGGTTGTGGGTGGGAGCTTGGTCCTGGCTTCAAAGCGAAGAGGAGAAAAGCATTCAGCGAGGCTGGAAGCTGGAATCGTTTTGTCTGGGGGTGGATCTTGAGAAATGAGATCAGAAATTAAATCTTCTTCCTTGGGAGGGCTGGAGTTGCTGATTGCTCCCTGATTGCTCTCCCTCTCCTTTGGCAGGCGGAGAGCAGCTCCTTCTCCACACGCACTCACCCAGAAGCTAAAAATGTCCCTTCAGATGCTGGAGAGAGAGAGAAATTGGCTGCAGTGCGGGGTGAAGTCGGTTTCCTCCTCGCTCTTTAGGGTGCTGCTCCACTTCGAAAGTCTCTGCATGAGTGGTGGCGGCGGCGGCGAGGACGACAGGTGGTGGCGGTGGGGCTACCTACCTGCAAAGTTGGGGGCTTCTGCTGCTGCTGCTGCTGCTGCGGCCGCCCCTTCTCCTTGGCGTCTCCCTGCAGAGCTCGCCTCAGGCGTCGTCCACCTTCTTGCGCAGGTTGAGGACGCAGAGGAGGCAGGTGAGGAGCGCCTCGCGGGACTGCCGGGAAGTCAGGCGGGCCCCCAGGCGCCGGAGCAGCGGCAGGAGGCGCTGGCGAGCCACCAGCAGCAGGCGAGTCAGCAGGGTGCGCAGAAGCAGGAGGGCGAGAAGCGGGGCGGGCATGCTGCGCTCCGGGCGCTCGGCGGGGATCTGCGAGGGGAGGCACAGAGACACACACCGCGGTCAGAGCAGCCGCGGCACGGAAAGGCGCGCATCCTGCTCGGTGGCCGAAAGCAAGAGGGGAAGCGAGGGAGGGAGGGAAGGAAGGAAGGAAGGGAAGGAGCGCGCCCCCCACCACCACCCACCCACCCAGGGTTCAAGCGGGCCTGTTTCCTTTTCTCCCTTTCCCTCCTGGCCCCGTCTTCACTTCTCTCCCACTCCCGGTCCCGGTTCCAGTCCCGATATTTAGCCCAGCCCTTCAGGCAGGGAGTTCTTTAGCATGAGGTAATGCGGCTTGGGCAAAGGGGAAAAGACGGCTTCCAAAAAAACGCGCAGCCTTCCTCCCTCCTGGGGGTGGAGGTCGGCCGCTTCCCGGAGGAGGTTCGGGGTGCAGTTGGGGGAAAGGAGCGCGGATTGAGGAGGGGAGAAGAGCGACGCCTCCGAGACAAGGCAACGAAAGGGCGCACCCATCCCGTCGCGCGCCATGCGGGAAGGGACTCCGGCAGCAGCTGGAACGAACCGCGCCTCTCCGGCGCCTTTGAACGGCCGCGCGACAGAAATCCAACAGGTGAAGCTTTTCCCAGCGCGGGGCAGCCGTACTGAGGAACGTAACGCTGGCTGGATTTCTGCCCGTGGGGAGGTTGTTAAAGACAACGGGAGCCGCCTCAGCGCCTCACTCAGACGCGCACGCCGCTACAGCTCGCGCTCTCTTCTTCGGGTTAGTTGCAAGCAGCCTGAGGGAGTTAGTTGCAAGCAACCTGCGAGCCACGGAAGAAAAGGATGGGGCAAACTTTTCCCCCTCTTTTCTTTTCTTTTTTTCAATCTCATGCGTATGCTTGAAGTGCATTTTCCCTTTTAAAGCGTGCGCGCACGTTCGCCTAAAGTGAAGCTATAAAATTGCGCGGGAAGTAATGTAACCAGGCCACCAGCCCCTTGCTAGCTAAAGGATGGGGTTATAGAAAGGAACTGCGCGCGGGAAGGTTCTTTGCTTTCCCGCTTCCTGTACTATCGAAGGAACCCCACGAGCCCGCTTCCCCTGCTTATTGCTGCGCGTCCTCTCCTGCCGCCTAGCGCGCGGGCCGCTGGAATCTAGGGGAAGGGAGAGCGAGCGCGCAGGCGGGCGGAGGGGAGAGGAACGTTCCCTGCAAGTGCCCAGAGTTGTCTTAGCAACTGAGCGCGTCGAAGGCGATGATGCAATTGAATTCCACAAGGATAGGCTCAAAGCGCGGGGACTCGGAAAGGAAACTTCCCCGGGCGCTATGGCAACGGAGAACACGGACTCCAGCAACCTCCGGGCAGGGGAGGCGGGACTAGAACGCTGGACGGCCAGAGACTGGGACGGAGCCCGGATCGCTGATTGTCGCTTGCTCCCGGCCTGGCCGAGGATCCGCGCTCCCTCCTGCGGCGCCCCGGCCCTTTTCAGGGGCTGCTGTTGCGGAGCCGCAGCCCAAAGCGCGCTGAGCGCAGCGTGACGGGGGGGGGGGGCGCGCGTTCACTGAGAAAGTTTCTCAGTATTTGCTCTTCACACAACTGGGCAGAAGACACTTCTCTGGAGTAATGTCAACTGCGGCTTGCATTATACATTTATTTATGAGCTAAACAAGCTATAGCTAAGGGCCCCACTCTCTTGGAGGCCCCCCAAAAAATTAAAGAAAAAAACCTGGATGTACATTTCCAAAATATAAGATAAAAAATAAATTAAATAAAACCTACATATACAGCAACAGTGTTTTGTGTTGTGTAGGTTCCTATGACGTAAGTAAATTACCATATAGCATATATTCAACAGAAAAAAACAGCGGCAATTTGTTGACAAAGGACAGCTGGACATATAAAGGGCCCTATTACCTTCAGTAGCTTAGGGCCTCATCAAACCTAAATCCGGCCCTGCTTGTATAGGCCTTTGGGCAGGGCTTCCATCTGAACAGACGCACAGGGGGGCAGTGGAAGCGTATCTGCAGTCGCTTTCCGCTCCACCTACTTGAATCTGGCATTTGAAAGAGCCTTCTTTGCACGTGCAATTAGAAACACAAATTTATAGGCATGTGCGTAGGGCCAAATTAAGACCTCCAGAGGCCCTAAGCACTAAAAAAAGTATGGTGTCCCGCCCCCACGTAATTCAAAATAAAACCAGTACTATACTAGTTTTAAAAGAAGACATAGATTTATTGCAACACATGGCAGATATGATTTCCTGGCATGAGTGTTCTTTTGAGTGTTAAGACAGACACGATTGTGTCGTGAACACAGATTTCTAGCTATCAAGTTTGTGCTTGTGTAGATTTCACATTTAAAGCTCCACATGCTTGGGTTAGGCGAGTGTACATGATCTCCTCCCTTCCCCTCATGCATCCAAAGTAATGTCTGAACACCATGACAACTAGGGTTTTTGTTTTGTGTATCGCAATTGGCTGAACATATGAATGTTCCCATAGTGAAAAACCTACAAGTGTGATTAAAGCATCATACGTGTCACATGGAGACAGTAGAAAGTGGGACTGCACCCACTGGCACCCCCTCCTTATGCATGTTTGACAAAACCCATGGAAAGCCATGCTATGGAACAGTTGCAGGCTCTATTTGCACAGTCAAAGAATACAGATTGACACACAACAACAACTATGATGCTGCTTTGTAAATATGTTTGCTACTTCCAAACTTAATTCCAAATTTGAATGGGCAGGGCAGGGGCAGGGGGGCTGCTGCCCCCAATAAATAAAACCAATAAAGAAATACTTAAATAACTAAGGTTCTGCCACCCCTAACAAAAGCCCCCCCAACAAAAGTATTGGATGCACCCATGGGGCAGGGCAGGAAAAGAAGGTGCAGTCTCACTGCAGTCAGCATAATTTGTGAAGAGCCCTATTGCTGCATACAGAAATCTGTGGGCAAGGTGCACATAAATTCCTACACAGAATACTTCAGTTGCCTATATAGGGGAAGATCTTTCTGCAATAGTCATTGACAGGGAGTAACATTTAAATTAAAGATGGATGGGGACCCTCCAGATGTTATTGGACTTCCCTCAGCCCCAGGTTGGCCAATAGTCAGTGACAAGGCGAGTTGCAATCCCACATCCCTGGTCAAAAGTCACTGCAAAAAAAAAAAAATTATTTCACTGTAACCAGAGTACCGCTACAGCTGTTTCTGCACCAGACAGGGAAACATCTTGCTTTTATTAGGAAATTCTGTCTGACATCCTGACTATGTTTCAACAACAAAAGAATTCCGCCTTGAATGTGATTAGTATATATATTGTTATGAGCTTGTGAGTGCTAGACACTTCTAAATTTATGGAATCAATAAGTGTTAGAATTTAATTAAAGGCCTCTAACTCCAGGAAATTGCCAGATCACTATAATCCCCGGATTCAGCAAAGTGTTAGAATCTAATGAAGCCTTGGGGTGTTAAACTCAGTGCCAGATTACTTTAATCCCTCAATTTAGCAAGTGCTAAAAGCAAATTCAGTCAGGGAAGCCTCCTGGTTGATGGGCCGTTAAGACAACCAAGGATCAAAAGGGTCTTGGTGTGAGATGACAAAGGAGTGAGGACTTTCCTTTGACAGATAAAGCCAGAATTTGTAGAGGTTAGAGTTAGGAGTTATGTGTCCGGGAGAAGCAAAGCAGCAGATAGAGCATGATGGCTTATTCAGGGCTGCAGCTATGGAAGAAACAAAACTCTCTTGGGATGTTTATGCTGTGAACCTTCCATCATAGGCTCAGGTTGTATATATGTGTAAATAAACCATATATCATGAAGATACCTCAGTCTCCGCTGTGCCTCATTTCCAAAAGGAAACACAAACCCTGGATGAGAGCTGGAGCCCCTGGAATCCTGCACTGCTCAGAGCTTGGAATGGCGTGCAACAATGTAATAACATAACACAATAAAACTATTTGGAAACTATTACTATTCCAGTAAGCCACATGGGTTGCTTGTGGGAAGACCCATCATGATGGGTGGTGCCGGGGGGTGGGGGGAGCAAGCATTCTCCCCAAAAATGAGCTCAACCCTACCTTGTCCCTCTATTGCTGGACTCCCGCCTGTAACATATACGTTTGGTTTTCTTTCAGAGATAATAATAATAATAATAATAATAATAATAATAATTTATTTATACCCCACCCATCTGGCCGAGTTTCCCCAGCCACTCTGGGTGGCTTCCAATCGAGTGTTAAAAACAATACAGCATTAAATATTAAATAAATATTAAAAACTTCCCTAAACAGAGCTGCCTTCAAATGTCTTTTAAAGATAAGATAATAGTTGCTTAACGTGTGGGACGTACAATCACAGAACTGTAGAGTTGGAAGGGAAGGGTCATCTAGTCCAACTCCCTGCAATGCAAGAATCTCAACTAACACATTTATGACAGATGACCTATAAATCACTCGCTTGTAAATATGCTTTGCCCCTTCTGTGTGCCTCATCCCCTTTTTTCTGGCGCCGCCCACTGGGACCGGTTGTCTGTATGTTAGGTAAAGCTAGTAGTGATAATGTGTTTCCTTTTTCCATTTCACTGTAGCATGTCTGATGACATAATGGTAGCCAGATCAAGGGCTTTTTGTATAGGAATTCCAAATTGGAATTTTGTGACAAAAGGAGATGTCAGTTTGTTTCCAATCTAGCTATGCAGTCTGCAATTGTTCACTTGCTTTTTTGGAGGGAATCCAGATGATTTTGCCAGCCTATTGCATTCAATTTCGCCACACCCCCATGTTGTCCTTCCATCTATATTCAACTTGATTTGTGCTTATCGTTTTCATGGTTAAAGGGCACTTGTAGCATCGGTCTATCCAGTGCGGACAGGCAAAATACCACTGAGGTTTTCCAGGGCTATTGTGTCTTTAATTAGACACCATTTTGTGGTGCCTGCCTCTGATTGCTTCCTGTTCAGCGCAGCATGCCATTGCTGATGAATTGACCCATTCTTAGCTTGTTTTCCACTGCCCTTAATTACTGGTTTCCTTTCATTATTTTACTTTGTCTTTCTGAAAATGCACAATTTTGAAACAAAAGAGCAGGGGAAAATGAGAGAAAACCAGTAATTAACATCTGACCATAAGAAGGAAAAGGAATTGCTCTATTTAAAGAACAGTTAAGGAAAGAAATCATCTGCAATACTGTGACCGCACTGAACAGGAAGCACTTGGAGACTGAGGCTAGAAGGAGGAAGATTCTCAGTAAAATTTGCAAGAGCTCTTACTTGAACAGGATTGGCTAGTATAGAACTTGCCAACCTTTTTGGGCCTATAGGCACATTTGCAAACTGCTGTGGCCCGGGCTAGGAGAGAGCCCATGAGCTTCAGGGGCAAGATGGGTCAGTTTGACTGCAGAAAGCCCTGCATCCCTTGCTCTCTTATTTTTTTGTATTCTTATTATTTAACAAAATTTATATACCACTTGATTGTAATAAAGCCTCAAAGTGATTTATAAGAAACAAACTAAAGCATTAAAATTACTAATAAAATACTATTATAAACAGGTTGTTTTTTTAAAAAAACAAACATTGAAAACTAATTAAACTCAACAGTAAGCTAAACACAGATTAAAACACATGCAGCTTCTACATGTTTCGATAGGCTTTCCTATACAAAAATGTTAAAGCAGGTACTGAAAACATTATACAGAGGACGCTCGGGTTGCGTTCGCAACCCGCAGCTTCCGCAACCCGCAGCACTGCATCTGCAGACGCGCGGGTTGCAATTTGGTGCTTCTGCGCATGTGCAAAGCGTGATTTAGCGCTCATGCGCAAGCGCCCAAAACCTGGAAGTAACCCGTTCCAGTACTTCTGGGTTCGGTGCAGTGCGCAAACCAAAATCGTGCAACCCGAAGCGTTTGTAACCCAAGGTATGACTGTACAGCAAAAGTGCCTGCTTGATGTCAACAGGCAGGGAGTTCCAAAGTGTAAGTACTGTTGTATTGTGGGCATATATGGAGTAAGCCGGTTGAAGTTAAATCCTTCGAAGACAGAGGTCCTCTGGCTGGGACAGGACGATATGGGATTGAGGGGGCAACTCCCATCTCTTGCGGGGGTGCAATTAGTGCCAGCACCGTCCATTAAGAGTTTGGGTGTAATCTTCGATACCTCCCTCTCCATGGAGGCGCAGATTACAGCTATAACAAAGGCGGCATTTTTTCATCTCCGCCAAGCTAAGCAGTTGGCCCCTTATCTCTCTCGCCCTGACCTAGCCACTGTGATCCACGCGACGGTCACCTCCAGACTGGATTATTGTAACTCGCTCTACGTGGGGCTGCCCTTGAGACTGACCCAGAAACTCCAGCAGGTGCAGAATGCCGTGGCGAGACTCCTTATGGGGTCTTCGCTGCGAGATCACATTCACCCGGTGCTATACCAGCTGCACTGGCTCCCGGTGGAGTACAGGGTCAGGTTTAAGGTGCTGGTTTTAACCTTTAAAGCCCTATACGGCCTAGGACCCTCGTACCTACGGGACCGCCTCTCCTGGTATGTCCCACAGAGGAACTTACGGTCTTCAAATAAAAACATCCAGAAGGTCCCAGGCCACAGAGAGGTTAGGCTGACCTCAACTAGAGCCAGGGCTTTCTCGGCTGCGGCTCCAATCTGGTGGAACGCTCTGTCACAAGAGACTAGGACCCTGCGGGACCTGACATCTTTCCGCAGGGCCTGCAAGACAGAGCTGTTCCACCAGGCCTTTGGTCAGGGCGCAGCCTGACTCCCTCCTTTGGCAATCTGCACAGAATTTTTGCTTAATGGTTGCCATCAATTTGATTTTAATTAATTTTTATAATGAAATGTTTTTAGAATGTTGCATTATTTTATTGTTGTTAGCCGCCCTGAGCCCAGCTTCGGCTAGGGAGGGCTAGGATATAAATAAATTTTATTATTATTATTATTATTATTATTATTCATGTAAACTGGTCCCAAGCTGTTAGTGGCTTTATATACTAATGGCAACACCTTGAATTTGGCCCAGTAACACATCAGCAAGCAATGCAGTTCTCTGAGCAGAGGTGTTTATGTGCTGAAAGGGTTTTATTCCTGCTGGTAGCTGTGCTCATACCCTCCAACAATTCTCTGATGAAAATAGGGATGTCCTATTCCGTTGTTGTTGTTGTTGTTGTTGTTGTTGTTGTTGTTGTTATACTATTTATACCCCACCCATCTGACTGGGTTGCCCCAGTCACTCCAGCATATATACATATAACATTTTTCATTTTTAAAAAAAGTCTGTATAGAGGATTGCCTTCAGATGGCTTGGGGCTCAGGTAACTCCATACCCGCCAACATTTCTCTGTTGAAAATAGGGACTTCCTAAGGAAAAGCGAGACATTCCAGGATCAAATCAGAAACCGGGATGGCTTCTGTAAATCTGGGGCTGTCCCTGGAAACTAGGGACACTTGGAGGGTCCGTTGTGCGGCTGCATTCTGCACTAACTGCAGCTGCCAGATCAGGTTAGGAGATGCCCCACAGAGAGAGTATTGCAGTAATTCAACATTTAAGTCTCCAGTGCCTGAACTTCTGTGGCCAAGCAAGCTCTCCAGGAACAGCCACAGTTTTCACACCAGTCGCAGCTGCCAAAATACATTTCTAGCCACTGAGGCTACCTAATCCTCTCCATCCACATAGGTTTGTATTTATTTACAATGTCAAAATTATAGCACCTCTCAAGCAGAAAGGTAGACTAATCAAGATATCATTTGCCATCCAGATCATGCAAATAATGGCCTTAAAACTGCATAGTTTAAGCACACTCTCTTTTGGAGATGAGATTCTACAGTTCAGGATCAGCTTATCATGACTTAAGTTCCCTAATTGTTTACAGACTGATTGACCTCTAAGGGCTTGTTCACATGAAAACAGCCACTCGCCTCCCTATTCTGCCCTGGTTAATTGACTGAAATGTCTGGGTGATTCTGTGGGACAGGATATATCACATAAAGTCTTACCACAAGCCCAGGAACTGTTTTCCACAGATAGGAAGAGTTGTCCTTTTTGGTTTCCAATGGTATGAAAGCTAGGAAAGCAAGAAAAAGGTTCTCATAAAACATCTGCCAAAACAGATGGTAGGGAATAAATTGGCATTCCTATCATCTGGAAATATGGGCCTGATTTATTATCACCAGTGGGCCCCATAACAATTATAATTGTAAGGTCAAATCTAAATTTTAGCTACCCTGCCAAGATTGCCATCAGAGGTTCTGAAATGCTTTGAATAAACTTTTAAATTTATCACCAAACAGCAGCATGGAAAGCCATTTTAGGACTCAGCTATACAGCTGCAAATAAAACGCTTTAAATGTGTTGTAAAGAGCCATATACAAATGTGGCACTAAATGGCTACAGTGAGCTATGCCAAATTTAATGTATTTTTCAAAATGTTTTTTAAAAAAGCATTTTCACAGCTTTTTTATATGTGTGCAGATTCCAACTTAGCTATGGGACACTGGTGTTTTAAATGTTATGTGTAAAGACAAACTTGTGGATTGTCTTTGAACTGTTAATAAATTAATCAACCTATTGAATAATTACATTATCTTCATGCAGATAGCTTGAATGTTTGATAATATTTCTGCATTAGATTAATATTTTGTAAGTGGCCCAGGAACTGTTACTGACGGACAGCCACAAAAATATAATAAACAATTATAATGGTTTTCTCAATTAATACATCTTAAAGGCATGTCTAATTCAAAAGCTGTTCAAAGTGTACTGCACCAGTTACCCTATTTGTAAAGCACAGCTTGAAATCATGTGGTGAAAAACTACACGTTAAATACAATATATCAGGACATCAATCAGACTGTTTATGATTCCTTTAATCCCTACATTTCCCCCAACAATATCCTTTTAATCTTCCACTTTAGCAGCTTTCCTATCCTACCCCCTTTCCACCCTACCCCTTAATTTTCACCTGCTGTCTTCTTTATTCTTTATCAAAATCTTTGCAAGAGCAGAGGCAAAACACTCAGTTTCAGTACACACTTTCCTTTATTTACCTAGGTTAAGAGAAATCTAGAGTTGAGAGAAAGAAGAAGAAATTGTACATCTTCACATATTCTCCTCCCCACACCATTTTTTAAGAAAAAATCCTCCCCAAACTATAATATTTTTGTGCAATCCTCCATCATAGAAATAGAAAACCAGCTCAGTTTTAGGTTGGAATGGCCAGCAAGTAAGGACTGTAGTAGTCCATGACTAGCTTTTCCCCTTGTTCTTACATTGTCCATAAGAACATGGAACAGGAAGCTTGGATGCTCCTGTTGACCTCCAGAGGTCATCTCTGCCATGGGATGGGAACACATCCCTGACTAGCAGAGTTCCCAGAAGACAGCTCTACAAATGCGTAACCACAGAAGCTCTTACTGTCTCCTTCCTCGGTCTCCTCTTCCAGAATAGCAGAGCGGTCCTGTGTCAAGGCCAGCCTTCAGGTTTCTGCACTACCTCTGGCAAAACGACTCGCCTGCAGCAGCACCCTGATTACGCCCAGACAATGAGGGACACATTTCTTTCTTTTTTAAAAAAGACTCCTCCTTGTCAGCTGTCCTTTAAACTCTATACCCATACCCAGCTCTGTCTCTCCCAACAAACAAGGGAGAGGAGGAGGGGAGAAGGACACATGCTCATTGTAAGGGATCTCTGCCAACCCTGTGACCCCCCCACCCATCTGTTAGGGTGCCAATGTTGGTGCTTGGAACAGGCAGACGGGGCTAACTGGGGGAAAGGGATGGGGCTAAGGCATCCCTGTGCTGCACAGTCATAGGATCTGGCACAAGTAGCATCTGTTGAAAAGCCCTGTTCAAACTCTGAGCAGGCAACTAGCTTAAACACACAGCTCCACAATGGTTTGCTAATGAGCGTCACTTCATTTCCTCAAGGAACGAAAGAATGTGGACACACGTTATTGTATAGCAGGGGGAAAGAGAGGGTGGCCTCTAGCACTCAGCGAGTTCCCACTCTCCGAAGGCACTGGGAGGGGGGATAAGGGATAGAATGCCTTTTCAGTGTCCACCCAGGGACGGCTGGCCCATTCATGAGGCAAGCTGAGGTGGCCGCTTTGGGCAGCAGGATCCACAGATACAGCAGATCTGGCCTTGTGCACCTTGGAGGTAGGATCTGCCCACCTCCTCAGCAGTGGCCTCTTGGCAAATAGGAGGTGGTCTCTCCCCCCACCCCCCTTGTTTCAATGTAGATCTCTATTTCCTCTTGATCCTGATGTAGATCTGCAGTCACTCCTTCTTCCCTGGCCCTGGGCAGGGGTACCATTTTGTGGCTCGCCTCAAATGCAAAAATATTCTGATTATAAATATTCAAATTAGCTTAAATTGTGTCCACATGGGGAGGGATTGTTTTGGTCTGGGAGAGACTGTAGCTCTGTTATAAAACTTGCTGTACCTACAGGAGTCTAAGGGTTCAGTCTCTGCTATCTCCAGTTCAAGAAATACAGTTAAGGGAAATTTATCTGTGCCTGAGACCTGGGAGAGCAACTGTCAGAGAGTAGACAACTCTGGGCCTGATGTAAAAATAGTCAGCCCTGGTATAAGACAACTTCTTATGTTCCCATACATCCTGTGGCACAGTGTGTCAGGGCATCTAGCTGTTAAGCAGAAGGTTAGTGGTTCGAGCCCACCCAGGGATGGCTGTGGGCATTGCAAGGGGTTGGAGTAGAAGACCCTTGGCATCCCTTCCAACTCTACGATTCAGTGATTCTATTCTCAAAGGCTCCCCAGCAGATAGAAAACCCTTTGAAGACAAGTGAATCCTTCAGAATCATTGATCTCTGTGTGGAAGATCTCCAAACCATTTTAGGAGCCTGGCTAATTTATCTGAGTCTGCAGGAACCTAGAATTGGAGGTGCCATGATAAGAATGCTGTGGAAAAATGTGGCATGTTGTATGGGTCAAATGGATCCAACCCATGTCCGACACAAATAGGAAAGCGTATCCGGCACATAGTAAAGCAACCATGTGCCTAACCGACACACTGTTAATCAATCCACATTTATCTAAGCACTGCAATGTTGGAGGGAGTGGCTAGTCATACTGCGGTAAAAACTCCACTGCAAGTTGGCTGAGCATTGGCAAAAAAATGTCACCATCACATGTCAAAGCAGGCCCCCTCCACCCACATACACAGCAGCATGAGATTTTATTTCCCATTATGCAATCCCATTCATCTGTCTAACCCTTTTCCATGGCCACAACCAGACTCTGGAATTCCCCACCCAGGCAGATTTGCCTCACCTTGACCCTGAATATTTTCTACCACAGTGGGAAAATACCCCTTCATTTTTAGGAAGGCCTGTGTTACTGATTTTAATGAACTTTGGTTGACAGGCTTTTATTACTGTTCTTATGGTTTTATTGTTGTGGCTTTTGCTGTTCTGCTTCTTAAGTAATGATGTTTTAGTGATTTAAAAAATAATAATGTGATGCATTTTTTAATTTAAAAAATCTCTATATAGTGTTTGTTATTTGTTAGTCACCTTGAACTTTTGGGGATAGTAAACATTTTAAATAATGGAAGTAATTTAAAAAGTATGTTTGTAAACACCACAGTTATGTGGAGAGGGTTGATCATGCAGTTCTTCTCTATTCCATCATCACCCCTCCTTGTGCTGCGTCAAATATTTGCAGAACTTGATGGTGTGAGAGGGACCCTTCCTCAAATCACTTCACATTAAATTGGCCTTCAACTGATTTAATTTTCTTGAAGCCAATGAGATTCAACTGGCTTAAACCCAAGTGCTCTGCCTTAACTGCATTGTGGATAGCATACAAATCAATATGGCTAACCTGATCCAAAACACCCACCCACCCCACTCACACATGAAAACAAAGACCACCACAGCCAACCACAAATGAACAGCCACACCCTAGGCCAACCCCAACCTCTCTTACCACCAAAGGAACACAAGTGAACAGCAGAGAACCCGCACAAGCAACGCTGACACAATACCCCACATATATTAAGTAAAATAGAAACATCAGTACCCGACCCCACCCCCACTCATATTTCCCCCCCTCCACCTCTTTCCCATATTCTTCCTAATGTCTCAACAAATGAAACCGATTTGTAAAAAAAATAAAAATTGTTACGTGGAAAAAAATAAATAAATACGAGAGAGAGACATTGCAAAAAACCCCCCAAAACTGCATTGTGGATAGGCTTAACACTGAAGAAAATTGGCAATGAATCGATTGGTTACTTAGCAGTTAGAGTATTATTATGTTCATGAGCCCAGGTGATACCTAACATTCTCTGAGCTGGGAATTGGATCCTCTTGCTCATGCTTTGCAGTTAACTCACACAAGATTTAACTGGGGAACAACTGAGAAAAAATAAGGAAGTGGGAAAATGCAAGCAGTTCACGTTGTTTGACGCCGTGTGGAGGTTTATGGCTGAGAGCAAAGATCAGCCCTTCCTCCTTCTTTCTTCCAGTCCAGACTGATCTTGACTATGTGACCCATCCTTTGCCCCTTAAAGGCTGCTGCCATGAGCTCAGCTGGGTTGACCTTTCCCAGCCCCTTGCAGCTTTCTCACGGAGAGGCAGAGATCAACCCAAGGGACCAGCTTGGCCCCAGCACAGCAGCATCATGCTCCAAAATCAGAAACAGCCACTCAACAGCTCAGTCATTAGCAAGAGGGAGCAGCAGGGGTCAATGGTGATGTCAGACTCCTGGGGCTTGCTTCCTAGCTGCCCTCTGCCTTGCCTGATTCTTTTCAGCTGATGAAGAACTTGTTCCTTCCTTTCCTTTCCGCACACTCAGTATCATTTAGTGCACAGTGATGCTGTTCGTATAATGTTCCTGTTGTTCATATAAGTGTTGTGAACCAGTCAGTATTCCGGACTGCATGGGAGACAGGAGCATAGGCACAACATGGGCTCAGCTGCCTCCTTAAATCAAGAAAATCAATGAAAATAACTAACTGAGCTTCTGGCCCTCCTAACATGAAGGCTGCCCCCCCCCCAACATAAGTCCTGGCTATGCCCATGTGTGATAGCGGAATTATTTGGCAGCAGGAACAAATCTGTTAGGAGTAGGGATGGGGGACAGACACATTCAATTCAGTTCACATTAAAACCTGAATTTATCAAATTCAGACTTTCAGTAACCACAGGACAGCCAAAAAAAATCCTTTGAAATCCACGCTTATCCAATTTTTGCAGTGTAGCTCTGCACTCACCCAGTGTTTACAAAAATACACGTGTTGGGCAAATGTGTGCCTAAAAATAAGTGAAAATAACATACAAAGATGCATTATAGGAGAAATTGCTTGCAAAAATGTGCATGTCAGTCACAACCGCATGCACAAATGGGTTTATTAGAAAGTTATACTAAAATACAGACAAAATTTCATGAGGATTTTTTTTTTGCAAATTGCTGCAGAACTGTGGAGAACCAAATTTAGGATTGGAAAAATGGCAGCAGGAGCATTATCAAGATATGAGGCTGTGCCAAGAAGGGTGGATTAGAAGGGACTATCATCATCTCTAACAACCTAATAGACATGACTGAAAAGGAAAAAGGGATGGGGTGAGAAAAGGAAAATAAGACAATTCAAGTCCCAGCTTTTACATAATGTTAGATGTTTGCATACTGGCCAAACTGCAGGAGATCATCTGGAAGGAAGCCAAAGAGATGTTGGTACCTCTCAATCATGCTATTAAAAGAAACCTTTTTTCCACGATAAAGTGATTGATTTAGTAGACATAGGATATAAAGTCAATATAACCTTTTTTGACTTTAGCGCAGATTCTGAATGATAAATCCTCCTTAGGAAGCTTGGGAAATGGAAGAGAAAGACCAGACTTTCAGTGCATATGTAACTGGCTGAATAATGGCATATAAAGGGGAATAATGGATTGGCTTCAGATTAGAAAGAAGCCTTGTTTGTGGTTTTACAGGGGTCATTATAGGGTCTGGTGCTGTTCAGCGTCTTTGCTAGCTGCTTGGAGAAAAGAGTTGAGTAATACACCTGTCAGACTTTCAGATTATACAAAAGTGGGAAGAATTGCAAACATCTTAAGAGCATAAACTAAACATTAAAAAATAGTTCAAATACACTGGAGGGTAGAGGTGATAACAAGTGCTGTTCTACAAGAACTAATACAAATTGTGCAACATAGAAACGAAGAATGCAATTCACAAACATAAGGAGGTTTAACAGCAGCTGGATTGTGCAGAAGTATGCAGGGACTGCCGCAAATAACCTCATTTAACAATGCAGAAGGCAACTGACAAATTGGAATGGTTTGAAGGTGAACTACAGAGATGATGAAACATCTAGAAAGAAAAACACGTAAGAAAAAGTTGAAGGAGAAAGGTGTGCTTAGCCTAGAGGAAAAATGTTTAGGGAAAGATGTCAGAGATGTATTATATTAAGAAGCAACAACCCTCAGTGTTCATATTTGCTTAGTTTAGATCTGCTTGCTTTATACTTTTCCCCCCACCTGAGAATATTGAATCAATCTGATTTTTTTGAATAAAGAAACTGAAATCTATGGCACACAAATAATTTTTAGTCTAAACATGACAGTGAGCAAGCCAAACAGGCCACTTCTGGTTATATTAGTCAGGACCAACCCACCCATGAGGCAAGGTGAGGTGACTGCCTCAGACAAATTGTCGCTGTTTTTTGTGTTGAATATATGCTATATGGTAATTTGTGGACCTAACAGGTAACTAAAGCCATTTGCACATAACAAAATATGTATATCATAGGAGCCTACACAACACAAAACACTGTTGCTGTATGTAGGTTTTATTTTTATTTTTTTTCTTATATTTTGGAAATGTGCATCCAGGTTTTTTTCCCTTTAATTTTTTTGGGGGCCCCCAAGAGAGTGGGGCCCTAAGCTATAGCTTGTTTATCTTATATGTAAATCCGGCATTCCAGCAGCCTTTGGAAAATAGGAGCTGCTAGTGTATTCCTCCCCTTGTTTCCAATGTCAATTTTCACTTACCCCTTGCTCCCCGGTGTGGTGTGGGGAGCGCCATATTGTGAATTGCCTCAGGCACCAATATGTCTACATAAGTCAAATACACATACCATGACAAAAGCCTTCCGTGTCTATACTGAAATTATACATTTTCTCACATCCCAGAAAGTACCATTTCAGAAGATGTCACCCATTTGTTTCTGTAAATATTTATTACCACACAACATCTAAAATACTGACATTTTTAGAACTTCAAAATTCAGCACATGCTAATGACAACAAGCAAGGGAATACTATTGAGCTGTCTCCATTTTTTTCCTGTATGCATTAAACAACTTCCATCTCACCCTTCATCAGAGATTCCAGGTTGTTTCCAAAATGCTTAAAATCACAAAGCACGATATACAGGCACTACAACAATAAAACGGTAATTAAAAGCAGCAGGATAAAAAAGCAAGTGGCACTGAGAAAGTGGATAAAGAAATGTTTTTCTCCCTTTCTCGTAATGCTAGAACTCATGACTCATGAATTATAGAGTTGGAAGGGACTATCTAGTCTGACCTTCTGCCAATCAGAAGGTCGACAGTTCGAAACCCCGCGACGGGGTGAGCTCCCGTTGTTCGGTCCCAGCTCCTGTCCACTTAGCAGTTCGAAAGCATGCCAAGTGCAAGTAGATAAATAGGTACCGCTCTAGCG